TGGTAGATCGAAACCGCTGGCGCGCGCGCGGTCGCGTGGCAGCAGCAGCCGCTTTACCGGATTCTAAGTAAATTGCCATGTAACAAAAGCTCCGTGCAAACTTCAAAGTACAGCTCTAGTGCAGCAAGCCTTCAATGCAACATATTCTCTATGTACAAGTGGTTGCAGAAATACCGGTAACTCTTGTGTGACCTAACGGGCGTGTGACTTAAGATACGAGCTACCCGGGCACTTCAAACTAAAAACCTAACCCGAATAATCACCCGCTCCGCACCCCAACCCACCCTAACCACCATACCAACCCCACCCGTCCCTCGGGTGCCTATCTTAGGTCACACAGCTCTTAGGTCACACGAGAGTTATCGGAGTGTTGCAGAAATGATTTATTCTTCCCATCTCATCATTAGTTTAGGTCGCCATTAATGTGTGGTGATTGATACCCTCTACCTTACCGCCGAGGCAGAATCGCGCAATTGCATCTAGACTCACTGATCGTAGCGTTCCAAGACGAGCATGCGTGTTTCATGAGCTGCAGTGCTAGTTCTATTTGAGCTCTGTACAAGAGACAAGCAGCCCCCAGTCTAAAGCTGATCTCCCCACGTTGCGGCTTGTGCAGATAGCAAAGTGTTAAGCTGACCACCACAAAAAGTTCACGTCATCTCAATGAATGGTGCAACCGCGTCTATCCTAGCTGGATGAATTGGTTATGTCCAGTATGTTCAGCTTGCGAGTCTAACCATCTATCCTTGTTACAATGGCAACAACATCACCTCCAATCATAATGACAAACGTCACAACCCCACCCACGACAACGCTCTTGCCTGCAATCCGAACTCAACTCATCCCACTACTCTGTTGCAAAAACTCCCTCAACACCTTGGTGTTCGATTCTTCCATGCGCTGCAGAGAAGCAGCAAGAACGTTACAGTCACTCATTGCGGGTAATCAATCAACAATTGACTTGCCCAATCTCTCCTCACATCATCCGATAAGCCGGCTCATGAATCCAAGTCGGACAACAGCTCCAACAGACACCAGAAATGCACATCCGTGGACAGGCTTTCATTTACTCCAATGCTTACGCTTCTGTCTAGGGCAGCAGGCATCCTCACCTTCTTGGAAAGTTTCTGAACGTTGTCCCACTCGAAATCCTCCGATGCATAAGCTGACCGGACCTGAGAAGGCAATGAGGCCTTAGCACATCGGCAGACCGCTTCAGAGAAGGAAATCACTCGACTTGGTTTATTTTCTCGTTGTTCACGGCCTCCTTTTATCAAGAGTTGTCAAAGTCTCTTAAGGTACTGTCGAGAGAGATCACTGAAGGCAATCGAGGGTGATGTCGTGAATTTTAATTGGCTCAAAGGTCTTACAAGCGCTGCAAAGCCGACAACCACAAGCAAGTGCCAAGAGAACTCTTTGAAGTCCTCTTCCTGTCCGATTCTCCACGAACTTGCCACATCGATTGCACGCACCTTTCCATGGCCTCAAAGCATCGAAGGCCTACAAAGCGTCACGTGCTACATGCTTCTTCACGAGGATCTAACGAGAATCAAACTCCTCTGACCAGGTCTATGAATATCGTCTGCTGTCGACAGAGAGTCAGTACAGAAAAGTCCTGGGAAACGTCTGTTTCTCCTTTTCTTGAAAACACTTTGCCCCCAATCTATGAAGCAAGCTGTAAACGCTTCCAAAGGAAACAACGAATCCAAGCCCCCCTCCAAAGGAAGTGGACCTCTATAAGACCTTGAATGCATTCACATACGAAATGTAAAGCCGACTATTACTGGACGAACGAAATTGTTGATAAGGAATTTGAAACAGCCCATGCAACCATACTTTTTAGGTGCTACTTTGGACCAGACCTGCCTTTCATAGACAATTAAACAAGAAACGAACGGATCCTTACCTCCAAGATCCGCATGGCCAGCGTTTTGTGCTGGGGAGACACCCGCATCAGTTGGTGGACAAACTCGTCACCATCTTTCAAGGGCGACTTTTGAGCGAACTCCATCAGATCCTGAAAAAGTACACGGTACAGAGTTTTGAGCAGAGGTGCTTTTGTGACACAATGCATAAACCAACCACCCTCTTCATCGGCGACTTCCTGCGGAAAGTGATATTTGACTGTTGCTGGATCACTAACTTCAAAGCTGGTCGGTATGCACAATACAAGAACTCGGAATTGAGCAACTGTAAGGATGGCAGAATGGGAATCCATGCATCGTAAGTATCCCTGTGCCAGAAGAGTCTTGGAATTGCAGTCTGCTGATGTACAACCACAAAGATGCCTTGTCAGGTTCAGCCGCCGGCACACCCCCGTTCCTAACATGGAAATTCAGCAAGACTGGTCAGGAATGTCCATACCTTATAGGCATCCGGGTTGTAACTCTGCAGCTGGGACAACACGATTTTGAGCGCTGTGAACGTGAAGAAGTTGTGAAGCGAGTCGGCTGCCTTGGCTTCAGGTGACTTCTCTCCAAACCCTGCAGGAAGGGGATGATCAGGTTCTTTCGCATCCTTTGAGCAACGGTTTGTCGCAGCTTTGCCGGCCAACATGCGAGCAAGCAGGATCTACACCGCAGTTGCCTCTAGCAAAGTTCCTGCAAACCTAGATACAGGTATGAGCTGGCCCCTAAAAGCAGTTTGATCCAAGAGCAGCATGGAGTCTGAAGCAAGGGGCACGACATAGTTGTCCAGGGGGATTGCAAGCATGCGGAAAATTGTGAGGCCAGCTGTTTAACTTGTTACTCCTCAAAGTTTTCCTGAACCTACGACAGCCGGTGATCCTTGAGCCAAAATTTCAAGCCAACTCTGTGAGATTGCAAACATAAGGCACACTCACCATCAAAGGACGACTTGCAAACAACAAGCAACCTCAGGTGGAGCACAGGACGCGTTTTCACTCACAGCATTGCTTCCTGGTACTCAAACCATTCAGCCACAATCAAGCACCATACCTGGTACGAACATCTTCGCATCGGCTTGCACCGCTCGCCGCCTTCCTCTAAGTCTCAGACACCCTGGTCTGCAAGAGGCCCACAAGGTTCCTCTGCCACTAGGTACTGCCGCAAAAGCTGACGACAAGGTAAGGAATCGATGCTTGTGTCCAGTGGACTGGCTGGCACATGCGGCTTTCAGGTGGTTAACTGGGATACTGGTAGCCTGACAGCTGTTCTGTCTGATAGTGGTGGATTCTGTCTGGATGCGAGCGGGCCACGAAAGAAGCGACCCACTCGACGTTGCCCTAGCCATCGCAGAAAACATCTCTGCTTTGCACAATTCAACTTTTGATCAACTTCGTGAAAACACTATCCTGAAAGCAGGCGCTATGAACTCTTCATTCTAGAGTTGCGTCACAATCTTTCAACGGCACCCGATTTGGAAGGGCCAGAGTTTTCTGTTGGTTAGAACTACACAGAACCGGGCAATTGCGGAAGAATCAGATTAGCTGAAAGATGAGAAGCACATGCGGCTTGTGCACAGCTCTTTCAGCAAGGAAGTCAGCAGACTTGGACGTGAAGTTGAAGACGTGTTGCAGAGCTGCGTCTTCTACACGGAACTGCCAATTACCTTACTGCCAATTTGAATGCAGCAGCAACTGGCAAGAAGCACGAGTCCACTGAGGAGCCAGCTAGGTACTAGTACTGGGACAGTACGTTTGAGTGGGTCGGACACGGGTTTAAAATTACAAGTATTTTCGAATCCAGAAGGGTTTAGAGCCTAGCTAGGTTAGTCACAGGGGTGCGAAACCTTCACGGATCTTTGATTGTTAAAGGGACAGTCAAACGAAACACTCTGGTCGAGCCTCGTCAAGAAACTCGTTAGCAAGTGGTCAACCGTCATGCCGATCTAACCAAATTCTAAACCCGGCAGTTGAGCAAACAAGTACGTTGAAACTCAGCTCTGCTCTGTTGATATCACTCAATTGGACTCTGGCAGTGGAGGGGGCTAGGAGGAGCAGGCGCCTTTTCAGATTAGGATTCTGAAGCCTGGTTAGGATCAGAGGCAGGCAGCATGGTCTTCAGGGGCTTCAAGCTGGGTTGCACGGTGGCGGTGTTGCTGGTGCTGATTGCGCAACCGATTTTGGCTGCGGATGAACCGTTCCTGGTTGTGCACAAAAAGATCGAGAATGTGAAGCGGGTGAAGGATGCGGAGGATATCACAGTGTCAATAGGCATCTACAACGCAGGTAAGGTCTGACTCCATTAGTCAGAAGACTGTATGAATCGAAGCCATGGATCCTGCACCGACTGGCAGATTGTCTCTTGGTGGTATTTCTCATCCTAATCATGGCGCATGACGTGCCACCTTTTGATGGGATCGTCTCAAGCTGCTTCTGACATTGGATCGCTACCGCCAAGGATGAATCTATACTTTCGGAAGTTCCATCCGCAGTGGCTTCCAGATGGAAGTTGTTGCTTCTGCAGCAAGACAACAAAATGCAGCTCTAGTCTACTCGCAGAGTGGATTGCTTTTTCGTGGCAACCGGTCCTTAGGACTGGATTGTGCTTCAACACTGCTGGTCAAGGACACCACCCGTACTTAAGGTTCTCAGAAGGACTTGCCGCTCACCAGAGGCTCACCTGCTTATATAGGGACAGATTACTTCCACAGTGTTCAGTCCTATTTCCGCTGGTTGCTTGCAATACTAAAGCCACTGCAAGCTGGCATTCAGAGCTGAGGCCCTGCTAAAGTTGGATAGTTGAGAAATTCCTGCAGTGTAGGAAGAGCTACCTCCTGTTCATCAAAGCAACGCCTGGATGAGGCAGGGATCCAAAGCTGCATCAGCATACGATTTGCTAATACACGCAGGTGGCGGCTCTGCTTATGATGTCACGCTCGACGATGAGACCTGGCCCGAGGCCAAGTTCTCTTTCAAGAAAGGCAACGGGACAGGCTCCTGGGAGAAGCTGGTTCCTCAGGGCAGCGTGTCCACCTCGTACGTGGTGACAACCTCGACGCCAGGCATGTTTGAGCCACCCGCCGCCAAGGTCACCTTCAGGGACTCCTCGAAGCCAACCCCCCAGGTTAGTCATACATTTTCTGCCCTTCGTGCTTTTCAAATCACTCGTGAACTATGCAGAGGGAAAGCTGGGGACAGAGTAGAGGGACATGGCCACATTCAGGCTAACGAGTTAATTCTTATAGCTGCCTGCCGTCGGTGATGCAGCATTTCGCACTGGGCGCTCTAAGTTGGTCTTGCCAAATTTTGCAAATAGTATCAAGTCCTCTGCTTACTGTAAACACGGTGGTACGGATTTAAGGTCATACCAAAGCAAATGGAAACGTCTCACAAGTCTTGGCCTATGGATGCTCGTCAGCTGTTTCTCCACAATGGCAGCTGGAATTGGTTCCCCTTCAAAGTTAGAACACGGGTGGTCCCTTTACAACCTGTCAAGCTTTGGTTGCTTGGATGAACAGACAGTGCGAGCTGCACACTTGATTATGAATTTTCCAACTGCAAGTGGACATGTTGCCTGCGATCCTTGTTGTTTGTGCGACAAGTAGATTCGACTATCCTTTCTATTGCTGTCACCTTTTGATCTCGAACCGTCTGCTAATAAGCGACTCTACTCTTATGCAGACGGTCTTGTCCAGCCCTCCCTACCCGATTGACGTGCTTCGCCCAACAGAGCCTGGCCAGGAGTTTGCCAAGATCAAGGAACTTGTCTTCAAGTATGGTCCTTTCGTGGTCATAGTTACGGCCATCGCAGGTTTTATCGGCCTGCTCCTTGTTCCAGATAAGAAGGGTGGAAAGGGGAGCAAAAGAAGGTAGAATCACACGTAAAGTCGAAGCTCAGGTGGTCAATGCGGGTTCCGATGGGGTGCGCTGACTTGGCACTAGAAAGTAGCTAGGTGCGCAGGGTGCTTGCACTGTGTTTGAAGGATGTGTTAGATTACCTGGGCAGGAAGGAGTGAGCGTTAGAGAAAGAGCCCATCGAGAATGTACGAGTACGTGCCAGCACATCTCCCGTGAGAGGTTGAGTTTTACTTCTAATGTCATTCCAAGCGTACCAGTATCTTGCATGATGGGCAAGCATTTTACTTATACTGCATATTGTCGTGTTCAAGTTGACTGAGTTGGCTCGAAAAGTGACTTTGCATCAGGTGAAATATATTATCGAAGGTAGAGCTCTAGGCACTGATAGCTCGTGCTACCATGCGAAGGAACCGCGTGAGAGCCGTACATGGCACACCGCGTTCAGAGCCGTACATGAAAAGCGGCATGATTCCGATCTGCAGATTAGGACATCGTTAAAATCTGTGATCGACTACTTTTTGCCTACCATTCCACACGATCTATAGGCCCCTAAAAACTCGATCTTTTATGAACACCCGGCGTGATACATCCGCATGGGCAGCGCATATGGAGGCCCCGCATGGCCGGGCCGCCTGAAGATTCGAAGCTCTGGCCACCGCGGCGGCGCCGCTTGCAAATCTGCCGCACGACTCAGCACCCCGTCCTGCTCACGTCATTGTAACGGTCATGCATGGAATCGAGCAGGGCCCTGCGTCCGGACATGTTCTTTTCAAGCCGTAGCGCGCGGCGCCACATGGGCCATTCGATCAATATAATAGAGGCACTCCAGCACATGGCCCAAGCACAGGCTTGCTTAAACGGTGTGTTCAAACTAGCTCTCCTGCGCAGAGCAACTTTTCTTCAGCTTTAAGGGTTTGTGGTTGGACTTGAATGCATCAATATTCCGTTCTGCACTTCTTGCATTCTCTAGCATTTGGCATCCTGGCACACTGAAGAGCTTGCACACATCACTGAGACACTGAATGCTGGACACTGTAGAGTATCTTTCCAAACGGCCAGCTACCCTACATATTGTTCTGCAGTCGACCAGGGTCGCTGCTGCACAGTCCTCACAATCTGTACCAAGCGCAAGGATGTCCGAGTGCGTCCTGGTTTTCCACAGACCAGTAGGCGCTTTGTTGGATCTTTGTCAGTCAAAGCTGGCCATCTGGATCTGCTCACATTGACGTGGATAAAAGCTGACTATCTCCTTTCTACACTCGCTGGTTCACCATGTCCTGTCCTACTGAACTTGAACAATGCCCGCCTGGATCAGCTTCATGACCTTGTTCCATACTATGGGATTCTTTTGGTGGTCTGCTGCCGCCCTTGGATTCTCTGACATTTCTCGCAGAACCTGCATGACGAGTGAAACCAGCTTTCAGCACTACAGACGTTTGATAAAATCGACTTCCCCAGTCATTGCCGAGAGCAGATGTCGACAACATGCTAAAAAATGAAAGACATCTCGAGATTTCCAATACGTTGCCTTCAACAGATCAGTAGGCCATTTCTTCCACCAAGGGCGGACAGAAAGGGGATTCTAGCAAGTGGGCACAAACGTTATTCCCAGATGTCAGCCGGTCCCAATGACAGACTTTTCCAAACTTTCAGGTCGTTAGCGCTCGGTTAGACCTTCTAATAGGGCAACGAGCTTCGTGGCTCACGTTTTGCATGATCGGGTCCCGGAGGATGCCGGCAATCTCGGGGTCTTGCGACGCCCGCGCCTGCCGCTCCTTGAGCTCCTCTTCGCTGAGCTGCCCCGTGGCTGCCCGCCGCTGCTGCTGGATACACCTGAAAGCGAAGCAAGAAGGTCACTCATAGGCCGGGAATAGCCACCGAACCACACGGCCTAGCAAGACGGGAATGATGATCACCAGACCAAGTACCCCACCTCTCAGGGCACAGCAGGAAGCCGCCTGTTGCAGGTTCGTCATCTCTTCCGATACTCGAATATATACTTCGGATATTTCACAACGGGTTACAACGGCGGGAAGACATGGGTGGCAGGCGAAAACCGAGGTGACGTCAGCAAGACGCCGTGCTGACGTCAGCGGGCACGAAGCGCCCACCTGCGGATGCCATCTTGGAGCTCCTGGTTGTTGGGGTCGATCTTGAGGCCCTGCTGGTACGTCTCGAGCGCGTCCTCATACTTCTTCATGAAGAACTGCACGCTGCCCTTGCGCTCGTAGCCGCGCACGAAGTCGGGCGCGAGCTCGATCGTCTTCTCCGCGTCCTTGAGGCCCTCCGGCATCGCGCCCAGCTTCGTGTAGCACGCCGCGCGGTTGCTGTAGATCTGCGATGGGAATACGGATTTGTTGAAAAGATATTTTTGAAAAGTAATGAAGCGCTCCTGTACTCCAGATCCAAACCCCAGCCGTCAAAAAGAGAGCTCGCTTTCTCCAAAACAATAAAGCGAGGTAGAAGAGAGCAACTTGATTCAGCACGCTCTGCAGTGGGTGTAAGTCTGCAAGAGGGGAGAGGGGCTTGTCAAATGGATGTCTGCCAGTACAGAGCGAGCTTCGTGTAGCACGCCGCGCGGTTGCTATGAATCTGCGGAAATACAAAGAGGGTAGGTTTGGCTTTGATGCAGCCACTGTGGTGTCGGCGGGCGTCCCTTGGAGAAGGTCATGCTATTCTCCACAAGCAACTGTTTGGTAAGCCCCGGATGATTTGATAGCCCGAACTTCCCAGCAAGAACAACATTGAAGAAGTAAACAGGGGTGGAGCTGGTAAAGGGTAAGTGGCACGCTCAAAACCTAAAGATGCCAGGAATGATTCGACGTTGTCGAATACAAAGTTACGCTGACGATATGGAACAACGGCTCCCTTTTGTCCTACGAACAGGACAAGCAGAACAAGCACCCTCAAAAAGAAGGAAGACTGACCAAGATTGGAAAGCCCGAGAGGGCAATCTGAAGCGGCTCGAGCGACTGAAGCAGGCGACTGGTCAGCACATATCATCACTCGACCAAGACGCCACATCCTCTGAAAGTCTTCTGAGCAAGTAATCCAAGCAAGTCTCCCAAAATTTTAAGTCGGATGCCATCTGGACCGGTTTGCAAATCCACTAGGAAAAAGTAAACCCTTTCAGAGATTTGGCTCGGGGCTGACTCCAGCGACGGATTTTAAGAAGCAGCCGAACAATTGAAAAGGACGCGGACTGCAAGTGGACTTACTCGGTGGTCGTTCGGGTTCCGTTTCAGCGCTTCCGTGTAGTGCCGGATGGCCTCGGGATAGTCCATCTTCTTGAACGCGTCGTTACCTGCGTGCGCAATGAGCTTTTATGGGAGTTGCAGATCTTGATCCACTCTCACGTTCAATAGTGCAGCACGTCTGCCTCGGCGACCAACGTGGACAAACCGACTCCGCACCCTCATGCCCGAACTTGCTGTCGCAGCTTGTCTTTGTGGTCGAGAGATTAAAGAGCAGACGAAGGCAGATATGGAGGCGAAGTGGACGGCCTTGGAGACTTGAAAGCGAAGCAGCCAAGTTGTTGGCTGTCTCAAGAAATGACACAAGAGATCTCTCAGAAAGTGGAAAAGTATCACGCTTCCACAATTCCTAGGGCCAACCAAGCTGGACCGCAAACCCGAGTAAGACCCTGCCATGGCTGCCAGCCAGTGTGCTAAAGCAACGTCACCCTCACGTAAGGCAACAGGTATTCAAGATTCCTACCAGCTTCAGGCCTAAATTCAAGGGTCTCAGAAAACTCGATCTTCCAGCCTTTGACGCCAAAATTAGCTTGAAAACGGATGACAACAAACTGTAGATTGTTTATGCACTCCCGTAAGTCCGTTCCGCCGAACCCTTGCTCGGATGAGAAGCCGGCGCGGTAGGCGCTCCTTTTCTTTGACTCATTCTGGACACCGTCCATCCCCATGAAGGTCATCGACAAAAGGCAAACCTCCACCCTGATGTAAGAAGCCCCAAAACGAAGCCAAAGCGTCCCGCAACTCAGGAATGAACAACAGGAGCTAACGCTTGAGCTCCTTCTGGGCCTCGCCGTGGTCAGACTAAAGTCAGATCTCCCAAGCATACGAGTCCAGTGTCAACCCCCTAATCGCGTCACAGGCTCAAAGCTTTGACACCAGAGTGCTCACCCTTTTCTCGTTCCTCCTCAGCTAGTTCCGGGTTGAAGTACTCCTCCTGCTGCTTCTGCTTTTGGGCCTTCTCCGCATCGTTCAGCTTCTTGAGCGTGTCCGGGTTCCGGTGTTCCGTCAGCGCCTTCTGGAAGGCCTCGATTGCGGGGTCGTAATCCTGAGAAAAATTGACGTGTTGAGATGAGCTGACCGTCGTAGAGGGAGAAATGACTTTGACTAAGTTACTGGGACTCAATGGAGAGCGTCTCAGTACTTCCACTTGCAAAAGGTACTGAGAGTGTAAGACATCGTCGCTTCAGGGACGTTGTCGCTTACAAACCGCGTAGGCTAACGCCGCTGCAGGGGCGTACTCACGCTGTGGGTAAGTACCGGTGGTTTCTCGGTGCACTGCTTTCGAGAATTGAGTGGCCGCATGGCGGCCGTTCTGCAACATCGACTAGCATGTCACAAATGCAAATGCACCAAGCTCCTTCCTTTTCAACCACTAGTGGGACCAAAGTGACGCCATGTCTCTGAAGCAGCCATGGCCCGGACAATACGAAGCGCAGGAACTCACTTTCGCCGTCTTTGCCATCTTGACATACGCCGTGCCCTTTCGTGTGAGCGCCTTTGCTATCGACTTGTAGTCCGCCCGAAGCTCCCGCCCCTTTTCCACCGCCGCATCGCAGTCTTTGATGGCGTCGTCATACTGCAAGACACCAAGGAACCGAAAAATATCTTACATCCTTTCACCCAAAAGCCATTCTTCAACGATGGCATCACGACGAGCCAATCGAGGGCTGTAAACACACCGCCAGGGTGGCCTATCTTTATGATTGGATCTTGACCGAAGGTCAAATTACCTCAAAGGTTACCACTGAGAGCTACTGCTTCCGCATCTGATTGTTTAACAAGAGTGGCTTTCAAGTGACCGAAAAGGCTTGAGGCTGTTCTGGTGGGCAACACAAAGCAGCTCCTTAAATCCGTCGAACCACAGGGGCAACCAGGAGCACAGACGAAGGGAGTACCGTTCATCTTCATCAAGAGCGGTTGCAGCCTCACCTTGCCCATCTCTAGATACACCGCCGCGCGGTTCGTCCTGTACGCGATATCATCTTCGTCTAGTTCCATCGCTTTCGTGTACTGCTCGATCGCCGCGTCAAAGTCCTTTTTCTTATACGCCACGTTCCCCTCTTCCTTCGCTTTCACAGCCTCCGCTTTCCGCCGCTTCTTTTCCCGTGCGTCCTCGTCCTCTGGTTCCGGTTCCGGCTCCGGTTCCGCTTTCTTCTCCTCAGCTTTCCGCTCCGGTTTCGACTCGGGGCGCCTCGAGGGGCTCGGTTCAGACTGTCCCAGATCGTCGTCGCTCGCCATCTGGAGGTCGACTCCAAGCACAACGCTCAGCGCAGTAGCAATGCGCTTGTCCTGTACATGAAAGCGTTGGCGGGCCTCATGAAAGAATCACGGAGCATTTGCTTGGAACTTCGACTGGATATGCGGCACGTAATATAAGCGAATGGAGACTCCTGAATACGCTCGTTGAAGACATTTGAGACAAGCGCTTTCCATCTAGGGCGATGGATTGATTTGAGGGATCCACTTCTGAGATGAATGGTGTGCCGGAAGGTTCCAAAATTATTCTTGGAGGACTACTGAAACGCACACTGGGGAGCTTCATCGAAATCATGAAACCACTTACTTGGGGCTTCGAAATGTTTTTGATAAGAGCTACGACTTTCAACAATCTTGGCTTGAGTTTAACAACAAGAGAGTCAAGAGAGCCCACATCATCCACCATGGATCTAGAGCCCTGGTTTTCATTGCAATCACCAGCAACCCAATAGGACACGTCAACATAGCACTCAGATGCTTCCAAACCTCAAACCCTCCGCTTTTGGCAGTGGGTTGACCCACTTGCTCGCAGCGTTATGTCTTGCGTCAAAGCGCAAAGGTCACGCTCACGCTCACCTGTTGCAGATACACGTTGAAAAGCGCTGGATTTTTCTGGATCGCGGCCAGCTTCTGCAGGAAGTCTGGCTGCGACATGAAGGCGCGCGTGCGGGGGTCGCTGTGGAGCTTCATGAGCGCTTCCGGGGTGGAGAAGAGCCCGGACATGCCGCCCTTCCCTTCGGCTTGATCCTTCTGATCCCGTGCATCCTCGAGGCCTGCGAAAGCGCCCAGGCCTTGCTCAGAACGGATCTTGAGAGTGAAGTAAGCATTGAGCTCTGTGCATCTTCCAGTCCTGAGGGTTGGGCGAATCCACTGCCAACAAAGGGGAGGGAAAGTGGTACCCTGATTGAGGCGTCTCGTTCCCTTACATTCGCCAGGCCTGCAAGACTGCTGACCTAATTTGTGACACAAACATAAGCTTGGCAAACATCAAATCGGAAGTCAGCTCTGTTGGGCCAAGTCGTCGCGCTGCTAGACTGCTACACTTGCTTCAATCACAGCCTCAACTTCTACCTGGAACGGGGTTTCAAATAGGTAGACCAAAAGTGACTTTTTTCCAGTCTCTCATCAAAAAGGTCCATGCACCAGTTCCTCCACGGATCATGAGATGAACCACAGGAGCATCGAAGAAAGATCTGCATACTTTATGACTTGTAAAAGCCAGGCTTGAAGGATGATCACAGAATGAAATGGCCTGCTTCTCAACGAAGGGCAGCGAGACCGCTCTTGAACATCATACGGCCAGAACGACATGTAGCTTCATAGTTGCTTGTGATTCTTCGCTACATATTTGCTCCCCCCTTGGTCATCCTGCATTCACAAGTCCAATCGGAAACCATCAATAAATGATGCAAGGTGAGAGCCCTGCACCTACACAACTCGCAATTACATGTAGATCTCGCGGCTTTCTGGCCTATATCTCATATTACCTTCTTTTAGAACCTCGTTGTTGGGGTCCACTTTGAGGCCATTCTCGAACGCTTTGATCGCTTCATCGTACTTCTGCAGTCCCATGTATGCACTGCCTTGCCGGCTGTACCCCTGTGACCACAAGGAGATTGCAATCAATGTCTGACGAAAGACAATGTCAAGGAGATCATGCATTGGAGGGCTTGCACAATTGGCTCAATGTGCGAAGAGGCCAGAGAACGGCTCTACAAAGCAGCACCAGCACCTTAGACTCAAAGATGGGCAGGATGCTAATGCCTTGCAATAAATGGCCTGCAGCGCCTTGAAGCTGCGCAAGTTTAGGGCCACCATTACCAATTACCACATTATACCACCATTCGACTTGACTATCGATTTGGACTGTGCTTATTTGGTGAAGTTGAAATCTTATTAACTTGCTGTTCGGTTCAGCAGAGCTCAAGCTTTCCTAATTGGCAGCATTACGTAAGAACTCCAGTCTGTTCCATGCTTCATTTGGATCGTCGCCGCAGAAAACTTCCACAGGTAGTGCTTGGAGATGGACCTAAGAATTACATAAAACTGAACAAGTTTGGTTGTGCTGAAACGTTGTGCTGCTTTCTTAACCTCAACCTACATAAGCAGCGATCTCATTAGTGCCCAGAGATTTGGTGGCAGGATACTAAGTCTAAGTGGTGGATGGTGGTGTTTTCTGAGTTTTGTAACAAAGTGAATGGATCAATGGACCTAGTCCAGCATATTTCATAGACTTCACACTTAGAAACAACTTACAATCTCATTCACAACATTGACAAGATCTGCAGGAACTTGTGTATTGTAAAGACCAAAAATCTTACCTTTGGCCAATCACCCTTCAATTCCACCGTCTTGTTGGCATCCGCAAGTGCTGCGTCATAATCTTTCAGGCTGGCATAACACGCGGACCGGTTGCTGTATAGCACATGATTGGTGGGAGCGAGTTTAATTGCTTCTGAGAATGCATCAATCCCCTCCTGATACCGCCCTGCAGAGAATGCTGCATTGCCCTTGGCCTTCCATTCATCTGCAGAGGGCGCCATCACACTACTTCAAGGCGGGTCAAACCCTTCTTTGTAGACGGGCAAATACGCACCAATCAATGGGAGCACCCGTGCAATGCAAACTACCAACCTCACGAAGTGCTCCTTTTTTGCCAAAACCTTGCAAGGCGCCACCAACAAAGGTGTTTTCTGTCAGCTGTGCATGAAAGCCATTGCATACCGAGTACCTAGGTACACAAAATGGTCGGACATGAACAGAGACGTTTCGAGAAGCAACATCTCTCACACCGTCGATCCTCCTGCTTTTGCAAATTGGACCGCTCGAAGAAGCAGCTCAAGCTGCCTGTTGTTAAACGTCCGATCTTGAATATTACGATCGAACGGATACGAAAGGCGTCATCTTGCCGTTCTCTTTGAAGAGTTCCGCGCAAGAATCAGGCTTGCCAGTGAGCGGAATCTCAGGTAAAACCCCGGCAGCGCGGCCCGGCCGCGGGTTCGATGGCCAATACCGCACGTGCAGCTCCAGGTCCGCGGCTGAGTCAGCGGCTAATTGGTCATCATGACGCCCATGTGACGGCAGCTGACGGTTACAAATAGGAGCAAGTCGAGCCACCTGGACGCACATGGGAATCCAGGTGCTTTTCATTGGGTCAGGAGACTCAGGAGATGTACCTAAATGGACAGTTGATCTCTTCCTCGTGAGAAAGGTCTAACTTAGTGAGTTGTCGATATGAGAAGCTTCGGAAGAACACATTGTATTGTAGATTGAATCTTGAGAAAAGGCAGGTACCTAGCTGAATAAATTGTATTGTGCCGTTCAAGGCAATGAGGCGCAGGTGAGCAAGCTATCGCTTTTTGTTTCAGAGTATCACTGAGTGGTGAACCTGCCACCCTGAGATAGCCGATTGGCATCTGTTGTTAGCGTCTACGAGTCAGATGGGCAACTGAAGTAATGCTAGATCTCTCATAGAGGTGCCCGCCGCTCTGCCCCGTGATTTTTTAGGACCCCCCGCAGGCTAGACGTACATAGAGCTCTGTGGATCACTGCGCTTGTTGGTCCATCACAGCTTGAAGAAGCATACGTATTGAGTGAAGCTACACCTGAGTTGTGTAGATGAGCATCATAAAGATTCTCAGGAAGCCCCCAAAAGCGCAGACTTCCTCAGAATTAAGCTCATGCCCGTCCTTCTTCTTGGCGCTCCTGCCAGGACACACAGGACAGATGTCAGAACCTTCAAAGTCAAGCAGTCAGCAACTTTCACCCCGTGAACCCCCAGTCACTACGACCCCGCTCTCTACCAATGAAATCAACAATCTCTTTGAGGAGCTCAAAGGCGTGCTGTACTCCAACGAGGATCCAGCATTCTTGACAGCCCTGGACCAGTACAAACACGACCTGAGGAAGAGCTATGTCAAGGGCGTTCGTGAGATCTTCGAGCAGGGGCGACCCTTGAGCTTTTCGCCCCGCTTGAAACAACCCCCTCGCCAAGGTGCGCAGCAAGGGGGGCACTTGCAGCAGGCAAACTTTGCCCCCCCGGAGGACTTCACGTTCCAGATTGAGCAGAGCGCACAGCAGGACCCGGGGGGGCAAACGCTGCTCGGTACAGACGACCCGGTCTTGACCCAGCTTTTGTTCAGCCCCCCTCCAACGCACGGAGGTGAAACGCCTGCTCGGGCCCCCCCTAGATCGTCTATTTCGGTGGGGGGGACGCAGACACGCCTGTCTTTCCAGTATCCCTTTCCCCCATCACCAAGACCTGAGGAGGAGCAGAGCGAGGTCCCTGAATTAAGCCCAACGTTTCTAAGCCTGATGTCTGCCGCAGAATCAGTAGGGAAAAACGCCACCCCAACTTCTACAAGCGCTCAATTCCTTTTCCCGAGAGGAGTCGGTGCCGCAGCAGAAAGCGGGATAACGGATGCGAGCGAAGCGTCCCAAAGTGCGTCAGGTTTGAGGCCGCCTGGCGTGCGCTCTCAGGGAGCGCCACGTGGCGTGCAGCGACGAGGCCTCCTGGAGAAGACGCTAAGTGAGAATCTGGAAAGACTGCATCACGGGCTTTCAGGAGGTACGAGCCTGTCTCAGGTGAGCAGAAACCAACCTCAAGGCGAACGTAGAGTAGCTCACTCAGCCTCATGGGGACGAAACTCGAGATGCTGAAAGAAGATGTTTCAGTTTGCTTGGGGAATCCCTGCTTTTGGCGGTGAACATGGTATCTATGATTACTCGCTTCCTTGCTTACTCGCCTCCCGCTTAATTCCTTGGCTCAAGATGCTTCTTCATTCCGTGCCACAAGTCCATTTAATCGCGCAAACTCTGCTTTGATAGAATCACGTATCTTTTTCAAGCTCGCTTGAGCAACGAGGGTCCTGATTGTCCGCTGCCATAGAGAATCACGAAGTTCCGTACTCTCTGCTTCACCATTCGACGAATAACAGCTTTTGCTCAACATTTTTCCTGTGAACATCTTCTTCAAAAAACTCTACGCCTTGAACATTGTTTGGTTAGGTCCAACCCTTGAGGTTGCTTGACAGTCCTGAGATTCAGTACAAAGTTTCGTCTTTCCAGAGGCTCCTTCAACAACTCTTTTTTGAACGACTTGAACATATCTGCTTTAACATTCTTGAAGGCCTGTATTCAACAATGAAGCCTCTCGTTCGTTCCCGCAGCCGGCGACTCCTCAAACCTTCCAGAAGGAGCCACTGTTCGCCGAAAGGACTCCGTTTGAGTTCGTCTTTCCGGCGGAATCCACGAGAGGGAGACCGGCAGCAGCAGAGGATCGACCCGCCAAAAAACAAAGACGAAGCGCGCTGCCGTCTCTGGAAGCAGAAGATTCTCCGCAGACGGTAAGCATTAGAATCGCTTGAGTGACAGTTTGGAACGACTGAACACTTTCTTGAGCTTAGGAAATTAAAGCACAACAAAACCAACAAATACGGATTCGATCCCCTTCACCCGCCGCGTATTCTTCTCGGCTCTGAAAAGTGAACGAGTACGAGAGGATTGACGCGAAACTCTGAAACATTTCCGATCGCATTTCCCTCTTTCGCAGCGTTACGTCTCTCTGTTGACGGAACCGGACACAGAGCAGTTCACATTGCCGGGTCTGGAGGCCCTCGGTTGTCTTCCCCGTTCGGTAACGCCGGCGTTCAGACATAGTGTGAATACGCCGGGAGCGGAAGCCACGAGCCCGGGGTTTCCTTCCGAGAGCCAAGCGGCGCAACGGGCGACACGTACAGAGGGTGCCAAGCCTGCTATGGTCGCCCCGATCCCGATAAAGATGAGAGCGAAGAGAGGGTGTGCGACGGAAAGGCGGAGCGTGTCTGAGCGGGTGAGCGAAGAGGAATGCGTAATCTGAGACTTTACTTTCTTTCCCACTGCCTCCCTCATCAAGAGGATTCATTGTGCTAGATATCATACATCCTTCGTGATTTTTGATATTCTCCAGTAAAGTACCCTCAAAACACGGAAAAGATCTATCTGTATGACCAGCCCCATATGTCGCCGCGCGCTTGAGAGCTTTCGAACTCTTGTAACGGTCAGTGTAACTTCGCTCCTTCAAAAAGGAGTGGCTCCAGCTTCCTTTTGAGAGCCGCGATATTGAGATGTCGCTTTGCTATTCACTCAATTGCGCCATGCCCTGTTCGGACGACGGTCGCCAGTTCATTGTTCGCATCAGTCAGCCCCGCCTGCTTCTCGGTCTTCTTTTCTCTCCGGCTTACAAGCAATCATTTGAGGTAAGCTCAAGTAAGAAAAGTGGGACATGTGCGTTTGGTAAGGGGGTTAAGAAAGCAACTTCAGTGTAAGCTTCGTTCTAAATATAAGTTAGAGGAAAATAGCTTTTCTAGTGAACAGTCTTCCCGCACGGTTTCGGTAAAAGCTTCTAAACCCGCCAATCTCCAGGAGCGGCGCGAGCGCATCGCGGCGCGCATGGACGAGCTGCGCGCGCTGGTCCCGCAGCGCATGGCGTTCGACAAGACGTCCATGCTGGCCAAGATCGTCGAGTACGTCAAGTTCCTGCAGATGCAAGTGCAAGTGAGCGGCTCGAAGCGCTTTGTTCCCCATCCTTAACTTTCAGAGTGATCGAAGTTGAGAAAGCTACGATGTCCAATATTTGATCGCCGGTTGTGCAGGAGGGTTTGTGATCGAGATCGTGGAGTACGTCGAGTTCCTGATAATGCAAGTGTGCAATTGAGCAGCGCAACGCTTTTCGGCTTGTTCGGGAAAGAAAGCTGCCTTCGATTGCGGATAGGCTTTCGATTGAGATCGTCGAGCAAGTCAACATTTTGCAGCTGCGAAAGCAAGTGAGCGGCTCAAAACGCTTTATTCTCAATCCTCAACGTTCTTGTTGTTTAAAGTTAAGAAGGAGGGCGGCTACGATTTCCACTGACATTTGATCGTCGATGGTCGGTAGCTTATTATTTGTGATTGTCAAGTACGTCAAAGTCCTGCAGCTGCAAGTGCAAGTGAGCGCCGCAACGCCTTTGGTTAGCCTGTTACGGTTTCGCTGAATGAAGTTGGCAATGAAAGCTGCCACGATCGCGGAGGATCACCGGTAAGCGGGTGCGGCGAGCTCTGTTCTCGAGATTGTCGAGTACGTCAAGTCGGTGCAGTTGCTAGTGCACGTGAGCACCGCAACGCCTTCAGTTTCCCATCCTTGAAACGTTTTCCCCGCCTGAAGTTGGAGAACTGATGAAATGCGAAAACGGGCGCTGCTTCGATGGGGAAGGTTGAACCTTGACGTTATTGGAGCCGTAAGTCAGCCGGTCTTTCCCGGTGACTGACGTTCATGGAATCGGCGATGCCTATCGTCGTCCAGTGCCGCTGATCCGTACTTATCGCACAGTTGTTGTGTTGAATTACGATTGGACCGTTTCCGCGGGTCTGGATAAGTTCTCGTGAAATATTCTTCTTTGCGACAGGCTCTCCTATCTCCTCAACTATCGTAGGATCACCGGTTTCCTTACGTCGTTGAGATTGAAAAGGCGAGCCATCTGTTTGTTCTTACGAAATCGAGGGAGCACCTTTTAAATGTTCAGCAGTCACTTTGCATATGTGGTCTTTTGTTTGAGCTCGTTCGCGAATTCTGCAGTCCCTTCACATGTGCTCAGTGAGACGTTTTGCGCGGTTCCCCGCCCTTTTTATTACACCTAAGATCGGGGGGGCTGCCGCGCCCCCGAGGCCCCCCGCTCCTTCCTCTTGCGGTCTTTACGTCGTTACACGAATGTGGACTATAACTTCGCACGCTAACCCAGCCTAAAACCTGTTTTTGAACCCAACCCTCGACTCGCAGCTCCTGCGAATGGGCGCGAACGGTGCCCCGGCGGCCGACGTTGGGCTCCCGGGCGGTCTGCCCGAAGTCGCAAAAGGCCTCGCCAGCCGGTTACCACATCCTGGACAGGTTACTCTCGTTTTCTACCATTTTTCGAATAGGTTTCTAGAGATTTCTATTCCACTCCCGGAGAGGGAGTGATTCCATTGGTGGCACTAGCGTGCCCCACACCTTAATGAGGACTTCAAGGAAATACACTTGAAACCCTTTCCCCAATTCAAAGGTACGTACTGAGCGACGGCTACATTGAGTCAGGCAATGCCCAGGGGACGGTTGGGGTTGGTCTGGGGGTTTCAACAGAGCGGGTACTGGGTACGGAGCATGTCAACTCCGGGTTTGAGTTTTTGGTATTGTTGAGTCGGGGTAACTCGAATAGACCTAGGACGAAAAGCCCAGGCAACCTTCCTTTCATTTGTCCCATCTACTACTGTAACTGCCAAAGGGCTGCTTCTATCAGAACCGGGCCCTCCAAAGGGTCAGCTTCAGACCCCCACTGAGGGTTTTGGGTCCGGGCAAGCAGCCGTTAAGGGGCTGCGTTAGGCTGGGTTTTTTTGCAGTCATTTTTGCAGTCACTTTTGCTAACCAGTTGTTGGTGCTCTACTTCAATACCTTCCCCTGTAACTGTGAAGTGAATGCCCTTGGGAGACTCAGAGGTGCAATTCAGACCGTTCACGACGGACAACATTCCATCCGACGGTGCGGAACATAAGTTCGCAGCGTTCGAGTGGAGTTTGATCCGCCCGGCCTAAATCAAACTAGAATGTCCTCCCCCTTGGAAGTTGTGCGATGAAGGGTTTAGTATGGGGGTATGGATGTGTCGTTTTTGAAGCAGGGAATCTGCTGGGGATAGTAGGGGGTTAGTCGCCCAAGTTTCGATTTCGGTCAAAGCGATCAACGCGGTCATCCTGGTAAGGGTTTCAGCCGATAGGATCCCGAATGAAATGCCTTACCTGTTTTGGAACATGTCATTTCAATAAGGGAGGCAAATACTCCCCCGGTTACAGGATCCCGGGGTGGCTACCGGGCTGCTGCACCTGCTAAAAACGGCGCCCGGGGAGGCGGTCCAGTTTCTGCACGACCGGGGGCTGTGCCTGGTACCGACGAGCGTCGCGGCAACGCGCTTTGCGCCACGTGGACAGGTAAGTGTTTGAAACTGTAAGTTCTGCTGGTCCGAGTCTGGTTATTTGAGAGTCCTGCTGCTGAGAAGGGAAGCTCAAAGATTCCGGGATCGTTTCTGGCTGTTGCTTCTAGTAAAAGCCTTTCTTCGAGTCCAATCTTCACGCTTACGGCAAGCTGCGGGAAGAAACAGAGGCAGCCTATTCTCACAGTCGTTACAAACTGTTTGATTTATCATCAACAAAATTAAACCTGAACAGAACACGGAAAAGCTGATTCTGGTTCTGTTTCTCTGCAGCTCCCCCGCGGCATCTAAGGTCCCACGAGTTTGCGTCCTTCCACTTGACTGCGAACCTGAGCTAACACAATCTTGACCCGTTGCCTCGCTACTGCCATGACGTCAGGCAAACGCCCTGATGACGTCACCAACTGATACTTACCGCCTTATACGTGTTTGGGGCCCGCACAGCACCTCACTTGGGGAATTCCTCATCAGCCCCTTCTCATAAGTGGGACGTCAAAACGGCAGACACTTAACCGGGTTTCCTTGCCAGAAGTTCCCTCCAACTTGGGTTTTAGATGTTCTCAGGAACGTCTCCAATAGCTTATGTGCATATTCGGGTGCAATATGTGGGTTTTGCATACGGCTGACTGGCGCCGCGCCAAACTAACGGGAAGGGTGGTTATGCTATGCGAAGCAATAACGGTGTAAGAGCTCGCTCTGATGTCCAAAAGGACCGAGAGAATGTGCCGCGCGAGAAGTCAATCAGCCCTTGAATATGCGGGGTCAGAAGGGTGTCATAGATTTGTAACATTGTTTTTTATTTCTTGTCTACATTGGAGCTATTAGAGCAGTTACGTGAAAGCTCGTCAAGCTTCCACTGGATTTGCATCGAAGCTGCGAGAGAGAGAATCTTTGTAGATTAAACAGTTGATATCGGGAGACGGGGCAGATGCGGAGCAAGTCAAATGTGGGTTGAGCGTCAAAGTGGAGAAGTGAGTAGATGAAGAGGAGAGAGGTCGACAAAGTCGGTGCATATATATCCGCCTTGTAAACGGGTTATGAAGGAGCTTTTATCTGTCCAACCAAACAATTTTGATCTGTGCCGCATGCTCAACGAGTCTGAGTCCAGTTGCCATTCCGCATGCGTATGCTGCAAAAAGATTGTACGTGATGTTCGATCGTGCTTTATTCTTCCAGAATACTGCCATTGAGGTCGATGCGATTTGAACTTTGATGATTCAATGTAAACGAGGGTTGAAAAAAGCCCAGATGAAGAACGGAATAAACTCAGATCACTCCATGATAACGTTCAGCTTGACAGAGGCCTTCTGATCAAAATCGACCAGCAAACCTGTCTGTGCGACCAATACCGTACACTTGGAACATGTGACTAAAACAGCCTTGACCCACCTAAAGACTTACAGACTGCAACGTTTGCGGGGATGCGAGCGTGGCTCTTTTTGTACTTGTCAAACGGCGTTTTAAAGATTACGTTATATCTTTGGGTGCATCCAAGGTAACGTTGAACGTCTTCTTGACCACCGATCCATACGGGTCCCGCGCCTCATAAGCGCCCGGCCCGGGCGTCCAGCTATTGGTCCGGTCCGCGAACCTTCCACTAGTCCCCCACAGTGACTCCCGCTTGCTTAACGCCAGCTTATGGAGCTCCGACATCGCGCCCTTATATTCGACGAAACTGCTGGGGCTGTAGTAAGCCCCCGGCCCCGGAACGCTCACCCCGTCTTTTCGGGTTGAAGCGAAGCGAGCGACCGTCGATTCGAAACCAGGTTCGGCCGAGCTCGCTCTCCGAGGCGGCAAAATCCCCTGGTTGTTTTGCCGGTTACGTCTGACCCAATTTTCGTCCCGGTGGTACTCCCCGGGCCCAGGAGACTCGGCCACCTGTCTCGGTTCCGAGAACCGTTGCAGCTTGGAAACGAACATGGACCCCGGTTTTCTAAACCCTTCGTTAACCCCAGGCCGCCCCTGGCCCCCGCTCTCCACCGGGACCTTTTTCGAACCGTTATCCCTGTATTGCACCAAGACCAGCTTGTCCCTCTTGGGGCTTCGACGCGCCGTTTCGCGGGCGCTGCGCGCGAGCGCGCCGAATACGCTATCGAGCAGCCGCGCCTCCGTCTCGCCCGAGTCGGGGGGATCCCCCAGCAGGCCGCGCTGGGCGGTGCTCAGGAAGCCCGCTGACTTTCCGTTGTGTTTCTTCTTTTCCGGCGGACTTGAGGTGGAGTTCGTGACGGCCTCGGGCTCTGGGGTGGCGGGCTCGAATTCCTCAAACCTGCATGAAATGTTTTGGCTCGGATGAAGAGGATAAACTCGTCGGAAAAGAGTACCTATTGTGAAAACGTCGAAGCTGGTCTGAGCATTTTTATACTCTCTCGAACCTGAGGCGTCACTTCTCCGTTATGAATGGCACCGCTTGAGTTTCAGCGGGTCTCCTGAAACTCTGCCCTTCATTACAGCAACTGCTTTTCTCTCACGAGCTCTTTTGCAGCATGGTCGGTCAGCTTGCCGTCAGATTTGACCGCGTCCGTCTAGTCCTACCCCTTTGCTACACCGAAACTTTCAGGCAGTCCACTGATGTCGTTATCTGACCTTCGAAGGTTTTCAGCTTTGCTCTTCGAAGGTTTTCAGCTTTGAGACTCCCACGTATCAGCTTCTTTTCTTTTCCGGTTCTAGAGGCGCCCGCTAGAACATCAGTTTCAGCAAGCTAGACATTCTACTGTCTTCTCTGGGCGTTTCGCTTCTCCAGTATTGAGGTCTGAGGGTGATTAAGATTCTAGGGCTCTCGAAAATGCAATACATCACATTTAAGCTTCGAAAGAGAAAGATCCGGATAATCAGGATGTAAGATGGACGCAAGAGTGAGGGATCTACCTGGGCGCTGTGCTCGCAAACGGCACGATGACCGGCAGGGCCTTCTTGCTGCTGCCACGTGGCGCGCTGCTGACGTCATAAGCGCCCGGCCCCGGGGTGATGTAGATGGTGGGCGCGGATACGAGCGCGCTGTCGTCGATCTCGTATGCGCGCCGCTCGGAACTGAGGAGCGGGGAGGAGTTTACTCTTATGGGGAGGGAGTCTCATTGGAAGAATTGAAAGGAAATAGGATCCGGTGAGGGGAAGGTAGTCCACAAGAAATTGTTCTGCCTTTTTCCCTTGAAGGAGGATTTTGGTAGGGAGGGGGTGATATTGAACTTGGGCCAGAGGAGTTGATGCGCCGAAACCGCCGAAGTGTTGCTCCCAACGAATCTGGCAGTAGTTAGCAAATCGTTTACTTCTAACCTGAATATTAGCTTGGCTTTCAACTGGTTCGATTGACGCCATAAGCTCCAGAGATTTGACGCGAAAAGCCTCCTCTGATTGGGGGAGAAGAGAACGCTACTCGCAGTCACGGGCGCCAAAGCGCAACTATCCCTCACCTCCCAAAAGGTGTCGGGCTGCGAATGACACTCCTCTCCGCCTGGAGTCCGAGAGTGCCGTAGTGGCCCGGACCTGGTGTCAAGCGTTCTTCTTTCACCGCCACTTGGTGCGCTTTGGGGACCTTTGACACAAAGGCGCTGCTCGTTTGGGGCCGCTTCTCCGAGCGCTTGTCTACCGACCGCTCGTAGTACCCGGGGCCTGCTTGCCGGATGAAAAGGCCTCAGCAGGTGAAAGTTTGCCGTCGGATCTAGTTCCCAACTCATCGCAACTTGCTTGCCGCCCGCAGATTCTTGATTACTCCGGTTTTTGGCGCGGCGATGTTGGCGCTACCGCCGTTTGGCAGCGTCAAGTAGACTTCTACTTGCTGATCAGAAGCTTTCTGCTTGTCTGGTGTCTCGAGACTATTCTGCCGAAAGGGAACCCTGTGCGCTACTGCCTTGCTTCAGGCTTCTTCTCGCAGACTGGATAAGCTCAGCATGACATACCAGCAAAAAGAGTTCTGCATAGAACAGCCGCAAAGCTTGCACCGTGATCTGACGTACGAAAGCATGTAGGCTTGGCTGAGGCACTTGCAATGCTCAAACACCAAACAAATCCGTGACGACAGCAGGCTGTTTTTATTGCAAAAGGTCGCTCAGCAATTGTTGCAGCAAGAGGGCAAACGAGGGCTTCATTCCACCGCGAGAAAGCTGCCCTACGTTCGAGGACTCGGCATCTACGTGAGTTGGAAATTTCTTCAGGTTACTAAGGACAAAGCTCACATCCCACGCCTAGAAAGAAAGCCTACCGGGGATTGCGCTCGCCGACCGTTCCTCCACGATCGGTTGATGGCCTACTGTCCTGCTGAACGAGGTGAATTTGGCGCTAGGTTCGGGCCTCGGGGCATATTCCCCCGGTCCAGGAAGGTCCCCGGAAATACCGCTGTGGCCCTCTTGTAGTGGAGGCCCCTACAGAGAGGAACGAAGAGAGCGGTCGGTTGTCAAGCAAATGATTCTGTTGCCAGCTCACTAGGTTTTCTAGAGAACACGTTACAAGCTTGATTGGTTGCTTCATCGTCTCTTCTTCGTTCGTTTTGTTATCTGGGAACGCTCTCTGTCTCCATTCCTCTCTAGTTTCTTCATGTCTCATCTCGAATGTTGCTCAAACATCCAATGATTCAATGAGTAATGGAGGTGAGTGTAAGCTGGATAAAGCTCCTTCTCACCAGTGGCCACATAACCGGCCAAACCAAACCTACACAAACACTATTATACTCCCAGCGTACCAGATCAACTCTCGCATTCCTCACGTTAGTTCGGCAAACCCAGCCCTCTCACCTGCATAATCAGCTCCCCCGATTCTTCCTCGTCATACCCAAAGCTCTGATTCTTTGCCGGCACCGACGGCGCCGACACCGCCCGCTTGAAAACCACCGCCCGGCGCCGCCCCTCCCCCTGCGCCCGGGGGATCCCCTTGAACCAATCCCGCGTTGACAGCTGTCCATACGCCCCCGGTCCGGGGGTAGAGGACCGTCGCCTATCCTCGAATCTCGACACCCCCTCAGCAAAACTGCTGCTCGGACGTGAGGGGTGTGAATACCCCCCGAAGGACCCGATGGAAAAGTCCCGGGCCCCGAGCGCGAGCTCCTCGGAGGAGCTGGGGTTTATTTGGCGGGTATTCACACTGTCCCGGGCAGTGGGCGGGGCGATTCCCCGGTCGCGTGACGAGCAAAAGGGAGCGAGGTTGGGTTTTGCGGAGTAGTGCGACGGGCTGAGATATGACCCCGGGCCGATGTTCTTGCCCGTCTCCGTCGCGGGGAGTGCGCTGATGTCACGCTTTGAGCGGGTGGTAAAAGCCATGGCTGGCGCACTCTAATTATGCCTCAACTCTGCAACGGGGTATTGTTTGGAGCTTGTAATAACCTCTTTTAAGCTCGCGTCTACAGCTCGTGTGTATGTTGAAGCTCGCAGACCTCAGCGTTTAATCTGATACTTCTAAAGGCACTTCAAGAAGAGCCTTGAAAGAGTGAGTGGCAATCTCCTTGTGTCACGTGTTCAAAGCCAGCTGTCAGCCAAGTGGGGCCCACCGATAGAAAGGCAGCCGTTGTTGCTGCTGGAAAATTTTCACCAACGAAGCGAACCAACCCAGTGTTTCTACAATGACCAAGTTCCAAATGCAACTCTGGCGACTTTGACGTCATGATAAGAAGATCCTTATAGACTTCTGCAACTTCCTAATAGGGAATGCGCTAAGTGCTGACCGACCAAATGGCTGGTCGGAAGTACCACCTCGCATTCTCTCGTCTTTCTGACGTTTCCTTGCTTCTAAATCAGCGCGCTGCTTCCCGGTCTCTGCTATAGTCGTTTTTTGCTCCGATTTGGCGGCTGCTTATGGGACCATGCGCAACGACCGATTGACACACTGTACTAGTGAGAGTCTGCGCTTTTCGCTCTGTGCTCGTAGAAAACTTCCTGCTATTTGGCGACTCAGAGATTACGAAAAGAAGCAAAGCAAACGCTACGTTTTCACATCATACTGAAAGATTGGTCGGCATGAAATCTTTCTGGCCGTTTCGAGTGCGCCTGCTTATTGCCTTGCTTGTACTGCAATCGCTTTGCTTGAATGACGATCATCAATGGTGCCAGGTTGAAAATTTTGGTGAATCTATGAGCAAGAATCTCCCACATCCCTGGGACAAAAGTTGTCCCCTGCGTTGGAGTAGTCTCGATTTTATGTTGAGTTGCGGCTATATTGTTGAGTTAAGTTATGCCCGGCCGGGGGACGGGTGGGGTTGGTTTGGGGGTTTAGGGTGGGTACGGTGCGGAGCGTGTTAAGTTTGGGTTTAGGTTTTTAGTTTGTTTGAGCCCGGGGAATTGAGCCAACTCAACATACACCTAAGTCAACAGAAATTCGAGACTAATATCGTCGTTGGCCACCAGTTCTGTTGGACACTTGCGATTCAACCAAATTTGCGGAACCTAGATCGGCCTCTTCGGCGGAGGCTCGACGCAGCAGGCCAGGTTGATAGTACGTATGTCCAGTACAGCGACTCAGCGTAGAAGTGCATGCTTCAGTACTGAAGAACTGCAGTCGTGCACAGTGTTTCCCCTGCCGGCCCACTCTCTGGTGAAATGGCCGGCAATGGTCAAACCGGGCCGGCAATGGGGGCCGGCCTCCGGCCCATCCGGCCGGCATTGCGGGGCACGGGCCGGCCTCTTGGGCCGGCAATGAAAGTTCTTAGCTGGCCCTGTCATCGTATTTAGTGTGTGAAACGGTCAGGATTTGATGACAAATTAAGGTTTTGGTCCCCAAAAAAACCCTTCCCCGGGTACTTCTTTCCAGAACTAGCCCATATTAGTCCCTCGGGAGTCGGTAGGTCAGGTAGGAAGTTGGTCGATATTTCACACGTTAAAAAGCTGGAGGCTTATGAGAGAAACAAAACAAGAAAAAATATTGTAGAAAAATCCTAATATAGGGTGCGCGCGCGAAAAGTCGATATATTTCGGTGGGACTTGGGCCGGCAATGGCGACCTCGGCCCGGCCCGAACGGGCCGGCAAACTCAGGCCCCGGCCGGCCCGGCGGCCAGCAATCAAAATAATTAGGGGAAACACTGGTCGTGCATGTATAAGCAGATTATTAAATCATTTTAGGCGTCCTACCAGTCAGTGCCGCAAAAGGGACAAAGTTCCCGAATAAATTTTGGTAGAGTTGGAGACGGACGATCGAAACCGTCGATCGACGGGAACGGTACCCACCGCGCGAAATTGTACGAGGACCGGACCTAGTCCTACGACTTCAACCGGGCACTCGTACTAGCCTTAGGGTCAAGTCACAAAGCACTGACTGTGTGTTAGGGTTATGCCCCTTCCCTGTGACGGTTTGTTAGGGTTACAATCCTTCCCTGTGACTGCTCTACGATTAGGGTTCCCACTAACGGCAAAGCCATTGGTCTTAGGTTTTTAGTGTGCTTTGAGGCTACCCGACCAGAATTGAGTGTCCGACCCCGTCCGAACCATCGAGTACCGCGTCCGATTCTACCAAAATTTATTCGGGGACTTGGTGCCTCTTGCGTCAGTGCCAGCAAGTTACGGCGACAACTGTACGTTTTACTGTGGTGCATTTCGCGTGATACCGGCCGGCTGATGCACGCGGTCGCAGCGAGTTGTGATCGGACGGTCAAACTTATTACAAATTTGAATCTTACGCTTCAAGCACGGCCGGGCACTATGGCACACGCGCGGCCGGCTTGCCGCGCGCCAGTACAAGTCTCCGGGACGTACTGACTCGGCACAGAACACTAATATAGGTAGGTACCTAGTTTTGTACCTACCGTACTCTCATGTCGGCTATATCCGGCCCCACATTTCGATAAAAGCAAGTCGAACAAGTGATTTGAACCGTCGATATATAAAACTTCGATTCGCAAATGTCTGCCACGTATTATATGTACGTAATTGTTATGACAAATATAGGTACGACGTAATCAACGTTACGACCGAAGCAGATGTCAGACATGTTAATGTTAGCATGCACAAGGCGTCAGATCGGTTACATAAGAATGCAGAGCTCTGACTCTGAGCACCAATCAATTATTGCAGCACAGCTTAATCGTTGTCTTCAATGTTTGTTCCAATATCAAATGCACATATCGACAACTTATAGAGGGAAACCGTCAGTGCCAAAGGTGACCAAGCACTAAAGCACACCGTGCCAAGGGTTTGCGAAAGTGAATGCATCGCGGCGTCTAGCTGCAAGACAACTGCCTCTCCCATACATGTGATATGTTGAAGCAGTACAAACTTATTTCTATGCATCATTGCGATCGTGTCTGATAATGGGCACGTTCAATTTATCTGATCCCAAATCAACAAGTGTCTTGCAAGCTTGACAGAGAACTAGCCAGTACTCCTCTGAGTCTGCCTGCAATTAAAGCCTCTCTGTTGGTCCTAGGAAGTGCAAGTTAGTTGCAAAGACCAGTTGGCAAAACTTCAAAGTGGGCGGTACATACACATGCAATTTCGGACAAGTTTTACGAGCTACTTTGGGATTCCATAGTAACCTCGCCGTTACATGTGCGCATGCCTTGTAGAAAGGCTACACTAGCTAGCTATTAAAGTGTCTATATATATTCGGAGCCTATAAACAACAATCTAGTCCCTTCAATTCGATTCTCTAATCGGAATCTGCTTGCAGGTCTTGATCAATCAGCATGGTCGTATCTGACGCCTCCACATCCGTCTCACCAATTCCGCTTCCGCCTACGTCAGGAGGCAGCGAAACCGGAATCCAGCCCGCCGTCCGTCGAACGGAGTCCCGCAGGGCTTCGTCGGCCGGGGCGCAGTTGTAAGGATAGGGCGGCACGTAGTCCTTGCTGCCAGACTCCACAAAGTATGCGCCGTTCGCAAAGTGGTCGCCGAAAGTCGTCAGGTTGCCCCCCGAGCTCCAATACTTGACCACCTGCGCAGGAACAATGCAGGGTCTTCAAGACTAAAGCTCTTTTTGGCCTCTCTCGCCAAAACAGCGATCTCTCCAGGATTCCGAGGGGCGGCAAAACGCATGATTGTCATCAGCCGAGGAGATTTGCTCAGCGGAGGCGACAGGCCACCGCGAGATTGACGAGCAAGCTTGTTACATGTAAGAGTCCAGATCGGCTAGAATCTGGTATTCTGGTGGCAAGACCGGCGCGGGTTCCGAAGTTCCTGCTAGGCTAACCATGCCGACTTCTTTGAGATCTTCAAAAGGCGAATTGTCTGTAGACGAACCACCGTTTAGAACTGCCATCGGGCGCCACGGGCCTGGCCATATATAGAAGGGGCATCCACTGGAAAGCCTCCTTTGAGGATTCAAATGGCGCATTTACCAGAGCTTCTGGAGGGTTTCCGTGCCCTGTATTCGGACTGAAGACTGCATCGAAGAGTCGCTGATCGAAGGGGGCAAGACTGGCAAAGTTGGGATGTAAGACGAGCGCGTGTGCTCTTCAAACAGACTTAAGTAAAGTTCTCCGCTTTCGCTCATTCTGCTGAGTTCTCCCAGAAAGACGCACTCTGCCAAGAGCAAGGAAGATGACGGGGCTTCTGGAAACTAGATCGGAGTATCCAGCCCACCTCGCGGTTGCTTCTCGCCTCGTAGTAGTTGTTCTCGCTCAGGAGCGTGGGCGTGTCGTCAATCCCAATGGCGTTTGCGACCCAACTGAAAAAAAGATTGGAAAGAAATCAGCATTATAGAGAGGACATCGAGGAACCAATGTCAAAGACTCCTTGAGACTGACTCAAAGGAATGAGACACCCTACGAATGGACGTGGATGCTTTGATGCAGAGCGTTTCGTCTGCAGACTTTGAGGCTTTGACCGCCCCAAAATTAGCCGGAAACTGATAGATTCCCAGACCTTGTACGGACGAAGGTGCTGAAGAGTGCTCAGGTTTCAAAAAGTGTTCCGACGTGTCTTTCGTACTTTTTGCACCTGTGCTCAACAGACAGAGTTATCCTCCTCAGTTTCACAAAGAAGAAGTATTCGTCGCCTTACTCCTCCACGTAGTTGTTGACAAAGTGCACCGTCCCGAAGCGGAGTCGCGGCATCCGCGATATCAGCCGCGGGCCCCAGTGGTTGCGGATGAGTGACACGTGCATAGAGGCGTCCTGCAAAGAAGGACGACCGTCCGATCCATGAAGTGCATACAGCTGACTGTTTAAGCCGGCAACATGACGTTGGCAGCTGACGTGTGGTTGCGGATGAGAAACACGTGCATCGACGCGTCCTGCGAGGAAGGTCGACCGTCCAATATGGCAGAAAAAACCGCTGCGTAAAGGGAAGCTAACGAGTCTTCGGGGTTGAGTTACACGTACATCGCAGCGTCCTATCGACAATGAATGGAAGTTATCTCTTCCTGAAGGCCGCTCTTTTCTCTCAGCTCAAATAGCGTACTTTGAAGGAGTAAAGCCGGGTTAACAATGCCCACGAAATCATGCCCAGAGAAGCAGTCTTAGTGGCGAGAGTTGCAGGTTCTGAAAGACCCTCCCGCTTACCTACACATTCTCGTTGCGGGGCAAAATGAATTTTTACAATCTCGCTTTCACTCAGCAAGTCTGCCGCCCGCTTGGAGAGAATCCAACCCTCTAAAACCGCGTTGAATCGTTCGGATTAACCCCTGACAAGCGTCTGAATCATGCATGAAAACCCTTCTGAAAACCTCTGTGGAATCCCCACAGGCTTTTGCAAACGGCTTTCCCCCGCCGCAGCGTTTTCGTCACGCGCGCAGAAAAGGTTCTTGTACAGACTCTTTTCATCGGAGAAGTTTGTCGCCCGACCGCACAGCAACAAACTTTTCGAAGTCAGCCGTCCGCAAGCACTTTCCGAAAGCCCCTACAGCAAGTCCGAACCCCCTCCGAAACACTCTGAAGATCTAGACTGCGTTCGCGAGCTGAATCGCTCGCCTCGACGTTCTCGTTGCTCGCGCCCAGCAGCATCGCCTTGTGGTGGTCGTGCAGGTGGCAGTGGGAGACGGTGACACGTGTCGACGTCTTGGTGATGTCGATGAGGCCATCCCCGCCGCGATACAGGTCCACGTGGTTGATCCAGATGTCGCGGCTCCGCCGGAGAGAGATGCAGTCGGTCAAACAGTTCTGAAGACTTGAGTAAGTACCGTTGCATCGATTCTCTTTCATGGTAATGAACTATGAGGGTTTATATGCGCTTTTGACGAGAGTCCTGAGAGGTCCGAGGCTTTCTGAGGGTTTGACCAGATTGTCGCAACAAGCAGCAGTTTTGGGCAATCCTAAAGACCGCAGGTACGTACGGCACTGTGTGCTTTGCTAGAATTGCGCGCTTAGACAGTCGTAAGCGTGTTAGCGGATCGAATCTTGCTGTAGCTTGATTGACATATCAGCTCTGTTAATATCGATATCTTTCCGGGAAGCAGTGTGTCATGCAGTCGATTAAGCGGGGGCTCGTAGACGCGTTTCCTTCTCCTCAAAGCAAGCCCTAAGAATTTCAAACGTGCCGCTCAAATCTCTGACAGAAGCGCCCCGATGAAATTTGGTGAACTTTCGAGGAAGATGGTGTCGAGCTCTCCACTTTGAGTCGCAGAAAATCTTTCATCTCTTCCTCGCAAATGTTTCGGTGGGCTGATTCAGATGCGCGCAAAGAGCTGTGCATAGAAACGTTACTGAAGCAGAACTCGAAGAGTTTGTCGTGGATAGTGGATACCTTTTGGCATCAGCCGAAGGCATCAACCAGATGGATGCCAGTCAATTCTTCAACCTGAGGATCTCGTAACCAAGCACTCACGTGAATTGACACGTGCGTCACGATGACGTTGCTCTTGTTCTGAAGGTACAGCCCCCGACCCACGATCTCAACACGTGCCCCCCGGCCGTCGATCGTAGTCCCCGAGGGAACGTCCAAATAAGCTTTCAGGTTGATCACCATATGGCCCGGGTTAAAGGTAACCCACACGCTGTACGGGCGGGTTAGCGCGTGGCGCAGCGTTCCGGGCTGGGGGTACTCGGTGGAATCCCCCAGGTGGGTCACCTGGTAGATGGACCCAGATCTGGAAAGGGCGGACAGGATTTGATGTATGCTTACTCTGAAGGTCAATCTTGTCCTAGGCGCTTTTCGTTCCGGGCGCGCGCTTTTCCGCTTATTATGCTTTCCTGTTTGAGGTCGGAGAGTCCCGTCTAGCAGACCGTTCAGACTCAAAATGCAACAGTTCAATATGTGCAAGCACGGCAGTCTTGGAACCTCAGTCTGCAAAGTAAACATGCGATTGGACCGTGACAGGCGAAAAACTCTGACGCCTTCACGTCACTCTTTGAGGACGCTTATAAAGCGACCTCTACATAGAAACGGGAAACGAAAACGGTCAAGCTGGTACTTCACTTTAAGGATCTGGTGCCTCTTCTCTTTGCAATGTTTAGCAGCGTAAAAGCAGTCCCTCACCTTCCTCCGCCCGCCTCCTTGCCGAAGCCCCACCCGCAGTCGGCCAGGTCGCGAAGCGCGCCCGCGCGCGCGCACTCGTCCATGTCCCAGGCGGTGGGGCTTTGGCCCAGTAGTTCCCTGCCACGTGGCAGCTGGGCGGCGCCGTCGGCGGGGTTTGGCAGGTCACGTGCCGATACAGCTGGCGCTAAGATCACAATGATCAAGAGCATTTGCAGAGGACCCTGCATCGAATGCTGTAAAAGTTGAAGTCGCGTGCTTCAATTTCGCAATACTTGCAGAAACAAATGTGAAGAGACAAAGAGCTAACCTTTCTACGTTGAATTTCCTTCTTTTACAATATTCTTGGCGCGCCACAAGACGTAAGAACAACATCGGACAAGTGCGTGTCGTTTGGGAGTTCGTGACTGCTATGAAAGGACGGATGTTTGAAGTCGAACTTTGCTGCAAGAAGAGTAACAAGAAGTGAAGCATTGACAGCCTGCCCAGCTTTATCAAAAACGAAAGAGAATTTCCAATTGATGGCAACACACACGCGGGCAGTCTCTTTCTCTGATCCGCAACCTGATCTGAAAACTTGACGCTTCTGCGTTTAGCTTAAGCGCAGTTTAGAACGAAGCCAGAGAAGTCCTTTCTTTGTCCACGAAACGAACCCGTCAGGAGGTCAGGCAGGGTGTGGAGGCATTGCATGTGCGGCGGCGAGGGCTCCATGCGTCTAACTTTTTGCAGCAACATCCAAAGGACTTGCAATATAGAATCGTTGTGACTCTCCGTGTGGCTTCCACATTCTTCGATCCCGAATGCACAGACAACGAAGCCCAAAATGAAGCTGCATTCACCTTAAAGTACCACATCTTCTTGGAGAGCTTCTGCTCCTTTTTCTCCCCGTAATGCTCAAGCGCTTCTGGATCACTTTTGCTCGTCCTCCTGCACAACTTTGCTCCAATCGCGTCTATACCGATCAGCCGTCTGAGATTTTCTGAGAGGTAATTTCACCCACATCGCTTTCAGACGACCCTTTCTATCGCTTTCAGACGAACCTACTGTCGTCTGAAAGCGATGGAAACTTTGCTCTTTGAACCCCCCCTGGATCATACCAGTATGTAGTGTAGCAACAAGGTAAAAGGACTGTACAGAAAACCCTTCCGTGCCGCCGAGCCCAATCCAAGCGAAGCCCGCTTCTTCTTTTGCTGCTCTTGCGCAGTCAGCGGCCAACTTAGCAGGCCTCTCGATTGAGAAAAGTCAAAATGACTCTAAAAGCTAGCTTCATTTTCCACCTGGCACTTCTCAACGAAGCAAATCTGCTAGTGTGTGTTTCTTTGACGTTCCTAGAGCCCGTTTAGAAGAACAGCCTCGGTCGATGAGTACGAGGTGCTAGGCTAAAGCCTCTTCTTCTGCTCTTAAACGAATTAAGAGCTACTACTTGGCGAGCGATGCTTCTGAGTCTTGACGAGAGGTGCGTCTTCGTTTGTAGTCGCGATAGCAGGGGAAACTCGAAGCGTTTGTCAGGAAACAGCGCACGACCCTCGGAGGATTTGCTACCGATTCTGCACCTGGACATCTCTTCTAGTAATATGGGGCCTATCTTGGAATGCGATTTGACTCTCGGAATCTAGGTAACTTTTCCTTCAAAGATGCGTTTTCTCTCTCCGAACCTGGACTCTTCCTTGGATCGTGGATTCCTGCTTTGTGTTGGTCGTGTGGTTGCCTTGGACCCCGATTCTGTCTCACATTTCCTCCGAAGCTGTGGATTCCTCCGAGAATGGATTTTCCCGCGGGTTCACCCCTAAGTTTGCAGAGCGCCGCGCCCTCAAAGCCCTTCCAAATGCTCCCTTATCCTCGAAGCTTGCTTTCCTCGGTCCCTAGTGTCGTTGCTTGAACCTGCCCTTGCATTCAACTCTTGAAGGACCTTGCAAGATAGCTACGGTGCCTCGCTGTTGCATGTGATACCCGTACTATTGCGAAGCTTGAAGGGGTACTTTGTTCTGGGGTCAGGCTTCGAGAGCCTGCATCTAGTTCTCGAGGGAAACGTCAGTGACGTTGATTAACAAACGACGAGTCAATCTCCGGGGCTTCGGATCGATCATGTGGCCATCAGAGGGGTTTTAGAAACGGCGGCTTATACCCTCCAGCTGAGCTGCTTGCTATGCTGCCGCGACTGGGCAGTTACTTCAGGAAAGACACGGGCAGGCCGCGGGTGCTTCTTTGGGTTTAGATTTTAAGTCAGGCGTCCTTCTTACTATAACCTGAGCTTTAAACTATAACTATTCTAAAGAAGTATGTATAGATTACAGATGCGGGTCAAAGCTAGCTATAGTCACCAGATACTCAAGTCATCGCTGCGCATGCATCATTAACCATCGCATTTTGACATATTTAGTGAACCGTGTTGCATGTGATTCCACAAAAAAATGCATGAATTAACCCGTAGCATGAGTCCGACGTTGCATGATCGAACACGCAGGCCAAAGCCTGGGTACATAACTATAATGTCGCATGGTGCAACTATTATCGATCATGATAGTCGGAGGACGCCGATATCAGGTGACCATACTACGATGTTTGGCTGAGGGTCGACCATGACGGCCATTAACGGCCGGCTCTATCATCAGTGGCCGTATGAACACTTCCCCACTTCAGTCGGACGTATCTAGTTTCAAGAAATACAACTTAGATTCACTAACGGCCCAGGCGGCCACGCCGCCCACGGCGTATGCCTTGCGTGATCATTGCACTGGCGTGGTGCGAATGCGGACCCTATCATGCACGATACAATTTCGAAAGATGGACGGTACTTGAGAGTACCATGTGGCGGAGCCTGCCTTGACAAATCACAGCTCATGAATATTGTGCTCCCTTCATGAACAACGGCCGATTCGGCCACATGATCATGTATCATGTTTACATAGACGTACCTATGAAGTGCACGTGAGAGCCGGCCTGAATTTGTAGCTAAAGATTTATCAAAGCATTGCATGCGCAGCCGGGATTGAGTCCGAACAACATGCCATGTTGTTCGGACTCATGATGCAGACAATTAGGTGGTTTACGCAATGGGCAAAAGTGCAGCCTGCCTTCACCCAATGCTGTCACCTCAAAATCTTCAAACCTACAACCAGAATCCCCACTGCGAAGAGCAGCCCGTTTCTCGACGTTATTCTTTGGAAGAAAGTCTGTCGTCCGTTGATCTTTTGCCAGAGAGCGTCGACCTGCATCAAGAGTCGCACACGTGGTGATGACACGTGTCAGGTGGAGCAAACCACAGAGTCTCCAGCAGAGCATCGGCAGGTAGCAGATGCTACCCCTTGGTGGAAGCAGAATCGATACACCCATACGACATCGGCTTCAACCGAAAAGCTCTCTGCTGATCAGATGGTGGAAACCATTACCAGTTTGTGTTCAGAAGCGAGCTGGAAAGAGCACGGGACAAGCAGATTGACAGCCTGGACCCGCAATACAAACGAAACCTTCGACCAGATAACAGAAGCATGTCGGATTTAGGTCCTTAGTCCATTCTAAGGGCGTTTGAAAAGTCGATCAGTCACATGGATTGTCCATTTTATGCCTTCAAATCGACAAGATGGAGCACCGTCAAATTTACAAAAGGATTGTGGTCCTCGACGTTCACATACACTGTCCTCTGACTACCTGCCACGACGTGGCAATACTCATCAGCAGAAACACCAAACGAGGAAGGTAACGAGATTCGTGGCAGGTAGCATCTGCAGATTCCTAAATTCCTTTCCGCAAAATGGAGCTCGCTATATATTCTCAGAATAAGGCGCGACACTAGGCAATCTGGGATCCTTCGAATGGTAAAAAGAAGCAGGACAACTCCCTGAAACTCCCTTCCTGTCATAGTCATTCGAGCGGCTGTCCAGGGAGCCTTTCCCCGTAGAAATAACCATGTTCTGTCGCGACTGATTTAGTGATGATTGCTGGCAAACTCATGCGCTTCCTGACAGCTGTGGAAGAGTGCGAATCTCTTTTGATCCACCTACTCGGATCTGGAGTCTTTTTGACAAGGAGTGAATCAGGAGGCGTCTACTGACCTGTGTCCGGGTTTCCTCCCGAGTACCCGAGTTATTGATAATGACGTCGGCGCGTGCCTCTTTCCACGTCAGTGGCAGCTGCGAGTTGATCCGGTCGCGTGCTTGCTGCTCCGAAAGTCCGTCCCTCGCTCGCAATCGTTGAAGCTGCAAAGGTTGAAGCGCAAATCTTGGTTCTCCTGTGATTGAGCATGTACGACAGAATGCGGGGGTAAGATCCAAACTTGTCTTTTGACTCGAACATATTACTTTCTTACGAACTTACGACTGTGTCTCCGACAAACTTCACACCCAAGGTTGGCGGAATGCGCTGCACATAAAGAGACCGGTTGGGTGACCAGCTGATGAAAGCATTAGGGACGTCTGTTTTGATGCACCGTCTACTGCTGTCAAGAATAAAAGATGCGCAAAGGCTGCACATTTGAAGCAGACAGAGCTCGGATTCGGAGATCGGGCTGCATTAAGCATCGAGCTTAACAATCAAGATGCAAGGGGGCAACTGGGGTAGCTGATGTCGTCAATTGACGGAACTTGCAGCCCTAATCTGGGCTCAAATCCAGCAGTCGCCTCAAATGACAGCAGCGACGAGGAACTCGTAGTTGACGGCGTACAGCGCGGGCTTTCGAAGGCGAGGAGACTTTAAATTCTTCCCTTGGTATCTCGATCTAACCGTCGTTCTCGTCTCCCGCTGTCAAGACTCTTATAAGAAGAACATTGCCGGCGGGTCTGTTGCCCGCAACGGATGTGGGTGAGCGTCTCACCTGCGTTTCCTCGTTGCACGAGACGACAACGATGGGTTTCGTTAGCCAGCTGATTTTGGCCTCGAAGAGAAGGGGCGCGTCAAGGATCACAACCCGGCAGCCTCGGAGCCAGTGCCACGCCAGCTGGCGTGCGATCTCAATGCCAATCAACGGCTGGAGGATGCTGCAAACAAAGTAAGCCTCGTCAGAATCCCAACCGTAACAATACCTGAATAGAGAGCCACAGAACCCTGCTTACGGCATGGGTCGAACAAGGTTGCTCCTGTGAAAGAAACGCTTTGATCCAATCAACTTGGATGATAAGTCCGGAAGGCGTTCGAGTAGAGTCGACGTTTGGAGCTGCGGTTGGTCAACTATGCTCGTTGAAAACGAATAAGAAAAGGTCTCAGCCTCGGTTTGAACCTGGAGAAGATTGCTTAGAGGTCGATGATCTCGTAAAGCGTATCCGAGTACCAGCGACCACAGAAATGCTGGCAATGAGAATCAAGGGCTCGAGACATCATTCACAATGGATTAGGGCCCGTCCGATGATTCTATTTCTCAGGACTAAGGTTCTGAAGAATTCGTCTAGAAATCGCCGCCTGGTCGATGCAATCGATTGGCTCTAGCAAAGCCTCAAATCTCCAGACCCCACTGAAGGAGACAAGAAGACATGCACCTACTGGCCGAGTGTCAAAAAAGCAAGCAAAGAAGCGAGACGTTATCCTGTTGATTATACAACCAGCCAAGAACACGTTGCAAATGCTGGGGTTGTCAGCCTTTTCAAAATCATGCTTGTGGTCTTACACGAGGGGCATAAGTTGCGTAGGCAAACTGAATTGAGAATCTAATTGACCAGCCTGAGTTAACATGGTAATGACTCTGCTGTATGCAACCCAACAAAGGGCGTCATACCAAAGATGTATGAAGCTTTAGGGACACAGACGTAGTTGCTTCCCTTTGGGTGGAGGGCCAGGATCAACACGCAGACTGACGATTGTGGACTTGAGGTGGAGATAGGCAAATCTCCGAATATTGGGTTTTGTAAGAAAGGACGCTGAAGAAAGAGGTTCACACACAAAGGTGCACGGACGGTGATCAAGTTGGATCCCAACCGATTCTATCTGATTGCTTACTGCAGGCTGGACACTTTACGTTGAGATCGAAGAGCTGCGACCATGTCTGAGCCATTCCAAAAATCTCTGATCTACCTGAGATAACTCTCATACCTGTTCAGTTTCTTCCTCTTGGCTTGGTCCTGGAAGACGAGGTTGCCCAAGCGTTGTCGGTCTAGCTCCCCATCCGGTTGCAGAAAGTCAGTGCCGAAAGCCTTCACAACTCGGCGATAACCTGGAGTGCCCCGCTTCGCCGCGTCCTGGGGGAAAAGAACTAGAATGAAGTATTATTTCTTATGTTCTCTTCCTACCTGTGATGATTGGACGTCAACCGCTTGTGTGCACAAGCCAATGAAGAGGATGCACATCCCACTCGAGCGACAGACGGGCATAAGCTCAGAACTTGGGGACCTGCTATGACTGCTAGCCTCCGCCTAATGTCACAAAACATCGGTCCACAGAAAGGGGTGAAAAGGTTGAGGAGCTGCTGATCCTGAAATATTTAATGTACTGCGGGACAGATTCAGAAAGCTCACATGAGAGATCTTGTCTGCATCAATGATTGGGGCCCCTTTCGCTGCGAGCACGCCACTAACCCAGCTCTGCAGCAAAGTCAAAAGCACTTCATCAGGGGTCTGCCAATCGCCTTGGTATCATCAAAGTGAGTATAGATTTGGCAGCTAGCCCGTTGATGGTTTTGCAGAAAGTGAGGGTTTGTACCCTCTCAATGTTGATGTTTTCAAAAGTTCTGCTACAACTTTGAGGAGAGTTCCCGCATTTCCAGAGACCCACATTCAGCCCTAATCCTAGCCAATTGAGAGGGATCCCTGGGAGGTGTACCTTTCCACATGCAATGTTGCCTGTTAGTCCGACTATCCTCATGCTTCCCAGGCCGGTGTTGCAATCAGGTGCACCGTCTTAACTTCCTCCTTGTTTCAATTACCGTAAATAAACCTAGCAGCAGGCCCTACAAACGCTTCTTCTTCAACATCGAATTAAGCACACACTTGTCCCTTCTTGACAACAAGGCTTCAACGCCAACAGTCACATTAATTGTGCCCTTGTCTAGCTGGGACCTGGTGGCGCGACTGGTGGCGGCATTCCTAAGTAATCTTAGAGCTGAGCAGTTTACCTGCAGCTCAGCTCTTGCCACAGCTCAGCTCACAATCAACAATTGTAGCTAGCTTGTGTAGCTAGCCATGAGCTCTGACAATCTGATCGATCCTCTTGTCAACTCCCCATTGGCATCATGGGTCCATGGGGAGTCGGGACCCCATGATGATGTACCGTAGCCTGTAGCTGTACATTGTGGCAACTCTCGTTATGTAAAAGGGGCTTGTCTCCCATCAGGTTTATGGCCGGTGACCGGGTAGTCGGGTAGGGTTGGTTTTGGTGGTTAGGGTGGGTATGGGTGCGGAGCGCGTAAGGTTTTGGGTTAGGGGTTTTAGTTAGGAGACAAAGGAGTTGCCAGTACCCCAGGTACCAGGCTAGATAAGGAGGTACATACCTACCTTCACTTTTCCACACGGAAACCTGGCAGACCGGTACATACCGTGTTAATGACGTGGTAATACGACCCGACGAAGTTTTGAAGTGATCACGCAATCTGGTTGACCACACATCCGATGCATGACTGCACCGAAGAAACTGTACGATACCAGGGTACGGCTTTAATTATGGGGTTAAATCTATCCGACATATAGGTAAATTCAGAGATTTTAGCTGGCGGAGGAGGCTGACGTCAAGAATGGATTCTGCATCAAACACGCTGGAGATGGACGGCTTGCGTTTACCCATGTGCGAAAACGCTGATGTCAACGTGTGCAAACGTGATCATTGGAGTAAATTTAGGCGACGGCCAAGGATATGATCGAGATACGGTGGGAGTGACGGTGACTCCACTGTTCGCCGAGTATTGGAAAGTAATTCAGGCATCGAATTTGTAGATAAACCTGTAAAACCAAACCCGCTCCCAACTGCTTCCAACTAGGGTCTGTGTCGGGTCGATACACTGTACTGCACACAGAGAGGTGTTCGATACGAGACAACGGACGAATGGAGTTAGCGGAAAAGAAATATAACCAATGCTGACGATACACGCTCTTCAAAAATTTGTAAACATTCGACAGGGTGATCAGGAACCCAATTTCGAAGACCCTTGACATTCTCTCGCCTTTGACTCTGACTCTGACTCTGACTCTGTCACTCTGAGTCAGTATTTCCGGGGGTACCGAATTTGACTCCCTTCCAAATTCTTGACTTCGCGAAAAGCGGCAGCAAAGAAGGCTGCTCACGATGGTGCTCAGATGATGACCGGTCGTCAGTAGGATGTCAACCATTGCCAAGACCTTTAAAAGGTTTCAAATGCAGCTTTCTTCTTTTCAGCAGTGTGGATTTTGAGCTACGGTAGCTGGAGAAAAGTGCAGACAACAGAATCAACAAGACGCGCGGTCTTTGTTAGGAAAAGCAGGCTGGATCCAGTTACCTGAGTTGCACACAACGCCCTGAAAGAGATAAGTGGACATCAGTTACAGCGCTGAAGAAGGGGGTTTAGCAGGTGGGGCATCGCATGCGTTGCCCTTTGTGGTTTTGTGGCTTGAGCTTGAGTGCGCTTTGTTTCAACATGCAAAGGCACTCAGGGGAGAGTCTGGCCTTGCCACCTAGTCTGCATGGTAATCCTGCTAAGAATGCTGATATTGTGTGCTACATTTGGAAAAGGAATGGTTTAGAGGTTGTCTGAAATATGAGATTTCCTGTAAGTACACTGTGTCTGGCGCGCCTCGTTGATTGTAGGACTTTGAGTCCCAGCTTTGAGAATACATGCCAGGATTCTTTTTCAAGCACGTCAGTCAAGTGGTTGACAATTCCTTGCTTTTGACAAACTACACAGTTCCTTTGGCTTGATTCTGAAACATTTTGCCCATGCCCTGATGTATGTCCAGTTGAAAGGGGACCGACCAACCAAGAGATGCCAGAAGGATGGTTGTTTCCAATGTTTATGTACATTGCATGTGGTCAACCAAGAAGACACCTTGCAGTGCAATGAGTGGGGTCGCTAAGCACAGGTCCATTTACAAACACAGTGAGTTGGGATCAGGCCTCACACAGTCTGACAAGATCGCTACAACTTGCTTGCTTTACCTGAGTGCAAGTCATCAGCAGAATGTAACATGATATTATCGTTCTCAAATTGCAATTTTGCTGAAAGCTGGTGCGCTAACAAAGCATTGCTTTTGCTGCGCAGGTGCTTGCAAGAAATCTTAAAGTTGGAAGCTTTTCAAAGGCTTCCGGTGAACTGGTTTTTGACAGGCTGGGGGTGGTTTGCTGTAAAGAGGTTGCAGGATACGCACGTAATAGTGGCAGGCTAGGCTCGGAACCTGTCCTCGGCGAACCTGAAATGTATCTGCTTGACCAGGGGCCCCCTGGTTGACTAGGTAATGTCCAGCAATGACAGGCATGGCAGGCAATCGCTAGGCTCTGACGGTTCCGGACACGGGGATGCTAGCAGTCTCCTCGATGCAATATTCAATTTGTCCCAGGGGGGCCAACAGCCAGGTCCTGATGGGGGGACCGGAACCGGCGAGGCATCACAAATGCTGCTGTAAGTAATCGCTGTGAATTGCGCATGAGCCCCACTCAAATAGCAATGCTAGATGAGCGATACGCTTTTCAAGAGTTACGGTGTCCCAGTCCCTGTCTCTGCGCAGTCAGAAGTGGAGACATTCTGAGGGCAACATCATATATGGGTGTGTTTTTGCTGGCTGCTTTTGACTGAGCTCAAAAGGGTAAGGGTAGTGCTCCAAGTTGTAGAATCACCTGAGGCTATCCCAGGTGCATGAGTTGTTCACGATTCAGTCTTGAACAAAGCCATTATAACATTTGGAGGTGCAAGAAAAGGGCGATTCGGCCTGAGGGGTGGCAGCTACTAGCCTTTCTTGGTCAGCGGATCAAGGTGCGGGAGAGGTAAAGTAGCATAAGATTTTAAATAGGAGTAGCTCTCAACGGTTGAAGTGGGAATGTCACACTACAAGACTCTGTCAGGGACCTGCACACGACTTGACCCTTTGAACTTTACAACTGCAGGATAAGGACCGAGGTCAGGCAACTGAGGACTTTTCTAACGGCCGGAGTTCTCATTGGTCACCCTCCTTACCGTCCACCACCCCGTGGTCCTAAGGAAACTCATCACCCCGAGATTTGCGGAGCAACCTCAAATACTGACCTTCAATGTCACTGAAAGGGGGACAAGTTCTTTGAAGTTGCCACCTCTTGTTTACCACGATGCTTTGTCCTTTGTAGTTCTTCTTACCGTCGCTGATTTGCCGCAGCCCTTCTCGCAGGCCGTTTTCGCAACAGCAGCCAGGCCTCTCCTTGGAGGCCACGCAGGGGCGCCAGAGCCTCGAGGAGCTACACCGCACAAGCTTCCAGACCCCGCTGAGCCACTCAAACCTCCCGAGCTTCCCAAACTTCTCTAACCTCCCGAGCCTGCCTAACCTTCACAACTTCCCGCCTCAGCAAAACCAAGCAGCCCCCTTCAACCCGTTCAGTTTGACCATCCCTCCTGCACCTTTCAACTCCCCAGCACGAGGCCCAGCATCCTTTACGAACTCCTCGCTCTACTCCACGTCTCTCCCGTCCCTAGCTTCGCCCACTCAATCAAGCACCACCAACAAGCTGAACAACCTCCGCCTTGCGATCGCAACTCGCGATCCAACGGAGTCGGTGGAAGATGTTCTGTCCCCCCGTTCCCTGTCGTTCCTGCACTCTCACTTCCAGAGTATGGGGGTAGAGCTCCCGGCTTCCGCTAGCTGGGGCCAGATTCAGCAGCTCCTAGGCCAGCCGCGCACCCCCCGCTCGGGTTTGCAGACCTCTTCGTCAATGTTTTCAGAACGGGGGGGCGGTCTCGGTCCTCCGCCCCAAGAAACCCCCAGCCTGCTGTCCAGCTTCCCTGCTCAAGATAACGTTCAGTGGAACATTCCGCCGCCACCCCCCCCGGGAAGCGGCGAATCGGTCCTGGACCGGTTCTTGGCAACCGTGAACCTCCCCGCAAACGAGACAAACGCTCGGATCACGAAGCTGGCGGCCAATCTCATCCTCCAGCAGCAGCAGCAGCAGCAGGAGCAGCAGAGGCTGTTGCGGCAGCAGCAGATTCGGCAGTTACAGGAGTCCTTCCACCTGCATTCGCAGATACCCCCCCTGCCTACCTTCCAGCAGCAGCCTAGCCATCATCCCCCCTCCCTGGCAAACTTTGGGGGCTTAGGGGGGAATATCTCTCTGGGGGCCGGCCTGCTGAATCCGTCACACGACCCCTCCGCCCAGATCAGCCCGATGCCCCCCCTACCCGGGCTGTCGAAACTGACCCCCCAGATGACGGAGCTCTGGCAGTCGGCGCTGTCCAAGGAGAACCAGGGCAGCCTGAGCGCGTTTCTCAACACGCAAAAGTTTGCGGCTGCCACGGCGCAGCAGCTCGGGCGGGGGGGCCTGCAATCCCCCGGTTATTCGGTGCCTGACCAAGTAGCCCAGGTAATTGTGGGACAGCAGCATACGTTGCCGCAGCGGGTTCAGGGGCTGTCGGCGACTCAGGGGGGGGGTAGCTCGGAGCAAGGCCGACAAGGGCATCAGAACCTGTCGTCGCTCGTAGCCCCGCTGACCAGCGATGCGATGAGGAGAGCGCTGATGGCGGGAGGCGCCTTAAGCGCGCAGCCGGCGGTGAGGATACATTCTGATTTCAAATCAAAATTTGCAGCTTGGCTGGAAAAATACATGCAAAGATGCTGACCTGCTTGTCGGTTTGCTAAAGTTGAGATGCGTTCTGATTGCGCGTGAACCGATGGGGTAAAGTCAGATGACGTCATTTTAATATTCTGGTTCGTTATTGCTCAACATACATGCATTAATTCTCTCCATTGCTGCTAACCTTGGGCAAGCTGGTGGTCCACTGGGCTGCAGTACCTTGTTCAGAAGCATTTTTACCATGTTGAACCAAGCGTTGGGTTGGCTTTCAAACAAACCGCATTCATTTGGCAAGTTGTCCCAGCCTCGTAGCACTTCAGGCTTTCAGTATCACCACTGTAGAGACCAGCATGAGTCACCTTTTTTCCCATTGTCCACATTACACTGTGCAAAAGCTGAGCTTGGGTGGGTTCTTCGTTGAGCTTCGCACTGAAAGTGCGATTTAGAAGGCAGCTTCTCTGCGTAGAACAAAAAGAGAACCAATGTGCAGCTCCCAGTTTACTTAAGCAGGAAGTTAGCATGGGGTGGTTGCTCTTCAAGGTTGGGTCTGTACTGAGAAGTCCTTCTTACTTTGCTCAGCTTGGGTGTGGATCATGGAAGGAAACGAGAATGCTTCATGCATTTAAGACTGCTTTTCACGCACAGAGTATGTGCGGGTTGGAGCCGTTACGGTTTCTTCTCGTAGGAGCGTAGCGTCGAGTGGAAGCTTCATCTCCCAGATATGTTCAGCTGCGGTCACAATATTGGGGACAGGAAATGCAATAGCTGATAACCCCAAAATCCTATTGCAGGAAACTAGCATGGGAGGGTCCCTGTCCCAGGGCTCCATCCGCACTGGAAAGCGCGGCCTCTCGTTCCGCACAGAAAGTCAGTACCCAGCGGAAACGAGCATGGAGGAGGCGAGTGCAGAGAGCACCCCAACGGACCGCAAACGGCAGCGCCAGGGCAACTCGCCTGCGCCGTCCAGCAGAATCTCGTATGGGGCGGTGAGTACCCGGCCATGAGTCATTTTCGTAGCGTATCTATTTACCACCTAGCAAATAGCGAAAATGCCTTTCAACCCTTGAAAAAGCTCTTTCAAGCACCCTACAGATTGATCGGTAGTCGTTGGCGCTTCCAGAGGGCATCTAACCACAGGAGTGGAGGCCCAGCAAGGCATCATTGTTCATCTGTGGCTGCACTGTAAGACCCCATAGATCAAACTTTCAGAACAATACTTTTGGGCTCTGCTGTGTCGGATTGTCTGTTGAAAGACTTCCGTTTTAGTGGCCTCGGCTGTGCACCGCAACGTGTTGTGCTTGGAAACTCTTGTTGACAATTCTGGACACGGGTAAGGAACACGTTTAAGAGTTCAGAAGCTTGTTGTCCGTGTAAGGCTAAAGCAAAGTGTGTTTGACTTTTGAAGTCAATGGGATTGCGACACCTTTAAAAAGTCTTAGTGTCACCCTCATCTTGCATAGTCAAGACTGTCAAGCTGACAACACCTTGTCCGAAGTCCGAAGTCCTTTTCTGATACCCGAGTCTAAGGGACAAGAATTATCCGAACCCTCAACCTGTCAGGCTTGGAAGCAAAGCGCTCAAGACCCTGGCTTTGCAACCTGATTTGCTGCTACAGCTTATTGTGTCGGATTTGCCATCGGCTTCCAGTCCCCGGAGCATGGTTCCTGATTTTGAGCCGTTCTATGCCCTCCTTGTCGTTGCTCGAATGGTTCAGCATCAGGGACTGTGCTCGGAGCATCTGAAATCCGAGGGAAGCTTTTGACGCAAAGAACTTAGAGACTCTAACGTCCCTCTTATTCCGGGTTGCCAGATCCCGCGCGCACCCACCTTCAACAATCGCGTTTCCCAGGTCACGATTCCCCCCCTTCCCCCCACCCCCGCCCTCCAGTTCCAAACCCCGCTTCCCCTCCCCAACACCGCACTGGTCCCTGGTATTGCGCGGCCTGCCAAGCCCCTAGGGGGGGGTAGCCCGGCGCAGTACTCTTTCCCCAGTCCCGCACGAAACGAGGAGCAGAAGGGGCACGCGATGACGGAGGTGAAGGGGGGAGGGGCGCAAAGCGTGGGGCGGGGTGCGGACGTGGATAAGGCGCGAGGGGAGACGCCAGTGAAGCTGAACAGAGCCAAGAGGGGTCAGGCAACGGACCCCCACAGTGTCGCGGAACGGGTGAGAATTTTGTCAATGACTTACGAAAGAAATGGTTTGCTCGTCTCATGTCCCCCGAGTATTAAGGAGAAATTGGAATCCTCGGAAGGGGTGTCTTGAACTTAGTTCAGACTCAATGAAGGCGCTAGGTTGGGTTGCGACGAATGGATTATAAAAGTTCACTTTTGGAATCTTCGATGCCCTGCCAGTGTCGCCTTTTTCAACCCACGCTTTGGGAGTCTGGCCACAACTCTATAAAGTGGAGCCGTTAATAAGTGCACGCTGGCAAAAATAAGCCTTGCATGGTTGAAGAGACGCTCCAGGTGGACGCTTTATCCGTTGCCAGTTCAGTTTTCTGGCCAACAAGTGGACGTTTTCAGGGCGCTTTCAAGCAGAAAATGGAGATCTGACATCTGCTCTTGAGATCTCCGGGTGCTTTCGAGGCCTTCTATTTCTTTCGAGGCTGACGAGCCTTTCTCGAGTCTCTCATGCACTTTGTTGCTCCAACGTTGAAGCATCGTTGGCGCAGGGTTCCCCAAAAGGTACGGACCCTCCCTTCTCCTTCCATGGAGGAAAGTTCCGTGGTTTCCCCTTACAAACCATTGTGTAAATCCAGAATGTGCTCGGGTGCAGATTCGACGGGACAAGATCACGGAGAAGATGCGGCAGCTGGAGAGCCTGGTCCCGCACCGCCACAAGATGGATAAGGCCTCCATGTTGGAAGAGATCATCGAGTATGTCATATTTATGCAGCTGCAGGTTCAGGTCAGCCGCTGTCGTCTTTTTCCTCCCTTCTCTCGTCCTTTTCTGGTGACAATTTCCAGGTGGACTCACTCCTTGTTCCAGCCGTCTGTGGTTTATCTATCTACTCTTCGTCTTGCTTCAAGGCACCCCTCCCTTCCTCGGAGTCGTCCTTTCCATGTACTTCAGACTCAATTCCTCTTCCTCCTTTGCCGTTGCTTTTTGCTTCCATCATTGTGCCCCACCTTGTTCATATTCATCGTACTCCTTTTCTTTTTCCTCCTTCGCTTCCTTCGTCTTCGCTCAAAAATGCGTTTTTCGGGTGATCACCAACTTCAGGTTTCTTGGATCGTAAGTGCAGCAATGCTCCAGATTCTTGTGTAGCCGTCTGCAAAATCCTCGATGGCGAGGTTTTGACGTCGAGACAAGGTGGCACCTTTGGTATTTCTGCGTCTGGTTGCTGACGTCCTCCGCCCGCTTGCTGACTTCACGCCCCCCGCCCCCGCAGGTACTGAGCATAGGTTCACAAGACACTGCGCAGTCAGTCCGCGAGACGCTTCCCGGGGGGCTCCCCGAAGTCGCCACCAGGAGGGGCGGCGTACCCCCCGGGAACGTAACCGCTGCCACAGCGGCAGCTGCCCCCCAAGTGGCGGCGCAACTCCAAAGAAGTCCCGAACAAGCGGTTCGCTTCTTGCTCGACCAGGGCCTGTGCCTGGTGCCCGCGCACCTCGCAGCCAAGCTCATCGAGTTCCCCCCGGAGGTGCGAAAGATTCCCATTAATACAGCCCTTCACATAGAATGAATCGGAATTTCTAGGATCGGGATTTGGAAACATCAGCTTCGTTGAGATCGTCCGAAGAAGGTCATTGGAGATGCTAGGGAGTGGTTCGGAAGCAGAAGTTCGGCCCTGACCGGAGAATCAATACCCGGGCTTTCTTATCCTTGATTAGTTCGAGGCGGTTTCTCACACTTACCCCAAATTGGCTGTTGAATTGTGTCATTCATGTCAACGTTCTAAACCGCATTGAACAATTTGCTGACGTCACAAGGAGACGTGCAACAGACAGCTGACAAAAGAAGAGGAAGACATGCAACAGACGGGCTCTTCCGTTCTACAGGTTCTGAAGCAGAAGTCGGCAGCAGTGCCGACCGCACCTCGGGGCCCCACGTCAACGGCGGCTCTGCTGGCAAGTCCGATGACGGTCTTTCCGAGCGAGACGGAAGGCGGGCGCGCGCCCGCGGCCGTGTTCTCGGGATGGGAGGAGGAGGAAGAACGCGCCGCCGAAATAAAGAATAAGTTGCGGGAGGAGGACGCGCGCGAAGTCGCGGACGCGATCCAAGAGCAGGAGCAAAGGGAGACTCGCTCGGAGTCGGGTCTTGCGAGCTCGCCCGGAGTCATGGGGGGCGCTTATAAGCGGCCCCAGACAGATGAGGAGCAAGGAGTGGATCAGCTTACGGAAATGGATTCTGGGCAAGACTTCGACGCGATGTCGCCCGGGCTTGGGGAGGGTTTAGATTTACCAGGGTTTGGGAAGGGAGATTCGGTGCACGAGGCAGGGCACATGGCAGCAATGTGGGATAGTGACCCTCACGAGTAGGGTGTAGTCTAGCGGGATTGGTAGTCAAAAAGCGCCCGGCTGCAGACGGAGGTATAAGTTGTCAGCCCGCAGTGTTTGCAGGTCTGTGGAGGTTGGAGAACATGAGATGTCTATTCGCACTCTAACTCGAATAAACGGACAACGTCCTCGTTGTCACTAACAGCCAGCTCGGCGCTTAATTCAAGAAACATGTTCTCTGAAGACACAAACATTCGGCAGTCTTGCTGCTGGACGGAGCTGGCGGCTTTGAAAAAATGCACATGGAGCACCTCGGATCAAGTACCTTCGCAGTGACACTCAGCACTGCTGATCAACTTTTTCTGTATATTTTAGAAGTGCACTCAATATGATGCATGTATACGCAGTGTCTACCACATGCATGCGAGGTCGATCAACATACATACAATTTGCTGGAATCTCCTCGTGAGCTAAGCTAGATATAGCATACTGATTCATGAGATAGTCAAATTAGTAGTCAAACATGTGACTAGCGGGCGCTTTACTGGATCCTCATGCAGGCATAGGGGCATTCTTTGGGCAACGACTCAAGGCTCTGTCTTCATTATCTCACTGACGGTGTTGGTGATGTTGATAACTTCGCGTCGAATTCATTCGAGCGAAATATGCGCTTCTTCTGCAAGTGCACGTTGTATTCCTCTCCAATTCAACAAACGTTCTCTGAAATAGATCTGAATTAGAAGCCAAGAACCGTGCGCCGATTGACTGGGTGGCCCAAGGGGGCAGATTATATGATGTGGATCTGCCACCGCGAGTCTCAATTGGCGACTGTGCAGAAGAGGGTTGCAAAGATTGGGACCGAGATGTGCATCTTACAAGAGCATACTTGTTATTTGAAGGAGGTTCAGCACTGGCACTTTTCCTAGGGAAGCAAAGGATTGGGCCGCTGAATGACTGGGTGGCGCGATCGGGAGGCCGCATGCATGGGATGATACCTGAGAGCTGCCTGCATGCTTTCGAGGTAGATTCCCACGGAGGCTGAACAAGCGAGCACAAAGCTCCGAAGATTAAGCTGGAACCCCTGCTCCCTGCCGTCACCTGGGATAAGGCGTCTACGGTCGTTGGGTACAGCACCTGGCATAGAAAAACGTATATGGGCCCTGTCAAACACATGCGCACATGCGCTCAATGGACGACTACACCGACGCCAGGCCCGTAGCAGTGGATGAATTCATTCAGCGAGGAAGCAGAGGAGCGAGCTCAAAGAAACGCTGAAGCCAAGGTATTGAAACACTGCAGAGCTGAAGAATGTCGGTCCCAGACGACCAGACGGTTGTATAAATCTTGACTAGGGTCAGTGAGATCGATTAACAAACGAGAAATAGATCAATACGGCGGAAGAGCAAGCCTATCCGGGAGGACATCTGGAATGATGAAAATCTAGGATCATCTTCGAAAGAAAATGAAGTTTGCAGGCAAAGCGCAGGCGTATTTTCACCTGGGGATTCGCCTATGATGGCAGAATGGCAAGTGTGGAGATTTTAAAATCTCGGGTAAAGTGCAATTCAAGTTTCAAATGTTCCATATTAGGAGTGGTGCCCTTGTGTCTGAAAGTCTGAGGGATTTGAGCACAATGGTACTGGCCCGGCACTACCACGTCCAGAAAGAACAACGGCGTCCTCTCGAATTGCAATCCGCAAGCCTATGCGTTCAGGCTCGTCTTCTATTCCGAGACTCGTACCTTTGGAAAAGCTTCGTCGCTCACCTCGCAAGACGTGACGCCAATTAGCGTTCGCCTCTTCCGTCTCAGAAGCGCTCCCTTCAGGTACGGCCGCCTCCGCAGAGTCAACGACTGGTCCGCTCTCTCTCTTTCTGTATCGGCTGCACGCTTGTCTTCCTCTCCACTTGTCAATAACTCTACTAACTAGTCACTCAGAGAAAACTGACTTGGCTGGCCAAGTTTCTGGCCGGCGACGTCCATTTCTCCACTCCCCCGCTTTTCTCGGTCTCTGAGTCCTTTTCCGTCCCTGTTAAGCCGGTGTTCTGTGAGAGCCTTCTCTGGCACGTGTATTAGTCTTACGACGCCCCGGGCAAATTGCCATTCCCTGTTCCGCGAACCCTCTTGGGCGCACTAGCGTCAGCGCCCCCGTTCTCCGATTTTCACTTCCTGACGTCAGCGCTTGCGCCCGGTTCCTCAACGTCCGACCCGCCCTCTCTTTTCTGCGCCGGGGGCTTTCTCCGTCTCTTTCTCCCTTTCGTCATCCGTCCCGAAAACACTCTCTACGCGTGTCGCAACGAGGTCTTGCGCATGAAACGCACGTAGAACCCGCTCCTTTTCAGCATCTCCTCAAACTTGGCCCGACACCAAGCCTTGACGCTGCCGCCCCGCTGCCGCTGTTACGGAGCATCGAGCGCTCCTCGGGCGTCCAGCCGTTCAGCTTTCGAACGCTCGAACCGCAGTCGAAGGCGAAACCTCATCCCACCGCCCCAGCAGCCCTTTCAAAAACTCGTTGGGCTCGTCATCAGCGATAAAACGTGGGAACCGAGTTCCCACGTCCTCCGTTCCCTGGACAGCGGCTGTCCGTTCGCAGAATGGGAAACAGGCCCGTCCTCGCTTTCCTCCACCCCCGAAAGGGATCCGATTAAATGGACAGTGTCAACTTAGAATGACCTGGCTAAACAAATTGTGTACGGTAGCCTATAGGATGGGACAGGCTAGGTGACATTGGATTTTGTGGTACTGTCCGCTGACCGCTATATCCGCATCGAAAGTTGACAAAAACTAATCTACGATGTGATACTGAACTTGCCTCTTAACCCACGCGGTCCAACAGGTGGAGCGAAGGACCGACTTTAGCTACCGGGAATAAGCAGCTGTAAAATTAACAGAATATTGTGGTCGTTCAGCTCCACATTACCCCGGTAGAAAGAACCCGGTCAGCAGAACCCAAATTTTCAAGTCCGCATACTGTACGGACCACGGACCTGTGGTCCACGGTCCATCCAAAATCCTGATTCTACTTCCGACTTGCCCCTCGGTTAGATATTCGCGGCGACAAATTCAACTTGATTTCAGGTAAAGCATCGCCCTAGGCAGACGTCCCGACTCCCGAGTACTCATCGTCGACGGCCTCTTCAATTGCATGGCAGACTGCAGCATTGACGTGAGGTACGATCCGTCACAAGATTCTGTCGCTAAATGCAAAGCTGCCCGAGCGCACGGCATCGAATCCGGCGTTTTCGACGATAAGCGCGAATTTATGTAGAAACAGGGCAATATTTGGCCGTTTTGCGTCCCGGTGCTCGCTCGTCATTACAACATTCTGAATCTCGGCTCGATTCCGGGGTCCGTACCATGTACGCGACTCCGGCGCGACTTTCCGGTATGAGGTAGTAGGTACCGTACCGTACTCGATCCGGCCCTTGGGTTGTCAATAGGATACCTATACGGTACCTACGAGTCACGACACGAAGACTACCGTACCTGGCAGTGGCCGGCAGTTCTGCTTTGTCTTCGGCCGCTGGCATTTCACTAACAATATTCACAGGGGTAGGACTACCGTATCCTGACTGAAATTCTCAGTCAGGACAGCCCTGTGAATATTGTCAGCACTTCAGTGGGGAGTCAACAGCGCCCCCTTAAGCCCCCCCGCTCCTTCCTCTTGCGGTTTCTGTACATATCGTCGCACGGCCTCAAACGAGCTGATCTCCTGACACATTCTCTTGAGCAGACCATGATGGCGTTCGCGGGCAAGGATGGTGCGGTCTGGGCAGCGGCACTTTCCCTCTGCGCTCTGCTTCTGTGGTGGACACTAGGACGTGACTTCAGATCACTCTCACGTGACCTTCCAGGCTACACGCTGTACCGGAACAGCGACGTCTTGGGCGAGACAGTTCTCGTCAATGACAACGTGACTACCTTGGAGCGGTGTGATGAGTACTCGGGGCACGCACAGCCGTCCCTGCAGGCGTGCACTGCAGTCTGTGATGCCCACAAAGAGTGCTTCGGGGTGTCGTACCATTGGGGAAATGCAAGGGGGTTCAGTACAAGGAATGAGACGGGCCTGGTGGGGTGCTGCTTTCTGAAGGGGGCCCCCACTGGCGTGCTTCGAAAGCGGAAATGTGGCTCTGTTGATGAAGCCAAATGTGAGGCAGGCACTATTGTAAACTCTAAGCAAAAAAACAACCATTTTAGTTTTCACATTTCTTTCGCAGCTTCCAACGTCCTGCTTAATCTTTCAGACCACCTTTCAGAGCTTGCCTCCGTGCTGCATATGTAGCTCAGCCCATAGCTAACTGAGCACCATTTGTCTGACTGAAAGTCTCAGCTTTACCAGATAATTGAACGCCCGGCTGCACCTGCAAAGAGTGCTCTGTGCTGGACTATGCCTGCGCAAACTGCATTGTTGCAGCAACGGTTGCCTTCATACAACAACTCTTACTGTAGAGCACAAGTAGGACAACATTTCCAAGTAATATTCGAACCTGAGTTTCTCAGATTTTGAAAGCTTCTTGAAAACAGAACATTTGGTTGGACACTGATTGTATGGAGAAAAAGAGACAGTTCTACCTAATGCATTGACGATGTTCAGGACCTCCTTGATCTTCATGGTCAGAGCCAAAACGGGGTCCCATGCATGCCCTTCCTCAAAGCAGGCCAGGAGCATTAGGTTGCCTAGATAAGCACGGAGCAAGACAAACTTGAATTAAAACTTGCCAAGCCAAACCTGGTTGCTGACTCAATCAACAATGTCCTTCTTGGTGTGGTCTGGACAAGCAATTTCCGCTTCTGAAGTTTTATGCGAAAAGTCTTGCAGTCTCAAAGGCACAAAGTGTTGGGGTACTCTTACTTTATGCAAAAGTGACGGACTTTTTAGCCAAGACTGCACATTTTACTAAGCATTTTGCCATCACAAGAGTTACCACCTCAAACATTCTGAAGTACTACTGATCTGGGTTTGCAAAGATACCAGATGCTGCATAGAGCTGGGCATCCCAGGCGACCTTCCTCGCGACTCCTTTGGACGGGGGATGACTGCATTGAACAAGGGTATACTGGCAGCATCACTACTGATGTCTGTTCGCGAAACACGTTCTACAAATCTGTGGGCTGTTGTACGGCAACGTGCCAAACCTCTTTGGACAACAATTGTACCTGCACTGCTTATGGGAACAGCAGTGAGGTGGACTGCGGAGAGAATGGAACAGCCTGCTGCAATACTGGTCCACCCCCAGCCATTAATTCCAAGTTATCAAGCGGAGCTACTGATACTTCGTCACCACCACCTCCTACCTGTCAGTTTTTTGTTGACAAGCATCCGCTTGCTTTCGCCAGTCATTGCCCTGCAGCAACAGGGTTTTGCCGCTTGTTGCACTTCTTCCGGCAATATTTGTGTTGGATTTTCTTCCAACATAAGTTTCGTGAACTGCACGGGCTCGCTTCCAGCCTACCCCGTAGCCGGTTGTTGCTCAACCTACGATTACACTTCCATTCCGATCCCCCCTCCCCCAACTGCGAATCCGTGTTTCCAGTTCGACGATGGACATCCAACCGCAAGAGCAACCGACTGCCCAGCCGACAAGAGTTATGTGGCCTGTTGCAGCAAAGACCTAGTTTGCCTCGGGATTTCACCGGATATAACTATCCTCGATTGCCCAACAACAGTTCAAGACCATCCCGTAGCTGGCTGCTGCTCAATCTATAACTTAACCTCGAGCAGCCCAGGTTATAACTTCACCCCAACTCCGAACCCTGTGCTGCCCTCCCCATCCCCCCCACCGAAACCCCCTTCTCCAAACCCCGCCCCTAGCAACAGCGGTCTTGGGATCGGGACCGTTGTGGGAATCTCTCTTGCGGGTGTGGGAGTTGCCTTGTTGTTGGTTGTGGGCGTAATGCTCCTGGCAAAGAGGAGGAGAAAAGCTCAGCGCCCCCCCGATTGGTTGGACGCTAGTTTGGGGAGAAAGACGGGGAATCCCAAGGCAGCAGCCCCTACAGACGTGCCAGATTTGATGTACGACGAGGAAAGACAGGACAAGTTGGACGGGCCCTTGGGTCCTCCACCAATCGCGGTCAGGGCCCCTCGTGCAATGTCCACAGAAGGTGCAGCAGCGCTCGAGGGTGGCGCGGTTGCTGGTGTAAAAGCGGTCCGTGCTGCGGGCGATCCTGTTGCCGGGTTGGGCAAGGCGCGGAACCCCTCAGGTGAGCTCCCATTTTTTGACGTTGAACGTTGAGATTATGCTGACAGTGGACACAGTGGACGAATGCAATTACCGAAAGGGATGTCCTGGCTTCGGTTTGCATTATCTGATCTGCTGGTCTGTGTATTATGAAAGAAAACAAAGGGCGAGTGCTCTGGTGGCCGAAAAGAGGCAATAGATTCAATATGCTGAATTTTGACGTGACCACTGCGCAGTTACCGTATGTAAGATGTATTAAGCTTGAAGTATGGTGAATCCCACTTGGAAGGACCTCGATCACAGGACTTGAGGGAGGGTTGAGAATGCCATTCTGCGGTAGCACCGAGCCTGTTCAACGCGGCCGACAGCCGTTTACTTGAAACGATGCGAGAACTTTATCCATTGCTATAATCTTCTATAGTTCCTAACCGCTCGCATTTTTGAAAAGGCTGAACGATGATCCTAATCACGTAAATCGAAAGTAACCCTGGCAAAACTTAGCTGAAAGTTTTCGAAGTTAGCGAAGAAGAAAGTCCGTAAGTCAGCAATCGAGCAAGCTTCGGTTGCTGAGTATTTAATCCATCTGGGGTCTGATAAGCTGGCTCTTAGGACCGTTCAGCCAGAACAAGCCTGATCACGACCTCTTGAAGCTTGTTAAGAGTGGATCTGTGCCAGCGATGCAGCAATCGTTCAGGCTCAGGAGGCCCTCAGCGTGGTTCGGCTGTTCACCTTCCGGAAGATCAAAAAAGCGACGAACGGCTTCTCCGACAGTGCGCTGATCGGACAGGGCGCCTTTGGACGAGTCTTCAGGGCCACGTTCTCTGATGGAACGGTTCTGGCTGTCAAAGAGCTCGGGAAGGGCAAGAAGGTGAGGGACCCAGCTTTCCCAAGTCGATCTGATCTTCGGTGCTTAAGAATGCCTGATTAGCTTGGTGAAAGGTTCTTGCCGACTCGTTTCCATCTAAAAATCAGACTGACATGAAAACGATTGATGGATCATCAGGACTCGCTGCACTCTGCGGACGCGGGGAAAGCTTGGACTAACTTCAGGTCCGGATGCACAGCCTGGTCAACAAGAATCTCAAATCGACCATGTTTAGGGCGTACGTTCAGCTGCCAGTCTTTGTCACGGTGCCTTCGTGCAATGAAGTTACAGCAGTTGGACCCGCGGATCGTGACGCTTTTCGCCTGATTAGGTCCTTACACCAGTTGCCAATCGTCCGAGCTCTTGTTTTAATGCCCTCAAAGCTCACAGTCGGTGCAAGAGTGCTGACTCGCCCGCTCGTTGTTGGCAACTCGAACACGCAGTAAGAAATCGGGCCGCAGCGGGGCAGCGAGCGCTGCCCGTCTTCTATCGGAAGTTGTCCATCAAGATTACCATTCAGGCAATTGTTCTTAGATTGAACATTTGTCCAGGCCGAGTACTTATGGAGGCAGGTCAGACTTCGGTGGCTCAAACGTTCAGCAGGTTATCGGGGATCGTCGTAAACGAAATATCGGAGAAACCTTGAAGCAGGCCCAATTGCGAGCGTTGACTACGTATTTTTGACCCAACATTTCGAGAGTTCAACTCGCTAAAGTGGGTCCTCAAGCAAAACATTAATTGGAGACCAAACACGTCGTACTTCTTGACAAACAACACGAATTCAACTTCTAGCTTTGTTACGGACGCTTGCTTCAGACGTCCTAACAATTTCATGCAGGGCGTCGGCCAGAAAGAGTTTGTGAGTGAACTTGGGACCATTGGCAACGTTCGACACAGGAACCTGGTGTCGCTGCGGGGATACTGCATCGCTGCAAACGCGTATTACTTGCTCATGGACTATGCGCCAAACGGGAATCTGCAGACGGCCATATCTAACGGTGGGCGGTAGCAGGATTCTCGCTCGTTTCAGCATAAACATGAAAGGCAGCTCTGCAGGCTTGTCAAAGTGATCGCAAAAGGTGGAAGGTAACCGGAATATCGTCATCTTGAGCAAAGCGTTTTTGCAAGTGCGCTTCCAAAGACTTTGGTGCATGTAAGCGGCGGAAAGTAAGTAGAGGTCCCTCCTTTTCTCCTTTTCTATCAGCACCGGTCTTCAAAGTGAACTGGAAAACGGTTTGAGAGGAGCCAGACTTACCAGTTTAATTACATTGAGCTGCAATTAGGCTCCGAATCTGTCTCCGTCCCATTCAGCCGCACCTTTTCGGTCTGCTCAATTCCGACCGCTTGTGGGTTCCGTTCCGCCTGCCATGCCTCGTTGGACCGGATGGCATCCGGGGTCCACAATTCCGCTGACGCGTCCACATCGGTGACGGCATGCGCTGTGCGGCCGCGTCCCGCGAAACCCTTCCAAAACCTGGCGCTCGAAAACCTTTTTTCCGCCCAAAGCTCGCGCTTGGCCGTGGATTCGTAGTCGGCGTCTGTTCGACCTCTGACATTTGGCGTGCAGTCTCGGGCGCCCCTCTGACGTGGAAGCAGCGCCTGGACATCGCGACCGGGGCAGTGCGCGGCATCTCGTACCTGCACAATGACACGGCGCCCACCATTCTGCACCGGGACATCAAGTCCGCCAACATTCTGCTGGGCGCAAACTTCGAACCGCTGGTGCGTTTTGCGACCCGGCATCGGGATCCGACAGCCGGCTCAAGAACGGTTTGCTTTCTGCCAGGCTTTGAAACGCGGGTTGAGCTAGGCCAGACGTTTGAGTCTTGTTTTGGGGCTTCGAGGAGAAATTCAATCAAGCTCGAAGTGTATACTATCATGTGAGTGATCCCTTCTATAGTGGGTAAGGCCCTCACTAGAGTTGACCAAGTTGGGTAACGGTAAATTACCTTGAGACTCCTCACGCTGCAAGCTATATGAGTCTTTCGTGAACTCCGCATTGGCATCGATGAGCGGACAATGACTTTGGTTGCTTGTGTTACCCGCAGGTGGCAGACTTTGGCCTGGCGAAGCTTGTTGACGAGGGCGTTACTCATCACAGCACAGCCGTGCGGGGCACGTATGGATACGTCGCCCCCGAGTATGCTCTATACGGCCAGGTGAGGCGACACAAGATACCCTCATAACCGATCACAGTTGGGTCCTAAGATTTTCGACTTCAGACCACTTGGGTTCAAGTGTCGATATAGCGCGTTTGAGTCGGAGGTTACGAAGCCTTCGTAATGTCTTCACCTGCCGGAATAACAGGGTGCTGAGCATGCCGTTTGATCATTCAACCATCTCCTTCCAGGGGCGAGATCGGGATGTCTTCAAAAAGCTCCTGGATCTTTGATTCCTCGTCCCTGTCAACTTCAAAAGAAGCGGGCTGGTCGAAAGTTGGCAGCAATCCTTAGGAGCCCTCCAACCCAATCGCATTGCAAGTAGCGCAGTCCAAGGGCCCTCCTGACTCAGCTTTGTGGATGGAAACGCACCTACACGAAGCTTGTCTGAAAGTTCGTTTCCCCTATGCTGATGACCGTTCGATGTGGCAGGTGACGAAGATGATTGACGTCTACAGCTTCGGCGTCGTGTTGTTGGAGCTGGTGACGGGGAGGCGCGCGGTCGAGGCGATGCCCGACGGAACGCGCTGCAATCTGGTTGATGCGGTGAGCCTAAGAACAGAAACGCAGTCCAAAGGCGGAAACGTGAACTCTGAAGTCGCCTTGGCTACGTTCATAAGAGCGATTGCTACTAGGAAATTGTGCGGTGCCTGCTTTAGGCGGAGTTTCCAATTCATTGTTGAACGAAACCAGAACGTTTCAAAGTGGTGGAAAACGTCCAATCGGGTGGTGACCATGATGCTGCCCACGTTCGTGACGAGTCTGTCCATGCTCTAACAGCGATTGCCCTTTGATGGGAGGAAGGAAATTTGTCGTATCCGGGCCCCTGCGCCGCGCTTGTTATCTTTGGTTGCCCAAAGGCGATTCTGCCGGGCACAGGTAGCGTCGAAAAACGGGCAGGCCCGCGGCGGGTACTTTTGAAGCTTTCTGCCGTTGCAATCCTGGATTCAAAATAGGGTGCGCTGGTCCTTGAACCTTGCAGCAGGACGCGAAGTCGGACAGCATCTACAGAGTTGCACGAGCGTATCACGACTCCTGTAGTCAGTCCTCGGTCGTGACCCGTTTATAAGAATCAATTGCTACTAGAAAATTCTGTTGGGAAACCCTCCGTTACGTCCGTTTTATTGTACTGCGTTGTGTACGGACCAATAACTCGAGAAATGAGGTAATTCTGCGCTTATTTGATGTTTTCTTGTTGGAACCAATTCTGACTGCTTTCTACAAACGAATCTAACAGCGCGAACCGCCTGGCGGAAGCCTTCACCTTTCCGACCTTGTCAAACGGGTTTGCCGTAACATTCCATGATGCCCTCGGACGTCCCTCCATCTCCATGCTTAACGAACTTTTCTGATTGCGGTAAACTCCTACGAAACAGGTAGCACGCCACGCTCGCCAGCCGAACGATGTCGTGGACCCCCGCCTGCATGGCCACTTCCCGGCTCAAGTTTCCGCTCAGTTCGTGGCCCTAGCTGTGGGCTGCACCGCCCGGGAGGACGTCCACCGGCCGCAGATGTCCCACGTGCTCCGCGAGCTGGAAGATATGGGCCGGAGAGTGGAGGCGGACTCGGGGATCGTCACGGACGGTAGCTGGTTCGGGTCAGCGGGTACCGGGCAGGCGGTAACCGCGTATCCGAGCGCTTCCACGAGCTCTTGGAACCAGCCCGGTGCTTCGAGCGGGAGCGCGGCGAGTGACGGGATCATGGCCAGTATGGATTACCAAGTGTCAGCGATAAGGCAAGGCCGATAAGGGTATGTAGGGGGTTTCACAGTGTATCCTGACTGATATAGGTAACTGCGCGAATGAGGCTTCCCCGGTGTTTATTTGTGAGAGATCCAAATCTTCTGCACTCGCTAGGCATGTACGGGAAAGGCCTTTACGCGGCGAAGACGTTCGGATCCGGCATGCAATTTGGGCGTTACATGGGTTCAGTGCTAGGCCGAAAAGATGACCCGAGGGCCCAACTTTGGCAAGAAGCCGTGGATATTCTCAAAAAAGTCTTGTTAGTGGCCAAGATTATTGCAATCAAACAACTTTCTAGTTGACGGAAGTCGACCTCATCAACGTGACGAATCGAGCAAAAAGCCCTTTTCGGATTAAGTCCTCTCTCTGATTGCCACCAATTCGTATAGAGGAATGCATGCATTGATGATTAATAACTTGCAATACCGCACTGAATACCGCAACATCGCAATACCAGCAGACGAACTCCCCATGTCCCTGACACTCCCGGTCGGTATGTCGATACTGTTAATTCAAAAAATCCAGCATATAAGGCGGTCGGACGCGTACAGAAGCTGGCACGGGAAGGTGCCAGTGCTATCAGCGAGCAGGCTTGTTACCGTCGAGCCGCCTGCGGAGATACGGAGGATCGACGAGCTTATTGGGAGACGATGGCTGCAGTTCCGGAGCGCCCGATCATATTCCATGTTAATATTCTTGTTGACGTGGTGCATGAATTAGATACTGGCGAGCTGTTGCACATGATGCTCAAGGAATTCTAAGTTTAGTACAGTCGGGCGACTCTCTTTTAATGCAAGCTGCACTCCGAGTACATCCGAAGTGGGGATTTGGTGGACGACAGAGGGCAAGGACGTGTGTAGAAAGGTACATAACATTCGGTATGATGTCACCCGGGCCCGTATTGCAGTGCGGACGTCATGGTGGCCCTAGCCCGTTCCCGAAAAGCGTATATGCTCGAACGGATTTGGAGGTCAAACACTTCGGAAATGCGATGAGAGCCGATGTGGTCTACAACGGCTTGAATATAGCTGACATGGCGTAGGCGTCCGACTATTCGAGAGGGGATGACCTCTGGCCCTAACTGCATGAGCGGGCAATCTCCTTGGATGAGCTCGTGGTCAGGCTGTCGGAGGCACGGCGCCCGCTGTAAGGAAGAAGGGACGTACTCATGCTTAAAGGCTCATGTACATATGTTGGCCTCGATCATGCTAACTTATTGGCCTGCGTTGCAAAGATATGACGTCGATTCCATGTGCATGCATGCAAGACGTACGCGCAAAGCTCTAGCTAGGAGAATAAGTTGAAATTCGAAATTGTGAGGCCCACACGGCACTACAACAGTTCAGAATGATGAATTATCATGGGGGTAAATATGAGGAGCGACGAGTATTGTGCATCGAGTTCTCTGCAACTACATATATATCATTGGCGGCGGCCAGGCTAGCTCAGTGAGCAGCAAATCACATGCAGCCGCGCGCAATTATACTAAGGCTGATTGACGCAGTATGCTTCCACATTAACTTCGGCCGGCCTTTATACCGCAATTATATATATATGGCCAGTGCTGCAACATCCGGATATAAAGGTCATATCCTGTACCATTGAACCGCCTGCGAGTATAATGCTGAAAGTTACCGGAGGAAGGCAGGCAAAAATGAAAGCCCGTACACCCCAGCTTATTCCGACAAAATCACTGAATTCAAACACGGAATTAAATGAGATAAAGGGGGCGAAGAGCCACCGAAAGCATATCTGCTCAAAAACAATTGCAATCACGTCAAAGCGGAAGGACTGGGTCTTGATCAGACTGCCGACAATGGAAGCCATCAGAAAATTGCATGCCTGCATCATTGGCAGCTGCCGCGCCAGGGAATGCATTTTCTTATAGTTGCTCCGGGACAAGCGTTCCAAAGAGCAACGTAAAAGCGGTTTGAGCTACGGGAAGCAGCCACGCTACTAAATTCCGTTGATGGTTCTACCAACCACTCGTGATACTACCTGCATGACAGGTCATACAAGGGCATCAGCAAAAGATTCCAAGTGGTGACGGCATGATGTCGACCACAAGAAAGACTCCTTGCAAAGTAGACCAACTCGCCTCCTGACGAATCCAGATCTAGATAATTCGCAAACCCCCGAAGGGATTTGCCAAGTTTGCAAATCGTTCAGAATCCACCGCAAGCTCCTCTAAACTTCCGGACAGGAGGCCAACGCATGAGTTCAAGCATCTGCTCACGAGATTTCCGGACAGGGCCTCGCAGACTGAACGGAGGCGTCACCGCTTGTGGACTTACTTCTCAGGCGGCTACTCAAAAGGACTAGGATGGTATGCCGGCGCCAAAACGTCACTCCTGGTTGTCGAGGAGAGTGATGACCTTGCCTATGGCCACAGTCTTGCCTGCGGTCATGCAAAGGCAAGGTAAGTTCGAGCAACGCACAAGGCACGTTTACGGGATTAGATTTCCGAACTTTTCGATGAACTGTTATGCACGTCAAGTACATACCTTTCAATCACTTCGAATGCGCTGTGCACTATGAGAAACGCATTCAAGAGGTTTATGTATTCCTGGGAAGAACCTCAATAAGCACCAATTCGATCCCGAACCTAAGGTGGAACCCCCCGGCGAGGAGCTCGAAATTGCCGCTACCTCCATTCCGCAAAGCTGCCTAACCCAAAGGAACTCGCACTTTCCCATAAACCACCGTTCACAGGTTACTTAGTCTCCTAACTTCGTGCGTTTTACCTTCTTTGTACATTTGCATAGCAAGAACAAATATGCACAACGGACGGCATGCAGCTATCTTGAGAGAGCCCAAAAGCTGGACGCCCGTGGAAACGGGCATGAGTCGAATGAAAATGTCTGCAGTCAACAATCCGTGCCCACTGCCGCTCCAGTTTCTGAAACTGTTCCAGCGACTCGCCACCTCCAGACGACGCGCTTTGAGAGCCAGGAATGTACGATCGAAGAGTTACAGGCAAGGGCGAAAAGGCTAACCTTCATCTCGAAGCGTGAAACGGCCCAACTGCGGGAAGTCCGAGAAAAGCTCGATGCAGATAGCTTCCTGGACCTGCAAAGCGAGCGAGACGGTTGTAAGAACGAGGAGAGAGCGACAGAGATACTTCCTAAGTGTACTTGTTCAAGTGAGATTTTCGCTACCACCTTTGAAGCCCTTCACATCATATCGAAGTACAGTTCAAAACCCGCCAGTGCCCTGATCTAGAATTGAGAGATAAGAAAGTAACCCAGTTGCGCTTGGTACTGCCGGTGTTCCGCTATATGAAAGCGCCAATTTTCCACTAAGCTTTGTTGAGGCCTCGCAGTTTCTTCTGAAGCGACACGATCCTCACTCCTGAGAAATGTTAGATAACCCTCACGCTGGAATCGCAGAAGCTCGGGTCTGAGACCCACCATGAAACACGTGACGAAGGTGTTCCCCTTGACGAACAGCAGCTTCTTCTTGGGCTCCTTCTAGATCTTTGATGCCCAAGTTCCTCAGATCAGATGAGGTGTAACCCTCAAGCCCCCATAGTACAGACAACCATTCAAAATCCGAAGACTCGAAACCTTCAATATAACCCCTCACCTGGATGCGACACATGACGACCGTGTTCCCCTTGACGAAGAGCGGCTTCTTTGTGAGCTTCTTCTTGGTCTTAGAGTCACAACTCCTCCGTCTTCGCATCCTCAAACCAAAGCTTTATGGACCAAGAAACACAATAATATTGTAAGACAAGGACTAGAAGTTCAATCGTGAGCGCAAAATCAATGAAGCCCAAAGCCCTTACCTGGATGCGGCACGTGACGACCGTGTTCCCCTTGACGAAGAGCGGCTTCTTCTTGAGCTTCTTCTTGGTCTTGGGGTCGATCTGCGAGAGCAGCTCCACAACCTCGCACTCCTCCACGATGCTGTGTATGTGCAGCACCGCCTTGTACCCCGCCGTGAAGATGCTCTTGTGGTCCAACAGCTCCAAAATCTGCAGCTGCGCCTCGAACTCGACGACGGCGGGGATTGGCCTCTCTACAAAACAGACAAGCAAGATGTTTGAGTACGAACTCAAAGTTCAACGTTCTTGAAGGAACACCTTTGTGGAAAGCTGTGAAGATGTCTTGTGGTCCACCAGCTCCACGATCTGCAGCTGCGCTTTGAATTCGACGACCGCCGGGATTGGCTTCTCTACAGAGAAGTCAACGAAACTGTTTTTTGAGTACAATTGATAGCAAATCGTTCGTGGAACGAACTGCTTTGTAGAGAGCTATGAATATGGTTTTGTGGTCCAGCAGCTCCAGGATCTGCAGCTGCGTCTCGAACTCGACCACCGCTGGATTGGGTTTCTCTGCATACCCAGTGAGCGGAAGTTTTCGTCAGGGCTTCGGCCGTTTTGAGAGGTTTGTTATACCGAAGAATTTCAGCATTGAGGCTGTGTAGAATGCTCTTGTGCTTCAGCAGCTCAAACATCTGCACCTGCGCCTTAGGTTCGACGAAAGCAGGGATCGGCTTCTCTGCACAAACAGTGTGCAAGGAATTTCAGGGCGATCATTCAGGAATCATCCCTGTAGAGAGTAGCAGATTGAACGCAGTTCTTGTGGTCAAGCTCCGGGTTCTACAGCTGCGCCTCAAACTTGACGACGGCGGGCTTTAACTTCCGTGCAAACTCAGTGAGCAAAAGTCTGCACTGAGATTTTTGTGTCTCTCTGAGGCTGGCGTCTTGAAGTGACAATTGGTTGCTAATGCTGTATAGACTGCTCTTCTCGTCCAGCGAAACATCCTAGGTCCGCTAGAGTATAACCTAAGCTTCTCTACAGTGAAGCACGTCCGGGGGTAACGTCATCGTCCTTGTTAACCAAAGGAAGCCAAAAGGAGCCAATCATCTCATAAGACCAACTCAACCGCCCACAACCCAACAATGTATTCCCAAGCCTGCCGCAAACTGACACCCCACTCTGTGACAAGAGCACGTATTGGAGGTAAATCCTCGTCTTTCTGTGCCCAACAACCAGTTAAGAGGAGCCCACTAGCCCAGATCACTAAACCCAGATCTGCCCCAGGACAAATCCAAGAAGCTCACTCATGCTGCTGAAAGCGAACTCACTCTGCGCCGAGAGCACATATCCCGGCGTGATGTCCTCATCCTCGATGCCCGACAGCCGGATGCGCAGGTTCTCCCCTGGCCGCGCGGCGCGGACCTCGTCGGCGTCGCGGAAGATCGCCACCACTTTGACGGGGATCTTGTTGGGCATCACCAGCAGGCCGTCGCCTCGGTGCACCGTCCCCGACTCGATCTTGCCCATGACCACCGTGCCCATGTCCTTGTACTTGTCCTGGAGGGGCATTCTGCAGGACGGAGAATAAATCCACTTTGCAGGGGTCCGGCAGAAGACAATAAAACAAGTGCTCTTTTAAACTTCGTCTGAAGACAAATGTGTTTTTTGTCCTGGGGGGATCTTGCAAGGGGGAAAAGAGACACTAAAAGGAGAAGTAGTCGAAGGGAGGGACTGGAGGGACCCCTCTCTTGTTGCACTGATCACCCAAGTCCATGTCCTTGTACTTGTCCTGGAGGGGCATCCTGAAGAAAACAATCAACAAAGATTAAAAATGTGTGTAGTTTCAGAAGCAGGACCAGTGAGTTCATCCCCGTCAATAAATGGAGCACATGTCACTCGATCATGCCCGTGTCCTTGTACTTGTCCTGGAGGGGCATCCTGCGAACAGAGGAAAAAGGAAGATATAATTTCCACTTTCAGAGGCAAGATTTCAATCATTGGAGTAATCATTGCTCTTGCACCAACCACGCGTGCCCATGTCCTTGTACTTGTCCTGGACGGGCATCCTGCAAAGAGAGGTAAAGGAGGGATGCTGAGACCGATTCCCACTTTCAGAGGCAAGAACGTCTGTCATTGGAGTCACCAGTAATCTTGCACCGACCACGGGCGTCCATGTCCTTGTTTGCCTCCTGGAAGGGCATCCTGCAGACTGGAGCACAGATAAGAGAATGGATCCGCTGTCAGGGGAAAAGGGTTCCAAAAGGGGCTACACTTCTTGTGCCCATCACGATCGTGCCCTTGTTCTTGTTTGTGCTCTGGAGGGCATCCTGCAAGAAAGGGGGGAGAGATGCTGAGACTGCCTACATTTACGAAGCCCACGTAACATGTTGTTGCGGGAAGACTGCTCTTGCACCGACCTTGAGTGCTACGAAACGAGAGTCCTGCAGTGAACGGAGAGCATAGGGAAGCAGTCCGTGCGGACAAGGGGGGTACACTACCTGCACCAAAGGACCGTGCCCACGTTTTTCCCTTTGTAGGGAGGCACATATAGCGGGGAGGATGCGGGATTAGTTTTGAGTCACAGAATCACGGCCGGAAACACGAAAATATTCTCGGTCTACGGCTTTGAGCATTCCTGAGCATCAACTGTGCTCCTGCCCTTGAAATCGGTCATGCAAAAAGCTGCCCTCTGGGCCGTGCATAAGGCGCTCAAGTTGCGTTGAAAAAGGTCCTCGGATATCACAAGCTTTGCACTGTCAACACAGCCCGGCCGTTCTGTTTCTCACCTGAAGGGCTTAGTGGGGTCCCTGTCGGGCGACTCCAGGTTGTCCAGGACTTCGAAGAAGCAGGGGCCCTCGTACCAAGGGATGGTCTCCTTGGAAGGGCGCTCCTTCATGTTGACGCCGTGCAGACCGGAGATGGGCAGGAAGACGACGTCTGGAGAGGGCAATTGCAAGATCGACTAATTAGAATCCAGTCCCATTCCTGATGTGAACATTCTTGTCACCGTCAGAACAGATTACATCTCTAAGGTCATTGCTTTGGACAGAGGTTGCTCAGAGTGGGCGACAAGGGCATGTATGAGAAGGAAACGAGAACGAGCCCAAAGATCCTGAGGAAGAGATATTTCGGCCTTGAGGACCGGTAAAATCTGGAAAATCGGACGACTCTTCCAACACAGACCTAACGAACCACAGACAAAGGTTCTAGCTGCTTCAGTATTTACACTCACCTTTCTTGAGGTTGAAGCCCGATCCCCGAAGGAACGGAGACATCTTCGTGACAATCTCGTCGAACCTGCAGGGAGGAAAAACAAGTTAAGACTTTGAAGCAAAACGACGACTGGGAAAGGAGGGACAACAGAACGATACAAAGGAACTCGGGAAAGGTAAATCCCTTCCCAGGCCAAAAATGTGCTGGAACGTCCAGAATCAAGCTAAGAAACTCGATAAAAGACCAAGCGTTTCTTTGATCTACGAGGATCGCTCTCAATCTGACAAACAGAGAATGGGGGACTGGCAATCTACGTAGAAGCGCCATGGAATAACCTGCTGCTTTGATGATTCCGAAGACCGTCCGGAGCGAAAAGGGAAGAGCATCGATTCTGGGACCTTCAAGAGGGGAGGGGTCCCAAACCGATTCAACGATTGCAAAAATTGCACGATAATCTCAGAACGGCATCAGTCAAGGTGCGCACCTCTCCTGCGCCCACTGCACGGAGGGCTCATCCATCTTGTTGACTACCACCACCAGCTTCGAGATCCCCAACGTCTTGGCGAGCAGCGCATGCTCCCGCGTCTGGCCCCCCCGCTCAAACCCAGTCTCGAACTCGCCCTTCCGCGCAGAGATGACCTGCGGCGAAAGTAACCTCGGTATCAATCACTGCACCCTGCTTGAACCTAATCTCAGAACTTGTCCTTTTGGGGCAATAAACTTTTAACGAAACATACCAGGGTATCGATCAGTACCCTTCCCTCTGAATAGATCTTGAAAATCTCCCTTCGAGCAGACACTACCTGCAACGTTAAGCAAACACGTTTGATGACAAAGAAAAAGCTTTGCAAGTCCAACCGCTGACAGAAGAGAGACCACACCACGAAATGACTTTGCTCTTGTAGACTTCTGCAACCCAATAGGACGGCTGGATTGTGCAGCAACGAGGAAACTCGCGTTCGAAGTCGGATTTGTGAGATTGCAGAAAATGACTGTCCTCCAGTTTGGGCGGCCAGTGCCCTCGACAAGAATCGCAAGCCACCGCCAGGCTTCATCCTCGGCCGAACTGTGCATCATACTGGCTCACGATCTCGTCCACTCGAAATGATACACAGGCTGAACACTGCTTCCTGCTGACCGTTTACCAGCATGGCAAACCGCTCGATCGCCATAGCACTGGCTTTAATCAATCATGCATATGCAAGACAATTAATAACAAATCAATCACCTCCAAATGGCATCTTTCTGCCAAGAGAAGACTTACCAGCACTCCGACATCGGCTTGCGACGCCCCGCTGATCATATTTGGGACGTAGTTCTTGTGCCCTGGTGCATCCAGGACGGTGTAACGCCGCTTGTCGGTCTCAAACGTTGCTCGCCCCACCTCCACCGTCTTGCCCTTGGCGCGCTCCTCCTCGTTTGTGTCCATGATGTATGCCATGTACCTGCAGAGGAACAAGGTTTGCAAGAGTGGTTAGTTCTTAGCCGAGGTAAGACCTTATCAGGACTTGAAACAGATCCATAATTTACAAGCAAACGCATAAATGTGCGACCATAGGGCTTCAAAATCCCTCTCTCGACCTAAATGGCTTGAAACTAGACGTCAAGCTGTGTGTGCAACCCTGTAATCTTGATGAAGGAGCGAGGGGAAGGCAGACCGCCAAATCTTCTAAGCAGACTGGGACTGGTCCTTACGATCATGAGCGATATGTCTCCATGCCTCATCCAGCTCTAAAGTGACCTCCCAAACCGAAGCTGGGCCACCCTCTAACGAAATCTCAAAAGGAGCCATGCAGTAGGAGCCGACAAAATGAGGCCAAGGATAACACCCCCACCATAGCACAGGAGTGCCTGCTTTTACCTGGCCAATCAAGTCAGAACAACTCACCAACTGTCTCTGTTTTTGTCCTTTGCCTCCCGCTCGTACTTCTGAATGGTTCTCTCGTCTACCGAGCCTGTGAGGTACAGGATCTGGCCACCAATGGTGGACTTCCCAGCATCTGCAGCAACCGAGAGGCCAATCTCTTGTGTTCATTCTAAACGAGCTAGTGCATTTACGATTCAACTTGGCAAAGAACATGCTAAAGAGGCTGCTCAATCACTTGCTGACTACTTGCGGCCTGTGCGCCTGGACAAGTTGCGAGTGTGAATGCGAACCCCAAATTCACATGCTCCGCACCCCAAGCCCACCCTAACCATCAGACTAACCTCACCCGGTCTCAAGCATTACGTAAAGAAAAATACGTTTTAGCCAACTTGAAGGGAGGACTCTGGGGGTTCCTCCGTGCAAGGTCAGTTGCCTGAGAAACCCGCTTCTTAGGATCTGGTGGCTTGACGACTAGCTTCAGCGGGATGCATTGCTTCTTTCTAGACCCAACATTCCTTACCCCTGCTAAATGCTAGGAGCCTCAGCTGAGCTCGTTGCTATTACAAGCTGATTGGTCTGCAATGCTGAGGACAACTGAGCCAAAAGTCTGACAAAATGCAGTGGGGCGGATCTGGTTGCATTCTGACAAAAAGCGTCAGATGCAATCCTCCTGACATCATTGAGATGCATCTGCCACAGAGCATATCTGCTTGTTTTTCGTCCCACCGCTCGCAGAACCTCATCAGACCACTGCAAGACATGGCTTCGATTGTAACCAAGTATGTTTTGGGGCAGTGTGGTAAACTGCATGCGGAAGCGCCACGGCCTGACGGCAGTTTCCAAGCCTCACGGAAGCGTCTCCAAAAGCGCCAACGAACTCACCAACGTGGCCAATGAACACCAGGTTCAAATGCTCCCTGTCATCCCCGAAGTCTGCCGGCTCCGCCGTTTCAGCGTCATGATGCTTCTCATGGTGATCCTCTTCTTCCTCATGAGATTCCGCCTCCTTTCCTGCTCTCCTCTCTGCATTGCAGAAAAAAGCACCCCATATGCCCTGGTGTAGATCTCTTTTGTATGCGGATAAAACTAGTTGGTAATCAACCAGCAATACGCCAATACAAAGAGTGCAAGCAATGCATGGACTGTTCCAGGGACTGAACTCGCGATTCTCAAGTAGGACCCTCAAGTAGTCGGTTCTCTTTTCAAGCGCTCATCAGAGAACCCTAAGCTTATTTGTTCCAGAATGGCTTGATGAAAGATTGATAACCCACGGTAACGGGGAACTGCCATCAGTGATCCAAAAAGTCTCTCCTAAGGCACACCTTGTCTTCGATTTCTGCAAAAGCATCATTGCAAAACACACCATTACCAAGCTTTTCTGGCTAAGCAAGCAATAGCTTTCGGCGCCTTCCAGTGTTCCTTGATTCTGTAGACTCTGACTGACCTGTATCATGCTGATCCGATACTTCCATTGCTGCGATCCCGCTTGCTGCTGCCTCAACTCCTGCACATAGAGGCAATCTGAAGATATGAAGAGGCACTTAAGAGGCACTTCATCAATACAAAATGGCATTACATTTCACCATACCTTGCTTTGCCCACTGTCCTTCATATCTGCCACCACCTTTTGGCAGACCCGCACACAGAGGAATGCGCATACACAGGGTGTGGAAACCTCCAATTTGCGCAAAATCCTTCACATCAACTGCTGCTTGAGAACACCAATAGGAGACTGGTTGCAATGCTCTACCTGAGCTGTCACGATCCTCCTTCTGTCCTACATGGTCCTCCTTCGACTGCGAGTCCACTTCCATCTTCTCCTCTGCAGCCGTCTCCACTTTTGCTGCATCCGCTTTGGCAGCTGGAGCTTCCTTTGCGCTGGTCGTCTCTGCCTTTGCCTCCGCAGGCTGCGGCTTGGCTGAGATGACCCCGACCTTCGCAGCTGGTTTGGGCCCGACAGAGCCGCTTGTGCTGACCGCGGGTTTCTCCTTGGGTTGGATAACCCCGACTTTCGCAGGCTGGTCCTTCGGCATCCCAATCACAGCCTGCTTCGCCGGCTGATCCTTCGGTATGCCAATCACCCCCACCTTCGCCGGGCCCTTCTCTGTTGCCTTCGGTTGCGCTGCATGCGGAGGTGCCTGACCCCGAGACTGGGGCGCCTGATAACTAGAGCCACCGGCCCCATAACCCCTGCCACCATAACCCCCTTGCTGACCATATCCCCCTCCTTGTGCACCATAGCCGCCCCCCTGCTGCTGATACCCAGGTTGCTGATAACCTGGCTGCTGATACCCGGGCTGCTGGTAGCCCGGTTGTTGGTACCCGGCCCCATATCCTGGCTGCTGGTAGCCATAACCAGGGGCACCATAAGCAGCCGGCGCCCCATAGCCGCCTGGAGCACCACCGTACCCGTAAGGTGGCGCATAAGTGGACGCAGAGGGATTGAAGGCGAAGGTGGGGGCATTGACATTCAATCGAGGGGCCCCTTGACCACCCGAACCCGGCGCTGCGGGCGCTTGAGTCTCGTCCATGTCCTCCCACGAATCTGGCTCCCCCATTGTGGAAGGGACCTGCCTTCCTAGAAACTAACCGTAACGCCGCCGGTTCTGAGCAGGAAAGCTTAAAATCCAAGTGAAAAGCAGGAGAGAGAAGCGCCCCTGCGCCAGCTACAAAGTCCTCTCACCGTCACGTCTCGACTTTTGAGAATGAAGATCTGAACTTTTCGACAAGACTGAACTTGAAGTTATCTGCGCGTCGCGGCCGGGCCGCCGAGAGCTTTCATCCGATCATGATCTGGCCCGCGCGGCTAGGACTCAGGGGCGGCCGCGTAAGCGCGCGCGGCTGATCTAGGGTTTGGAACAGCCCCCGCCAGTACGTGGCGACATTCCATTCGGCGCATGGACGGCCAGAATTCGGTGACCAACAGCTCGTGCTCCGGTCCATCCGGATTCAAATTTCGAAGTGAAGGGCTGGGACTTCGGTGACGGCAGCAAGCTGCAAGGCTTGGTCAATGGATTGTGGAGGCGCTCTGCCGAACTTCCAACTTCGTCGGGATTAGAGAGAGGGGCGCGCCATCGTCCTGAATGCTGCTTGCTCTGCTGCCTCTTCAAGGACTAGCTTCAAGCTAAACTTGCATTAGCAACGTGTAGCTAGCTACGGTAGCAACGTGTTTGGTTCTGGACACTCTAAGTTGGCTGCACGTAATGCCTGGAAGCTGATCAGAAGGGGTGCCGGATCCAAATATAAGTTGATTCGCAAGCTGATTCGCAAGGTCTTCAGAATTTCGGGAAGGTACACTTCCAAATTAGGCGTGGAGTGAATCAGCTGCTGGAGCTTGTCAGAGAATGCTAGCTGGTCGGGCATCTGTACAGTATCAGGAGGATTCAGCAGTTCAGAAAGGAGTGAAGCGCTTGTCTGAGGAACACAAGAGGCTGAGATAACACCGTTAAGATCGGCCTAACAGTACCTAGTTCCGAAGCATGGCAGATAATCCAGGGCAGTCTGGCCAGGAGCAGGATAACAATGCACTCTTGGAAGCTCTCTTTGGGGCCGGGCTATTTGTCCCAGGGGCTTTGGAAGGGGAGGCAGCACAGGGCTTTGGTCCAGCACCGGGGCAGTGAGTACCTTCATCACACGCACTACACACTGCACCTCACACCACTTCCACTCTAACACTGCTGACTGATCTGAAGTGACTATTTGCAGGGGGACTCCTGAACGCAGCCAAAAACTGAGATGCCTCTCCCATTGGACCAGAAGCACTTATGTGCACATCGCTGTACCTTGCCGCGTTTGCATTCAAATTGTCCGATCGTTTGGGGTGCTTTGGACCGGTTCTTCGCCAACAGATTGTCACTTTCATCAGCTTTCTGTCAAGAAGCATCAACTGTTGGATACTGCGGACCGGCTTTCTATTTGATGTGGAGGCTTTGATCCCGAACACGCTCAGTGCTGTGGATCCTCAAGAGACAGCAGTCAAGTTCGCTTTAAGATTTGGGATACATTCAGAGGAACTGCTGACTTGGAATTGGTGTGCCACACAAGTAGTCAAACAGCAGCTGCTCAAATCAAATGACACATTGACCAATAAGACCTTGACCTAACTCAAGAAAATGGCTATTCTTTTGCTCCTTTATGCTTTCGGTTTCTAGAATACCAAGTCACTAGGGCTGTGATGACACTCCCTGCAATCGATTGTCATCAGAACTTCCATTCAAAGTTCTGAAAGAACATGCATTTTCACAGTGTGACGAAGAGAAGGACAACTGCCCGAGCGTACGCACCTGGAAGTATTAGATAGTCCTGAAGAGACTGTACCTTTCAGAGGAGTGGTAAGCAGAGCAGTCACAAATCAAATCCTTAATACAAGCATCAGTCGATACCAGCTGATGGAAGGGCCAGCATCACGCGGCCCTCTCACCACTCTGCTCTTGGTTACTCTTCTCTTAACCTCACACCAAACTACACCACTCACGGGGTTTTGGGACCTGCTCACTGCACACCGCACGGCCACACCCCTCACCACGGCCAGCTCACATTCACCATGCAGGTCACCCCACCTCTCAAGCTTGCTCGACATGCTCCAGCAGCAGAGCACCCCAAAACCCCCGTCCCGCACAACCCCCCCACCCCACTCGCTAACCCCCGGCCTCCCAGACCTCCCTTCTATGCTGTCCGAACCAATCCCCCGCACCGCTTCGGGGGGGCTGGAATCCCCGATCTCCTCCATTGTCTACACCCCGGTCAACACAGCCGGTGCCGCGTCCCTGGAGTCGATCCTCAACCTTTCAACCCCGACGCTTCCCCGGACGAGCGAGGCGATCCGGAAGGTGGAGTCGCTGCGCGTGGCGATTGACAACCTGCCCCCCGGCGCGTTCCTGGAGGACGTTCTGTCCCCCAACTCGCGCGAGTTCCTCCGCGCGCAGCAGCAGCTCCTGGGAACGCCGCCCCAGGGGGGGGCGACGCCCGCCAGGGCAGCCCTGCAGCAGCTCTTCCAGAAGGCCAGCGCGTCTCCCCCCAAAGAAGTGTCCCCGTCTGCGTTCATGAACCTCGCGCAGGGAGGGGGGGAAGGGCTCCAGGGAACCGAAGCGCCCCCGTTCCAAATGAATGTCCCCGAGCAAGCATCGCCGGCGCACTTTGGGGCACAGCGGAGGCTTTCGTTGGACCAGTACTATCCGGGGGCAATCCCAGAGAGGCCCAGCGCGGCTGACATCACGGCGAGGTTCATATTGGCGCAGCAGGACCGGATGGATCAGCGGAAACAGCTGAGGGAGCAGGCGCGCCAGAGAGAAGCACAGCAGGTGGGCTTATATCTTATTCACCATCTTGAAGGACGATCCTAATCTGCTTGATCGAAGTCAGAAGAGAAGTGTGTAGGAACTTCATATCGAAGATTGCTGTTAGATGTTCTTGGCATGTTAAAGCTTGCAGTTATTGCTTGCTCAAAACGCACTTGTACATGCGAGTCACAGCTCCCACATTTGATTGGAGTACTGCTCCTCGCTTCGACTTAATGACACTTGTTCCACAGAGCTATGATTTTGCCTTTTGTGAAAGGATCAAGGCCTTGTGCATTAACGCACCATTGTCTCCTACGTTATGTCGGAAGTGTTGCAACTTTCTCAGTAACAGATTGATGAGTTCTCTTGTTCGCCGCAGTTTGGTGGCATCGGGAGCCCTCAGGCGAGCTACCCGACCGCAGCGTCCATGGCCACAGCGCAAAAGGCGGCCAAGCTGTGGCAGAGCGGTCCGCTGCAGGAAGCTCTAAACGAGTTCGTTGGAGAGCCCCCTCAGTCGATGCACTCGGGGATGCTTCCACAGGACAACCCGGCAGGGGCACGCGCGCGCGCTCGCGGCCTGGCGTATCCCTCTGGTCAGAGCTTCACTGTAAAAGCGGGGCCGAGTGGCGCCGCTGGGCAAGGGGGGCAACGGCCCGGGGATGCGCAGTCCGAGGTGAGATTCTGGTTTGACTAGTATGTGACGAGAGCAAGGCTATTGAGCGCGCCAAAGGTTGTACAGGAAGCTGAGCGGGCCGAAGGTTGTACAGAAAGATAAGCGAGGCCAAGTCGTCAGATTCAATTCTTCCAACGTCCTGCTGCAACTTCGAGCTGCTTTCTGTGTTGGGACTAAGGGAACGTGATTTGCTCAAGGGCAGGCTCTCTATCAACAAACCCGGATTTCACATGCTTTACCTTCTCCCCGTCCATCTCGAGGAGATTTGACTTTGCCTTCCGGTTTCCTCAAGCGCCCTAACTTTTCGTGCCTAAGCTCGACTTTCTTGCCACCCGAGAGCAGTACCTTATGAATCCAAAAGAAGATCCCTAAGGCGACACAAGTAAAGAGGCCAAGAGCTCCCTGTCAGATGGCTGGCCGATCTCAGACGAGTGGCAAGCGTGGAGTTCCGGGCGGTTCCGGCGACGAGGCAAGCGCAGAGAGCGCTCCTCAGAGGAAGAAAGCAAGGAAGCCCACGCCGGCGGCTTCAAACCCGCTCGAGCTGGTGAGCGTCGGACTGCGTGGCATTTTGGAAGGAACCTTCCATTCCGTATGCTGGCTTTCCTCAACATCAGTTTCCGGCACGTCCAGAGTTCGGTGCTGTCTCTCCACGAGCTCACCGGCGTCCAACCCTCGTGTTTCGTACAGTGTAACTTCAAGACAGGAACCTAATACATGACAATCAGACACACCAGTCGTGTGTTTCTACTCTCTCGACCTCACTCGAAAGTTGTACACAGATCAGTAAGCCTGAATCCCTCCCTGTCTTCCCGCAGCGCATTCCTCCTGCGCCCGTCTTCACCGCTGGCGGCCCCCCGGCGCCCATCGACCCCCCTACGCAGTACTTGCGCCGCCCGGGCCTCGAGCCCTCCGTTCGGCCGTCCAAAATCGCCCCCGGCCTGCCCTTCATCTACCAGCCCCCTACGGCGTCGCTTGACTTTCAGCAGGTAAAGTACACGCCGCAACAAGACCGTCTGCGTGCTGCGATGGTTTGATATATTGCCACGACCGTTTGAAAGTTTTTTGTGGAACGGCCGTTTAGTTGGCGGCAGCTTCCAGTTTCCACGGGGCCAAATCGACCAAATGGACGTCTGGCTTCTGATTGCGCATGGAAGCCCACCGTCTTCGAAGTGCGAAGAAGAGACTTAACCACTGAGACTATCACGCGTGGCAATCATGCTTCTGAACCCCACATACTTTTTGTTCTTGTCTTTGCTGGGTTGTCTCAGCATCCTGGGCGGGCATAGACTACGAGTTGCAGCTCAGCGTTGACGTTCCCTGCTTACTCGCGACCTTTATAACATCGGCTTCGCCTCAAGACCCGTAATGGCTTCAAAACGCAGCGTGAAGTCGAGATGAATGAAATTTATGTAATCTCCTCGTCAGCAAATGGCGGGATACGGCGGAGTGCATCTTCCCGCACGGAGCATGGAGACGCAGGAAAAGAAGGAGGAGGTTCTACCCGAGACCCACATTAAGACGACCCGAGCCAGGAGGGGCCAGGCGACGGACCCCCACAGCATCGCCGAGCGAGTGAGAATAGGCTCCGCGCTGGCTGTTAAGGAGAGTTTGCTGGTTTAGAAGTACGTACTTGCTGCCCTTTTCGATTCTCAGCATCGGTCTTGATCTGGTAAGAAACCGTTTGCTGAGGTTGAAGGTATGGGGTGTGCTGTTGACACAGCTGTTCTCGAACACGCGTGGCATTCTCAGGGTGCGAATGTGCGAAGACGTGACGCACGATTGACCTGACTGACATACGGTATAACACCTCGTCCTACCAAGATTCTACGGTTACCCTTCCAAGCCGTCTCGCTCCTACCTCTAGGCGCCTAACTCCTTCCGCACGCCAACCGAAAACGACAAAGCCTTGTCAATCCACACGTACTAGTTGCCTATGGTTTCGGGAGTATCTCGTCGCACGATCAAGGGTCCTCGGCTGAAACGCTTTTGTTCGCCGCTCGCAGCTGCGGCGCGAGAAGATCTCGGAGCGGATGCGGCAGCTGCAGGCGCTGATCCCGCACCACAAGTCGAACGACAAGGCGACCATGCTGGGCGAGATCATCGAGTACATCAAATTCATGCAGCTGCAAGTGCATGTGAGAATTCATTCTTCTCTAAGACCCCTTCAACCGCTGTCTGCTTGAAGATTTACTTCTTCAAGAGTTGATCGACACGCCCCAGGGATGCGATCCCAACCTCCTGTGCGAAAGAAGTCAAAGGCAGAGGCTTCAAGGTGCAGGATTACAAAACTAATGCTTCATGTAAAGTGTTGTAGTCCTTCCGGCGCATCTTATGTGTTGGGTCCTCCACTTCGATGATAGAAAGAGTTCCCAAGTTACCTGCAACCAAACTTCCATCTCACAGTCTAGTTTGGGCCTGGTTAGAAAGTTCAGGCCCACGCTTATGCTGGGTGATCAGACTCAACCAGAGTGTCGGGCACAGAAACTAACCTGCTTAAACACCCATCAATAGCTAATCTTACTTTGGTAGCGGCTGTGTTCCCAGGTTCCGGGCCGGGCTCAATCAGCCCATGCTTCATCAAGTCACCGACGAAACTCGGTTCGCTTATTTCTTATTCCGCTGTCTTCCGTAGGTTTTAGGCCTGGGCAAAGACACGGCGGCCCCCTTGGCGACCCGTATGGTGGGCCAGAAAATTTAACCGACTGGTGCGTCGAGCGCAGTCCGTAAACCGTACTCAAACACCCGTTACTTGATTAGGTTAACCAACTCACTCTTCATCCGCTGTATTCTTAGGTTTTGGGACTGGGCAAAGACGCGGCGGCCCCTTTGGCGACCGCTCTCCCTGCCGGCCTGCCCGAGGTCGCCAAAGGCCCCGCTGAGGGGCCGCTCCCAGTCCAAGACGCGTCCGTGGCCCAGGACTTGCTGAACCACCTCGAAACAGGGCCCGAGAGGGCCGTGCAGTATCTGCTCGAGCGGGGGCTTTGCCTGATGCCGGCGCCGCTGGCTGCGCAAGTGCTGCGGTCTGGGCCGGTGAGCGACCACTTTGGTTGGTGACTTTGTGACGTGGTTGCACGAGTTCTGATGTGAGCGATCGCTACCAATCAAGAAAGTACACTGGTCAAGCCTGGTGAGATGTCTTCGGAGGTGTCTGCTGCCTTTGCGAGCGCCCGAGGTACGACATCTTTTTGAAGAATAGGGGGCATCAATAGCTACGGCTTCTCTTGTCTGGTAATTCAAGATCTTGAAACACCGCTATTCGAGTATGTTGTCGGACTCTTCTACTGCGCATGAAGAGTTGTCTTGCTTCCGGAAAGATATCTAGAAGCAGTCGGGCTCTGTGCTGGCAAAGCATGGAGGTCTCACTCGCTCAGTTTGTGCGACTTGCCTTCTGTTACTGCCAAGAACATGCCACAGCCTTCCTTCCTCTTAAGCAAATCCGTTTTTAGCCTGCTTCTGACGTAACATTCACCGTGCTCCTCGGAGGATCTTTACAGTAGTTTCCTGTGGTTCTGACTTCATCCAGATTTTCCTGTCAGGCCTCCGACCAGCAGACCGCGCCGCCCGCTGGCCAAGCCACCAGCGGCACCGTCGTACAGGACCAGAGCGCCTCGGTGGCGTCATCCGCGCCCAGCAACGTCCATGTGCCGTCAGCAACCCAGCCTGCGCCCACCGAGCATGACGTCACCCCGACGACCGCCGTTCTGTCCGGGTGGGCGGAGGAAGAAGGTACGGACCGCCCCGCGGGGACACGGCGGACCTCCGGGGGGCTCGCAGTACCAACGGGCGTGCAGCCGTCGAGTCGAAGTGGGACGCAGCCGGGGCAGGGGAGATAAGCAGGGGAGTTTTGCAGTGGAGTCGAAGCGACAAGTGCTTCGGATTGATGGGCTACTAATGGGCAGCACTTCTTGAGGGCAGTGATCCGTCTGCTGGGAAAGGTGGAATGTGAAGCCTCGAGGCGAGTGGGCAGGATAATGGTTCGAAGTAATTGCTTACATGTCGACTGAAAAGCTTGGTAGAACTAACGGGAGCTGCGGAAAGGTCTACAAGACAGCCCAGGTTTGAAGGTAGACTGCAGAAGAGTTTGGATTTCGTTGGGTGGTGTAAGGGATTCATGCCGCAAACTGGTTGTGTCATTGTGTCAAAAGTCCGTATGAAACAATACATACGCTAGATAGGTGGGTGCAATGTGACTGACCACGAGTTTTGGAGTTCGTTCGTCATCTCGACGGGCAATCCTTAGATGAGTCTGCAGTCGCAAAGGACAGCTGCGCAGATTGCACACTGCAACTAAGACAGCCAACCATCAACGAGTCTTCATTTTGTAAAGTCACTGCAATCCGAGGATCGGTGCAACAAGAAGAAAAAGTTCCGCAGACTTTAAGTTCATGGAGTCAAGGGTCGTTAGCGTCAATAGACCGCTTTCACTGAAGAAGAGCTACTTGCACTTCGTCATCAAATCCTCGATTCGACTGTTGTAAGCACAAGGCGTCGGCCTACTGAGAAAGACTGTCCGTGTCAGACTATTATTTCCTCTCATGAAACGCTGAAATGCTTGAGGAGATCTGCCTGCCGGGCTGTGAGCATCATATGCCAATCTTCTTTTTACAAAGTTGACTTCCTCACTGTTGACTTGTCTACAAGTTGTTCCCGTAGGAATGAGGGACGCATGATGATCATGTTGGTACGCATAAGACAACTTGTCGAATGGTTTTGTGCATCTTATCGACTTGAGCATTCATTGATGGATGATCATGCATGCCTGATGCATGGCGGCGCGGTCGGCGGCGCCGTCCACATGATTGCTAGCGCCCGCGCGGCCGCATATGCCATCGTCGCGCCCGCGCGGCCGGAGATTCAATGATTGCAGGGTTTCGGTTTGCATGCAGACTCCAGAGTCCAGAGCTTGCCAATGGCAATGCTTGAAAGAAATGCTAGGAAAAGCTAGATCATAGTAGATGGTCTTAGAACCATCTTATGAACCATGGTGCATAGGTGGTGCAAATGGCAAACGTGCTGGAGACGACCTGCTCCCTAAGGCAGAGCCTTTAAGTCGAATGCTTACAGATCTTGTAAAGGAAGGATTGAATACGGCTTAAGTTATCGTTGCCCCTTTGTTGTCAAAGAAATGCCCTTCATGTGGTAGGTCCACTGAGTAATGGAGGAAGGTCACGAGAAGACAGACTGAAGTTTTACTAAGCTGATGGTCAGTCAATGTGGGAGCAAACAAATTGAATGAGGAATGCTCTCTTACTGTTGCAAAAGTTGCTGTAGGTCGTCAGAGGTGCTTTTAACCAAGTAAAAGTAGCATTCGACGGGAATTCTGCCCATGATTAGGGTGATGGTGCAACTACAGAGGGGCTGGTGAATCGGAGAGAACTCAATGGAAAATCCAGAAGATCAGGCCTGGCAGCAAAGCCAGGGCCTAGGAAGCCAGCTCCTTAGTGAACGGGATGAGTTGCTTGTGCAAGGGGCGGCTGTGGAAAAGGCGGCAGTGCTTGTAGACATGGTGAGTGTAAGTTACGCTTATACATAGTAGCGAATTCATTTTGAGCTACAAATCTTCTGATATGTTATACCACCAGCTCTTGCAGCTGGCGGGGAACCAAGTGCCTGATGATGACTGGGCCTACCTTATTTCCTGTCCAGGGAGTAAAAAACGAATCTATGGACGTCAACCCCTTGGTTGTATGACTCTTCGAAGAGCGCCAGATTTCTGATCTAAAAGTTTCTTATAAGCATATTTGAACGGTGCAGGAAAATCAGAACAAGCCATATAATCACTGAGCCCTGTTGATAGGATGGTGGTCAAGACTTTGACAGCCTCTTCTGGCTGGGCCGTCCTTCGCTTCCAAACAGGATTGATTCAGTAGTCACACCTCTTCAGTGACCAACCAAGATGCACGGAGGCCGCTTTCCTTGTTCAGCTTGCACAAATCACATACTTGCGATCCGATGACGACTCCCTTAGGGTAGCAACTGAGAACTTTACTAGCAACCTGATTAACATCATTACAGTCAAGCAAGGGTAGCTGATCGATGTGAGGAAGTTGAGCTTGGACACTCACAGGTTGCTCTTGCACCAGGCGCTTGATGGCGTTGGAATCCCCTTCGAGACCCTGAAAGAGGACGGCTCAGAAGCCGCCATGCGCGCATACCTTATATACCACAAGCTGGAGTGGCTGAGAGATGCAGCGGTGCTGGCTCTCCTAGTACTTCTTTTCCTGGAGGTGAGCGTGTGCCAGTCTTCCGATGCTCTCACTCTTTCGACTTTCTTTTCAAATATTCTCATGATTCTCTGTCGCTCTGCCAGAACTGAAATGAGAATAGCTTGTCAATCGATACCACCAAAAAAAAACATTTCTAAACTTATGCGTCAATATTTTGTACCACCAACGTCATGTCTCCTCTGTCAAAGAAAGTGGCCACCCTCCCAAACTAATCGGTCAGCAGGTTTAGAAGGCAGCCGCCTCAATGGCGTTTTCTTCAAAGAGACCAAACAAAGCCATGTTGGACTGACAATGAGTCTGCGTTGCAGGCCCCTCCCTGGATGCGCCAGATGTGCCCTGATCCTCAGCAATATCCACTTGGCAGCTTGCCCTACATATACGCACCGACTGTGGTTTCAGTACAGGCCGCATGCACGGTTCTCCTAGCGCTGGAAACGTGGCTTGTCCTACAATACAGAGGCTGGGGGGACTTGTGCAAAGCGCCAGTCCATGGGACCAAGGTAAGGAGGAAGAGTGTCATCTTACATAATGAACTCGAGTGACATCTGGCTGCCTCGGTCGTTTTCGTGGAAGTTGCCAGGCTGATTGACCACTCTGCTAGATTTAAAAGACGTTTCATCACCGTAGAAGGTGCAAAGGGAGTGCTTAGCGGAATTGAAGGTTTAACCCAACCTGCATAAGTGCAGCTTGACTCTTCAGTTGGAACAATGTTGAAAGAGTTGACGATGCAGATCCTCTTGCTGCTGTGCCTGGCTGCCGACTGCCTCTCCCTCGAGAACGACGTCTTCGTCCGTGTTGGCTACTACATTAGGATCCCCGTTGTCGTGACGTTTCAAAGGTGCGCTCTGATTACTTCTAACGCGCTTTGACAGTTGTCCAGCACGCACTCTCGCGACGAAAGAAGTTGCCATCATGCTTGTTTTGACGAATCCAGAGTTGCATTCATCATCGGCCGAGCCCTCCTGTCCTTCTCTTCGAAATGAGAAGGCCGATCCATTTCCTTTCCTTCGTTTCAAAATTCTCATCCGACCTTTGAATATCTTGACTGAGCGCAGGGAGCTGCGGGAGACTTTTTGCGCGTTGGTGCAAATTGTGCGCAAGTTTCTGGATGTCGTGGTGAGAGTCGCTACTCGCAGTCGAGCGCCGTTATCACAACTCTTGTAGAGTAGGGTTGAGATGCATCTCGACGCACGCGGTTGTTAGTCTTTTGGCGCCAAGAGACAAAATCTGGGCCTCAAGTCGCAGATTCTGAGAAGGCCATATGTTGTCGCTTGATCTGTATCGGCAATGGAACCCACAGGAACTTTAAAAGGCAAGTTCCCGTCAGGTGTTACAACATGAGAGGTGCGAGATGCGCTGTCTTTCTCTGATGCAGAGGGCATCTATTGGTCCGGTTGTCTGACAACAATCCGATTGACCGAAGCATGAATTTACGTTTGACGTTCCGCTTAAGTTCACCTCATTTCAGATTGCATTCACCAATAGAAAGGATACCATCTCCGTGCAGCTGCTGGTGTTTCTGTACATCGCAATCTTCGCGTGGCTGGGCATGCTGTTCTTCCACGAGAGCGAGGAGGGCCGCCAGTGGTTTCCCACCTACCAGCATTCCCTGCTCAACATGTTTTACCTCCTCACGCTCTCCTACAACCCCAACATCCAGATCCCCGCCTACGAGTGAGTGGCTTCGACGTTTGAAAGATTGTTACAGGAGATGAGGAGAGAGGGACTGGACGGGAAAGTGGTGCGAGGGAACCAGCCTAGAATTGACTACTTCAGTGTTGATTCCGCGCTTCGGGGCATTTCATTTGGTGGGGAACATCTGATCGGGCATGAGTACGGCCAGAAGTTTTGGGACAAAATGCGCTTGTGTTTCGTGCAAACAATACTAGAAGCGACTGTTGCGATATTATGCAAGCCGTTAGCACGCGAGGTCGTTTCGTCGTGACCGTCTGCGTCAAAGAATGCCCATATTCCCCTGCAAAGGTGACACGAAATGGAGTCCCTTCGATCAAGCCGCCAAACTTAATGTCCATCCACTGCGAAGGCTCTCACGAGAGATTCCTGACGAAAGGTGTCAGCTTTGATCTATGTTTAAGTACGCTTTCTCGAGCTCGGTGACATCGCTCATAGTTTTGACTTACGCCTCTGATTCTCTGCTCGCTTTCTTCGCAGGGCCAACCGGTGGTCGGTGTGGTTTTTCATCGTCTTCTTGGTGCTGGGGATCTTCATCCTCATGAACCTCATGCTCGCCGTCATCTACGAGGCTTTCAAGGAACAGGTGCGTGAAGCATAAAGTCTTCTCGGACAAATGAATATTCACGACACAGGCAGGGTTCTCCGGCGATCCCTCTCTCTAGAACAATCTGCACGCTCGTTGCCTGCTCTCTAGTGAGACCGCCCAATCCACTTGCTGACAACGATCGCTTCGTTTTTGCGCGTTTCTCTGCGCCATCTGCCTGTTAGCAAAAGGCGCAATCGATGAAAGCAATCATTCCAGAATTCGGCGCCTGCCTGTTGCAAATGGCGCATTCGATTCAAGCAATTATTCCAAAATTCGGTGACTCTGTTCTAAAGGTGAGCGCTGTTTGACTTGGTGCAGGTTGTAAAGCAGCTGGTGAAGGAGGAGAAGAACCGGGACCGGGACCTGAGAGCGGCTTTCCACTTCCTAGACGACCAGGTACGCTTAGCGTCTCTCGAAGTTTGTCTGCGCCTCCGTTCAGCCTGCTGCTTACTAAAGTTTCAGGGGCTGCCAAATCATCGGGTATCAATTCATCGGGTATCAATTCAGATTCCACGCTTGTGACTATGATCATTCTTAAGAAAGAACCTAGTCCGACGTTTATCGTACGCGAAAAGGACGGATGCTACTGGATCATCGTGAGCGCTTCTTGCAGTTCGTATCCGCTTGCGAATGATGACGTGATTGGACTTTGAGTGACTACTCGTCCATGTTCGCTTGCCCTGCCTCAGAATTCATCCGAGAGCTGTGTCAACAAGCTCTGCCTCGCTCTCTTGGCGTGCCTTTGTGCTGGTATCAGCGGCTAATAGGTGCAGAGATGCAACTGATTCTCAGCCGACAAAAAGCTCGGCGGCCGTTGCCATTTGCAGGGTCGCGGTTGGATCAACAGCTCGCAGATGGTGGAGCTCTTCACAGCGCTGAGTCGATTTAGGTCAGAAAGTTTGCAGCGGCTGACTTGTATAGTATTTTTTGGACTTGACGTTGGGTAGCGGCCGTTCAAAAGGCATTTACTGGCTGAGAGAGGGTCCGGTCACAGCCATTCTTACAGTGTTGCGCTTTGGCGCTTTCCTTTGCTTGCTGCCGCTTCGAGCAAAGAGCACACAAGCCCCGTCTTTCGGCCTGCTCAGTTACTCTGGTTCAGAATTCTACGTAACGTGAGAGAGCATCTTTCTTGATCCTGGCGTTCCTCACAAGTTGTAGAGAGGAACGAACGGCCCCTGGTTTTCTGCAGGAGCGTGCCGTCTCTGCAAACGATGCAGCTCTACTTGAGCGAGCTGAACTCGGAAGAAAGCTTCAAGGCGAGTCGCGTGTCGCTACCACTCTTCGAACTCCCTCGTAGGCCGAGCCTACCGCAGATTCCTGGAGTCTCTCAATGCATAGCACGCCCACGCCTTCTCGGGCGTTAATTGACGCGGTCATAAAATGCCCGACATTTGAGGATGGTCGGTATCCGGACTAGATATTGTGCTTTGAGGAAGTCAAGTGCAGATTTGCACGCTTACAACACGTAAAGGAGCCCAAGGTCACGGGGCCGAACCGAAGATTGAAGTGACAAGTGCCATGGTCTTTTGTTCGCTGGCTGAAGATTGTTATATGCGGGCGGACGAGGTGCTGATCTCACGTGCGAAGCGCTGAGGCTACTCTCTGTCCGCCTGCAGGTGACTGAGGACGAGTTTCTGGACCTGTGCCACGTCATCGTGTCGAGATTTGTCAAAGTCGAAGAGGTGAATTCCCGTTTCCAATGTTGAAGCTTTCACTTCAGGTTTTCAGATCTTCCAAGATCTAGGGTTGAAGGTCAGCGGCATGTTCGGCAGTGGCAAACTCTGCAACAGTCCGACACACCGCGCACCTTTTTTCTCGCAGTATGAGCGGCGCTTCTGCCTGTAAACACCTTTGAGCAGATTGCGAACATGGCACGAGCTTCTTTCAATCCTCTTACCACTCTCTTATCACTTTCTTTCAATCCTCTTACCACTCAAATCTGTTCTAGAGTGGCTGCGAATTGGGGTATGCGTTGCTTGACAGGATGCAAACTTCCCCCCATGATTACAAGAGCTTAAGACCCTGTCCTTTGCAGCCGCACTTTCTGGAGTCCTGCTGGCCGGGCCTTTTCTTCTCCGGGAGTTTCCAGACTTTTGCGGCGATGGTCGCACACCCAGGGTTTACGATGGCGGTTGACGTCATCCTCCTGCTCAACCTAGTCGTGCTTGTCATGGAGGGCATGGTGAGCTGCGCTCTGGTTCTTTTGTGAAGGCTGTCTTCCGCTTTGCGTGTCTGTTTCCGCAGGACAGGCCTGCTGACGACGGTCGCTTAATACAGAGAGGGCAACCTGCTTTTGTACAACAAAATTGATTGAATGAAACCGGGTACATAAGATTCACAACCTACTGTAACGCAATGCTCGTAAGACCTTCAAGCTATAGCAAAACAACGACCTCTTGTCTCAATCTCTCAACTTACCGCAGCAGACCCTAATAAATGTTTCCAACATTCAAAAGCTAAATTGTCGCTACAGCAGCCGAGAGGTCCGATCCGCTTCTATATCACAAGTGCCTGTGGGGCGCAGTTTCGTCAGAAGTATTCTGCGGGCTGTATCTCCTCATTCAGGCATCCCAATGCCCCAAGCAGAACAGAAGAACTGACGAAAACCTCAGAACTTAGACGGGCTTGTCTCCGCTTGTCGAGAAGGCCTTTCCAAATCTCACCTAAATGCTTGTTCACAGACGTAAAAGACAAAACGACTCCTTCAAACCGCTCTTCCGCAGACAGACATGTCCGACTCACCGTCGCACGAGTACTGGCTGTGGGGCGTGTACGCTTTCGGCGGGCTTTACTTTGTGGAGATGGCGATGCGCATTCTGGCGCGCGGTTGGGGCCCCTACTGGCGCAGCTTCCGCAGCAGGCTTGACTGCCTCACCACGCTCGCCATAGGTGAGTGTCGTTTATTGCAGTCTGAGAAATACGAAGTGTTTCTCAGTGACGTGAACTCACTCCTTTGGGGCTTCTCAGTACTCACGCACCTTCCGTAGCAGGCTCCATAGCCTCACCAGGCTCCCCATGTATGGCTTTATAATATTTGCAGAATTAAGGTTGCTAAGTGGCTTACCCCCTACTTTGGGGCTTTTGGGTGTTGACGCAGCTTCCGCAGCTGGCTCGACTGCTTCACTACGCTCGCCGTAGGTTCATCCTAGGAGTTGGAATATAGCACTTATTAAAAACTTGGGTTTTAGCTTTTGAGGCGTATGCTACTGTTGTTTGCGTACTTCTTTTGATGACTTTGCCCGTTGCAGACATTCGGGGTATTTGTCTATTCCATTTTGAGGACGTCGCGCTGCGGCTCACCAGCATTGCCATGAGTTTGTATCTCTACAACGTAAGCTTTTCCGCCATCTTTTCCGAATCATCTGCCCTCGGTGGCCTTTTGAGCCACCGTCGACCATCTGTGATTTATCCTTGATTTCGCTTACATCCAATCCGTTCCGGTCTCTTCCCTTCAAGACGAGACCACGCAGGTTTCCTCAAGATCATAAGTAGTTGTCAGCGGAACATACATACATAAAGCTTACCATACTTTGAGCACAAGTTAAGCACTCCTCCCCCCAGGCGCGTGCTTCCTGCTGTCCAAGATCTCCGGCCTCTCCCTCAAGTTAAAATCACGCGCGTTCCCTGGACAGCATAACCAAACGTTCGCGAAACATTTATGCGATTTACTGTACTTTGACCACAAACTTAAACAATGTCTCCTCCCTCCAGGCGCGTCCTTCCTGTTGTCCCCGGTCTCCAGCCTTCCCTCCAAGACAAAATTACGCGTTTTCTCCGGAGATCATAAGCACACGTCACCAATCAAAAGCCAAGAACACTGTGTAAATAGATCAGTTTGTTTTAGATGATCATTCAACCGACCGTTCCTTCCCCCAGGCGCGTGCTTCCTGCTGTCCCCGGTCTCCGGCCTCCCCCTCAAGACGAGAACACTCGCGTTTTCTCTGGAGACCATAAGCACACGTCACCAATTAAAAGCCAAAAACACTGTGGCATATAATAATCTGGTTCAGGTGGCTTTTAAACCGAATATTCCTTTTTTCCTAGGCGCGTGCTTCCTGCTGTCCCCCGTCTTCGGCCTCCCCCTCAAGACGGACTACGTGCGGTTTTTGGAGATCACCCGGGTGCTTCGGTTGCTGCACCTGCTAGGCGGCCTGCGCCGCTTCAAGATCATCGTGCGCACGTTCCTGCGGCTCCTCCCCGCCATGGCCCCCCTCATGATGCTCCTCTTCTGCTTCCTCTGCCTCTACTGCGCGGTCGGCGTTCAGGTGAGCACGCGTTTTGGCTGACCCAGTGCAGGGACAGAGTACACGCGCATTTTCGCGTTTTTCTACGGTTTTGTTTCCGCCTTGGCCCGCCTTGGCTCCCCTCGTGATGCTCCTCTTCTGCTCCGCTTCCTTCACTGTGCGGTCGGCGTCCAGGTGACCGCGCACTTTTCCGGACTCGGTTTAACAAAGGGTTGAAGAGGGTGGCTAGTGCGCCACATGCACGCGCGTTTAGGTCGCTTCTTGCTTTGGCCCTTTGCTTTGACCCGTCCTCCTCTGCCTGCCGTGCGTCTGGATGAGCCCGCGGTTCTGGAGATTAAGGTGTATGGGAGTGCGCGGCTTGCTGCGCACTTGGGTCGCGAAATGTTTTGCAAGAGTTGCTCACGATGCCTCTCTTCTGCTTCCTCGGCCTCCACAGCGCGCCCCTTGCCGAACCAAAGGGTGAAATCAGTGGGCGCCGGTTGCTGCGCAGAACGTTTTTTAATGGAGACAGGCTCGCCGCTCTAGCAGAAAATTCTCAATAAAAGGTTTCAAAAGTTAATTTGTAAAATTCATTTCTCCTCAGCCCTCCTGAGGTCGCTTATGGTGATTCCTTTTCTGTGCGCCGCTTTTCTTGTCTGAAACCAGACCCGCCTCCTTTAGGACCCAGCTTGATGCTCCCCATGTTGTTGCGGACGAACGAGCTTGCAAGGGCCTCACGTCATACCTGGTCCCTTGACGTCAGCTCGACTTTGCTTGACGTCACTTTTCCTCTCCCTCAGCTCTTTGGCGGGCTGGTGTACAAGGGCAACCCGGACCTGGAGAGCACCTCCTACGTACAGAACAAGTATCCCCCACCGCAAGCGTTCCAAACCCAGCTGTGTGCATTCTGGAACGGCCAAAGTTTAGTTTGTCTGCAGCCTCGCACTGTTATCTTGACCTCCGCTCGGTCAGAGCGAGCACCAGCTTCCTTTCCTCCTTTCCGACTTTGATTCGCTTGCATCTGGAGTATTTTCAGAGCCGTTTTCAGAGCCGCTTTCAGGCAAGACACCGTATGCTAGACAATTACAATTCCAATTTTGCTTGCCAACCTGTCAGTGCTTTAGTTGCTCTAAGGGCTCCCCTTTGACATCTCCCTCTCCCAAACTTATCGCGCCGCAACGTCAACTTCATATGGCATTTCCTTGTCGTTTCGTATCGATCCGCCGTCTGAGAGCAATCGTCGGTCTAATATTTCTTTCTTGTCCGAGCCCTTCCCCTCTGGGAGACCGCAAATGTTCCGCCCTTGACCGGAGTTCCGCCCAGCTTCACGAGCCGCAACTTCAACGACTTTGCGAGCGGCATGGTCACCATCTTCGACCTCCTCATGGCCAGCAGCTGGCTGACGTACCAGGACGTAAGCACGCTCGAAACGCGACGTCATCCACGTTGACGGTCCTCTCATTTCGTTCTTACATTGTGTTGCAGATGATGAATCTCATCGTCGTTTCCTGCATCTTGAATTCTGCAATGGCGGCCTGATTGCACGTGCTCAACTGGTTATTCCGTCAGACTCTTGCGGAGCTGCACACCAAGCTTGAGACAGTCGGCTTTGCTCCACGAGAGTTGACATGCTATGGTTCTTATGCCGTCGCATCTGGGGCGGTAGGCTATCTTGCTCACGGAGTTCAAGCGTTTAGCTTCTCTCTTTCGCCCTTACAGTCAACCCGCAGAGTAGGCACTCAGATTCCCCTTTTCGAGCGCGAACCTTCATTGGTCCGCCAAGTCCGCCAGGAAGTTTCCGAGCCCATCCGATTATTGGAGATTTCCCGCATCCAGAGTGTGGGTCTGCCGTCTAAGGGTCTGCCGAAGTACCTTAGGTAAACCGTTTGAAGCTCCCCTCCTTTCTGTCCGCAGGCGTTTGTACGGGCCACCCACAACCAGTGGACGTCCGTTTACTTTATCAGCTTCTACGTCTTGGCGATTGTATACATGCTGAACCTGGTGAGCGCAGCAGCTTTTCACACTCATGTAAAATAAACTAATTGAGTTACAGTTTCCAGAATTTGAGGACTGAAGCGATGGATGTTGCCACCAGCCAAGCTAACGTGGGCTGACTTCTTCAGCCTCGACAGTCTATCTATGCCACCATGGTAAGCGCGAGCGATCTTTGAGGGCTTCCCGGGATTCGTGCGGAAATGTTTTTTGTTCTCGTCTGTGGGGTTAGAGACTTTCATTCATCATGAAGGCCAATGCCCATCCGGAGCTGCGGCTTCACTCGCCGGACCCAGGTCGGCACGAGCGGCTCCAAAGTATCTCCGTCTCATTGTCGCAAGAGGACGAGGCAACCGGTTTGCCGCAATCCACTGAACTCGTCTCGTTCCTTCCGAGACTGTTCCTTGCCCCTTGGGATGAGGAGCGGGGCGATACGGGACCTGTCTACAGGTCGTGCGTATAGGTCTTCTTCGAAAGTAGTAGGGACTGTCTCGGTGTTAGGATGAATGTTACCAAGCAAGGACTGAGGACGTTGAGATAAATGCACTTGACGTCACCCCGCGCAGGTCGTGGCGTTCGTGCTGTCGGCTTTCGTGACCCAGATGAAGATCGAGGAGCGGCGGGAAGCGAAGAGACTCAAAGTGAGTAGCGGCAGTCCACCTTCGCCACTCTGCTTGCCGCTCCTACCTACGTTCTACGAGGGCTTGCTTGCAAGTTCTCTACTTAGGATCTGAAAGGTTTCTGGGTAGAGAAAGAGTTCAAATTCACCATCACACTTTCCTTGTCTGCACAGCTCAAAAGCAATCCAAAGTACAAAGTGCAGTCGTATCCACTGAGAGAACTCAGTTCAAAATCCTTGTTCGCACGCCTCAAAAGCACATCTAGTAAATTCAAACTCCGATCAGACTAATTGTAAGAACACCAGTGGACATGGATAGAAGCCGACCGAGAAAAGAAACATTTTTGCAGGCGCTTGCCGACGGGCGGCTCATACAGCCACAGTCCCCCGGTGAGAGTTCCGGCTCTTCCCGCCGGCCACCTTACACGTTGCACAGCAGCCCGAGCAGTCTGCGTTTGATAGAAAACATGTTCAAAGCCGAGCTAGAGACCGCCAAGATCGAACAGGGATTGTACAGTTATGACGGAAGCGTCGGGTCACGTGGGCGGGGCGACGGTTTCTTGAGCGACATTGGATCTGGAAGCGAGATTGAGGACACGGATAGGAGGGGAGTGACGGAGAGGAGGAACCGGGGGTCCAAACGAGCGAGCGCGCTCTTTTTGGACGAGGACGATGTAGCATAGCACGCAAAATTTATCCGAAAGGCTTTGTAGCCGTCTACAGCAAGATGATGTGGGCCGCTCGGCGTAAGGAGAGAGGGAGGCTAGCGCCAAAAAGGGCAGGTGTCGCTAAAGAGTACCCCCGGGCAGGGCAAGGAGTTTAATGCGTTTACCGCATTGTTCTACAGTTGTGTTTGGATGAGAAGGGGTACTGAAACTTCCGTGTCGTATTAGAGTCGCTAGCTTGGGTGGTACTTTGCTGCTTGTCGCTGTTGTTGCAAACGTTCTGTAGAGAATCAGCGTACAGGTCATGGCGGCCAGACTGTGAGAGGTAGAACCATCACGGATGTACATTAGACATCTGGTCGACGGACTGAGCATGCTCGAGCACACTGACCACTACACCTACATCAAGTGGTGCGGTTGCATGCAAGGATCTATACATATCAACCATGAGTGGCCATCAATCTGGTTTACTTAAGTTTGATTGATCCCATCACAATTATAGCCGCGCTTCAGCTATGATCGATTGAAAGCTATTCCGATTCATGTACGTGCGTGATCAGTTGTACATGCTACGTCTAGCTTCTAGCTGATTCGATCAGTGTATACTCATGGCGGCAGCTGCAGCATGGCATAAATGTTGGATGCACCGGGCGGCCAAAACGTCTCAGGAACAGACGTCTCAGGATCACTCAATTGGCAATGTCAGATCGATGACAATGATGTGTGCCTGATCGATGTGCGTAGCCAGGCTTTGCATCGACATCCTATAGCATCTGGATCTCGGCTTCAAACACTGCCGACTTCACGAGACCGGCAGGAAAGAAAGAACTTAACCACAGGCGGGTCCGGGGGCGACTCTTGTTGGTCGGAGGGACAGCGAGAGTCCAACGCGGCTCAATGTTGCTAGGCCAGAGTGACATCTCGGCAGCGTACGATCTGTTTGACTGACAACATCAGCGTGCTTGAACCTCCTAGTTTCCAAAGAAAAGCTCTGCATAAAGTCTGCCATTGATTCGGTGTCAACTTGATCTCTGGGCTTGTCAAAAAGATGGTGGACCCTGAGCTCCGTTCCTCAGCGTTCAACTTGGTACCTTAGCCCATTCGTAAGATAACTTGCAACCCAACCCATTCGTCTCTTTCTGTACGTGGAAGGTCACTGAGACATTGGGCCGGTCAGCCGCATTAAGCCTGTGTGTCGACTGGGTGCTTTAATCCAGTTGGTCCAGCGCTGTCGAGAGAGTAGCTCGAAAAGAGGAAGCGATCCTCAGCCCCCGTGCAGTGTAGAGATGAAAACTACGGTGTCTCCGTCCTCCACGGGAGACGCTAATCGGCCGCAGAGCTCCCAATCGCAGTCATTAATGAGGACGAGGATGCCGGGTCGCCTGACAGACACAAAGGCTGTGGATCAGTAGGTTGCTGCCTGGACCACCTTTGAAAGAAACAGGGGTCGTCTCCTACAAAGTGTTGCTTTTCAGACCCAAATAAGGTCAGTACACAAGCGATTTCGGACATGCAACGAACATAACAGCTGCGGCTTCGTGGCAGCCAGATACGAGCTGTTCTCTTTTGAGCAAGATGCGCCTTCAGAGCACTATTTCGTGTAGTTCTGCTGCCAGGTGACGTTCTGAGGTGCTTAGAAAAGCGTCACATTTTTTTGGGATACGACCATGCTCAATCCTTATGAGCACACCCGAAGTCTAGGGCTGTCTTGTTTGTGTCATGCCTCGCACAAGGTTCCAGAAAAAGCAAAATCCTGCACGTGGTGAAGAATTCCATTTTCTCAGAGGCAACAGGCCATTTCTAAGAAGGATCAGTGCGATGCAAGGCTCACACTGAGTCCCCTTTCAGGAACATCTCTGGGCGCTCCTTCAGCAAGTTGCCCCGAATCCATACTAGGAGGTCTGAAATGAGTACCTGCAAAGTGCGCTGACTGTTGAAAACAAGCCTCCAATGGAAGCAAACAAAAGAAAAACGGGGGAAAAAAAGAAAGAAACATGGAGAGGAATGCCCCCAGTCACTTGCACCTTAAGACACAGGATAAAAGAGCAGAAGAACGCGAAAGAAGAAGTAACCTTATGCCCCCTCTCACTTTGCACCCAGCCACGTGCCTGGTGATAAAACCGGGGCCCTGTTCCAGGCTGGGCAAACCTCTGCTTAGCCACCCCGGCCGCCTAGAACCGAGGCCACTGCATTTAGCAAAGCAACGACTGGGATCTTATACATCAGAGCCTCTACAATGATTGGTCAACTACAGCAAACTGGTACGGTGGCAGAAAGTCGCCAGGTGGCAACGTTTGCATCATGTTTGGACGAAGGTGTTTACCAAGAAACATGCCAGCTGCTACCTGCCGCAGGAAGATACAGAAATTATCCTGCCGGATCTTTTTCAGACCAACATGTCAATCGATGTGGGGCTTGGCTTCCTTGTACCTAGCACCACCGCCGGCAAACTAGAGAAGCGAGTGTTCCGAACTACAAGGGTCGTTTGGAAGGTATGTGAAGTTCACACCACCCATATGAGCTTTTCAAAGTAAGTAACTGGTTGTTGCATCAATCTGGTTGCAAGTCGACACTTCAGAACGATGAGAGCATCCCTTGAAGCACAAACATCCGCAGAGTGGCAGCCCGCGACTAGCAACCAGGTGTTGGGCATGCAAAAGTTGTACTCTGTAACAGATTGACAGCTTGGTCCATGTTAAGAGGTCGACCGAGCATGTTGAACACCACCACATTTTAGATATAAATTCTTTTGAAGCGGTCCATAATTCCACTAGCAGCATTGCCTAGCATTAATTGTTAAAGTTGCTCCTTTCCAAATGTTGATGCGTCTAACGAAACCGGATTGCGAGGGCAATTGTTCCCCAGTTCTTACTTGAATAGCACCATCCTTGGCGGGTACTTGCACCTTGTGCTGCTTCACATCGCCAAAAAGTAACTCCAAGCCCCCGCTGAACTCCAAGTTAATCTCCACCATCTTCTCTGTTCCTCAGACCAGAAAAAACGTTTGTAAGCTGTTCCTTCATCAGCTGATTCCTGTAGTAAGCTCTTGCACTAACACTAAAAACCTAACCCGCAAAAACACCCGCTCCGCACTTGTACCCACCTAAACCCCCAATTACTAACCCCACCCGTCCCAGCCTGCTTATGCATCATCCCTCATGGTAGACTCTTCTAGCTGAACTTTTTCGAGTGTCAGATCGAGATAGGGTGTTGAACCCTAATTTGTAGAATACTGGTATACCTAGGAGGAGTCACATATGTATGCCGCGCAATTTGCATGCAACGTAGTGATGATGACGCGTGATGATGACTCATGCATCGTGCACCCCGAGTCCGACCTGCATAAGGCCGATGGGGCCAGGCGCGCCGCGGGAGCCGCGCGACCAACTACGGTGTACCAGTGTTTCCCATGGATTCTGGCGCAACCGGGCACTCAGCCGGCAGCCCCCGATTTCTGCCGGCCAGCTCGTCGCGACGGCCGGCCCGAGCAAGTCGCCGCCACTTGTCAAAAACTTTCGCCCGGCGGAGTGTCAAACTCTCTGTGTTTTTCAATCGGGTTTGGACCACTTTCCAAAGGTTTTGAGCGGTTTTGAGGACATTTTGACCACTGGGAAGTCTATTAAAGGGTATGTTTGAACCTGCACAAGAGCCAAAGTGCTGACTTGTATCTATACGCTGGTAGCCTAGCCGGCAGGGTATCGTTTCTACCGGCTGCAGGCCTGCAGCTGAGCCGGCGAGGTGCCTTCGGCACCGGCTGAACCCGGTGCTCGGCCGGCCCGGATCGCTGGTATCGACCGGCTATGGGAAACCCTGCGGTGTACCTGGGCTGTGTGCGGTTACCCGTTGGAACTATACCGGTAACTCTCGTGTAACCTAACGGGCGTGTGACCTAAGATACGGACTACCCGGGCATTTCAAACTAAAAGTCTAACCAAGATAATCACCCGCTCCGCACCCCAACCCACCCTAACCACCATATCAACCCCACCCGTCCCCCGGGTGCCTATCTTAGGTCAGACGGCTCTAGCCTCTTAGGTCACACGAGAGTTATCGGAGTGTTGAAACTTGGTACCGTGCGAAAGGTACCGTCTTCAGTGTGCACTTCGTAGGCTGTTATTACTAAATAGCTCCGAGTACCGGCCGATGCCCGGCCCGGTACGATTACCGCCGACACGTACCGGGCTAACGGCGACCGCTGCTGTCAACACCACAAGTCACGACTCACAAGTCACGAGTCGGAGTCACGAGACGCAAGTCAGCGCGCAGGTAACTTATAGGTACGTACGTCCTTCAGGTGTTCAGTCCTGATCCCGGTCCGCACTTCGCAGGTACCGATACTCGTTTTCCCAGTGATCGAGTCGCCGCACACAGGTCAGGAGTCGCGTGGCTCACACATTTTCGTACGGACTCCGGACATATCAACGGTCGGGACTCCGGAGCCAGGAATCGTGCGACTCGCGGAGTGCCAGGGGCGGAGTGCCATGGGCGGTCTCGGTACCTGTGGGGATAGTCCCACAGGTACCGTCTGTGTTGCCTGTGGCCTGGTCCGAGGTCGGATCATGATTCATGAGTCATGACTACCGGTACCTACGTGTATGCCTAGTATCGGTATCACGGTTTCACGTTCCATGACCTCGGCGAACCACTACTGTCTGTTTACAACAGCACAGCGGGGTGCGATCGAAAACCGTAGCCTGACTCCGTATCAAGTAGGTATAACACTTCATTTGCCCCAAAACCTATTCTATTATACGTCAACATTCCGCCTTCCTGTAGCCTCAGGCTGTAGGACGACGCTTCAGAATACCTAAACCTTGCATGAGGTTGAGTATGTAGGTACTAGGTAGTACCGGTAGTATTATCCTCATATGGCGGTAAGCCATAGCTCTTATTTGCAAGACTGATCCATCATCCCAGTATGTACCGTAACATGTACTGTGTACTTAGGTATGAAGGTGATGATCAGTAGGTACCGTTACCACCGTAGCTAGGGCCGGGCCATTGCCCGACAACAAATCGGAACATGGATTCTATTATTTCTCACTCCTGAATCCTGGTCGGCCATGACAACTACCGTACCAAATTCCAATTCCGGAATAAACGTTCTTTGATTTGCCCAAAAATCTGGATTGAAAATAAATTCTAATTAAAGACTTGCAGACCGGTTTGCCCTGTGGAAAAACAACAGAAATGGATAGATGAAGCTGCCCAAAATCCATGAAAATCAAGATACGAAATTGATTATTGGGCAAAAATCTGCCCAACCGGACATTTGGTACGGTACGGTTGCCGGTACCTACCTACCTGCCTACCTATCTAGGATCACGCCTAGGTAGTACTTAGGTACATGGTAGGTAGTACCGTAGTAGGTACTATGTACTACCTACCTATTTACACCTGCACACTGCACACTGCACAGTGCCCACTGCACAGTGCACACCAGTCCATGATGACGCAAGATGCCGATTGCGATCAAGTTCTGAGCCTGACATCTGGCAGCTGTTTAACCCCACGGTACAAACGTGTAACATGCATGGACTGGAGAGTCCGGACTTCGGGAGGGTACCTACTGTAGTACCTACCTAATAACTCCCACAGGCCACACATCGTATTTTGATTGGGTGAATCTTACCGGGAGAGGCGATTGCGCTATCCAGGATAGGCCCGCTTTGTGGCGGCCACATCGGAACGGTTATTTGCATGGATGATGGTACCCGAACTGCGGTACCAGCTCCTGGTTGGAACCTTGCGAGGTGACAGGTACCGGTACTTTGAACCTTCCAACCTACCGGTATCGTCGTTCTAAGGTTTGTGCCTACCTCCAGCGTACCGGGTGAAGAGTCCTGCATGGCAAACTCTGTACTACGGTAGGTACCTGTACAGAGTCCACGGACCAGCTCCTACTAATATGTACCTACTCCCGACCCCCGACTCCCGAGCCTCGAGAACTCGTGAGTCGTGTGTCAGAATCAGGACTCAGGTGTCACCCTGTACAGGCTGTACCTAGTCAACCAGACTGTCAGATGCTGATCATGACATCAGCCTTCCTTCAGGTTGAAAACCTACCTAGCTCTGAGACTGCCAGTGCAGGCTGTGCAGCGTTCTCCTTTGACCTTTTTGGGACGAGCGTCGAGCACACGAAGTTCAGTCTTCAGAACTCTGGAAGAACCACTGCCCGTCACAGGTCCAGTGTGAAGGAAGAGAAGGATGGTGTGAGCAATTCCTTTCGCCACAAAGAAGTTGGGACGGAGCAACTTGGGTGCGAAAGCGGGTCTGATTGCTCCTTGAACAAGCAAGGTATGCGTCCATCTACATGATTGGGCTTTCAGCAACAGGTTCAGGCTGATCAGGGGGTGCTGTTCGGTGGTTGTGCTTCCTTTTGCCGTTGTTTGTCCTCGCACTCTGTCAGCTTGCATATTGTGTTCTTGTAGCATTGGGTCAGGACAAGGCCTTCCTTTTTCTGTTGAGTGTCCATGCAGTTTAGAGCTTACATGTGGCTTTTGTATCCATGGGTCAGTACAAGGTAAAAGAGGCGAAGGGACGTCAGAGTTTTGAAGAGTTTAGGGACGTCCTCGTAGCTCTCCTTAAAAGTCACAGTGTTCCCTGCAGAATGTGTTGATCAAGGTTGCTACTGGTGTCATTGTCAAGGAGTCAAGGCTCGCATAGAGCTGATCTCAGCGAAAGGCTTAACAATGTCGGTCCAGACCTTCTATACATATTTGTGTTGAGGGAAGCATCCAACCTGCCAATGCAAGTGTTTGTTCAACTTGCGTCCTAAATCCTTCCAGCAGAAATTGTGTCACTGCTGTATTAACCTGACAGCCCTGCAACATAAGCACCAGGCTGTTGAAACTTTGCTGTCAATCCTGTTTGGCTGCTTGCGAGCCTTGCTCAAGCGCAGGCTTGTCCTGTATTCGCATCTGATGCGACTGGATGCTCGCAAGGCCTTCGCACAGGCTTGTTTTGGATCTAGAAACTTATATCTGGGACAATGCATGGCCAGTAATTCTTTATGCAGATGCATTGTTTGTGCCATTGGCATTATGATTGGGATAGACCATCATGTCCTGTGTGAATTGTCTCTAAGAAGTGCATCTGTTTCTTCCATAGGTGTTCCATCCTGCACCAACTGCAGAAGCCTATTCTGGGAGCAAGTGAAGAGGCACACGCCCAGGAGGGAACTAGGCTGTTGGTACCAGCTTGAGTGCTCACTCTCTGCACTAGCATGGATGGACGGGAATGCAGCGGCAAAAGGCGTGTCTGGGGACCATGGAAGAATCATACAAGAGAACGACAGCTTGGACTGGTTGAAGGACAGGCTCCAAGGCCTTGGTCATCCTCTTCCCGACAATCGCTTGCCCTTTACTCCTGACTGGGGGGATGGAGCATCTGGGTGGAACAATGCGAGTGGAAACACGAGCCGACCTGCTTCAGGGGGCAACCTTCAAGGTCGCTTTCCTCCCATGGCGCAGGTCATTGGTCCATCGGGAGGTGTGCAGTCCGCCTTCATGCCATTCCAGGCCCCTCTGGTGCCGCCGTTAGCTTCTTCCATGAATGTCAGGGAGGCTCCTGCTGTTCCACCTCCCAATCGCTTCCGATTGTTTGGTTTTTGGGTTGAGTCGGCAGCGGCAGAAAGTGGTCGCGATCTGGGGTCGCTTTTAGGGGGTCAGAAAGGGGGCTTTCAGGAGCAGCAGGATGAGGGTTGGGAGCAGCAGCTGTCGCAAGTGGATGGGGAGTCAGAAAGGCAATTCAGGAGCTCTCTAGAAGGCGAAGAGAGGCGAGATCAACCAAGGCTCCAAAACGTGGGGATCGGAGCTTGGGCTTCAATTGAGACGTTTGCAAGGAATACAGCATTCTGGAAAGGGGAGGAAGGGGCGCCGCACGAGGATGTCAACCCTGGCCTTCAATGGCGTGTCCCTTTGGGAAACGAGCGGCAAGCACCGCAGGAGCGAAACCTCTTGCAGGGGGGTGGCGCCTGGCAGTATCTTGAGCGGCGTTCTAGCGGGGAAAAGGGGGACCTGGCATCGCAGAAGCTGCACTTTGGCCCCGAGAGCCTGTTGCTGTATGGGGGAAAGACCGACCCCGTAGCCGGGGGGTTCGGCTTTTTCCGTGAGGATGCAGCCTATCTCAAGCGACAGCGGGCACCAGAGCAGCTGGCTCAGCGCTCCCTCAAGGCTGCTCAAAATGTGAATGACGATTCTAGTGGGGTGGCGGGGGGGGTTGGGGAAACTGCAAAGGGTGGGGCGGATGGCGGGTGGTTTGACCTGTCAAAAGAGACGACTGGGGGGTTGATCAACATTTTTGAGGAGGATCTGCGGCCGAAGCGGATGTGGTCGAAGGCGGGGACGACCGGAGCGGCGGCGCCGGGCGCAGGTGGATTGCACATCATCCCTTTCCAGCTCACGACTGCGGGCGGTTTTGCGGGACTGGAAGGTGTAACCAACAGTCGAAGTAGGCACCCCCCCAGGACAGAAGCGCCCGAGCAGCAAGCTGGCAGGAGTAGCGCCCGCCTAGGTATGCCGCTGCTAGTATCTGCCACTTTCAAGGGACTTGATATCTTTCTGTGGGGGTTGACATTTGAACTAGGGATACTTGTTCATCTGGTTGATAGAGTCGTCCTATGATTACTGTTTTTCTTTAGTACATCGTTCTATTGCGGCAAGGCTTCTAGACAGAATCCCTAGCAAGCCTTTGTGAGTGCAGACCGGTCGTGCTTCTTTGTCAGGGAGTCAGCATTTGCAGTGGCGCCAGTCACAAAAGCTTCTGGTGCCTCTTGAACTCTGCCCTGACTCAACAGCATTGGATTCAGTGACCTAGTTCCAGTGTGTAACAGAGTTTCGATCTTGCTGCAGACACGTCGGCGCAAGCGCCTGTGGGCGCGCGGGGGCCAAAGAGTCGAGCGGACTGGATGGCCGAGCAAGCAGCGCACGAGCTGCTCACGCTCGCGTTTGCGCAGCAAGTGGAAGAGGCGCCACCACAGGGGCCGCCTGCTGAGGTGAGACTCCCTACAGGGCATCTAGGTCTTGAAGAGAGAAATGAGAACTGCTATGGTCATGCTTGGGGCTGTTGTGCGGCTGCTTCAGTCTGATCTAGGATGGATCAGGTAAGCGTGCAGTCAGGTGCAATCTTAAAAGTTCAACATGTTGGTGGCTTTGGTAGGTGCAAGCTACATGTAAATTCAATGTTGGAAACAAACCTCATATAGTTGCTCACTACCTAAATCCTGTCTTTCTCACCTCTTTACAGGCGCGCCAGAAAGCTGCCAGCTTGTTTAAAAGTCATCCTTCCGACGTGAGCATACAGCGCTCCGAGTCTCTAGACCCAGCACACAGCGTGGCGCAAATATCAGCGGATACCCCCTCCTCAGAGGACGACCAACCCTTGGCGCGGCGGCAGGGGGGTGGCGCCACGCCTACCAAGCCCCAGAAAGAGTCCCCCCAGGTTAGTCAACGTTTACTTTTGGCCCAGGAATCGATTCTGACGATCCTTCACAGTCAAGACTTTGTCTGGAAACAAGAATGTGGCTCAAGGCAAGCGACACTTTGGACCACGTGTGCGTATGCAATCTTCGGTAGCCAAGTCTGAACCCTTTTCAAGCTCAAGCCTGGCCCCTTGAAAATAAGTAGAGCTGGGTTGTGGAACCAGGGTTTGAGCGCTTGAGGGTGTTAGACAGGGAGGCTCGACAGATCGGCTTTCAGAATCAACAGGCTGCTCTGCTTAGCAGTCGAGTTCGCAGCATCTGATCCTGTCCGTGTGGCTCTATCATGCTCATAACTTATCATAGGCAATTTGTGACGAGATTTCACACAGCGAGCAACAACTGGCTGCTATCTGTGAATGAAGCTCGTAATTGAAAGGTCCCTATGGATGCGGCCGCGCACTGCTGTCGGGAATTCTTGCGTCCGGCGCTGTTCCTCTCTGCATCCGTTCTGTTGAGAGAGCAGGTTTCTGAGAGGGTTTGAAAGGTGTTTCCTCCCGTTGTTGCCAAGGTTTGTTCCGTTTTTCTGCTAACTCGATTTCCTGACCTCGCCAGGTGAATCGGCTGCCCCTGTTGACAGAAAAGGGCCACTCACAGAGTGTCGCGGCCAGCCTTCAGGTCGCCGAAAACGAGGCGGCAGTGGAGGCGGACGACCGGTGCAATTATCACTCGGGGAAGGCCAAGAAGGGCTGGCGCTGCAAGAACCCCAAGCTCAAGGGGTTCAAGATTTGCGTGTTCCACAGGTATGGCTGCCGCTCTTTTTGAACATTGTGGTGCAGAATTTGAGGGGAACAGCGACCGGGCTGTGCATTGGAGAGCCGAGTGGCTCGTTGCAGACGGAGGTTTTCGTTTCACAGCTGCTGGTGTTCTGAGAAGAAAGTTGGTTGACAAAAAGAATCCGATTATTTTTAGCAGGACAAAGGGAACAGTCTTTGCTACCTCACAAAGACTTCAGCCCTAGCTTTCGCACTCTTGTATGGTTGCTTGCTCCTCAATGGCCCTGTTCTGCTCGGTATTCTCGTCTATCCGCCTGGTGCACCTTCTCCCTCCCACTGACGACCCTTTCCCATCGCCCCCCCCCCCACCAGGAAACAGCGCCTGGATCGACGTCAAATGAGCGCTGCAGCCTCACCCTCCGCCAAGTCCTCCCCGGCCACCGGCGCTTCGGCCCCCCCCAATGCGCAGCCTGCCAAACCGCCCCCCTCCAGTGCCATTCCACGCCCTCCAAAAAAGCGCCCGCACGCATTCCTGGATTTGTCTCCGGGGGGAACCCAACCTAGCCCCGAAGAGTCGGACAAGCAGCCCCCCCGAAGGAAGCGCCGCTCGCTTCCCAAGCCCCGGAACCGGCTGGTTCCCAATACTGTTTCGGGGGGGACTCAGGCAATTGAAGGTGCGAGCCCAAGTAGGAAGAGGGGGGTGCAAGCAGAGGAAACGATGGGGGGGGGAAGTGAGAGGAAAGAGGAAACGCACGGGGATGAGCATGCTGCCGAAGGGGGCACTGGTGGGGGTCTGGCGTCCCCCCCCGGAAAGGAGCTGGCGGACGAAGAGCGGTGCACGTATCGGTCTGGGGCGCAGGGCAAGTGGCGGTGTAAACGGCAACGGCACGCCAACTTCAAGTTCTGCCAGTTTCATAGGTGAGGGGCCTTTCCCAGGATTGCCGCGCAGCTTTTCTGGCTTTTCGGAGATTTGGGAGCTTGTTGTGTTGACGCATATTGTGATTCTGTTCTTTTGAGTCACCGGGATGCTCAAACTTGGGCTGCGGCGAGTTGGCTGCAAAATCTGGCGGCCAGGGGTCTGGAACGGCGACACGATGCTGCTTGATTGGAAGGGCTGTAGACACTTCTTAACTTTCAATTTGTTTTTGAGGCGGTGTTATCGAGTTGTGTCGAGCCTACATGTGGACGTGGTCGCAATTTGCAGCTCGTGCACAGTTGGTTGGGTTTTCGTAACCCTTGAACATCTGGCCGTCGGGATCGCACGGTTGGTACTCCGCTCTCCCTTGTGTTGGGACTGAGCCCGCGAGTCGATGCAAATCGAGAAGTATGAAGCAGGGAAGTCTTTGCTGACGTGAGCCTCTACTGTTCTGAACCAGGGAAAGTCAGAAGAAATACTGGGACAAAAAGAACCAGGCGCGCCGCATGTTAGACAAGAAGAAGTCCTAGCCTGTGCTTTACTTGTTGGACGTGCCATCAGGCAAAGGTTAAAACTGGCAGGTGCTGATTGTTTCCACAAAGGTGTACTTTCTGACGGTTAAGGTTAGGTTGGATCAGGTCAGCTGCATCGAGGGTTTTCCGTAAGGTAACCCTCCGGTTGATCTGGTCAACCACAGTTTCGGCGGGTTGGTGTTTTGAGTGGCAAGACCAGTGAACTTCCATGCTCAAGTGCATTGCTTGTGGTACTAGAAACAGGGATAGGGCATGCGAGGGGTCATACTAGAGCCGTGCGGGCTTGGCGGAGGTCGGGTTGATTCAAAACGCGATTTTGACCGCATATGTAACACTTACGGTTCGTGTGTAGAAGTAAAACGTGTCAGGCTGTCAGCCGTCTCCGCGCGCTTTGTCTTTGCAGCCAACTTTCTAAGCGCGCCCTGCCAAGATTGTTGGGAGGTGTCAAACTGGACTTGATATGAAACACACATGTGTTGCATGATCATTTGCCAGCGTAACGATACAACATAGCCTAGATAAGTTTCCTGTGTATTTCTAGTGATGCATCAGAAAGCGGTGCACATATATACAGTTTCTGAGTCAAACGCTTATCCGACCTTCGATCGACAGTGCGTTGAGTCAGTAACACTAAGCTGGCAATGTTATATATGACCCGCTGGCCCGAACTGCGCATGCAATCAAGTGACGTATAGCACCATTTTCTTGGCTGATTATATATATTAAACTTAATTACGAATCACCACGAGCGGCGGCCGTCATGCCGGCCGTTGATATATCATGCAGGCGGCTCGTTTTAGATCACGTGAGATTTTAGACACTGACAAAAATTCCGGGTACAGTGACTAATAGTTGCTCTGGATCGCGCGCCGCACTCGCGCTCGCGTGACAAAGCTAGTGATTCACGGCATGATAAGTGCATGAAGGTACACAACATAGTTAGATGGGCTCCCAGGCTGCTTGCACCGAGTGGCAGCCAACTTTGAGCTGCACACGATGGGACTACTCTCCAACGTTGATCAAGTTATAGTCTGCATGCATGTGGGACCCGATGTTGTCACATGGGGTACCAATCAAAGCGTGCATCCAAGTGGTTCTTTGCTCGCAACTAGTCGGTTGGACGAAATGACAAGCGATGGCTATCATTTCGTCCAATGATAGCCATGGCTTCAACTAGAAAATCTTCTTTGCAGATGAGCACTATTCAATGGTTGATCAGAGTGTGAGCCTGTGCATATGAAGGGATGCAGGACCACACAAGCTATCTGCAATAACTTTCCACCTTACAAACGAGCAGAACCTAATCCGACTTGACCTCAGGGTCACACCTTCAACAAAGAGGCATTATGCGAGCATCACGTTCCGTCAAACTCGCCGGGCACAGGGGCAAGCTGGTGCGCCGCAAACTTTTCCTCACTAAAGAAAGTTACTTTTACCACTCGGCCACCGAAAAATCTGCCGTCTAGGTCTATCAAGGCCTTCATTGCGAAATCTGCCTTTTCAAATTGAACGAAAATACGTACCGCTTCATTGGCAGGCCAGGACGGATCTGTCACCTCAAATATGAGAACCTTACAGGAGAAGACAAGCTTTCAGTTGGGGCAAACGGGCGTGAAAGGAAGTCCGTGGAACCGTTGGTCACTGTCGTGGCTTGCGGATATCTGAGCACTTCTGATTATCAAGATAGGCAGCGACATTCTGGGTGCTCTCGAGGAGCTTTGTGACCAGCCGCCGGCCGTTCGTCAAATCCTTTTTTTTTGCAAGAAAGAGTTAGTTCGAAACCTCGTAGCAGGTTTGGGAAGACAGTAGGCAAGATGAGGAAAGTCGCTAGTGAAGTCTACTCAAGAGTGAAAGAACCAGGGATATAGGTTTTAACAGCGCAGTCTTTCTACTTCAGACGGAATCCGTCTTGAGCAGCTGGGGGGACAGCGGCAACTAATGTGCAGCCAATCTGTAAGCCACTTTTCTGCTTGTTCGTAATAACACCAGTTGAGTACAGTATACACCTTTGAAGCCATGTGACTCTGGACGGGGGTGGCAGTACAAACTACTCGCTTCCTTACCAAGGGAGCAACACTCGGACTGGAAAATGGAGCGGTATCGTTCAATCAAAAGCAGCCCACCAGGGCGCCAAACAAAGAAACAGTCACCAATGAGTCTTGAAAACCAAGCAAACCGCAATCAATACTTGCTGCAGGCGAGCCAGGACGTGCGGCCTTGTAACTCACCTTCAAGACTTGGCCGTATTTGGCGCACTCCCCTGCAATCTCCTCCTCTAGCTCATCATCAACTTCGCCTGGGCCGACCTGGGCGTTCTCGGAAAAGCGGCCGGTGTCATTGGAGAAAGCAGAGAACAGAGTCGACGACATTGACACAAGAGTGTTGACCTGGGCGGACTCGGAAGGAGCGGCCGGTGTCATTGGAGAAAGCAGAGAACAGAGTCGACGACATTGACCCAAGAGTGTTGTCCCTGGGCGGACTCGAACGAAGCGGCCGGTGTCATCACAGAGAGCAGCCAATAGCTGGGAAAATACTTGACACAGGACTTCCCACCGGGAGTAATCGCCAGCTGCTTTTCCGAATCTATCTGCTACTTACGCAAAAGAAGGCCCACGTTGAGGAACCAAGCACAGTAATGCTCTCGCTTCAAAACAGGGGTGCAAGGTACGATGTGCACAGCAATCATCAGTCAAGCCGTCACTTTTTCAGTTCTCGTTCAATCAGGTCCTTGGCTTACCTCCTGTTACCATCCGGGTTCTCGATCTCATGATCATGCCGAGGAAACGTTTAGACTTGTCAAAGCTTTTCGTTTAGCCCAATCCTCGCCTCGTAACCCAGCGCCCCTTGCTTCGATCAAGCTTGAACTGATGTGTCTTTTTCCACAACCCTTGAGCCCTTAATCAATCTGCGGCTCATACATTCCCACTTTTTCTGCAACACAGAAGCTCTTTCCCAGGCCATTCCAGCACTTCAACTGCAAATCAAACCGGACAACGGCTGTTAAGCTTTTCGCTCAAATAATGGTTAAGGTAACACCCCCGGGTTAATGCCCATATTCTCACCATGTTCCGCAGCATGAGCACGCGCGTCGGCGGCCCCGAAAACGTGGCCGTCTTCACTTTCTTCGCTTCCGGCGCCGTTACGATCACCCCGCTCCGCTTGTCCGTCTTCTTGTGCTGCAGTGGCGCTACGATCCCTTGCTCCGATTTGCCCAGTCCTTGTCCCTCTTTCCAGCCCATCTTTTCCATCATCGCCTTGATCTTGCTCAGGCCGCCACCTGTCGGCGCGGTATTGGGCGCGCCAGTAAAGTTCCCCAGGCCTGGAAGAGAAAAGTGAATCTCGGTAAATAGAAGAACCAGATTTGCATTTGGATGGAGCCAGCAAGTTTTGATGGAAACAGAGTGGGTTCAAAACGAAAGGCCCGCAATGCTTGCCAACCAAAACCCAAGACAGTTCATCCCAGGAACTTTATCAAGTCCAAAGGTCAACTCAGATCACAGCATACGTCGCCGTAATCAAACGCACCCTCAAGCTTCTGCCAGCAATCTCTTCCTCAAAGCAAAAGCACATAAACCCCCAGGTTTCTATCACGTGTTTCAGTAACGAAAAAGAATCCATCCCAGAAACGTCAAGCAAACGTCGCTGCCACTCATCGCCCCCGCAAGCGTCTGCCAGCTTTCCTCCCACCTCGAATCAGGAGCAAAAAGAAGACCGAACGTCTCTCACCTGTTCTAGGAGGCGACGGTGATCGTTGCCGGGGGGCGCCGCCCCCACCCAGCATCCCCCTCCTCTGAAACGCCTCTTCCCCGGACAGTCCCCGAGCGCCCCCCGGTTCGTCCTCGCCCCCCTCTGCTTCCCCCAAGCTTCGCCGCGTGAGCTCCCGCTCCCGCATTCTCGCCAACTCTAGTTCCCGCAGCTTCTCCCGTTCTTCCTCCTCGCGCCGCCGCCGCTCGGCCTCTCTCCGGCGCTCCTCCTCGGCAAGCCTTCGTTTCCTGTTAGGACAACGAGGGTCCATACATCAGTACTTGTTTGAGCAATCAGAACGTTCCCAACCTTGTTTTCCCGTCCACTTGAACTCTCGCGCTACTTGCAAGAGCACTGTTTCCTGCAAATCCGCACGGCAAAGTTGAGGGTTGGCATGATCCGGGGTTGGTTTTGAGAACCCTTTGGCGATCACCAAGTGTCAACAGTCCGCCCTAGTCGGAATTGCCATCACATTGCGTCTGCCTTTCCCCTATTTTTTGAGTGCAAGCACTTAGACTCGTATGGTCCAAGGTCCGGCTGTCCATGACGCTTCTTCATTCATTCCAATGTGGTCATTAGATAAACCTGCTTTCTTCTCTGTTTTCACAACCACGCCATAGTTTACAGCTGTTCATCGAATCCTTTCGAGCAATCCGAAAAACTAAACCGGATCACGACCACTTACTTGATCGCCACATAGTCCTCATAGTCGTTCGGCCGCGCCGGGTCGTACTCGTCGACCAGCGCCGCACTCGCCCCCACCAGTGCCGGCTGCGCCAATCCAGGATGAGCCCCATTCATTGGCGCCTGAATGTATTCTGTTGGCGGCGCCGCGCCGTTTGCCTCTGGGCCCCATCTGGGGCCTGTGTCGGGCTGTGCTGAGGAAAGAGGGGGGCGCACGGAGGGCCGTACGGAGGGGCGGGGCGCAGAGGGGGTGCTCTGTGCCCGGAGGACTGAGGGTGGTGGTCCAAAGACTGCAGAGCGGAGGGAGTCGAGATGTCGGAACATGGACGGAACCTGGCCGGGAAGGGGTGGTGTCCAGGCCTTAATCAGGCACTACGACATTGCTCAACAAGGAAAAGGTCTCATGAGGACGACAATCGCAAGACGGGCACTTCAGTTACAAAATGGGACTGTATTGCGGTGCCTTGGTTAACATCGCCATGGAGACACCTGAGAAGCTGTCTGCAAGGCTCAACTGCACTGAGAATTTGATCACCAGACTTCATTAGGGCGTTTTATTGAAAACGCTGCCGGAGAGGCGTTCTACCCAATGTCCAAAATACGGGCAGTAGCACAAGCAACACACATGCACAACTCAGTTCTTGCGAATCCCGAGGAATAAAGCCTTAAAGGGCCTCAAAGCAGGATGCTGAAAATGTCAATGCAGGAATGCCTACAAAAAGAATGGCACCACTGCACGAGGTAAACCAGTTGGACTGTAGATATTCACCGTACATACCACCAAAATCCTGCCACAACAAGCGCCTCGTAGTACCCTCATCTGAACCTAGAAAGGCAGGACCTTAGTCCTGACCACTTTCATCGCATGAACGTGGCTTACCTGCTGCCGTCTTTCGGGGGGCCAGGAACATCTTGTTTGCAGACCACCCGGATCCAGGTTTCTTCTCATCGTCCCCACTGCCTTTTGACTGCTCCCCCTCCTTCGCAGCAGAAGGAGGGGGCAGGTCTCCATACAAGCCTCCAAACATGCTTATGTCGAGGAGTCTGTATCGTTAACTGGTCTGCGTTTGAGCTCAAGGGTGCAACGTTCCAGGGCATACGTGCTAGCAGATGCTTACATCACTCTGAAAGCATGGTGCCAATCTGATTGCAACTTGCTGGAACGGTGGAAGGCTGCAGTAGCGAGAAGGGACGTCTTTAAACATTCCAGCACACTGTACAGGCGGGCTTGCCATCACACGTTGGACGAAAGAGAAGTGTCGGATTTTGTGTTTTGTGTCCATTGGCACGATTCTGAAATTAAGAATTTACCTTGAAAATGCTGCCTTGTTCCTTCAACTAGAATGAGGCGACATTGCCATATTCCGGCAGCAAAATAATGCAGCCCCGCCTGTGTGCGCTGAGTCTGTGTGTGTGCTCACTCACTCAGCCCCCGCACTCTTGCTTCCATCAATGGCGCTAATGAAGCTGGTTAACTTTCTGTCTCTAAAATTTTGACTCTGGAAGAAACCTTTCAAATCTTAAGAATTGAAGCCAGAGCTCGCAGCCATGTTTGGCGCCACGCCTGGGAGCAACCCGTTTGGGGCCACCCCAGCGACCCCTTCTGCTTCTACGTTCAGCTTCGGGACGTCCGGAAGCTCGCTTTTTGGGAGCGCTACTCCTGCTACCGGGGGGCTCTTTGGTAGTGCTGCCTCAACCCCCGCACCAGGAGGGTAAGCCGTGCTGAGCTCTCACACTGTACTTGACCTGTTTGCATTCCATCCAATTTCGAGTTGAAGGATCAATCTGCAGTCTGCCGCTAGATTGTGCAGCAGGACAGGCACCGTCTTGGTGTTATCTATCTTCGACCTGCTGTCCACATGCTTGAAGCCACGTTCTTTGGGTCGATCATCGACCTTTTAGACAATATCGGAAACTGTATCTGTTGAATGTCAAGTAAGCAATCAGTGACGACGGCTTATGATGTCGTGCACGCAGGGGCTTGTTTGGTGCGTCCACTCCGGCTTTCGGGGCCTCCACCCCGACAGCCAGCGGCGGACTGTTTGGCGCCAGCTCAAGCGGCTCCGGCTTGTTTGGAGCAACCACACCTGCATTCGGGGCAACAGGTGGGGCTGTCGGTCCCTGATCCTGATTTTCGAAACCCGCCCTGGTTTTCAGTCGTCGACGCACTTTGTGTTGTGAGAATGAGCTTTGCAGATCACGATCTGCAGTGAGAAGTCTGCTGGGGTGGTGGTACAACGCATACGCTCGGGTCACAAAAGTTGGGACATTGGTGTCTGCCAAAAGTGGTTGCTGCCTTGAGTATTTATTTGCCTTTGTGCTTTCTTCCGGTGCTTGGATTTTGCAATGGCATACTCAGAGCGTTGTTCTCCAGATTTTTGGTTAACGACCTTCCTGTGTGCTGGCACAACATGGTCCAGCAGGAGACATGAGGTCCATGATGAGGACTTAAGTCCAGTGAGGACAGTTGTGAGGCGTTTTACGGATACCGTCTAGCTGTATCAGTGAGAGAGAGAGAGAGCAGTGTGATTCGCTCGTACATTTCCATGTTTTTCTGTATAGCCAAATTGGCATGGAATTTGAGAGAAACAGGGGTGCCTGGAGAAGCGGCAGTCCCCCTGATTCCAAATTCAAACGGTGGGTAGGCAGATTCTTTTCATGCCTGATCCAGAAATTGAAAAGGGTGTTCCTGTCAATTGGGTTTGAATGCAGAACTTTGGTCGTCTCATGCAGGAGCCGCCTCTGGTTCCTCGCTTTTCGGCGCGCAGACTCCCGCCACGTCATCGGGGGGGTTCTTCGGACAATCTGCTAGCGGGTCATCGCTTTTCGGACAGCCAGCCACCACATCGTCGATGTTTGGCCAGACACAACAGGTGCTTTTTCCAACGATCCCCGTCTGCAGGATTCAGAATGGTCGTCTGTCTAAACCACTAAACCGGCGCTGTTCAGCAAAAGTTTCCGGCTCATGGGTCTGGATCAGACTGGAGTGACGGTGATTCGAGCAAATAGTAGAGATGCGAACGATTCACCTGTGACCCTCCCGATGCTTGATCTCTTTGGAAACGCATCAGAGATGGTCAAAACAACAGTCACTGCTGCACCACTTTTCAAAATGAAGAGAACATGTTTCCTCTGCAACATTTCTCCTGGCTGGCCTTTGCCCGAGAGCAAGAGACGGATAAGGTTTTGTCAACCTGCCTCACCATCTGAAGCAAGCACATCACCCGGTCCAATACACATTTTTTGGACAGATAGCTTGGCAGAAGGGTCTCGGATCGATTCGGCACCGAGCCTTGTCCCTCGGCCTCTCGCACGTACTCGAACATTGACGAGGCGTTACGACAGGACATCCAACATGGGTACGATGAAGTTCGGGAAGCCTTAACTTCGTATTCGGTTTCGTGGCTCCTTGCCCACACGTTGACCAATGTTAGCGCATTTTGCAGGCCCCGTCTATGTTCGGCCAACCGCAGACGGGTGGCGGCATCTTCGGGGGGGCGGGTTTCGGGGCGCAGCCGCAAGCGGCGCAGCAGCCGTCCATTTTCGGGGGGCAGCTGACCACGCAGATGGCCCCTGTGGCGCCCCCCCAAGTGCCGCTCACCGCGGAAAAAGTAAAGGTGAGCGCGGGTTCCTGATTCTCCCGCCTTGAGCACCGGTCCTTACTGATATGCGATGAGTAGAGTTTGACTACGGTTACGCGGCCATATTGTACACTTGTATCTTCAAACAAGGAACGGGATAGAAGGGCAGTTCCAGCTCTGCACTGATCTGCGCACATTGGTCCCTTAGCTCCGCTCCGCTCCTCTTGCCACCGCTGCTCATCAGACCTCTCCTGTTTTCTGAGCGTCGCCCCTCATCAGTGTCACATCCATAAACGGTGCGCTTCTTAAATGTTAAAAAGCAGTGGGGGTCGCACTGAATGCCTTCGCAACTCTAGTTTTCGACTCGGTCACGCTCTCTTGACTTGTTGCGAGGTTTCATTGTGTCTTCTTTATCCCTTCGCCGGATCTTGAACCCTTACGCCCGCAGGGAACCTTCCTCTGCTATTTCAGATCTTGTTTCTCTCTTCACAGAACTTTACAGAAGCTTTCCTTGTTCCACTCACCGACACGACTAACGTTTCGCCGCACCCTAGTTGCTGAGCCTTACGCTCAGCCTTTTGAAGCACTTTCTCCGACTGAATCGCGACATCTACCCAGCTTTTGATTCGTGTGCGAAGCCCCCATTTCTATCTCCGTTTCGCATGAGACGGTGCTCTCCAGTCCCGACTAGATAGCAACGTCGAGTCGCTCGTAATCTCCCGTGCTAAGCTATCCTTCTTTGACACAGGAAATTGTAGACGCTTACACCGACTCCCCCGCGAACCCCAACTACCGCTTCCGCCACCTCTTCCTGAGCGTCATCGATCCGGCGTTCCGGCAGAAACCCGCTTCCGTTTCCGACGTCGTTTGGGCGGAAGCGGTCAGCCGGATACAGTCGCTCAGTGAGGAGGACCGGCAGCGACTCTGGCCGGAGCTCGTCTCGGGGATCAAGGATCTGTCCACGAGATTGAAGGTGAAGCGCTAAGCCGTACTTCGTTATCTTAGTATCTTGTATCTTAGTCTTAGCAACTCCTCTGTCATTTGCTTTGTTTCCAATGAAGCAGAGAGCCACCGGAAGTCTGTCCTGGTTTTTCCAACATAACCCGCATCACCCTTGGCCGGCTCCACTGGTCGAAGAGCGGTAAAGGGCTCGATGTTTCGTTTCCTTACCTGTTTTGATATTGCAAACGAACGAAGGCGGCTTGGACATTCTATTTTAGTAGTTCTGACAGGACGTGAGAGCAGATCGAGAAGAAGCTTCGGAATGAACTTGCAAATTAGACACAGACAAGCACTCAAGACGCACCCGCACGAAGGCAAGCGTTGGAATCAAGGATCAAGGATCTGTCGACGAGGTTGAAGGTACACTGCTGATGCTACCTTTTCAACCATAGTCCCAAATTACGTGGAAGATTCTTCTCTATTTTGTCGAGCATTCACAACCCGGTCTTGGGTGTTTCGAGTTGGAAGACTCTTCTCCATTTTATTGAAGCAGGAGAGTATTCATAACCAGGTCTTGGGTGTTCCAAGTTGGAAGACTCTTCTCCATTTTATTGAAGCAGGAGAGCATTTATAACCAGGTCTTGTGGGTTCCAAGTTGGAGGACTGTTCTCCATTTTACTGAGGCAGCAGAGCATTCCTAATCCGGTCTTGGGTGTTCCAAGTTGGAAGACTCTTCTCCATTTTACTGAAGCAGGGAAGCATCCATAACCAGGTCTTGGGGGTTCCAAGACAAGCCCTACTACCCTCGCTCGACTTTAGTAGTTGAAGAGTCGGAAAGCGCTTTCTGTATCGTTCCAAGATTCTGTATCGGAAATTGGAGTCGTCGTGCAGTCTATCTTGGCGATTCGGAGACGCCTTGAATGCAGATGCAGAAAACGCTTTGGATCTTAGCTATGAACGTGACAAGCAAACGCGGATGAAAACGCGTGACGCAAGCCGCCTGGTGGCAATTGGTGGGAGCACGCTTTAGCGGAGTTTCAGAAGAGAGAGTCGTCAATACGATCAGAACGGTCCAAGGCGCCTTGTTTTCTTGCAGCCCCAAAATGGTGCGATTGCACCCACGAGAAGGGGTGAAAGCCCGATAAAATGTTTTGGAAGATTACCGAAGACAACAAAAGGCGATCAGATCAGAGGTTTGTAAAAGCGTTTGCCTTGCAGCTTGATAATAGGTACTGGCGCACGACGGCGAGCAATCAGACCAGACTAGTTGTAAATATCAGGCGTCAATTTGGAATTGGTCAGATCTACCCCGAGATTATGCAAAGCGCTGTTTGTTCGCAGCCTCAGGACGAACCGATAGCGCGTGACGCGAAGCCCGTTGAAGACGACTCAGAAAACGGAACGAAGAATCAGGATGCACGAGAACGAGATCAAGATTGTGAAAGCGCTTTCTGTTCGCAGCTGCAAGAGGAGGCGATGGCGCACGAAAGTGAGCGGTTGAAGACGACAAGAGAAGCATCGGACTCGACTGATACGCGACAAACTACCTCAGGCATACTAAAAGGGCTTTTCGTTTGCAGCTTCAAGACGAGGCGATGGCGCACGACGGCGAGCGGTTAAAGACGACGGAGGCGAACGTGCGCGCACTGCAGCGGCACTTTGAGGCGGACACCGTGCCCTGGATCCAAAAGCTGCGGCAAAAGGAACAGGACCTGCAGCGACGCTTGTTGCACGTGAGAGTCGTCTGCCTTGACCAGTACCCTAAGATTTGCTTCCTCTTCCTGGTTGCACGTAACCTGGCGAGGGGGAGTTTGATGTCGAGCATCCGCCGTCTCGCAGCTAGTAGGCGGGGGCTGCTGCTCTTGACCGATATCGAGTGAAGTCAAACGTGGAAAGAGGTGGCTGGAAGGTCACCGGGAGGCCCTGCCCGGGCAGTAGAACTGAGCCGAAGGCCGACAAATACTGCCCGGGGCCCGAGAGAATGGTACGGAGGATGATGTTGTCGCAAGGATTACCGCGTTGAGATGTTCATCGTTCTCTTCTGGTCGAGTGTCCTTCATGTGTATGCAAGCAAGTAGAAGGTTAAAGTGACTGACTCATCCTGGTGCGCAAAGCGGACCCTGTGAAGAAGCTGGAAAATAACAGCAATGCACTACGTTGTAGAATGGAAACTTCGACTCTGTCGCTGCATCCCGCTCAGCAACTCTTTTACTTATTCGAAAGAAGTTATGGCAATCAGACCCCTTTGGACTGACTTGATCCGACCTTTGTACAGATAGACATGAGAAAGTCGATATGCACTGTCTCGCTACAGAGTGCAAGGACACCTGTCATACCGTGTATACCTTCAGTAATGCGCATGTCAACAGCCATCTGTATCTCCAATGGAGGGGAACTCGTCCAGCCTGAAATATCGATGCAGCGTTGAGCTTTGAACCCGAGGGACTCCCTTGCCTTCTGTCGCTGTGCGGCCCTTCCGTCCGCTGGAAATTACCGGAAATTCTGTTTCCCTTCTCATACGAGTGTCCGAAGTGCGCAATCGTATCTCACGCTCTTGTTTGCGTCCCCAGGTGATGCGTTTGGTTGAGGCGCTGGAAGGCCGGTCGCACCCCAACCGGCCGTTGTCCCGAAAAGAGAGCGCGCTCTTGGAGAAGCTACGGTCCCTAGTGCGGCAAATGAGCGGCCCCTCTGCTGAGCTCCCCCGGCGGGTCGAGTCGTTGCTTTTGAACTCTAGGCTAGACGGGGGTGCGCTGGCGGGCGGGGCGGGGAGTCACGGCAGGATCGACGAGAAGAGCCTAGCGCAGGTGCAGGCGTTGCTGACGCAGCAGACGGAGGCGATGAAGAAACTAGCGGGCGTGCTGAGAAAGGACGCGAGGGATGCGGAGATTATCGCGGGTGCGGGGGTGCAAGGTTTGGCGGGGGCGGGGAACCGGGGGGCAGCGTTGGATGATCGGCTAAGAAGGACGCCGTTCTGATGTGTGTGAGAAGTCGTTGGGTTGAAGTTACTGACACAGCAGATTCATGCAATCAAGTGCATCTTCCCACGCATTTCAGCACGGTCCTCAACATTCCGAGGCTTCTCTGCGCTTGCCTTTTCGGCGTGTCCACACCTCGCTTCCGCAGACCATTAAGCTAAGCAGTTATCTATGGTCATGGTTGCCACATAATAACTTCAGCTCATTAGTACAGCGGATGATGTACTGCTGGCCATGGGGACGCATGTCGGCCTGCAGGGCAAGAGCTGAGTACGAAGACCGTGAAACTCCGACACGATCAGAACTTTCTAACTTTACACGGCTGAGTCGGTACTTTACTGGAAAGATTCCAAGCGCATGGGCGGGCCCGCCCGACTTTTAAATACAATTTCTGCGCATGTGGGAGTCCCATGCACGGCGGGCCCAAGCGCAACGTCACCACTGAGTAATCCCGAGTCAGGTTGCATCGGTTTTGCATGCGATTTCGATTGGGCTGCAACCCTTGACTCCTTTTGAGATCCATGGGCTCGCCATCACGGTTGCGCGTGCACATTGGGACGCGGTCCAATTGAATCATGCAGAGCTAGGCCCTGGTTCAATCGATCAGTAATTATTCTGATTCATAGACGACCTTAGACACATGCAGTAGAGCTAGGAATACACCGACCGACATTGAACTGAGATACACCGCGAACGGTCTCGACATAGTTGCACATGGGGGCATTGAAAAGTGGCAACCAATACATACTTAAGGCCTTATAACCACATGACGAAGTTCTGTTGCCATTACGGCCAGGTACTTGATTTGTCGATGCGACTGACAGCCAACCTCACATGAGGAGGCTCCTATCGCAGACCAGTTGAGACCGATGCTTTGCATTTCTGAATGAAAGGCACCTTATGTCAGCCATCATCCAAAGAGTTGGGGATGGTAAGGGCTTGCACCGGGAGTACGTCTAATTGACATTGAGCCCAACACAGTCATACTCGAATCTATGTACACTAAAATCACAAATACAAGGACAATCGATCAAGGCATGTCCTCAGCTCTCCGCTTTGCCACTTCCGCATAAGTGCCACCCATCAGTTGCAGGACTTCGTCCCAAAGGGGCGTCTTCAAGTCCTCTGAGTGAGTAAGAAGCAAGTCTCTTGAGCAACTTCCGAGGAACCATACGCCGGCTTTGACCTCGTTCTCTAGTTGTCCAGGTCCCCAACCTACACAAAGAAAGAGGAAACAGTATGTTGTGAAATCTCGGGCAAAGTCCACTCATTTTGCTGCTGACACACTCACTAGTAATGGTCTATGTACGGAAACGGAGGTGTTAATCGACTCCTTGTTTTCCAGAAAAGGGGCACGGAGATGAAGCTTGCACAAACCTCATCAAACCCTTTAACGCCAAAAATTGACCCTCCACCCCTGTCAATCCACTTGTTCAAACATTCACAATCACTAACTTTCCCTGACCTGCTATCGTGACGCTAAAACCCATCTCAAGAGTGAAAAGTCTCCTAAAGGTACGAAGATCAATCAAAAGTACATGAGGCAACCATCACTTGGCTCGCAAGCTTCGTTTACTTCGACTCTTCTGCAATTAGCTGCAACAGCAGAGCCGATGCATACTCAAAAAGCTTCAGAGTTGGCAGACCCGCCCATCTCAAATGTGTGCGCAGGCCTGCCACAGTCTATTACACGTGAACTTGCTGAACACTTCAAGATTGACATGAAACGAGTCATCGAAAGTTTGAAGAAAGATGGGAAGGACTCACCTGCATACATATGAAACCATCGGTAATCGTCGCATTCGCTCTTGCCCGCCCGGATGTGCTCCCCGATCGCCTCGAACCCGCCCGTGTAAACCCCTTCGACTACTTTTCTCGTCCCGTCAAGGTCCGAGTGCCTATGCAAAACATGCGTGGCCCCATGCCCCACATCGCCCCCAAGGTAAAGCCGCCCCGAGGCCAACTCTGGGGAGAGCGTGTCTATGCCTTCGAAAAGTGTGCCAAGTGTGTGTTCTGTAGGCTTGTTGAGAATTATCCCCATGGAGCCCTCCTCCCCATGGTGCAGCAAGAGAATGACGGCGTGGTTGAAGTACTGCTGATTCTGGTTAAAGTAGCCCGGTTTGGCGATAACCAGGGCGCCAACCTCCGGTAGAACCAGCGGATGCGCCCACGAGCCCCCCGGTTGGATCTCCGGGACAGCTCTATCTTCCGCAGCGTCGCTTTCTAATTGTTCCTCTCGGGCACGTTCCGCAGCTTCGGCTGCGGAGCGCGCCACGAGTCGCGCCCGAAACTCGCGCCAGTCGATCTCAGCGGCCGTCGGGCTGTCGTCGTCGCCACTTCCGCTTGTACTTGCTTCTTCTGCGTCGTCGGGAAGGGCTGAACGAACGTGAAAGTCCTTTCTCCTTCCTGAAAGCCTTGATATTCTGCAAAAATGTGACTGGGGCCCAATTAGACCTGAACGAGGAAACTCCAAAACAGCTCTTTTTGACTCAGGCAAGGGCTGCTTCTCACTGGCAACTGCTGGTTCTCACTTTGATATGTGGCATCTGACGTGTTGTTGGGCAAGGGTGGTTGGCTTCTGCAAAAAGTGGGGCTTATGGGCAAAGATTGAATGCACAGACTTCGAACACGCTCGGTGCATATTCTGACATCTCTGAAGTAAGTGACAACTGTGGCAAGGACAATCATCGGGGAAGCATCCTTGCACTGTACAGAAGAACTTGGCACTGTAAGGCCTCCCACTCTATCCAAAAAGCTCCCATTTTTGCCGTTGAGCAACCTCTTCAGAAGCAATGCTGTGACCAGAAGAGGCCGCCAGCATGCTTCCACCATGTGCATGTGTCGCTAGTGAATCAATGCAAACGATCATTGGTACCCCATACAAAATCTTAAGAATGAATGTGCTTGGACTCCTTGCCTTGCCACCTTGAAGGAACAGGCATATACTCAGATTGTAACTCCAGCTCAAAAAGAGCAGTCAAAACAACCACCATAGTTCACACTTCCAACACTACCACTTCTGTAGCATCTTACCCGCATGCATTTTGTCCTCGCCTGATCTAACATGCTCAAACAATCTTTCCTCACCTTGTCAATCGCTTACAGTTGCCCAGGCTCGCAACGTGATTAGCTTTCAAGGAGCTGAAGGTGCACAAGCATGGATTCAACAAGCCACTCCTCGTCAAGTGGTTTTGACAGTGGGAGCCAAGCACGCTCTGAGTGAAAAGAAACGATGGCAGGGCTGCCGTGAATCCAGATGCCGCCATGGTGGAAAACTTCAGCCTTATATTCCAGATATTGGACCTGTCTTCGAAACTAAAAGAACATGATAGCTAGCACGACTTTGTTGATCGAAGATGAGTCAAACAGTGTGAACAGACCATGGTTCTGCTTCTGTCAGACTCTAAGTAGAAAGGAACCGTCAAAAAGGTCCAGCGTGGCTTTTGAAGCAGCTCTGCGCCGTTGATGAAGCCTCCATTTCAAACTGGATCAAAAGGCGCCTGCGCGTTTCCAGAGACCAATCTACCTGGTCCCTACAGGCTACAGCCTACAGGAGCATTGAACTTGAACCCCAAGGCCCCAACTCAGAACTTTACGAAGCTCGTCAGCTGCACCTACATCCAATTTCAATGCCAATGGACGCAATCGTGATAACTGAGATGGGGGAAAATGAAGCTTGTCCCTAGCCTTTAATGGGCATCCTGGTTTGAGGATGTCAGCCGTATCAAATGAGGCAGGGGCGGCAGGCCACTTGGTTGGCCTGAGCAAGGAAGCAGCAGAGAATTTGTACACTGGTAAGGTCCTGGCCTTCCTATCCATGGGTGGTCGTAGAAGTTTCTCAGGGAGAGATGAATTCTCACAAGTCGTCGATGTGAGGAGAAGATGATGTGTGACATCAACCAGGTTGTACTTTCATCCAAGCAACATTCAGGCCTGTTGCTTTCTGCTTCGACCACCCTTATGAGCAGATCAATCCGCTGGCTCTAAGAAGGCCCTGTTTATCAGCCAAGTTCCTGGAAATTCATGAGACATGGGATGCTGGTATGCGTCTCACCGCATCTGGGCTTTTGATAGATTAGTGGTACAGTCTGAAATCTGCAATTGCTTCTCAAATGGGGTCAAGTTGGGGGTCAAGTTGATTCCCTTCTCATTGCTCATTCAAAGAGTAAGTCTTGTGTATCCATGTCCTTGCAGGAGTCAATATGGCCCTTCCCCAGCCATCCTGCAGCCCTGAGAAGTTTGGCCAGAGAACCACTTCAAACATAAGGCGCCCCAGAGACGTGACCCTTGTCGATGGAGACATTGTGGTCTTCCGGAGGAGTGGCATCTTGTATGGGGTTGCTCAAACCACAGACGATGTCAGAGATAGCCAAGGCATCTTCAACCTGGTGCCGCTGCAGGAGGGGGCGCAGAGCACTGACCCTGTAGCACAGCTGGTGGTGGTTTGCCAGGTGAGGAACATTGGGAACTTTCTCAAAAGATCTGTGGAGAGATTGAGAAGCTCTGTTTGTCTTTTGAGGGGTTTATAGGGAGAGTCAGAAGCTCTGTTTGATTTTTGAGGATTTTATGGAGAATATAAGAAGCTCCGTTTGTCTCTTGAGAGGTCTATGGGGAGAACCAAGAGCTTTGGTTAAACGGCATCCTGTTCAGCCATTGCCTAGAATCGAGCTTGTCGAGTTTGCATATTTTGCTCCTGGAAGTATGTCCCATGGTCAACTGGGAAACAACTGCAACAAAAGGATGAGATAGTAGGTCCCCTCAATTGCAGTCCAGGATCTCTGAGCTTCTTTCAGAGAATCTTTAAAGGCAGCGTCAGCAGCATCGTCTAATGAGTCATCTGACAGATTTAGCACAGCTGCAGAAGGAAACGAAAATAACAGCTCGCGTGCCTCATCGAACATCTGCTAATGTGATACCATGATGCAACTGACTAGATACTGAATCACAGAGTTCAGATACTATCTGCGCAGCACAAGAATCCACAAGTGGCTGTCAGCTTGCTCATAAGAGACTGCTTGCTTAGTTGCCGGCTTTAACTGTTGAAGATTACCACATGTCTTGCCAAAGGCACAAAGTGTTTGACCTGTAAGTCTGTGTAGCCAGCAGCTTATGTGTTCTTTGAAGCCTGTCGTGACAGCGCTGAGCGCTTCTTGTGTGTACTTTTTGGTGCTACAGGGCCCCTGGTTAGGCTTCAAAAGCCCTGCTGCCGGGGGCCGGTTCCTTCAAGCTCGGAGGAGGGGCCCAGACCACCTGTGCTTCTACAATACCAACTGGGGCACATGGGAACAATGGGAGGTAGGTCAAACCCCCAGCAAGTCATAAACCTGTCTCAAAGTTTGTTGAAAAGGTTGTATTCGCTTCTTGTGAGATGAGCAGGGCTTGTTGTAGTGCCAGGTACTCTTGTCTCCTTCCGACATTGCCTGGTGATTGGAGACGAGCCACAGAGTTCAAGGCTGTCTCCTGGCCCATCATGGCCGATCGAAGTCTTATCATTTGGCAAGGGAGTTATCGGATTTATCAGTGTCTACCAATCAAGAGTTGACGAGACGAGCAAGCTTAGGAATATAGATTTGCGATTTAAGTCAATGCGTAACGACATGAAAATTCTGGACGAACTTCCAAGCCTTCGTCCAAAGGAACGTAAGATTTCGGCCGTGATCGCAAACAATCGTCAAGTAGACTGCATTCTTCCAACAAGTGCCAGGTGCTTGCAGTGGTGCCACACGCGCAGCGTTGAACAGAGACGCCTCAGCGTCAGTAAATCTAAAATGCACTCAACAAACTCAGAGCTTGTTGAATACGAGAAGGGACGCAAGCGCCCTGCAGCAAACGCGTCAGATCGTCAGATGCTAGCTCTCTATTGACTGTGATCTACTTTTTTTGACAATCAATTGAGAAGTTTCTGCTCTGCAGTTAGTGGGGGACGAGCCCCAAGGCGGCTGGACCACGTGGACCTTCCAATTCCGCAGCCGGCGTCTGGAGAACTTCGTCTTCGCGGTGGAGGTTGAGCGAATCAACCGCGGCGCAGTGTCGACATCCATCACTCACGGACACGTGGAACGGCTGGTGCAGTCTGTGCAGGAGAACGTCGATGAGAAGCAAGGTACGAAAGCCCTTCGAAACTCTCATTCTGGCCTCATTTCCTGGCAAGGTTCGTCGCTTTACTAAGATACTGTTCAAGAAGGAAGGAAGGAACCATTGAGGTCCGCTTCTTTTTTTGTGTGAAAAGGACAACGGTCACGAAGATTTGAGCTGCTTGAGGCCAAGGTGATTGCTCTTAAGGACACCCGAGAAACTGAGTAATAATTGTTTAGCAGGCGAGAAATATTTGTCACAGGACTTTTGTCGACCTCTTTTTACAGTGAGCATCCTTAAGATTTTCCCCCCGTTTATCTCAGCGCCGGTCCATAACGAACACGGTTTCCACAGATTAAGGAGCTAGACACAACGCTTCATCGCGTTTGAATCCCCATCTGCGATTGCGCTTACCTCTTTCCCCCCCTCGATCTTGAAAGTCCGTTCGTCTTCTTCAACCCCCTCCCTGACAGCTCGGTCAGATCTTCCTTTCTTTCCCTCTCAAGACACCAAAATCGTGTCATTGCGTTTGGCATCTTTCCTGACAGAGCGGCCAGCCCGACGCAATCTCAACTTTCGGTTCTTTTGCGCCCAGGGAACGTGCTGCGCGCCATGTCCAGCCTGCTCACGAGCGAGTGGAAGCACTTCATGCAGCGGGAGATCCAGGCGCGGCGGGCCCTGCAAGCGGAGCTGGAGACCCTGCGCCGGGAGCTGTTGGACGTCCGAGACGGCGCCGTCTTCGAGATCGGGAAGCTCAACCAGGACGCGGAGGCGACGGTAAGAGTCTGGGGCTCGGGAATAGAGACGTTTCGACAGCGGCTCGACGAAAGGAATTAAGGGCTGTTTAGAGACACCAAGAGGGATTTCGAACTGTCGAGAAACACATATGAGGATTTCAAGGTATCGACCGACATAGTCTAGGACGAAACACTTCTTGATTGTTTGCATCACACCACGGTTGTGTGCCGTTCTCGACAACGAATCTGGTTCTCCTTTTGTTTCACAGACCTCTGGTTCTAGGTAACGTGTCGAAACACATCGTAGTAACGTGCACGAAACGGTCCTCCTCGTTTGCATAGTTTGTGGCCATTTAGTATTCCCCGGAAGTGATCGAGAGGGCTGACAAGCAGACAGTAATTCGCAGTCGCATAGAAGATCGGCAGTTGCTTTCAGTGGTCTCTTGTTTTCTTTTGCCCTCTGTCTGCTTTATCTTTTTGCTTTCTTGTGTGGCTGCATTTCGTTGAGCACCCTTCACGATCACTTCTAATGACGACAATTTCGAGCAGCCAGAAGTGGTCGGTATCAGATCACGTCTGATGAACCAATCTATTAGGAGCTTCCAGAGCAGTATAGATTGCTGGTTGAGGTCTTTCTTCTTTTAGTCCAGGCCTCGACACTTATTCGAGGTTTTATCAAGGAGCTAAAGCTTCTCCACTTGTTAAACACAGATAACTCACTTGATGGACCACATCGCTGCCAAAGAGGAGGAGGCGCGCCGCCTCGACGAATTGTACGCTGCCACGTTTTCCGCAAGGGCTGCGCACCAAGAGCGTTTCGCTGAGTCTCTGGGTCACAAAAAGGAGAGGTCTCGTGTCAGAAATGTTTTCAATGGCTGGCGGGATACCGTTCTGCTGAAGAAGCAGTCGCGAGCTCTCGAAACACGGATAAGCGAAGCACGGCGGAACCGTCTTACGAGCAGAGCGTTTGGGGCGTGGGAGCAGGTGTGGCGGCGGCGGGTGCAGTTGGCAGCTGCCGAGGGGAGGGTTAGGGAGAGGGTCAGAAGCTCGGTTATGGCCCGGGTTATGCGGGCGTGGCTGCAGTGGAGTGAGGAGCGGCGATTGGTTAAGAAGATGGTCAAAGAAGGGAAGCGCCGGAGGGAGGTTGGGTTGGCCAGGCGGGTGATGTCACAGTGGCGGGCGTTGGTGGATTTAGAGCGGGAGAGAAGTGAGGTTCTGGAGCGGCTGATGAACACGTGGCAGGGGCGGACGGCCCGGCGAGCGTTTGCCAAGTGGCGCGACTACGTGGAGGCACGAAAAGCGAAGCGAATGTTGGCTGGCCAGCTGAGAAGGGCGCGTCAGCTGCGAATGGCGAGAATGAGCTTTCATGCGTGGCGGTGCCGAGCGAACCTGAAAGCTGAGAAGAGGCGACGGGCCGAGCAGCTAGCAAGAGCGTTCCAGAGACGGCGCTTGGGATCCGTGCTGACGGCCTGGCGGGAAGAGGTCCGGTCAACGGTCGAGGCGGAACGGAATGTAATTGAGAGCCGGAAAGGACGGCTAGCAGCGGCGGCGTTCGAGGCCTGGCAATCCGCGGTGACCGATCGACGGCTGAGAGCGACCCTGGCGGACGGCATGCGGGAACGGCTCGAGGCGCAGCTCAGGGCGCGCGCGTTTGACATGTGGCTCTCGGCGGTGGAAGATCACCGGCGGGGTGTGCGGGAAGCGGCGCGGCTGGAAGGCATCGCTCGCGAGAGACGGGTGCGGCGCACGTTTGTTGCGTGGAGGGAGGGGACGACTGCAGCAAGGGAACGGGAGAGGGTGGTGGATTTTCTGGGCCGGCAAGCGGAGCGATCGGCACTGGCGGTCGTACTGGACGGGTGGAAAATGGTTGTGCAGCGGAAGAGAGCGGCGCGCGAGCTGAAGGCGGGGTTGCGGCGGCGGTGGGCTGCCCGGTGCGGGGTGATGGCTTTCGAGGCCTGGAGAGACTATGCTGCGGAGGGGAGAGATAGACGATCAACAATCGAGAGCGCCGCACGATATGCGGACCGGCGGATGCAAGTTCGGACGGTACGTGCTTGGCGGGAGGTTGTTGCTGGTCGAATGGATTTGAACAAGGCGGTCGAAGCTGCTCGAAGGATCGTGGGCAGAGGGTGTTTGCGGAGGAGTTTCGCGGCGTGGCGGGAGGAAACGGAACGGGAACGGGAGCGGACTCTAGCGGAAACTGAACAGGAGGAGCGGCAGTGGCGGCGGGCAGAGGCCTGGGCGCGGAAACGTGCTCTGTGGGACGGGTTCCGGGTGTGGCACGATTCCGTTGCCGCGGCTCAGGAGAAGCGGTTGGAAGAGTCGCACGCGGAGATCGAGCAGATGTTGAGGGAGGAGAGAGCCACTGCCTGGGCAAAGCGCAGCCTTCTGGAAGCGACTTTTTTGGCCTGGAGAACAGAGGTTTCGGAGGTTTTGGAGGAGCGGAGGGCAGCGGAGGAAAAAAAACGAGAGAAGCGGGTGCGAGAAGAGGCGGAGGAAGTACGCAAGGTGGCGGTGGCGGAAAGGTGGGCGATTAAGCGGCGGCTCGAGCGAGGGTTTAGGGTTTGGCGGGAGGAGGCGGAAGGGGCGCGCATCGACCGCCTGGCGGCTCGGATCGCGAAAAACGAGGAGCAGATTGAGATGGAGAAAGCCGAGGCGAGACGGGTTGAGTTTGCGGATAGGTGGGGGAAACGCCGGTTGGAGGAGAGGGGTTTCAGGGCTTGGACATTGGCGATGGAAGCGGCACGTGACGAGGCTGAGAACGAAAGAGCGGAGGAGGAACTAGAGAGAGCGAGAGAAAAGTGGGCGGGCGGCTGGGCAGTTCGAAGACGGCTTGAGAGAGTTTGGGGGGTGTGGCGGGGTGAGGTTCAGCGGACAGTCAACGAGAAGGAGGAAGAAAGAGCAAGGGAGGAGGAAAGCGAGGTCCAGGCGGAAGCGTTCGCTGGGAAGTGGGCGAAGCGCAGACTGTTGGAGCGTGCTTTCGGTTCGTGGATACTTGCTGTAGACGAGACAAAAGAGGAGGAGAAGATTGTGCAAGAAAAAGAATGTCGGGCAGAGCAACGAGAGGAAGAGAAAGAGAAGAGGGCCGATAGGTGGGCGCAACGCAGGCTGGTCGAGGCGACCTTCAAGGGCTGGGTTGGGCTTGTCGAGCAGTCGGCAGAGGAGAGGGAGGTCGCCGAAACGAACTTGCGGATTGCAGAGGAAGAAGCGACTAGAAAGGAGGAGCAGGACGCCTCGAGGGCTGCCACGTGGGCCACTAGGAGGCTGCTGGAAGCCGGGTTTTACGCATGGGCGGAAGCTGTACACGTGGCGAAGGAAGAGAGAGCGATTGAGGAGAAAGAGGAATGGAGGTCGGAGGTGCGGGCCGTGATTTGGGCCAAACGGAGGATGCTTGAAAGAGCGTTCTTTGCATGGGAGGGGGTCGTCAAGGAGAACTTTGCTGAGCGTGCGGAGGAGGAGCGAAGACAAGCGGCGCAGCTCGAGGCTGAGCAACGCGTCAGGAGACGCGTTCTGCTGGCCTGGCGGGAGGTGACGTCAGCGGCGCAGGAGGAACGGGCACAGGAAGAGGAGGCGCGCCGAGCGGTGATGCGGGGTGCGTTTGACACGTGGATGCATGAGACGAGTCGGTCGCTCGGGATCGGACGCGAGATCGCAAAGCGGCGACAGCTGTCGCAGCAGCGGCGCGCATTTGCCGCCTGGAAAGAAGCCCTCTGGCGGGCAGCGGCGATTGGGGACGCGGCCGAGCATCTAAAACAGCAGAGCGAGCGACAGCTGCTGACGTCAGCGTTAGCTCAGTGGAGAGACCGCGTCTCGAGGCAAGTCCTTTTGAGGCGACGGTTGAGTCTTTACCGTGAAGCACGCAGGAGCAGAGAACTGGCGGCGGCGCTCAGAAGGTGGTGCCACGTGGCAGCGAGGCGGCGAACGCTGAGGCTGGCGGGGCAGCGGGTGGCGGCCAGGGTGAACAGGCGCAGGCTGGGGGAGGCGTTCTCGGCCTGGGAAGAATACGTGGGGGAGAAGGTGGCGGCGCGGGGAGAGCTGGGGGCGTGCATCACCAGGAAGAAGATGGCCAAGAGGTGAGCCACAAGTACTTTTGTTCATGACATGCTCTATTACGGTTCCTTCTGCATGCGAAATCGAAGATGCTTTTTGTGGCAAACTTAGTGCAATTCGCAGAAGAAAAGACTGTCCGGCGAGCGAAGACTTTTCTTTCAAGGCACAGGGAGATTGCAATTCGTCTCGTCGGAAGCGAAGGCGTGGGGTTGTTAGAGGCGTCTGTGTGGGTGGAGCCGTAAGGCGATTATCGGCCAGCCAGCAGCCTGGAAGTCAGTCGCTCTTCCTACTCTGTCGGACCTGAAACTTCCTTGCCTACGAGCATGTTTCGTTTCAAGCCGACCAAACTTCTGCCCTGCTTGCTGGCGCAAGCTGCCAGTTGCTACTACCTCTGTCGAATCAGCGGCTATCGGTACGGTTTACACGAGGTTCCCGGCGGCTTTCAGCAGACAATCAAGCCGAGCACCTTCGCCGGAACGAAAACTGTAATCGTTTACCCGTCCCTCTCTTCCCATCTCTGCAGGTGGTTTATGCAGTGGTACTGGGACGCGTTTGACAACGAGATCCACCGCTCCCTCGTCGATATCGTGAGCAGCACGCAGCTGTCCATCAACGAGGCGGAGAGGGCGCCCCTGCCTGCGAGTGGCACCAACGGCCATTCCGCTGGGCGGAACTTCGGCGCTCCGGGCCGGAACTCTGCGGACGACTGGAAGGCCCTATTGAACCGGGGGCTTGAGGCGCGAACCATCGGTGCAGACCTGGTCATGGGTTTGGACGCCAGCAGCAACGGCCATTCCGCTGGGCGGAACCTCGGCGCTCCGGGAAGGAACTCCGCTGACGATTGGAAGGCCCTGTTGAACCGGGGGCTCGAGGCACGAAGCCTCGGTGCGGCCCCGCCTAGGGGTTTGGACTCAGCCAACGGGGTCCGGCTGGGGCGTTCGGAGAGGTATGAGAACGGAACGGAAAGCTTGAACGGAACGAGCAACGGAAAGCGGAGTCTGCCCCCGACAATGCCGACGGCGGGTTTGACGGTCGGTTTGCAGGCACGGACAGCTGGCAAGGACAGTGCTTCAGGGGACCTGACGTTTGGCGTTAGGAAGAATGGGCCGCGACAGCTCCCGCCCCTCGGTAATGACGTCAGCAGGTTGGGTTCCAACGGCGTGAAAGAACAGGTTTCAAGGTCCGTGACTGGGAGCCTTGGCCGGTGGAACTATCTGAAGAAAGACGGCTTCCTCGAAGGGCTGAGAACCTCTCGCAACGGGGTCTCCAGTGAAAGGAACATATTGGGATCAGAGCAGGAAGCTGGCGAAGAGCGTATCGAAGGTAGGAGCACGGAGTTTGCAAATAAGTCACTGCTCGGCAACAGGAACGAGTCGAGAGGGTACGCCTGGCGCAGCCTCGATCTAGGGCAGGGGCCAGCAAAGGGATTATTGGAAGAGAAACGTCCTCGCACTTCAAGCGGCAGTGGAGAACGCGATAAGAAGAGTAGCTACTAACAGTACCACAACATTCTGAAAGGTATACGGTCTGGTCTCCTCACAGTTGCACCGATCAGAGTTGACCAGATAATCAGAACAATGTGTTGAGCACGAAAAGTTAACAAAATGAGAAGAGACTCGTTGATGTAAGCATGGCAAGCGACTAAAGTTCCGCTCAGCTGCAAAGACAGCTTGTCCTCGACCCTCGTCCAGCTGCGACTAGCCATGCTGAAAGTCGATTATACAACCAATCTAATAGACTGAATGGGACACGTGAATGAGATCTGTTTAGCATGCAAGTTGTGGATGCACGAGATCGGCCAATAATCGACATCCGGATATACTTCTCGTCGATCTGCGTTACGGGCGCCACACAGGTGCACGTCCCCGATGAGTTGTGCTTGCGCCGCGCGATCAACCACAACCAACGGCGGCCGCCGTGAGTGATCCATTAGGGCACACGCCACGCGCCGCCAGGTAAAGTATGCTGATTCTAGCTAATCGTTCGCAGAATCAGCTCCCTACACTTTGGCAAAAGAACTTAGTCGGAATGGCACTCGTGAAATCAATTTTCTGCTTTTGTTGAATCTTACCGAGGTACTACTACATGCTGTCTTAAACGGTGTAAGTGAGCTGTCCCAATTGATCAATGTATCATGGTGCTTTGGGCTCTGCAGCTGGTTAGGAAGTCATGCATGCATGCAACCCAACCAAGTGTTTTGCAGCGGCCGGCAAGGAATGGTTCGTTATCATGCACCACAGCGCCCTCAACGATCTTTGGGAGCGTTTTCCAAAGCATGGTGCTCACAACTCATGCTGTGCAGCAGATAATCTGATAAGAAGGACATGCGTTGTGAAATACTTGTGGACAGTATCCTAAAAGACTTGCAAGCCGTGTGACCTTCGTTCACTTTGGTGCCCTAATGGTGCGGATAAAGTAGCTCGGGAGTAAGAAATGCTCGATACAACGATCGTGATCCGAGGAGCTTGGATTGATAAGTGACCCAGGCCACTTTGCACGTGCAGCACATGTAATCGAAGCAATGATGAACTTGCTGTACAGCTTGCTTTTGCGGAATATCCTTTTGGTATTCGTTTAGAGCAGCTTTTAAAGGAACCGCTCCTTTGCCTCCGAACTCCTCAAGTTGAAAATGCACCTTATGCCCGGAGCAATCCAGATTCTTGTGCAAACACGTCTCTAAGAAGTCGAATCAGGCTCCCTGAAACTGTAACGTTGCAATTGTCGACACGACCATACTCTCTTGTTTGTTTCCAGGTTCTGCATAGACCAATCTCAAACCACACAACTTTCTCCAGACTTCGGGAGAATTTGACAGACTCAGCCTCTACTTCTGATACGGGTATGCAACAGGAGTTCCCGGTGCGGGGTAGAACACGACGGGAGGCGGGGCCGCAACCATCCCAGGCGGTGGGGCGGGCACAAATACCCCCGGCGGTTGGGGGGGCGGGACCACCACCACGTTAGGCGCGGCGGCCTGTTGCCCCGGAGGCGCCGCCATTTGGGCGCCCACAGCCACTCCCTGGGCGTATGACTGCAGCGGAGTAGAAAAGAAGAACATTGGTTCTGTGGTGAGTCATCAAGAACTGTGCTGAACATTGACAGGCCGTTCGATCCGAGTCCTTGGAGCGAAGCCGAATTGTTTGATGGCCCCTTTGTAGTGGGAATGTTCTAGAGGCATGATATGGTTGAGTCAAGTACGATCGAAAACACGGCTTCTGATGCAGCGTCCGTCTAGGATGACACGGCGGGTTCAGAATTGCTTGGCGATTTCGAAGCTCCTGAATGCAATTCCTACGGCGCAACGCGACATTGCCATTTTGTGGAAATGGGGACAAGGAGAAAGGCCCTTACGTCTTGTCGCAATTTCTCAATGTGCTATCTCATTACGTGACGGAATCATCAACACTTACGTGTCCGACATTCCGCGTGACACTTGTGAACTTTGAGGAACATCGTGATTCCACTGACTTGATGAATTGCCTGAGGACGAGATTGTTTGTCGCGCCTCCCTCGGCACCTACAACTTCTTTCCACTTGGCTCAAAACCGGAGAATCGTGCACGGCTCAATCCATATCTTCAGCAGTCTACGGCAACCTCGAGCCAAGGATGTTCGAGAGCGCATTCAGGCAGCATCAAAATTGCACCTTCCCCTGAAAGCATGCGACTTTTCTGGGGGCGGTCTTTCCTGCTAGCCGCGGCCAACGAGCATTTTCGTCGACGAAGAATTACGCAAAACTCTCAACTCACTCAAATCTCGCCGGAAAAATATCAACAGAACGAGGAGCAACTCAAGGACGTTCCAAGTAAGATGCATGCGCAAAACGCAGATGAATACAAGCAGGAGAAAACAGGCCGTCCGATGGGCCCCGTGTCAGGCCCACCTGCTGCTGCTGCTGGCGCATCCGCTCCTGCTGCATGGCTTGCGCCTCCTTCTTCTCCTTCTTGTGCTCGTGGTGGTGGTGCGCGGCCGCGCCCACGAGCGCCGCCTTGATGATGGGACCCATGCTGGCAACTAGAGACGGCGCAGGGTCAGAAAGCAAGCCGTTCTCTGCTCAAAGGCTCAGGACCCAAAAATTCTTGTCGGAGGTTGTCTTTGTTCTGTGGCCAGGCAGCGAGGATGGCGCCTTTGAGGCAAAGCAAGCGCGCAACTTCGAATGCTATTATGATAGGTGTCCACTTTCGAAAGCAGCTGACTTAAGGGTCTAACGGAGAAATTATGAGTGACAAAGCTGGTTTGACTTCCGAAGACCTTTCGCTGCGCCTGGTTTTCAATTTTGCATCGAGCGAATGTCAAAGCGGCTCTCGCCTTCTGGGACTTCTTTTCAGCTTTAGCTTCTCTTTCGAAAAGCTGACTGCCTTTTTGGTCGAGAATCATCCGATCAATCAGCTTCCGATTGAGCCTGATGCAATCTGGTTTGCGCCTCCCAAAATCACGAAAAAAGGGTCGAGCTTGGCGTGCTACCATTGTCAGCTTCGAACTCGATAAGGACGTTACTAGCTTGCCGAATCCGTCGACGAAGATGAATGATTGCAATCGTAAGGGAGTTGCGGCACTGTTTGGATGCACGCAAAGACGAACGAGGGACGGGTTAATCCTGTACCACTTTTTGACCTGTACGGACTCGAGTCAACGAAGAGAGCCTAGAGCTTTCTACTCTAGTGTCACCAGGTTAAGAGCGCGCGCGCGCTCTACTGACACAGCTTTACGCAAGGACAGCTCGTCAAGCCGCGATACGCTGTCAAAGGAAGTTGCCGCGAAAGTGGTCGCCTTTGGCGACTTCCGAACACATGCACTGCTCTGAAAGCAGGAGAGGCAAAGCAAAAGGGAGAGTCACACTGAGCGGAAAGGAATGCATTTTGATCGTATAGAAGCGAACGACAAGACTTTTGCGTTTTAGATTGTGCCTCTTCTCGGAGACTCGCGAGCGCATCAAACGGTATAAGCGTTCAAGCAAACCTCCAGAAATTTGCGCCAACTTTCTAGCTTGCAAAAAGCGCCCTTCGAAAGCAACTACAGTAGTGTGAGGCCCTTTCCTCACCATGGTGGGACCTCTGGGCAAGGCCGCTCTCGGCGGCGCGGCGATCCATCACCACCACGAGAAGAAAGAAGAGAAGAAGGAGGACAAGGAGATGAGGGAGCAGATGATGTGTCAGCAGCAGCAGCAGGTGACATGTGTCCTCTGGATGAATTAATTTGATCAATCCGCGTTCTTGCAATATATGGTTCCGATTTGAGCTCGCGCGCGCGGCTCTTCTGGTGAGCAGGCATTCCGTCGTTGCTGCAACAGTGGGCATTTGGGGTTTTTCTGAGGAGGGATTCTGTTTTTGCGCGACTTTTGTGGAGTGTGCTTATGAGTTGTCGAAGTATAGCAGCTAAGACAAAGGTGTGAATCCATTCAAGATTGTTAGTTTAAGATCCGTTACGACTGGGGGTCTTGGGTCCTGCCAAAGCATCCTTTTTTCTCGGCAGCGGTGTTATACCATTCGTAGTCGAATAAACTTTTGATTCAATGGGGCCCATCTTTTCGCCTCAACACGCGTCATTGCGTCATTGTCTTGGCTGTGCGCAGTTTCAAAACCCCCAGCACAAAAACCTCTGACTGATCGAACATTCGAAATCTCCTGGACTGATTGTGCAGTACATCCATCAAGCATTCTGAAATGTGACGCACGCCCGGCACGATGACGTCAGAGTGAGCATGCTTTCCCTACTGCAGACCAAGTTGAAAAATCTAGCTTTCTTTCGACACTTGCAGCAGCAATTCGCTCAGGGAATGGCGGCTGGCGCGGCCGCGGCCGCGGCAAACCCGCAGGCGTACGCGGCCGGGTACACCGCGGGAGCGCAGCAGCCGACGGGTCATCATCACAAGCACTGAGTGCCCAGTGGAGATTGTGGCTCTTTTAGGATACTAGTTCAGCTGACGTATGAAGTCGTGAAAGGAGTCGTGATAAGTGGGCGACACAGTCGGTACATAAAAAACAGATGAATGTGCGTGAAATTGAGGGAGAGGAGACTGCTTTCGCAATAGCCTTTCGCCGTACAGATCGAGAGCGACCATTGCTGGTGGATAAAGAAGTGTCGCTGGATCTTGTACCCGACGAGGACAGCGGGCATGCGAACGGTTCAAGCTTGGTTTTGCGGGTCTAACACTTGCTCAATATGAACCTCAGTCACAACGTAGTCACAAGAATGGAAAGTGGTTTGGCTGGCCTCATACGCAACCCGTTCCCGTTCCCGGTTCCGCCTTTATATCCAGGACTCTTGTTTACGAAAACTCTTCTAGTATGTCGTGAGAAATTGATAAGAGTCGAAATGCAACGAGTATGCCAGCCTCCTCTGGCTAACCACTTTCTCGATTGCCTGGCCTGCATGAGCAGTAAACACAATATACACAGCGCGCCAGATGAGCTGTCGCATCGGTTCGCTGGGAGGACCTCGAATGATTGAAACGTAAGCTCGTCACAGTAGGGCCATCAGGCGCGGGTTTCGGCATGTCTCTTCAATCTGGGTAAAGTAAGCTCTAGGTGTTGTAAGCTCCCAGCCTACCATTAAAAACGTAGCCCTCAAAATTACCCGCTCCGCACCCGAACCCACCCTAACCCCCAAACTAATCCCACCCGTCCCAGGCTGCTTGGCCTACTTTACCTAAAGCTTACTTGATCTAGATTGGAGTCTTATGGTTTCGGCCATTGCGGCCAGTCCTTCGTGCACCGTGACCAGTGCGGTCCCATAATCCGACGAGTACAAGTACACGCATTTGCTCATTGTCTTCCATTTGCGCCGAGCCTGATGCAGATCGTGATGATCGCTGCTGACGTACGGATTGGGGCCTTGCAAGTCGTTCAATCGTGTGTCGGATGATGGAATGAACATACTCCCAGTCCGCATCCTAATCAAATTCGGCCCCCTTTGCAACTGGGGGATCCCTCACCTGCATCGCCACTCGTTCCGATTTTACGAAGATTTCGCAGGCTGCTCACACTCATCCATGTCACCCAGTAGGCAGCCCCCAGGCCTTGAACAAGGAAAGAGCAGACTGGCCAGCCAAGACTTACATCGTCAGCTTCGAACCTGTTCGATTTTTGTAAAGCCCGTTCATTTGATACCGGGTGTGTTTGTGTGGGCTATTGCTATGGAAATAGGTGGTATCGTTGCAGTTCCGGCGACTAATCGATACTGGTCGGAACTCGAAGCTCGTGTGGGTGTCCATAATAACACGCTACGACGCTTATTCAAATTGCTCTTCCTTCACCCGTGGTAAGGTGCATGAATGGATAAGCTTGCCGTCAGAGCCTTGCAACTCCATCCATGAGACGCGTTTCTTAAGTGTGCTGATCCATCAATATTGTAGTTTTATTTGAGAAACGGCAAATGAACCTGAATTGAAGACACGAAGATTGGGCAAACATTCGAAAGGAGAAGCAGGTTTTGAGCTTTAGTTCTTATAACCGGTTGACGGTGCGCAGTTTTGAACGCTAGCGCTTTTGCCAAGACAAAAGTAAGACAAAAGCAAAGACAGCGCAGCCGGTGGGCAGCTTCAAAGCAGAGTCCGCTGCTCCTTTCAGGAACAACCAAGCTAATCTACCAGGTGCAATTTCCTCTGACTCTGACACAATTTTCTGGCGAGCTTTGACATTGAGAGGGACCGCTTCACCAACTGGCCATAGCGCCCAGTGAGAGGTGCAGTCATCTAGCGAATACGTACACGAAGATCAGTCGTGATATGGATGTGACACGAAAGTTCGGCGAAGGGCTCCCTTGTCCGATGATGACTCCGAGTCCGGGGCTCACCATGGCAAAGCTTTCAATTAGATTCGGCCGGCCTGATTCTTTTTCCTTTTGATGGCGGTCACATCACAATATTGAGCAAAGAAAAGGGAAGTCATCATTGCCCTCTGGGCGCCACGCACAGCCGTGCGTCGCATGAAAAAACTAAGTGCGCCTCTGTGTACCGTAGTGGCACGATCCCTTCACACCAAGCAACAATTTTGGGCTTGTGTTGAAAAAAAGTACTAATTCTGAACAGGCCTGTGTGAAATCGCGAAACAAGGAAAAGCTGGTTAGTTTCGAGGGTGAATGGATACAAGGGTAGTTTGCACTGCTAATCTCCTAGGTTTTCTCCCTTGGTGTGGAATTGTGAAACTGGTCGCTGGGCTGGTGTGAAAATAAAAGCGAAGAAATAATGTCCGCAGCGAGGAGGTGTGAAAGGGTCGTGCCACTACGGTACCGATCCCTTTCTCGAGAGCTCTCCCTTCGCTGTCATCCGCACGAGAGGTCCATGCTGCCCTGTTCCGACGGTTCCGCTGTAATACGAATCGGTACCTAGTCATGTCAGGCTGCCCGTCCTTGCCGAAGCGCTTGCACAGGAGGTTTTGGCCCCTACCCATGGATGGTTATGGGCTGATTATGGGCTGGTTAAAAGTAGTTAAATGTCCGTTAAGCAGACTTGGGCGGTAACCCGCCCTGGAACGGGGTTGAAGCCTGGTTATCGGTCCAATAACCTGAGACTCAAGTCTCCTAATCGACCTGGTCAGCAACCAAAGCTTCCTGCGAATTGGTCCGGGTGTCAAGGCTGGCTTTTCGATGAGTCAGCGCTTCCTCGTTCGCATGGAAATGTTGACTCTTCAGCAAAGCGTCAATCGGCGGGCCGTCACTTTTGATGTGACCGCTTCTTTCAAGATCACGTAGAGCAGCTGTTGGCGGCTTCGCCCTTTTCATGCGCCCGATTCATCGTCCAATCCTGCGCCGCGCCATGTCAGAGCGGCAAAGAGATTCAGACGCTGCATCCCTGTCTCCTCGGCAGAACAAGGCGCGAAGGACAGCAAGATTGCGTAGGCGATTCTTATGCAGGTCTAACAGGCTTCCCTGCGTGCTGAGGCCAACTTGTCATTTCAGCCATGAGCTTCCTGACCGGTTCGTTCAGGTCAGGATCCGCGGGACATAACCCGGGCGTCTTGAAGCAGTCATCCCTTCTGTTTCTGCCGGTGATCATGACCGGAGTTGTGGTCTACTTTAGCATCTGGGATGCGGCTTTTATTGTTGGTGGAGCCCCAGATCTTTCAGAGACCGTGTCTGGAGGAAAGACCTCTCAGCCCCTTTATGTTGGGGCAACCCTGGAGGCTTGGCGGAACGGTTCTCTGAGCGGGAGGCAATTGCACGCTGAGTTGGGGCTCAAAGATGCTGTGATTCCCGCCATCTACAACTGTTTCAGTGAGCGGTATCCGCTGCTTGACAGATCAGAGGGGCAGCCGTGCTTTTACTTGAGGACTCCGATCCCGGTGATAGGGACCAACACGGTGAACAACCCTGCAATGCTCCGCCGGCTCGTCCTCAGCATTGACGTTCCCGTGCAAGTCATAGTCATCGTTGTGAACACCATTCCTGGGGAAGCAGGGAAGCAGGATGAGCTGGATATGCTGGCGGCTATAGACGAGCTGCAAGAGCTGATCGGGAGGAGCTTTTTCAAGGTCGTGAGAAGCGGGTGCAACCGGGGCTGTGCCGGAGGATGGAACACCATCGTTCACTCTACCCTGGATTCCCCTTGGTGGCTTATCATTAACGATGACGCAGCGTTCGTTCCCGGCGCACTGCGCACGCTCTACGACTACGTCAGCAGCAACCCCAACGTGGCTTTCTACAAGCTGACGGCATACCAAGTGTTCATCATAACCCAGCGTGCAGTGGCCGAAGTAGGCGTGTTCGACGAGAACATCTGGCCAGCATACGTGGAGGATTGTGACTACGATCTCCGATTGAAGCTCAGCGGTGTGATGGTCGCTTCCAGGCCGCCCGAGTTTAGTAACATCCACGGGGACCCAGAGTCGGGCTCTTCATCCTCGCTTATAGACACAAGGGGAGGAGGGCACTCGGGTTACGGGCAGCGGAGTAAATGCTCCCATTCCAACAACAGAATCTACTACCAGAAGAAGTGGAATCTGTCCGTGCCCGGATGTGGTAGGCAGCTCGAAGGGATGTTCCAAACGCCTCACGGCAACCCTTCCCGAAATCTCGACAGCTGGACGTTTGACGAAGAAGTGCGTGCCCGGTCCGAAAGCTGCTGGGAGCCGAGCAACAGAGTAGACAACTGGCTTAGGGAAGATGCTGCAAGTTACTATGCCCAAGTGAGCGTCCCGGGGGACCAGCCGGCTTCCAATTGGGGACAGAATCTCATCCGTCTTCAGCCGGAAGAAAGCGAGCTAGACACAATTAGCGAGGTGCAGTCGAGTGGAGGAAAAGACGACGCTCATTGCGTCTCTCCTTTTGCAGAGATATGAGAGTTATAGCTGCGGAGTGATCTGTTCTGCATGTCTCGACATTGCGGTCAATAGTTGCGCCTTTGCTAACCACCTTCCGAACAATAAAAGAGTTAGTAACAAGTCTTGATCATGATTGTTTAATCTCGAACCAAGCGATCATGCAATGTCATGCAGCGCCTGCATGAGGGCGCGGGCCCATTGTATGAGATCTACTCATGAACGAGAACCTCTCATCACCTGAACACAATTGTCGAGCCCAATTGAGACTCACAAAATTGTTCTCATGCATACACGTCAACCGACATCATTACATTAAGTGCTTTTGACGGTCATTTATATTCAAGGCATTGGTTTGAACAGCTGACCGTACGTGAATCAATGAATATAAGAGCACGATCCATCCATGATTGTTACCTAATGATAAGCCTGCCAGTACTGGACCTCAATTTGGATCGGTCATTTGTGCTCATTTATCTAGTTGCCCGGCCGCGTCCCGGCCCGCGCTCACGCCGAGGCAAGCGTAACTTATTATATGACGTCACTGGGATGTACGCGAGTCAGTTCATAGCCGTGGTCCAATTGCTGAGTTGTTGCAGGCCGTCCATCTGCAGGTCGTTCCTCGGAGTCCCGGCTCTACTTTGCATAGTTCGCCAGCATTTTTCAATCTGGTCAAAGGGGCTGTACCGGTTGCTCAACGATCATGCAAGATCAATTAATACTGTACTATGACATAGCGTTGTAGAAGTACCTCGCGGCTCCGCCCCCGCGCCCAGCCTGGCTTGACCGCTCTGCAAAGACATTCGTCTGACCATGCAGGCGCACGCCACCCGCCTTGATGTGTGCAGAGCATGGTGGCACAAATCGCACGACCTGCCGTCGGCACGGATATTCGAACGGTGGCCTTAATGACTTAGGTATCTTGATAAGCATGTACGTAAGTTCATGCGCGAGCGAGACGTGTTGATGAGACGGCGCCGCCGCAAGCCAAAGGCACATCTTGCAATTGCCATGGTAGGATTCTCACCCTAGCGATGGACATGTGAACTTCGTTCGAAGGCTATAAGTACTCCCTTCATTAGGAGTACTCAAGACAGCGAAATACGTGCATACGCCAAGTCGCTAATAGCCCTCTTCCAATTGTCATCCAGCCGGATGCCTAAGCACTCTGTAAGACTGGGGAAGATAAGAGCTTCCCGCGGGAGTGGGGCTGAAGGAGACCGACCGGATCTGAGCCACGTGGCACCACCGGAACGAGCCCCCCGGGGTTCAGCGGAAAGAGTGAGTAGTAGTACTGTCGGCAAATAGAATCTAGGTCGCAAGTCGCCGCAACTCCCGGATGCTGCAAAATAGATAGGGGAATGCTTAGAGGGCAGAAAATGGCCTGTGAGATCGTTCTGTTGGTTTCAATTTTGGGGTGTTCCGTTAGTGAGAGCATTCGGTCGAGCTCGATTGCGTTGCCACGAGCCCCACAGATAGAATCTTGCAAGGACCGAGCGGCAAGTTTGACCGACAAACGGAACGGCCGTGCATCCCCTCTGTCGCAATGTATGCTGTGCACAGGGTATGCTCTTAGCACAGGCTACAGCGAAGGAGTGTCTTGATCCGATACATAAACAGCTTACAGCGTTCAAAGAACGAAGTCCGCGCCAGCTTCTGCAAACCGCGCGTCTGCAGAAACAAGACTGACGAGGAAGGCAACTTTACCTGGTACATGTCCCGCAAGTAGGGGTACAGGTACTTGTACTCTGATATCCGCTGGCGCGAGCACTTGAAATGTACTGCAAAACGCAAAGCATGGGTCACTGGAAGGCGGCAGGAAAGATATTAATATGTCGGAAAAAGTAAAGCACTGTTGACAAGTTGCTCGAAAATGGAACAGGATGACTGTCGTGAAACGCGCATTTGAGGGTCGTGAAACACAGATTTGAGGGCGAGCCCCCTTGACTACTTCGGAACCTAAAAGTCGTCCTGACACCGTGCAAAGATTTCCACAATCTAGCACCCATCAAATGACATTTAAACGCGACAACATGTGACCGCCACGAGAGCTTTTGTCTCAGGAGCAAGAACACCGGAAACAATCCAGAGCTGGAGAGAAGAAAGTTATACGGAAAGTAGACTGTTATTACTCCACCGAACCTTGCTTGCAATCGATTAGCGACGAAGCGCTTGGGCCCTGATCTCTCTCCCTTCTCGAAAACAAAGACTGACACCTGCCCCTGAAGAAACGCCGTACGGTTTGTCACAGAAGATCCGCAATACCACCCGCTTAAACCCACGGAAGCCATGAAGCTTACCGTAATATACAGGATCGAACCGCAGGATGGTGGTGAAGAGCCGGACGTCAGCAAGCGTCAGCTGGTCCCCACACAAGTAACGACTGCATCGACCGATGGGCGGGCAGAGAGATCAAAGGCTGCTCTTCATTATCCGCTTTTATCCCGACGGAATCGCATCAAAAGAGCATGCCTGTCTCTTTCCCAAAACTTGCAAACAAGCATGCGAAAAGGCTGCCAATCTTCCTCTTGAAAGGGACTCACAATTGAGAAACCGCTGCACTTAGTCCTCGTCGAGAGCACCTACGGATGCAAGAAGCGAGTGGGAACGGTTCTGTCCAGAACGTGCGATGAAGTGACACGTGTCACTCTTCCAGGATGTTTTTGCGGGAAGGCCTATCAAACATACCTCCTCTGGAGATGGGCGTCTATGGCGTCTAGAGTGTCGAAAAGGGCAGCGACCGCGATGTCATATGCTCCCTGCAGAGCAGACCAGCGGGCCGTGAATTTGAGAGCCCGGCTCAACGGGAACGATCTCAACATTGTGGGATCTAGCAGGCCCCAGGAGTTCCTCATACCACCTTTGCCTCCAGTGTGCCGGGTTCTTGGCCCGCCCTCAAAACTCTTGAGGGGGCCTGACAGAAGCAGGCTCCTGATACTCCGCGCCGGTCAATGCACACTTTGCTGTACCGCATAAGGATAAGAACGGACGCAAGTGGTCTCGACATACGGGATTGCAACAGGAAACACATAAACCGTTGCAGGACAACTGCTTCGAGTCGCTTCTTTCGCAAACGGGTTTCCGGGGCACCAGCACCGTATCATACTCTAACGGGGGAAAAGGTTGCTTGCAGTCTTCAGTGAGACATCTCCTGAAAACCTTTTCGCCACTTCAAGCTTTCTTCCCGGTAATTTCCTTGTTTCGTCTACACAAGCCTCCTAATGATGACAGACTGTGGTTCAAATATCGTTTGGAAAGTCGCTGCGATTGCACATTGCTATTTATTTCCGGCGACATAAAATCCGAATGGAACAAGTCAAGACTTCGGCCTCTGTTGTTCATAATGTTACTTCAAAGCTTAGAGCCTAACTCACTTGGCTGGTGGCAAACCCGCACTTGTACACGCCGTTATTTACAGTGTCGTAAATCAGGTCGTTCCATCTGCTGATGTCAGCGGCCACGTGTTTCGGGGCGAGGTCGACGTCAGGGTGCGCTGCCCAGTCGTTAAATGCCTCGTTCAAAATTTCTGCAGCGAAGAGTTTGTATGAATCACAGGGCGCATCTATGTTGGGGGAAGGCGATTGTCAGACAAAAGCAAAGCCTTGGAAGACGTGACTCACGGGCTGCTTACGTAGACCAAGTAAGCTGAGCGGGTGTCATAATTTCCGTCTTATTGAATCAGATTGCCGTACACACAGGCTAGGGAAAAGAGAAGAATTACTGGGACGCTAAGATTATCACGCCTCGACAATCTTCTGAGAACGAACAGTGGATGCGTCCCAATCCACAGCAAGCCGACTCCGAGCCACTGAAAGCCGACGTTACGGAAACCAAGACAAAGATGAGATGAGAGACACCTCAGCGGTCCACACAGTTAACTCGAACATCCGAAGTCCAAGCTACGCAGCGAAACCTCAGAGCCGACGACCGTGCAGCCAATTAGACCGGAATGGAGACGATAGGATTTGACCGTCTCGGCTCACCTATGATGTCCGCACTCTCGTTGTTTACCACCGTTTTGGTTTTCGTGTCCCAAAGCATTGGCACAGTTGAACGGCCGCTGCAGAAAAAAGGGGCGTGTAAGGTCAGGCCCGTACAGGCTCGAAAGGCAAGCAAGGTCTCAGATCTCCAAGACATTAGTTTCTTCGTTGGATGCCTGCGTGACGAAACCAGAATTGGACAAGGAGACATTGCTGTCGTATCAGTATTGCATTGCTGCGACATCTAGAGAAAGCAAAGCGAACAAATTTGTGCCATGTGGCCATTGCCTGCCACACCAGTAGCACCCTGACAGAAAACGCAGGCAGGCTACTAACCTCTATGTGGCTTCATAAACCTTTGTTAGCAGTTACCCTCCGTCAATCTTCCACCGTCATAGTCGTTCGTCTTCCTTCAAGCTTACCACGGGATCACGAACCCCTGGGTCGTCCAACACAAAATTTTAAAGCTATTGAAAGCAAACACGTTTGTTGCGCGCTCACTCATAGCCCCCGGTCTGCGACTTGTACACCTCCTTGAGGGTCTTTTTACCCGCCCCTCGATCAATCGTTGTCTGGAGAGTGGCGCCGCCACTTTTGCTGCTATCGGAGGCAAATTCCCATAGGCCCGAGGAGCCAGGCACCGCAATGGAGAAGGGGACCACCGCATCTAAACCCTGCACCGCAGGGCACGTTCAATGCAACGAACGCTTTGTTCTGAAGTCCTGATTAGTGCGAGAGAACGAGATCGTACAGTGATCTACAAAGCATGCGAGCGAGGCAGGCTCATGGGTTGAACGCCGAACTCGTTCACCGAAGTTTTACATTCTTCTTCCCGCCCTTTTGGACCTCCCAACGTCCCTTCCGAACTGACAATCTCGAACAGCTCGTGTGCCCTATCGAAGAACAGCCTTCAAAACCCCGAAGTGCTCAGCGGTCAACCTTGAAAGCAACGATACCACCTAGTTATAGAAAGCAACATTTGGCTAATAAAGGCTTTCCAAAACGATAGACAACCTTGTCAAGTCGAGCAGTCGTACTCGACGAGCCATGACGAGACGAGTCAAGTAGAGCCAAAGTTCCCACCTTGATAGCGTGTACGATCAACGTCCGGTGGGCCCAGGGACACGTCAGAGCAGCGTACAAATGGTACCGTCCCTTTTCAGGGGGGAACCTGATGACAGAGGCGAGACGCTTGTCAGTTTTCGTAGCTTGTAAGGGTCAAAGGGTCCTTTGACTTTGGCCCTAGCACTTGATGCCCAGGTTACGTCCATCAAGTAGACAAATGAAGGTTCCAATTGCAAGCAGATTTGGCCAAGCAGGTGTTGAGATCAAGGCTGCGGAAAGCGACTTTCCCTACAGGGGAACAGAAGTATACGGTACGCTCAGGTAGTGGCAGATGTGTGAAACATCTTCGTGAGAGTTTGGCATTAACTCCCCATAACAACAAGTTGCAGAAAAACGGGCAGTACCTCTTGCAATCAGTGACTCCCCTCGTCAATGCCAGAACAAACCACCTGACGGAACCCGCAGAACCTCACCTGCCACCCTTTTCTATCCTGTTCCGGAACGCGCTCTCCGGTCGCTTGTATGATCCATCATCATTACTTGGGGCAAGCTGTAAGGTCACAAAATACAAACGGTCACAAACTACAAAGGTCAACAAACGGTGGAAGATAGGCTATTGCCCACTACTCCTTAAAACTAGGATCCTAAGCATGATAGGGTAAGATGATTGTGTGCCCTTAAACTGCAGTAGAGCCACCGCAAGGGCATCATTCCTACTGAAGTTGTACCCTGCCATCAGAGGGTGAACGGAATCAGACAAATCAAACCCTGAGCTGAGGAAACTGAAGTGAGGCCAAAGCTGACTCAAAAGCATTCGTTTTGAAATGTATCTCAACAAGCATATATGAGTGTTGTTTGCAAACAACTCCTTCTTCGCCGGCATTCGGCACAGTGAAAGCAGCCCCAACCTGCGACATCATGATCTTCCAAGTGCCCCGCCATGCCGCTTCCGCCGTTTGGATGAGCAGGCCTGGAGGGAGGCCCTTCCCAAACAGTGCTGACCCCGCCTTGATGCCAGCATCAACTAGGTATGAGGAGAAGTCTGTCGGGCTGGTCGACGAAGCGGCTGGCTTGCCTGCTCCGTCCTCGCTACCAGTCCTCGCACGCATTGTTAAAGAGCCCGTTCGCGGTGCCTGAGCAGATTCGTTTTTCTTTATGTGAGATTCAAGTGATGCAGAATCGATCTTTCTTCCTATCAAGCTAAAGAGGGATCCCTGAAGATGCTTTCTGCGGGAGTTGCTGAACGCTGCTGGAAACGAACACCTGCAGACGTCAGTTCTCTGCAATGCTGATGCATGCAATGCCGCATATCGGTGCTTAAGTGGCCTCCCCTGCAATTGTGGCATCGGCAATTCCTGCAAGCTGGCGCACCTTCTCAGCTCGAACTTTTCTGGTGGAGAAAAGGCTTGCGAAGGCGGCAATTTTATGGCTGCTTGCCCATGCGACATGTTGGCAGGAGATGGCTCCTAGCTGAATACCTGTACCTGTTCAGAGCTCTGTGTTCAAAGTCTGGACTTATGTCTTCAGATGCTGACCAGTGCCCAGCAAGCCTGCCATGCAGCCCTGCTGCCACTGGACTCACCGCACCAGGCGTATGATGGTCGAAGAAGCGCCGGTGAGAGCCGTCCGATGATCTTTTTGACGGTTCTCCCGTTCCTTTTGAATGTCCTCTTAACCAGATCCTTGCTTCAGTACGTTGCGGCAAACCCAAGGGCCAAGACAGTTGAAGAACAAAGTTGTGTCAAGGTTTGCATATCCATTCATCGTACCAGACATATTGACACCGTGCTACCTGCCCGGTTTACAAAAACCCATTGTGATCCAGGTTACTAAATTGGTAGACTTGGTTTAGCCGCCCGCTTTCGTATCTGACAGCCGCCTGCCGCTGCATGCCTGTTGACATCGGCAGTGAAAATCTCCAAATTAAATTGCACGCTAGACAGACTGGCAGACTGCAGTTCGCTTCGTTTCTTCTCTCTCTCAGTCTGACACAAACTGCTGCTGCTGCTGCTGCAGCTTCTGCGATGCCAGCTGTGCTGATACAACGATCCAGAATGTCCAAAGCCGCTCGAAGTGGTCAGACAGTGCTGCTGCTGCCCGCATTGAAGGCCTTCAAAACCCGTTGAAGCGCATCATAGGAGTTGGCGCTCAGTACTCAGACTTGGGTGCTCAGAATGGGTGCTTCGGAGTATCTCTTCACTCATTCTTTCTTTTGACCAAGCCTAGCAACATAGTCCATAAGAGTTATAGTATTGTTCAGGGGACGTTCAATTGCACAGCACAAGACCATGCGTGTCCCTTATTCTCAGAGCTTGCTCCCTCTTCGCTCGAGGCGTCACTTTCTTCTCGTGGACACTGCTGCACTAATGACATTCAGTTGCCATTATCCTTCCAAGCAATGAAAGAGCAATGAGCCCCACCATGTATGGAGTTCCATCCCCAGGGGATCAGCCACTTTTTTCAGAGGCCACATTTGCGGAACATGTTTCTGACTCAACTCCAGAATCCGTTTCAGGCACTGAAGCTTGTCCCCAGCTGTCCAAATCTTCCAGCAGCCCTTCCCTTCCCGCTCTGCTTTTGCCCCACCATTCAACCAGAAGCATGCTCAGTCTAGTTAGGGGCCAGAGCGATGACCATGCAAAGGCAGAGGCGCTCTCCAAAGCCCTGGCGGAAGAGGTCCTGCCGCTGACGTTAGGGGAGCAAGAGCTGGTGCGAGAGACGTGGACGATGTTGGAAAGCAACCTGGCGGACAATGGCATCGCGTTGTATCTGAGGTCAGCGATCAACGCAGACGGCTGCTATTGCTTTAATGCAGAGTTCGCGCATCATGCTTCGCAGCCAGCCAGCAGATCTCCACAGGGAACTGATGTTTCCAATAGATATTACATTTTCGTGAGTTCCAAAGGCAGATTGGAAAACAGAAGTTTGCCTTTAAGAACACCCCTTGCCCCTGGGATGGTCACTCTCTTAGGATTGGCAGCTTCGGAAAAGGAAACAAAAGGAAACGGCTTCCCACCTTAGTTTGATTATGTGAGATATTGGGCTCAGATACGAGCGCGCTGAGACACTTGTTTCAGACCAACTCACGTTCACTTTCCAAGTCTGGCCGTCCTTGTGTGGACTCTTATTTCTTCGTTTGCTGAGCAGCTTAGCCACCATTCTCTGGTGCCTCGATCGCTTTTTTTTTCACACGCACAAATCTTTTCAAATCTTTGACGGCCCTTACAGATCTTTTTTGGGAAGGCTTCCTCAACAGTGCAAAAGCAGTCTTGTACGGAAGATCAGGCGTTGCGGGTCACACGTAGGGAGTACGCAGTCTTTCGATGCTGATACTGTTCCGATATAGAATAGTGGCGCACTACTGTAAATGGCTGACGTAGAATCCTGTCAATGGCGTCAGCACCCTGTCAAGTACATACAAAACCCTCCGATTCCAGGACATCCCCCCGGATGTTTCCATTGAAGTCATCAGCAAAGTGCCTACTCACCTGCAGGCTGTTTGAGATCGCTCCCGAAGCCAAGGGCCTCTTTGCTTTTAGCGAGGACGAGGAGAACCCCCTACACAAAGACCCGACGATGAGACTGCATGCCACGGAAGTTTTGAGATCGGTGAGCCGCCCTTCCCCTGTGCACTTGATGGGAACTCCACGGATCATTTCATTTTGCAACATATTATAAGTGCCGCTTCGGTACAAATACGTCGTTGAATGGGCAAGTTATTTTCTGGGTCACCTTTTGATTGGGTGGGCCAAAGATCGGGTGCTACCTACGTAAGTTGTGCAACTTTGTGGAGTTGGTGTTAACCTCTGTACGTGATCTGAAGAACGCACTTGCCTTCTAGCTGGAACATTCTGAGGCTTTTCTGTTGTCGTTTATTGCCCTGATTGCTCGGAGGGTGTACAAGAGCTTCCTCCTCGCTTGGTTTCTGTACCTTTGACCGACTTTAAAACTCTTGTTGGAGTTGGTCCAAGCATTACCTGCCTTGCTGTGGTTCCCTGTAGAGAAAACGTTTCAGTGAGAGGAGATCCATGTGTAACTATTCGTTGATTGTTTGCTCAATTTCCAGCCTGGACTCTGCTGCGACAAATTTCATGACGACGTCCCCGCATCAATTCAAATGGTTCACAGCAACAGCAAATCCAGACGTGATTCGCATTTTACTCGATCTGGTAGGAGTCGGCCTAACAACTGACTGCTGGCTCGCTCCAAGTCATCTACGACTCTCTCTCCTGGCTTGCTGATATGAATATTTCCATCTTGCCACGAATGCAGCTCGGTTTGGCAGCCTGTCGAATAGGCCAGTCCATGCGGATTGGTGGCGTGCTCGAAAACTTGGGGCGCAGGCACGTAGACTACGGCGCCACTCTCGAGGTATACAGTGTAACCAAAGAAGCGTTTCTATGGGTGGTAGAACGCGCGCTCGGTGAGTAGTCCGCTAAAACTCTGCAGCAAGATCTGTTCCTTTGCCGTCGCGTTTGAGATCTGGACCATGATGCGGTTGTTGTCTGGTTAAAATTGACTTTGGATATCAAATGATTTGGCGACGTGTTTTCGATGTAGCGGCCGGCAAGAAGAAACGCACCGTTGACCATCGACATGGTTCCAACGATCATGGAGCACCCCAAATCAGTTGCTCCTTGAAATGACCAGTGATTTGTTGACATTCGTAGCAAGTGACAAGACGGATACAAATCTCCTAATATAAAGAAGGTGAAACCGAAAGTCCTTCTTCCAATCTTCACGTGATTCTCCTGCCTCCGCTTCTCCAGAAGAGAACAGCTGTCCTGAAGTCCTGACGGCGTGGTCGAAGGCGTATGACAATCTTGCGAACGCAATGAAGAGGGGCCATCAAGCAGTTGTGGAGGAGCGGCGTCGTGCAGCGCCCCGAAACGGCTCACCAGCGCGGCCCCCCCGGTCGTCGCCAAGAAAGCTTCGGCCGTTTTCAAAACTTGGTCTCAATAAACTTCGGAGCTTCGGAGACCGAATTACTTCAGAGAAAGGTCGGACGTGGCATGGGGCGACGCAATACGCTGCGGCTACTATGGGTACGAGTAACGTGTAAAGTATTGCTGGATTGACCAGGGCAACTATGGAGCTGATACCGCTTATACTTATATCGTATCATAGGGACCAGATTGGTGCAGCTAGCACAGAATGGTCGTACGGTAAGTGCCATGTAGAGAAAAGTACGAACGATGACCAAGTCAGATCGTGTATCAGTATTATACAGCATTCTTTTACGAGCAGCCTGATTGGCTTAGAAGGCCGGAAGCAGCAGCCAATACCCATTAGGTTGTACGGCCAAGAAAGAACGTGCAACACCAATAGTCTTTGTTGATCAAGTTAGTCGCAGGACCTAGAGTGCAACCAGACATAGTAGATCAATTCAGCACTTGTACTGATTTAGGCGAAGATGGTCTCAGGCCTCTCTTGTGATCCTATGGCAGATAGGGTCGAACAGGCTTGTCGTAGCACTGACTGACAAAATGTCTTGACTATCTCGCGACACGTCATCTAGTGCGGTCGAACACCTTTCATCATGTATGGTTCACAAAGTTCTGCGTATATGAATTTTGTCCTATTGGCAGCTTAGTCCTAGTCAGATCGACGCAGTACCTCTTCTCGTTTTCGCCGTAGCTAAATCCATACCGGCTCGATCCGATTGCAACATCTGTGGAATTTGACATTGCGGACTTCCATCATGCAATTACGGTTCAACCAAATCATTATGAACGTCAACCGTCAAGACAGTTGACTCACTGAGAGGACTGTCACTGCATGTGAGCTTCTATTTCTGCCAATCAAATTTGATTAAAGATCTGCATGCCAGCACGTACTGCCACCAGCTTTAAGGGCACTGTCATGGGTGGGATCACAGGTTCCTGTATAAGTATCCGGAAACCAGCAAGCTGGTCATACAAACGGCATGGCCATGAGGCTTTGTAATGCGCTTGCATGCTGTATCAAATAAAGAGCGAAGATTAGGAAAACTTTCTTGCAAATTTTCGAAACAGTTCGCAAGGGACAAGGGCACGTCGACAGTAAGCATTAGTCAAGTAAGGCTAACTCAGCCAGCATTCAACACGCAAGTATTGGGACCTTCTTTACAAATCTCAAACTAAGAGCTGGCGGGCGCCGCCTTGACTAGGAGAGGGCCAACGTTGTCCCCCGTCTCCTTGTTCCACTTGACATGAGACCCGTTGCACAGGGGAAAGGTGGCTGATCTCCAGCACCGGCAGTAGGACGTCTGCTTTTCAATCGTTGTAGGATCCACAATGTCCACAACCTGTTCACGTGGAAGAACAAGGATTTATGGCGCGAAGTGGGAAATAATCAGGAAAGTAGCCCCAAAAGCTCAGGGAGTCTGCTTCTCATAACCCATCCCACAAGCAACAGCGCAAAAACAGGCGCAAGCGATAGTACTTCTCAAGGGGGCTATGTTATGATGAATTTCAAGATGCCTGCAGAAAGCAAATCATGTGCCAGCTGATAACAGGTTGGTTGGACCATGTTTAGCAGGTGGCCACCCCCAACATCAAAGCAGATGTTGCGGGTGGTAGTATTCAGTCATGTGCATTCTGATGCTGCAGCAATCAGGACTTCACGACTGCGTTCCCAATCCCAATGCAATGTCAGCACGGCATTTCTGTGATAAACAAGTTTGCAGACCCCATTTATAACTTGTAGCACCTCTGCACGGGCACATAGGAGATGCTGTCCTTGTGGGACAGGACTGACCTTGGGGTTGTCCTTCTGGATGTCGGGGTTAAGAGGCTCGGCAGCACGGACGACAAACCTGGAGAGCAAGACACTGTGGACTCAGACTGGAAAGTCTACCTACAGGCGGGAAGCCCCAGACATGAACACTCTTCTTCTGGTTAGGCTGCTTTCTCTGGTCGGCTGGCAACAAGACAACCTGTGAAATGGATACAAGTAACCACCTTGTCTGAAGTTTAAGGCCAGTCTTCCAGACTACCCTACTACACACATTACATGTTACAAAAGCAGACTTTCATTGAGGTTGAAACTCCATGCGGTAAAAGAATCATTGAAACAGATCAAGCATTGAAACATCAATGTCAGTGTTCGTTCACTCAGTGAGGCAGATAAGAATGCACCCTCTGCCACTTCAAAATTGCAGTCCTGACTAAGTTTGTAACATCTGTTGGCAGGGAACACAAGAGAGACTTTCCTGCTCACATTGCATAAGTCTCAAGACAATTAACGGATGGATCACACAATGCCGACTTCATAACGGGTCCTCAGAGAAGAATGCGATGGAAGAATGAGCAGACAGCGCCTTACCGCCTGGAGACAGGTGCAGTCAGCGCAGGCGCAGCAGCAAAACTCCTGTTGCTGGGGCTCACCCTCTGGCAGAAGCTCAGAGAGGCGACGGAGGGGGCAGAAAACACAGCGAGCGAGGAAGCCATGATCTTATGCTGAGATCTGATGCTGATCAAGAAGACGCCTCAAACTCTTACCGTAGGTAATTCAAGGTGCTGCAAAGCACCTAAAAGAAATTGGCAGTTTTCAAGCAATATGCTGCTGGCTGTTCAGAGTCCGAAGGATTGCTTGTGTGGGTTGAGCCATTCAGTGAATGACACGTGTTCCGAGGTTCACAGTTTCGTATGTTCTCCACACTCCCGGTAGGATCAGCTTGCGTCACCACCAGGAAGGGGTAACCGTCACTCTTTCAAAATTGCTGTATATCGTTTGCAGCCTCTGCGGTGGCGATAACGAGACGAGCGACAGCCAGGACGTACAGCACAACGTTCGGCCCCGAGGAACCTTCCCCACTGTAGCGCCATGCCGTGCGGGCCCCGGGGGCATGAGCTGAATAACGAACTTCGGTACGTCGGAATAGCCGAGGGAAATTGCCGCACTGAAATTGCTCTCTGCGTTCTTGACAGGACCGAAAGGTCGAATTGCTGGCATGGTTGGCAGTTGCTATGAGCGGATGCAGTCCATGCCAGTTGTGATACATCAGTTTAACACATGCCAGGCGAATCCTTAATCGTGTGCGTCCACGATCCGGCACAAAACAGAATCAAACGAGGAATTGCAGGGACATGCCGCTCGAAACGAAGTGCAATGAAGATGCTGGCTACAGTGACAAGCAACATGCTGTTTTGAAGAAGACACGATCGCAAAGGTTCCACTGGCATGATGCACCTCCGGCAAACCTTGTCAAGAATACGGTACACAATCCTTTTTTGTCTTCTTCATGTTATTCCATCTTCCGTACATGAGATTTGAGAAGGCAGATTGCATAGGCTGAACAGCGCCAACGCTTGGACAGCGGCCATTGGAACAGTATTTCCAAACAATTCTTCAGAGCTCTTATTTAAGGCTTTCGCCCGCCGCCAAGGTCACCTAACCTATTGCTGCGGTCTTTGTTGCATCAATGACGGAGGGCCCCTGCCGCCGAGTGGCCTCTGACCGGCGCCGTTCGGCATAGGATACCCTCCTTGCTGAAAGTGGCCAAGACCTTGAGGAGGGCCGTTAAACCGGGGCGGAGGCCCCATAAACTGACCCTGTTGCGGTGGGAAGGGGCCCCGCGGCCCGAATCCTTGCTGACCACCACCATACGGGAAGGGGGCTGGTTGAAAGTTTGGGGGGAACTGCCCAGGCGGTCGGAAATTTTGGTTCGGAGGAGGCCGGAATGGCTGCTGGAAAGGCGGGCGTTGCTGGAATTGTTGCTGGGAAGGCAGGCCAGGCTGCTGGGGACCGTCTCGGCTGGGCACCTTGACGGCGGTTCCCATGCCCTCTGGGTCCATTGACTGCAAGAAAGGGTTGAGAAGCGGTTAAATAAATCGATCCATATTCGATGAGCCACATCAAGTGCAAGAACGACTTGATGCGTCGCTGAAAACAATTCTAGCCTCGCCCTGGCGTCACCCTTTCACCGACTCTCGATACAATCCAATGAAAGAAGGAGGTCAAACGAAGCGCCACAAAACTTCAAGCGGATGCATAAACAAGGCAACTCTGGGCCTGCACGGAGATAAGCAGGTTGAACTGTTCAATTCTCCTCTCTGGGCGCCAGTCACAACGGTTCCATTGATCGGAACATCTCAAACGAACCTTTGGCAAGATGACTCACTGGATAAGAGGCCTCGGTACTGGGTGCAGGGGCTGGCGGGGGAAGATTGAGGTAGTCGACTTCGCCATCCTTTCCCGCCTGCTGGGACTGCTGGGCAGGGGCCTGGACAGATCGGGGCAAGAAACCGCCTGCAAAGAGGGAGCGCAAGTCAGAATGGAGTCACAATAGCATGATAATGTGCTGTGTGTCTGCCAAAAGCAACTTGCAATACATTCTAGCGTTTGCTCGAAGCCACACATGAAGAAGACGGACTCAAACGTGAAGAAGACGGATATTGCAATAGAGACGTCATGCAAGTACCGTATAGTAGATTGAAGCACAGCAAAGCCAGAATCAAAATCAAAGTTGTACGGAGACCCGAAGTGCAAAGACCGAGTGAAGAAAGAGCGAGCAAATAGTGCATGGCACGATCCTTCCAAGAGAAAAGCAACTCCTGCCGAACACAGCGGTTGGATGCCCAGTAAGTTTGCCCCAGCAAACACTTTCTCAAGGCCGCTGATAGATGAGATGGGCCACATCTACCGGAAGTGAGCAAACGCTTTGGCAGGTCCCCAACAAACTCCATCCCCAATTCAAATGCTGAATCCGCTTTCAACCGTTGCAACAAAGCACAAGAAGAAGACTAGAAGAAAAGAGGGTCAAAAAGGACAAGACGGTGCTGCATACCATGAGACGCAACTCCCGGTGGCCCTGGCTCCCCTTCCTGCCTCTCTGGCCTCGGCTGCTGCGGCCGCCCCCACATCAGCTTCAACCTCAACCCCTTCACCACCAGCTTGTTTGCAACATTCTCCGCCGCCTTCTCTGCCGCCTCCCGCTCCGTGAACGTCACGAACGCGCAGCCCCTAGACGCGACGACGCGTATGCTCTTGATCTCTCCGTACGAGTAGAACTGATCCTTGAGGTCTGCTTCCGTGATCCTATCGTCTAAGCCCCCTACATACAGCGTTGTAATCTGCTCATCCTCTGGAGGAACCAGCGACGGCATCTGGCTGGCGCGCTCTAGGAGCTTCGCTGCGACAGGGTCGTTGACTCCGTAGTACCGGTCCTTGATGTTCTGCTGGGCAAGCGGCCCCGTTGTCGGCATCTCGTGCCTGCAACAAAATAAGGAGTATCTGCAATGAGGTTCTGCCAACAATTCTGAAGGCAAAGGGAACCCAATCAGCAGCTTTTAACAACATCACAGAACTCAGACTCGGCCACAGAGAGGCAGCCACTTCTAAAGCTCGTTTCCATCTGCGCGTCACTTGATCAAGGAACCGGAATATTGTATGACACAGTGACCACAACAATTGTTACTGCGCTCATCCAATCAACACCCAGACGCCCTGAGTGACGGTGCCGGAGCTAAGATTTCAAACAACCCAAAACCCAGGGGTTGAAGGTTTTCTCCACAAACATCTGCTATCTGAAAATAACTCCAGCAACTTAATATGATAGAACCCCGCTGTTGGCGCTGCCCTCCGAATCGAACTCCGGGCAAGCGACAGCGCCATTCATAAAGCACAGAATCCAAACCCTAATCTACATACATATTCGAGGTGATTGCGCTGACAGGCAAGCTCTATGACAATTGTCGATTTATGTGAGGACTTACCTGAAAGGACATTCCGCCCCCCGCGTGCACTCCCCCCTGACAAAGAAGCTGCATATGTGCGCCCTGTTTCTCTTATAGTACGGCGTGGTCCGCTGCAGCTTCAGGATTGTGTCGTTCGGTCTGACTTTGCCGTAAGATGATTCAAAGTCAAGGCCCGCTTTTGTGGCCTTCTCGTGCTGCTCAGCAAAGAACTCCCTATTGACGTCGCTCTGGGGCATGGATTCCCCTTGCAAGCCCAGGGCCTTGTCCCGCACTTCCACAGGCAGGCCTGCGGGGCAAAAGGAATTCAAGGTTAGAATAAGGTTACGTCAGCTGCAGTAGACTTCCTCCTAGCAAATTTGAGAATCTCTGCTCAAACCATAATTTCGAATATGCATTTTACCTCCTGCCTGTGTTTTGAGGTGGAAGAAGTGATTTGGTCCCCTTTCCAATGCAGTACAACCCTGAAGCTCAGAAAAATCGATTGCATGCTGCTACCATTACCAGGCTCCTAACTGAATACTCAAGATCACTGCCTACTTACCATATTCCAGATCCAGAAGGCAGGTTTGGCAGACGTTCTTCAACTTTGAGCAGGTCTGGCATATCTCTGTCTTCTTGTAGCGGGCATCTCTCCCAGGCCTCCACCGAAAGACCGTGAACGGCCGGGTGCAGATCTGTGCAGAAAAAGGACCATATCAGCAACAGGAACTATGTTGATCACTACAAACAAAGCGCAAATTCTTCAACAGATTGAAAAGATGGTTGATTGGATGATGGAAGTGTGGCCCGAATTCAGGCAGACGCAAAGCTTTGATGTCCTCAAATGCGGCAGACAGTCTTAGGAATCAAGTTGACCTATCAGGACTCTGGATGTATTCAATGACTTACCTTGCACTCCTTGTCGAACTCTGCTTTTGTCTGCACAATGAGCAACAAGACGACGTGTCAGTATTCTTCTAAACACAAACGTCTGCAGCACTAAGCTCCCTCCGCAACCAGCTAATATATACGCATCCCTGGTTAAAATGACTCATTTCTTTCTAACACAATAGGGAGACGGGAAATCACTCACCATGCGAACGTAGGGGTTGTCTCCCAAACAGCTCTCGCATAGAATTGGAAAATCGGAGCGCTCCCATCCGTCCTCCTTCTCATCTCGCAAGCCCCGAGCCGCCATGATCTCGAGATGGTCCACCCAATATCTCTCTTCTTCCTGGCGGGCTTCCCACCCTGGGCCTAAAAGCTTTGTAGCTTTTAAAATTCTGTGCGCTTCAACTTGAAGTTCAAGTTCAAGCTTCTACCCTAGCTGGACTCTTGACAACTTCAAGTCTTGATCAGGAGTCAGGGTTCGTGGCCTGTTTCCACTGCCTGCGGGTTACGACCACAGCGGGTTAGGACAGCTGTCCAAGTAGAATCAACCGTCTTGAACATTCCGGAACTCGCGGAAGCACCTCAGGACCTTCTGGGAGACTCCGCGGAAAATCCAGGCTACACTCCAGCTCCAAAAACCGGGAGCTCAAGTTACAAATCAGAGCAGGCACAAGACCCACGTATAACAACCAGCTAACCTGTTTTTTTGAGCGCTTTTGGCGGGCAGACTTTTGAAATGACGAAGGGCTGTGCACCACCGTCACGGCGACACAACGCCTCAACTCTTCTGAAAGCTGCGATCGAAAGCTGCGTGCAGCTTTCGCCTCTGCCATCTACAGACTTCTGGCGGCCAGAAGGCCCCTTCAGCTTCTGCTAGCACTAGTGGCAGAGGCAGATACTCAGCTCTGTGCTCAGCCTTGAGGATTGGGTTTTGGTTGAGCGGGAGGGCTTGAAGGGCAAAGATACAGACGCTTGACAGAAGAAGCCGCTTTGGAGAAGTGAACTGCTCGTTTGACTCGTCGATTGGCGTTGGTTCATCAACTTTTTGCAGAGGACGTGCAGTCTTTTTTCCTGCAAAGATGGCCCGAGGCAAGAAGCGGGTTATTGAAGAGGAGTCGTCGGAAGCCGAATCTGACTTTGATGAGGAACCCAGTCCAAGCGGTCAAGAGGTTGAACCACAGAACGAGAAAAGCCTTTATGAGGTATGAGTCCAGAAGCTGATTACTCTCGTGAAAATGCTTTTTGAGCTGCTCCAATCGCATTACTACTTATCTTGAACGAAGTGGGCTCGTTCCAGACAGTTTCACATTTGACGTCTGCGTATAACATATCAAAATCGTCCGTCAGATATTATTGAAACATCTTGATTGACTTTCTTGCTCACTACATCTGCCCAGACCTGTTCAGAAGCTGATCAGATTTATGACAATGCTTTTCAAGCTGCTCCGATTGCATTGCTTACATTTTCACGAGAAATGAGCTCGTTCCAGAATGTTTCTGTGTATTTGAACCAGCCATCGGATCAGACTCCTAAGTCAGGTGTGATTACAGTATCAAACAATTCTCATGCTCACAACATTCTGTCACAGCCTTTCAGAAGCAGTCATGACAGCCAACGTGACTCACTGTTCAGGTTTTGGGGGTCAGTAAATCCGCTTCACAAGCAGAGGTCAAGAAGGCATATCACCGGATGGCTCTGATCCTTCATCCTGACAAGAATCCGGGGAATGAGGTATAGCCCGACCCTTCTTGCCACCGCCATTTATCTGATCGAAAGGGAATGAACAGGTTTGAGTAAAGCTGATAGTGAGGCCCTTTCTTTGCGCTCCTTTTTTACCTGTGTGGCATATTGATCTGACATTTGCCAGCCCAGAATGTGGAGGGCTGAGAGAGAAGTCTCGCCGATTTGCCCATCCTGCCTTCACTGACTGTCCCATCCTCTTTTACAGGATGCAAAGGAGAAGTTTCAGGTACTTCAGAGAGTGTTCTCTGTCTTGGGAGACCCTGAGAAGAGGAAGGTGTATGATCAGACAGGCAGTCTGGAAGATTCAGTAAGTTTGCAAGACTCAACTAAAGTAGTTCGACACCAATGCGAAGCATTTCAGCTTGGTCTGTGCCCCTTAACGTTCTTAGATTGTCTAGACAAGCTTTCCATCTGTGCATGGTCGACTGAGACGAGGTTGCTCTTGAGTTGAAGCAGTATTGGTATGGTATCTACAGGAACTGTCTGGGGACCAGTTCAACAATCTCTATGACTACTACCGATCCGTCTATCAGAAGGTAAGCACTGCAGCCTTTGGGAGCTTGTGAAACATCTGTGCAGGAATTTTACTGCAATTTTGTAGAGTGTATCCTTCATAAGTATGACAAGGTCGATTTCTAGACTCATTGCTTGCTGTACAGGTTAGCGAAGTGGACGATACTGACAGGCTGTGTTGGCCTTCTTGAATGTGTATCTCAGCGCTGATCTCATCATTGGATGACCTGCAGGTGACCGCAGAGGATATTGACAGCTACGAGGCAAGTGCTCGTGTTTGACCGGTTATACCCTCTTACAGAAAGAATTTGGGAGTATGCATGAATGGCCTTCATTGCTACACTAGTGTCCGGGTATACTGTTCAGAATGAATGGCGCGCTTCCTGTGTGTATTGTGAGATTCGGCTCAAGGAAAGACAGCACGAGTTTTGACTAGTTTCCCATCCTGCGCAGGCCTCTTACCGAGGCTCCGCTTTGGAGACAGAAGAGCTGAAGGGCTACTACAAAAGGTTCAAGGGGGACATGAGAAAGTGAGCCTGCCGTTTTTAGCACCTTCGAGCAACCGAGGCTTCCTTGTTCTTCGACTGTATGGCGATTTGCAGGGACGGGTTTGGAAACTGTCCGGTCTTTCCACCTTACTAGAGGTCGGCCATGCACTCCTGAGATGTTATGACCCCTTTCAGCAAGTCCTGGTCCTGATTTTAGGAGGCAACCTTCAAAAGCCGTGGCTTTAATGACTCAACCAAACATTTCCGCACATCGGTGCCTACAGGGTCTTTGGCTGGCTGGTCTGTTCTCGAGAGGACCTGGACAGCCATCGCTTCAAAGAAACGCTTGATCAAGCAATTGCGGAAGGTGAGAGATTCGACCAAAGCGACAGTCTCTTCCCAGCTCTATGCATCTGAGGTGCATGAGCTCTCCATCAGACCTCAAGCGGAATCTAGATCGAGAGCCCTGTCGCTTTGCACCCAACATCAATGAAGATTGATGGTCCCGCTACTTGAGAAGGGCTCTTGCTCTTGGGGTGTCAAGGGTTGCATTCGACCTCTTCCCGTGTTTGTGCACCAGTTTCCGGTCCTTCGGTGGACAGCACATGTCCACCTCAAGTGGCAAAATGCTTCGAGCACCCTTGGGATCACTAGACCTTACATAATAGCACTATGCTGAAGACCTCGTATTAGTCCACATGAAAGGGGTAATGGATTTTGCAGGTTCCTTGGAAGAGTATCCGCGCTACCGAAAGTGGGCCAAGGGCGTAGCGAAGAAGCCGAAGCCAGCGGAGGATCCTTTGGCCAGGCCGCAGAAAAAGTAGGTCACGGACTCTCCTCAACTAATCTCCACAGGACGATCCGGATTGGTTGATCGTATGTCCGCCCCTTCTTCCCGTTCATCCGGGCGCCGAGTCTGTGTCGTTGCATAAGGACAAGGAACCGACCGGGGAAGGCGATATGTTGGTACAGCCGTGCTCTTATAATGATAGGCTTACTCTGTCGTAGGTCAAACCAGAATTGTGATCACAAGAGCGCTGTTTGATTTCGGGGCCTCGACTCTGGTAAGTTTGGGAAAGGCTTGAATGACCGAGCTCTCGTTGCAAAAAGGTGCCACTTCTCTTCATTTGGACGCTTGGGCTCTCTGGATGGACTCGAGTCCTCCCAGGAATCACCGAGCTGCCGTGCGGGACATCAGCTTCAGCTGGTCTACCTGAATTTATTCCAGACTGATGAACCTGACTTCCATCCTCTCCAGAAGCATTAAAAGCAACGGAGCGCTGAGTGATTTAACGGCGTTGATCAGAAAAGGGCAGGCTGAGCGGAACAGCGACTTCTTTTCCAAGCTCGAGGAGAAGTACGGCATAGCAAAAGGAGGCAAAAACAAAGGCAGGGCCAGTGCAAACGAGCCTAGCGAAGAGGAATTTCAGGCAGCACAGCAGCGCGTCTTGCATGGGGGCGCTGTCAAACCAAAGAAGCATCGAGCAGCAAGAGTCGAGTAGTCGTCTCGAATACATTTTCGGGAAACGGATGCAAGTCTTCTGTCTCCAGAACCACAATATAGACCATGTGCCGAATGCGTTCCATGAAACCTTTCTGCCGAAAGGCGGATTGCCAGTTGTGACATTGTCCTGTACTCTGTGCAAAAGGTTTGATGGAGCGTTAGGCCGCGTACCTTCAAATCTGTGCGGGCTTTATCAGAATTTGAAATGAAAGTCGTGAAGAGGCGGAGGCGACAAGGACTTGGTAACATCCTTCTACAAGAGGACCGCGTTACTCCTGTATGGGCTTTCATTGCAGCCACCAATGCGGGCAATGGCAGTGGTGGGATACATGTGATTAGTCGCTTCTGCAAACCATGGGCGGAACTCATGCCGCTGGTGAGGTAACTCGTGTTCGAATCTGCCTACACGCTGTTGCTGCCTATGAACCATCGTTTCTGGATTGAAACAATTACAACCACAGAGCGCGACGGTGCAGTAGACTCTGGCTCTGACTGCGTACAACTCACACATTATACGCGGCTCTCGATGGTAATGTACAATATACGATGCATTATATGATCTCAATCTTCCTTATGATGCAGGCATGCTAGCTCTGTACTTCTAAATGATGGCCATGCACAATTGCATGCGTGGCCGCGGTGCGTTCCGATAACACACACGAAGTTTACATGCATGCGTAATCTGTATGATATCATGCAGATTTCGAACAGACAATTAAGCTATTCGAACACACATACTGCACATACACATATGCGTTCGCTGGCAGCTCGACTGATGTATGTGAACGATGCCGAATGGATTGCTTAACTTGATGAGACCTACGAGTGGGTTGTATGCTGCGAATTGTGAGAAAGTACTTTTTTGCTTCGACTGTACTACCACGTGTGTGGATCTATAAAGACTGTAAGTTCAATGTGCATGCAAGAAATATAAAAGTGGAACGCGACAAGTAGCACACCATATGACTCACGCGCATCAATGTAAACAACTTACTGCTTTCATTCTTGCTTGCTACTTGGTGACATCAAAATGTACCTGGCTATAAAAACAAACTAGAGAAAACCTCGTTGCAAGCTCCTGTACAACTCTCAATCAGTATCCCGCTTAGCAATATTCCGCAAAGTCTTCGCTTTGGAAAAGCCTACTTCCAACATTCCTTGTTGAAATACGATCTGACCCAAATACAGAAGCACTTTCAAGGTTTGTCGCAGGAAGGCCTTGATTCGGTGCACCGCAATGGTGCAGTGACTTCCGCCTCCACATCAGGTCTGTGTTTGCTTGCCACGTTGACAGGCCACTATCCATGGACCCACAACCTCCTACATGTTACCAAGCGCCTGTAAGAAGCCCACAAAATGGAATGCCAGATGGTCAATGCCAGACTTTCGCGAGGTTGTTACATAGAAACACAAAAAAGTATACTTGTGTGGTCCACCAGGACTTGCACTTTGATATCTCGCTACAAAGGTCTTCTTCGTCATCTTCTTTCGGTGCTACAAAGAAGAACCTGAAGGACGATTTCCCACTCGTTTGCCTGGCCTGATGCCCGCTTCCAGATGGCAGTGGTGATGATTTGACAGGCCGACAGCCTGATTAAGACTGCAAAATCCTCCAGGCCAAATGGATTTATGCCACAGAGCAAGGACACTGAGTATAGGAAAGAACACAGGAGAGCCATTACCAAAAAAACCAGATTGCACTTGGATAAACCCCGAACCAACGTCATTGCCCTAAATGTTCTAGGTTGTAAACTGACTCCTGTTGTCAGGCAGGGCAAAAATCAAAGTCACAACTTTTCTTTTTGTGCATGTGAAGAAACAAATCCAAAGCTGCACCTTGGCCTCATGCACACAACCTTGGCATCAAGGCTGAGCATGTCTGCAATTACCAGCATACTGCAAGGGACGCGCAAATGTAACTGTAATCTGCCAGCTCACATCTGGAGCAACGTTCAGCTGCGCAATGATTGCTCCGGAGTCTCATCGGAGAGCCACAACCGGTTCCTCCGAGTGCCCCTGCACCAGATCTAGAACCCTGGGAGCAGCTCGCACAAGCAGCAAAAAGACTCCCAGTATAGTAAGGTTTGTCCGAAGCTCCTTGTAGGCTTCTTCTTTCGAAGGGCGTTTCGGCATAAACATCATCCTGGCAGACAGGACAGCAACAGACCTCTTTCAATCGAATCCACACAACCTAGAACGAGATGTTCCACTTCTATTACTAACAAACAAGATCAGCGCCAATGGCGTCTGCACTTTTTCCCCAACAACTTGGATTTGAAGCTTTCACTAAACCTAGCTAAAGAAGACGTGCGTTGGCCGCCTGGCGATCTCAATATTGAATACCTGACACAGACGTTCGGTTTGTCTTCTTCATACGGTAGGTATAGCAGGCGACGCTTCTAACTGATCGCACTAACCTCTAAAGTTAGGTCAGACTTCAGGATCTTCTATCTGGTCGAAATAATAGTCAGATATCCCCGGTCCCGACGCTTCGTTGCCCGCCATGTGGACGGTTCAAATTCATTTGAGGGTCACATGGATCACGTGAATTGACGTCATTTGAGGAGCGCTCAGCAGATTCTTAGGCTGGTACTAGTACGGTATAGGTACGGCTTCAAAGTTTTCGTTATAGGTAGGTACCGTGTACCGTGTACCGTGTACCAGCAGTGTGAACGCGCGGCAACTTGCACTACCGTACCAGCGTTTAATTTCGTCAAATAATAAATAATTATATGGCCTGACGAATTTCGCTGGAAAATATTCTGGGCGGTAATGGACCGATAATGGTCCTGTTTAGCAGGTAACGCTAGGGCTGCCAAAACCCGCAGACGTTTCATAATTATAAATTTGGCGTCGAACCTGACGAAATCAAACGCTGGTACGGTAGTGCCAGGTGACCGGTTTCTGAATCGTGGTGACGGTGGTCCAAGACTTTGTTACCTCCAGGTCTCCGGTAGGTACGTACCTGAACTCACGAGGACCAGCAGCAAAATGAATTGAGTGTTGACAATGACCTCACCTGGAAAACGACCTTTTACCTACCCACGATAGCCAGGTTGAAAGGGGCGGCGGCCATTCCTGACGATAGAATTCAGCAGAGAGGCAAGCCAAAAGGGCCTCTGGCAACCGTCGCACGGCAGTGCTCCTGCGAGACTGAGCGGAAAAGAAAGCAGGTTTTGAGGTTGTTCCTGCCCCTGTGCCTGGCAGCGGCGGATTGGAGGAAGCTGCCAAGATGCTTGCTAAGAGTGCGTCTGTTCCCTCCCTCACGGCCACTTTGGCCAGTAGCCTGGTTGCCCAGGGATCCATTGAGGCGCAAGAATGGGGCCCTGAGATTGGCAGGTCTGCAAGAAACACTGGGGGACGAAGCCCTCTTCCATGGGGCGCGACGCAGCGTCCGTTTCATGGTTCGCTTGTCACTCAACCTTCTCTCGCTAGCCATCGATTGGAGCATTGCGACTCGAGTGTAAGCCGAGCCTCAAGCGATTGGGATGCTGAGGGGGAACGGTCATCAGTCCCTGCGTTCAGAAAGTCAAAGTCGGAAGCAGATCTAACGTGTTTGATGACATCACATGATTCTGGGGGGGAGTCTTCCTTGGCATCCGTTAGAGAAGAAGGCAGGTTTGCGTTGGGAAACGGCAGAAGAGGGGGACGGCGGAGGTCGCTTAGTCGGAGTCGGTCGTCTCTTCTGGGGCCTTCGATTGCTCAGGAGCGCTGCAACAAAACGAATGCGGTCAGGGGTTTTGATATGGCAAGCGGCCACGGAGGCACCAGGGCCCTTGTTGAGGCAGGGGCTTACGAAGAGGATGACAGCCTGATGACACTGGTGGAGGAGACAACCATGACGACCATTGGGGGCCGGCAAATGGTCTGCAGTGCCCGTGGATGCAGGCCTCTGAGCGACGAAGAAATCGCTGGAGGAGCTCCGGGCTTCAGCTCCGGGGTTGAGGAGTATGCAGAGGGAGGAATCAGCGCAGATCCGCAAGTCACAGACGCCTACTACCGCAAGTCCTTAGGCGAAGACCCTGAGAATGCGCTGCTCCTGAGGAACTATGCGCTTTTCTTGCTGGAGGTGAGTCGTTATTGTTCAAGTGTTGTTCAAAAACAGGTGGAGACCTGCTTGATTCTCTCATTATGCAACTTTGGTTGTTGTCAGCTAACCCGTTCTCAGTTGCTTGAATCAGCATCAACTTCCGAATCTCAATCTTGCTAGCTGTTGTCAACTCGATGAGAGGTCCAATGCAAATTGTTGTTGCCCTTTTTAGAGGCTGCAGTTTGGTCCTGCCGCGTTCGCAGCTATGCAGATGGAGATGTGATAAAAGAATACTTCTTCCTCAGATTGTCATCAAGAGTCATCACAAAGAGTACACTGTTACAAGAAATGGATTTGAATGACACGAGTGCAATGTTTTAGATATCGTGCACATCATTGTGCATATTGCTGCTATGCAGATTCAGAAAGATTATCCCCGAGCTGAAGAGTTTTTTGAGAGGGCCATCCTGGCGAGCCCGAGCGATGGGGAAGTCCTCTCTCAGTACGCGAAGCTGATCTACCAAGTCCATGGCGATGTGGAACGTGCAACGCACTATCATGAGCAGGCTGTCAAGGCAGCTCCAGAGGACTGGTCGGTATTCTGCTCACTACAAGATTTGGAAGCAATCAAGCATTTCAAGCAGGCTTGCGGTGCTAAAAGGTTTTACGTTCTCTTGATTGTCGCTTGTCCAAGCCATACATATCCATAGGTTCTCTTTGCGTGCAAATGAGGATGCTTTGAGTTCTCTCGTTTGACCATATTTCCTGCTGGTCTATTGCAGTTACGTTCTGGCAAGCTTTGCAAGCTTCTTGTGGACCTCCGAGAGCAGCAGCAAGGCACAACGCCCTGTCTTTGAGCTGCGTCAGGAAGGGGTTTACCACCCTGAAGCTCCTGGTTGCTTGATTCCTCCAGTGGCATGAGTTGGGACATGCCCCGTACTTTTTAGACAGTTTGTGTCGGGACGGCACTAAGCAATGCGTCAAAGTCGTCAAAATTGCTCCATTGGATGGAAACGTGGGTACATTAGGCCCAGTTGATGTTAGATACTGTGTAGGCGAGTTGTTTGAGTAATTTTACGAGGCTGGGAGGCGTTGGCACCTGCCATCAAGCACCATTACAGTTGCGAGATTGAAGATCTGGATAGGGAAAGCCAGTGGCTTTCGTTCACTGACTGTACGGTCAAAGCTGCTGTCTAGATAGCCCGACCTGCTGTCTAGATAGCCCCAAACAATTTTGGAGTGATTAGGACACAATAGTTTCAACGTTGTAAAGCCAGAAGATACCTAGCCGGTTACTCTAGTTCTAGGAACTGCAGACTGGCGCGTTCCTTTGTTTCTTGTTCTTGGGCAGAAGGCCTCTTGTTGTACAGGATTGACATTTGCTACATGTATTTTGCGGTCAGACTGCAACCTTGCCGAGCTTTCTTACCCTTTCTCCAGCAGCAAACACCAGTTTCTTTTTGCTCTTATAATCAGCGGACAACAGTGCCGCGCGCATACCTGTCTTATGTGCTGCACTCTTTTGTCAGCTCAATCAGGCTCGGAGCTTCAGCTAGCCCCCAAACATAGATCCCATGGGGAGGATGTAGAATGTTCATCTTGTCTTGATCATGACACATACGTGTACTGTACAATCCCAACCTCACACTGGTAATTAACTTATTCCAAATTTTGCACAGTTAGCTGGCTACTATACATAGCAGAGTCACGTACATATACATACATGCCTATATTAGCTTAATTCGATACGTGCAGCACAAAGCTGCGGTAAGCACGATATAATGGCTGTACGTGTAGCGTGGACAGTGGTTAGTACATGCGACAGCCCACTTCACAAGAGTTGCATAGAGCTGCGCACATGCTCATATCCCGTACATACTTTCAGCGCATGGTTCGTACATAGACAACACTCATGTCTTGAGGCCGCCACTTGATACAGACACTGCACTCACACTCGGATTGGACAGCGACAACAGACTGCATGACATGTCGACGATGTATCTTTTGACCGGCTCCTTGTTACGCCGGAAAATGCCATAAACTTCTTTAAGTGCGCCAACATTCTTATACTCTGTGCGGAAGTCGCACAGGAGTGAGGCCCTTGGGGAATACTTTTAATGCCAGCGATTCAAGCGACAAGCTCGTCCTCCAGATACTGGTACTCGAATGTGAACTCCGTTTTGATCCTTTGACACCTGCAGACGAAAATCAGGAGTGAACACGATGAGTTGCGGGATTCCGAAGGCCGCTTGCCTCAGGAGCATTGACACTCGATGGGAAACATCGACTCCCAGTCTTAAAGTGGAGCCTTTTGCTCTTGGAAGTGATTAAAAGGACAACGAGGGCCTAAACAGCAGTTGCTGGGACCCTGAAAAAACAGGGGATGTAAAATCGACGTCCCTATCATGTGATTTCGAGGAAAACAGCGAGTACGACAGTAAATCCTCGATTATTGCGGTGCCTGAATCTGGACCAAGCCCGATGCTTAGTGACGGCTTCTTAGGGCGATAAGAGGCATTGTCAACGTGCGGCCATGACTGCCCGCCCAAGAAAGGCGCGCAAGGAAAGACCCCAGAAAACATGGACGCTGGTTAGACGCCGGTTAATCTGCAAACCGGCGTCATTAGAGATCCTAATCGTCAGGCGTTCAGACGAAAAATCGGTCTTCCGGGAACAATCAGTTATCTTCTGCTGCAGCCAAGCAGACCGCGCTCATTCCAGAGCAAGAGCGGGCGCAAAACGATATGCGAAGGCGCGTGCAACTTACCAGCCCGTTTGGTAGTCGTCATGCACAATGTGGAAGTCGAAATAGACGTACGTCCCCTGCTCGTATTCGTCCGTCGTCAGCTTGGGCTCCTCGTGACGTTGGAACCACGTGTTGTACTTCTTGTGGTACCGCCACGACTGCTTCTTCAGCTCCTTGGCCGCCAGGTACTGCTGGTACGTGCCCTGCCACGTCACCCGGAGCGTGACACGTCAGCAGCCTTAGAACGCAAAAAGCGACCGGCAATCTTGGAGATGCTCGAAGGGTTCAGGACACCGAGATCTTTGAAAACAACACGAGTGATACGTAGTTGTACTCAGGAAGATACTCTCAGCGAAAGTGACTTAAGCCATGTTTCCCCAGTCATCCAATTAGATTGCAAGGCACAACCAATGTCATCCCATATGCCTCGAGGCGACTCAGCGGGTTTCAGTAATCACAAGACCCTCTAGCGACAATCACCTGGTCACATCCAATCTCTTCAACCAAATGTCGAATTCAACGGGCCGTACCTGCTGGTAGTAGAAGCTGAAGAAGAGCACGTCCGTCTCGAACCGCTCGAACAACTCCGGTCGGTCCAGAATGGGAGATGGAACCGAGGGATAGCTAGCAGGCGTCGAGGCCGGATTTTTCTGCAAGGTGCAGCGACACAAACGGCCATCGGTGGAAAGTCAAATTAAAAGCGGTCAAGGTCTTGGAGTCAGGCAAAAAACAGGCCTTCCAGTTTTGGCCGGGTTGTTCAAAGAAGCAGGTATCGTAACACACCAGTATAGCGAATGCTCGCAGTTTGAGAGAAGCAAGCAAGCACAGTCGAAGACGCAACAAGGGACACGCAGCCATTAATAATGGCGACATACTGATACAACCAGAGGGCAGAATAGTGCGGCCGACGGGATACAGAGGAATCACAGGACGCAAGCGATGCAAGTCCTCAGACGAGACTTTGCAGCAGCCTATATCTCTGAACGCGTTTTGCAGGCTTCAGCACAGGCAATACCCGACTTTCCGTGCTTCCACGGACGCACTCCGCGACGACCTACCAGCGAACCAACTGTCACTCACGTCGCCTCAGCCTATTCACAAAGTACACCCAGCGCCTCAGCTCGCTTCCTCTTAAACTCACCGGCACATAGTGCTTCGGCCGCTCCGAGTCCTTCTGCTGCGGGATGTTGCGCAGGCTCGCCTCCAACAGCTGCAGATTCAGCGCAGGGTCCGTGTGCGCGCCCGCAAACGGCCGCCCCTCCGCCTGCCCCGGTTGGTCTTTCCCGGCCGGCGTCTCGGCCTGCTTTGCCAGGCTGCTGAGCTCGGCCAGAGTGCCCGGGATGCTGACGGAGACGTCGAACGTGTCGGCGTTCTTGAGGTCGTCCTCGGAGATGGACAGCTGGCGCGCGAAGTCGGCGGGCAGGGCGTCCTCCTGGGACAGGTGCTCTGCGGCGCGGTCCGACGAGTGCGCCTCCGACCTGCAGAGCGGGGAACGGTGGTTAGGAAGTGGTTTGCCGTGGTAGCAGGTTCAGGGTGCATCACAGCAGAGCGAGGTAGGTCATTGCCAGGGGGACGTGCCATCATTGGGGGTTTATGGTGGATATGGTGCGGAGGGCGTAGGTTTGTATCCGGGGTTTTCGTTCAGTGCAAGATTCCCGGCTCTTGGGTATCTCGACAGAATGTATTTTTGACTCAAATCACGTACGACTTGGGGCGTCCTTGTCGAAGGGAGTTACTAGAAGCACGAAAATCCTGGTCGTGTATCTGAGCCCTGCAGGAATAGATGACTGCGTTCCACATCCGCCCTTTGGAACTTTGCAGACCCTTCTGACTTTCCCAACGAAGGAACCCACCGACGTTCATCATAAAACATCAGCCAAGCAGGCGGGACAAAATTATCTGCCCACCTTGGTGTCGCGGGGGTTTGGGGCCTCGTGTTTCCCCTGCTGCCCACCAGCGGAGACTGCGACGGCGATGGGGGGGTGGCGGGCGGGGGCGTCAGAGGGGGGGTGCCCAACGGGTGTTGGGAAGCGGCCTGCTGCGCCCCTGAAAGGGCGGCAAGTCCCCCGCCGACAGCTGCTCCCTGCTGCACTGCCTGGTAGCGGGACAAGTACTGCGACTTCTGGTCGGGCTGGATCTCGGCCCGGGGACCCCGTTGGAACAGCTGCGGAGCAAGGGGAGGGGCGAGCTTGCTAAGGGAAAGTGGCAAAACCCGGGTCTCGCAGGGGGCCGAGCTTGTTACGGGAAAGTGGCCAAAATAGGGTCTCGAAAGGGGCGAATTTGCTACGGGAAAGTGGCAAAAACACGGTCTCGATAGGGGGCGTGTTTGCTAGAGGACAGTGGCAAGAACAGGGTCTCGAAAGGGGGCGGCTCGCTAGGGAAGATGAGAATGGGGCCAAGAAAGGGAGAAATTGCTGGAAAGGGGCATATGATAGGATGAGGTGCTTCCGATGACAAAGGGACCTTATTCCTAGTTATGGTTTAGCCGACTCCGCCGACTCATCGAGCACCGTACGGTCGATCAAGACAAAGGCTCGACTAACTCGAACGGTGCAGGAATATCAGAAGCTGGCATGTGAAGAAAGGCAAGGAACAAGAGACGAATGGCTACGAAAGGTGCGAAACAGAGATGTTCATCACTGTCAAGGACCATGACCGCACACCCAATCCTGAAGGCTAGTGGGAGCAACACTCAGCCAAACCATCAAGCTCGAGGCTTACGGCTGTTTGGGGACGAAACCTTGGATGCCTCACCCAGCCCCGACAAGAAGCTCACCTCGTCTAACTAACTAAAAATCTAACCACCTGACCCCGGACCACTCCTCTCACAGCTTCTAGCTAAGTAACCGACCTCACTGCCTGAGCTCCCCAAACTGCATCTCACCTCGTCTGACTAACTAACTACCTATCCAGCTTGACCCCAGCTCACCTCGGTCTGCCCTTGGAAGCCCGCCGTTTGGGGCCGCCACTGGCTCCCTTCCCCCGGGTTGAAGATGGGGCCCTTGAGGCCGGCCCCCGTGACCGCCTCCGCTGCATCCGCGATCTTGTTCCCCGACGGCGCCTGTGTGAATGCGCCCAGCCGCGACCCGACCGGGGATTGCGCCCCGAGCGGCGGAACCTCCAACCCTTGCCCCGCCAACGCGTTTTTGAGCCCCAAACCGCCCAAGCCCCCGCTGCCCTGCCCCGATAACGACCGTGCGAGCCCGTTCGACGGCGGCCCGAGATCCGCGAGCCGATTCGGACTCGTCGGAACCGCAATCGGCGGGGTGACGATCCCCGGGCCCACTCTCCGGCCGGCCAGGTTGGCGAGCGTGTCTAATTCTTTCGGGCTGGGAAGTGTTGTTTGTACTGGAGAGACGGGGGGCACTAGCGGGCCGCTCCCAGCGCGGCCGAGGGGTGCTCCCCGTCCCACACCCGGGCCAATGACGTTTCTAGGGGTGCCGGCCTTGGGCGTCTCTGGGGCTTTCTCCTCGGGTTCTTCCGGTGGCGTGACGGAGATTGGTTGAGGCGAGAGAGGCCCGCCTGAGGTGACGGAACAACCGATGGTTACTTAACAAAGGACTCTGCCTAAGCTTCTGGCAAAAACACACACCAACTGAAGTCAACTGCTACTTGGTCGTTACCTACGTCCAATTGCTAACAAGGCCAGTATCTGAACCCAAGCGCTATTGCCCCCATGAGGTCGACGATTGCAATATGCGATTCGCACAGACTCACTGCTGCGGATCACGCATGCTTATTTGGACCCGTTCCGTCTTGCACTAACACTTGCTCAAAGTTCGATGTACGAAACAGAATCGAGCACCGCAACTCGCCTGGTCTGTCCTTGGTGGTAGTCGCAGCAGCGGCAGCAGCGGCCCTCTCCGCTGCGGCTCTCTCTGCCGCCGCTTGCTGCGCCGCGGGGGGAGGCGGCAGGGGAGGCTTCACGCCCTTCTCCTTGAGCAGGACTGCCGGCGCCACCGCGGGGATCGCGTCCATGTTGTCCGCCATCTCTAGTTTCTCCAGGCCTGTGATTAAAGATTGACGTCGTTCGAATGTGTCTTTAGCAGGAGCACGAACGTCGTTCGACGAGAAAATCTTCACAGAAGCAGGAGAACAAAGACAGACCGAGGTGAGTGTGCCGTAAACAAATTGCGAATGTTCAATGGCTGTGACTTAGAAACAAGTAAATGTCTCGGACCGGCTCCATACTTTTTCGGCGGATTATAAACTCCGGGATCAGCCTCCTCCGATCCACTCCCACCTTGGGGTTAGACTGCGACTAAGGAAAACAGGAGGGATCAAGAAAGGAAGTAGCTCGCAAGCAGGGACGTTAAGAGTGATATAAGGGGACAGCATTTCAAGCCTTATAGCATGCAGAAGGGGATGGAACGTACCCAGGGCTTCGTACATGTCATCAACATCCGAGAACTCGTCAAAGTCGTCCTGGTTCCGCTCCAAGTAATCCTCCACCAGATCTTTCACATCGTTCACCTCCTCGGGACTCAGCTCCTCATTGTCGAGCAGTCTCAGGATCTGTACAAACATAAGAACAACTTGTAGCATGGATGTGGGATGGGCCTCGTGGCCTTCACCTAGCAAGAAGTGGTTTCGACAAGAGGGTGGTCGAACTACGGGTGTTCTTTGTTCACAATACCGTGGCAGCAATCTCTGAAAAGGACAAGCAACGCAAGCAGCTAGCACATGCTCGAAAACGAGTCAACATTAAGCGCAGGCGCAGGCTACCTGCTCCAGCTTGATGACGTGTGCCTTGTTTCGCTCGATGGACTCTTCCAGATGTGACATTCGTGGCGGCTTTTGCTTCCCCTTCTTGGTCGTCAAATTTTCCAGCTCGCTTTCAAACGTGTCCACTTGCGTCTCGAGGTTGGTGACCTGAAAAGGAAAGTTGAGACAGAATGTGCAATGTATTGGGAAACGGCTACATTTCTAAAGAACAAAAAGCCTCTGCGAAGCGCTTTGACACATCGGTATGTTCAATTGAAAACCAAAGCTGTGCAATCCAAGCATGCTGCAGCTTCTTGTCTTGGTAGAAATCAGAACTGAAACACGCTACTTTACAGAGTCGATTTAATTGCAGATTGACTCTGCAAAGAGTGGGTGGCAACTTCAGATTTGGACGAACCAAAGGAAGTCTTCAAAAGTAACGGATATGGGGCTTACCGCTGTGTTGATCCAGTCCCTTGTCTCCGCCTTTGCCTTTTCTTTTGGATCCTGCAGAGACAAATCGGGTTCAAGAGTGCTTCTCATAGACCACACATGAGCAATTCCCGTTTTGAAACTTTCTTAAAATGGTGACCGCAACTTTGCACAAATCCTCAAGATCTGATTCTGACACATGGCGGCCCCTCAACAGGGAGACTATTGCAGATCTTGGAGCACCTCTTCTACACCATACGGATAAAGAGAACCAACCGCTGTAACTTCAGCTTGCGCAATGACAGCAAGAACCACTCACTGTTCTCGGTTGCTTCCCCAGGCCCTCTTGTGAAAAGGCCTTGGTCTTTGTTTCGCGTTCACATATCTTGAACCGTTCCATTTCTCGTTCGACCGCTTTCCGCGCATCTTGTAAAGGCTGTTAAAAGGTGTAAAACAACATCATTAATTGTCCAACTGCTGATGAAGTGAATTGTTAAATCTTTGTCGAGTATGAAAAGATGCTCCAATGAGATACATTAAAAGACAAGTGCCGATTGATGCAACAATTCTCTGCAGGGCTCAGAAAACACCAACGAGGAATCGATCATTATCCATAAAGAATGGGGCCACACTAGCTAAGGAGCTTTGCACAAAGACGGAGGAAGATGGCCAACTTGGTTGCAGCAAGGGTACTCCACCTTTTTATCTTTCACTTCACTGCTCTGCGCCCATGTCTTAATCTGGTCGCGGTATCGCTGCAGCTTCTTGATTTCCTTCTTGAGATCCGCCTCGAACTTCTCCTTCTGATTTACATTCTCCGGATCGTAAGCGCCATTGTACAGCTGCAGAAGAAGCCAAGCTCCCTCAGCGCCACCTTATTGACCTCTAGCGCTTACTTTCCAAAGCGCGGAACTCCTGTTGAGCTTGGCCAAAAGAGGTCCCAAGCGTGCATGTGTGCTCAATGTAGCGCAAGCAACCGAAACAACAGACACTCAAGTACTTGTATCCGACAAAAGCTACGGCAGAAGCTCCTGCCATTCTGCGGAGAATCAGATGACAACACAAACTGTCCTGTTCACTAAGATTTCTGGTTTGTAGTTTCTTCAGACTGCTTTCAGACTGACGGATTTGCATCTACTAGAAGATGCTTGAAAGCCGAACCAAGCAGGAGAGTGACGATTTTTGGCAGAAAGCATCACCAACGAAGACCCTGTGCATACATTCTACTAGATATGGTGGTGTAAGGTTCCCATTCTATGAAGAACTTCAACATCAACGTGCGCGTCATTGTTGCAAACAAAATCAATGATGGGTAAGGCCTTACCTTCTCCCAGATGTTATCGAATATCTCAATCCCTTCTTGCACTTTCTTCAGCACTCGGTCAATCTCCGCCTGCAGTTTCCTAGATGCCCCCATCTTATAGACCCTGGCTGACCTCAGTGGCGAAATTCTGTCAGTGGGGTGACACTGTGCCTACTGCAGCTCCGTCTGATACATTCAGCGTCACTTTGCCGCCATTGGCGCCGTCTTCTGCCTCCACTTGAGAATGCATGTGTTTACTGAATTAGGTCGTGAGTGACTCGTGACATTCAGCCTTCTATATAATCCGATCGCGCAACTTCTGTCCCATAACAGGAGACTGTCCCAGAGTGTCCATGTGGATTTTAGGTTCTTTTGCATCTTTGCATTCCTGGATATAGGCCTAGAGTTACCATGTTCGAGGAATTCAAAATACGCGTATAGATGGGTTACTTTATTGAGAATATCTTCTTGGAATAATTTACAAACTCAATGCACTCGACCCATCCTGAGTGGCTGCAGGGCCATGTCTTCAGAAGCCAGGCTCTGACTCAGAGTCTAGAGCAGTGGTCCACTAACAAAAAGTTGAAACAGAGATTATCTCCGCAATCTCTGCTTTTGATGGTGCTGAAGAACAGCATTGGGGGTTGAAAGGTGCTTTCCACCAATGCAAACTCCAGATATGGCATGTGAACGCGCCATGACCCGCGCTGCAGCTCGGCGCTTGAGCGCAGCGCTGAGCTCTCTCGACGACAAGCTGGCGAAAGTTCCTCTCAACGATGGCACCTCGATTTCCAGGGCATTGCACTCCGTCAAAAGTCAAGTTGGCAACAAGGAACCATCTCAGCCAAAGGCAATGGGACAGGCGTTGGACCGATTAGGCAAGTCTGCTGTGAAGAGGTCTTTGGCTCATCAGTTGAAAGCACCTGGGCAAAGCCGGGCTGTTACAAAGGCCTCGCTGAGGGCGACTTCATCGGTCGCAGTCACTGCAGGAAAGAAGAACGAAACGGTGTTATCCTTACAAGAGGAGAGTGTGCGGTTGACTACGCAAGCCATGGATCACTCAGACAGCAAAGATCAGACACTTGCCGCAGGTAAGCATGCCATAGATAGGCTGCATTCAATGCACTGCAAGTTCAGCTGCCCAGGCTTTGGACATTCAGACTTCATGGGCGCTCTTTTCTAGAAGCTCTGATCAGCCGCACTGTGAGGCAGACGAAGCTCTGAGCCCTTGAAGTGAAACCCCTTTCAGTGGTGTGCAAAGAAGGCACTGCTGTGGAAATAAACACACCTCCGATGTGGGCAAAACCTCTCTCTGCCAGGCAGGAAGGAGGGTGGGGGAATAAGGCATCAACGTGTCTTTAACTTAGATAGTTTCCCTCACGAAGAGGGCAAATCATGTGCCATCTGACTTCAATTTCTTCTTGCAGCCACCAGAGAGCCCTCGAAACCACGGAAGCGCCGGAAGTCTGTCAAGATCGAGTTTGAAGAACACCACATTGGAAGTCAGCTGGTGGCATTGGCCGACGCATCTGATGCTGCGGAGAAAGTGGATGCAGTTGCGGTTAAGAGGGTGCGAAAGAAGAAGGAAGCTCTTGTATATGACCCCGGTGAGTTACACTCTTACTGGTGCCCAAGAGTACCATTAGTCTTGTGTGGAAACAATGCTTGAAGTCAAAATGTGTTCTAGCAGGATCACTACAAAGTGTACGTGGCAGCCTGAAGAGCAGGTGGAAAGTTTAGCTTCTTGACCAGCAACTCCTGGCAAGTCTCCTGCGGGTGTAGGAAGCAAGTTCATCGATGCAAACACAAGCTTGGCTGTCAATCTGGAAATCTTGCCTACCACTGGTTGGAAACAACATCTGTTGTCCTGGTGATGATTGTCTTTTCTGCTGGAACGATCCTGATGTTAGCTCTCTTTGCAGCCCCACCCATGCGCTGGCTCGAAGTCCTTGAGTTGATAAAGGAGATGCGCAAAGGCAGGGACGCTCCGGTAGACTCCTGCGGAGCGGAGCGAGTTGGCCTTGATGTGCCCCCCCGAGTGAGTCGTGCGCTCTCCTAACCACTCGTACTCTCCTGTACACTTCCTGGTCGATTGTCAGAGATACAGTGTGTCATTGATTTGCTCTTTGTTCTCCACACAACTGTGAGCTGTGATCCTCTCCATTCGTGTCGTATTTTCCAGGGTTGGTTCGTCACCTGAACTTCCCAGGACTTGCCTCACTTGGACCTATTTTCCGTGCTTTTTGCAAGCTTTCTAGAGAAACCATGCGTGGCCTAGAACTTTGAGATAGATTCGTCCACTCTCCCGTAGAAAAGCTGGCCGGGCTCGACCTTTTCCTCTATTCTTTACTGGCCGATAATCGGGCCACGGCCCGAGCGGCTCTCATTCGTTTTGATCGTCAACCATGCCCGCTCCATATTTTTGGCTTTGATATAACAGGGATGTCCAAAAGAAGGTCCTCAAACAAAAACCTCGGTATTCCCGTTAGAAAGCCTGCCGTAAGCCAATACACAAGATGTCTCGAGTGCCAGCGTTCGACCAAAGCCACTCTCCGCGTTTGGTTCTCAGCCGTTCTCTTCGTCTGCTGCTACAATGTCTCCTCGCCCTTGGTATTCGCAGGAGCGCCGCTTTGCAGTTCTAGTGGCGGCCCTTTTGTCCAGCCAGACCAAGGACGAGGTCACTCACGGAGCGGTCCAGCGCCTGAGTGCAGCGGGGCTGCTCACGCTGGAAGGGGTGCTTGGCGCCACACAAGAAGAAGTCCAGCGACTAATATACCCGGTGGGTGTTTAAGAATGTATCGAGGGACCTCTATGCCGTGTTGAATTGGATCTGCAGTCAGGGGATCCAAGTTGAGCGGACCTGATATCGAAGCCCACCCGTCTAGTTCCTCGAAATGATCTTACAGAATACATCGGGACTTCCGTACCTTGTTGCGGCTTGATTTGCAGGGGAGTCTGATGATGAGCGTACCTGACACATCGAAGACGCTCCTTCTGCCTTTTCACAACCATCTCAAATAATACGTCAATTGGTTTTGACTTCATCCGCAGGTGGGCTTCCACTCCCGGAAGGCCGGCTACCTAAAAGCGCTCGTCGAGATCCTCCGACGAGATTTCGGCGGGGACATCCCCTCTACCGCTCAAGAACTGATGGCCCTACCGGGGCTCGGCCCTAAGATGGCGCATCTCATCATGAATGTCGCCTGGGGCCAAACGGAGGGCATCTGCGTTGATACGCATGTACATAGGATCAGCAACCGGTTGCAGTGGGTGTCAAGAGGGGAGCGCGGGGCAGCGCACGTGGTGAGTCTTAAGTGAAAGTTTGCACTCTTGCTAACTCGTTACTTCATCTAAGGTAGTCCGGTTGTATACGGACTCGAAAAGACGCATGTGTAGAGCTGCGGTTCGGCAGCTCGGTCCGCTGTCCGGCCACCGCTCCGACTCCGAAGAATTAGAGGTTATCGTTCTTCCGCCTCAGTGAGAAAAAGCCGACAGGACCCGACTCTTCTCCAACAGTTGGGACGCCTTTACGTCGAAGTATCGGCCGTTTGCTCAGACTTCTCAGGCTTCTGAAAACCTGTGTCAGGTGTTCAAATCTTGAAGTGTTTCCTCATTACGAGCCCGTCGCTTGCAGTCGACGAAAGAGGCGGTGGAAACCTCTGTCAGGTTGCAAAAGCTGAGGTCTTTCCCCTTATTACGAGCCCGTCGCTTGCAGTTGACGAAAGACGCGGAAGACACGCGGGCAGCGCTGGAAGCGTGGCTCCCACGGGACGAGTGGATCTCCATCAACCCGCTCCTCGTGAGTTACTTTTGATGTTTGTGGTCTGCCACCTCGTCAGCGGAACAGAGTTGCAGAAGCATCCGCACTGTCTCGACTCCCGACTTCCTATCAGGCGTGTTGGTTGCGACTGTAGCCACCCTGAAGTTGCTCGGATGTGGGTTAGCAGCTGGCGAGTATCGAACTCGTGCGTCCACAGGGCTGTGGAGAGACTGTACTTCGAAGGACATTTGCATGTGAAGAGCTCCGTCTCAGCTTTCTGGCTCCGAGTCCTCTGCTCCGAGGGACTCCTCAGTGCTCCGTTTGACCCAAACTCGGAAGTGGATATCGAACGATGTAACCCGCCTTTCCTTGCCAACCCGCCTTCCCTTGCCGTCTAGGTTGGGTTCGGACAGACCATCTGCACCCCTTTGCGGCCCAAGTGCGGAGAGTGTCTCGCAAACGAGCTGTGCCCTGCCGCCTTCAAGGAGGGAGCGAGCTCTCCGCAATTCCATAGAAAACTAGGTTCGAATCAAGGCATTGTGCGTACACCGAAGACGGAAGCCGTTGAGGAGGCCGTGGGGGCAAACATGTCCATTGTTGTTTCTCGAGCAGAAAGGACTTGAGAATCATTTATTTGAGCTGAGGATTGTCCGCTCTGTACTTCCATCATGGTAACTCTTGAGCACTTTGCCTTTTCTGCAGCCCTGTATTAGCTGTTGTAGCGCGCAGGAGCATGAATGGACACTGCCTGTTCAAGATATGACGAGCACGAACCAAGATATTCGGGTTCAGAATAGTACCAGCATGCACAAGCTTGGCCAGCTAGTGCGTAGCTTTCTGATCGCTGGTACAGGCCCGCGGGCCTGCCTCTTCATGTTCGCTTACGATTGCTTGTGGAGCTGTGCTCAACTAGTATCGTGGCGTTTCGTTTTACTGCAATCGTATGCAACTTGGTCACATGTTGTACGTATCATGCTTCATACATGACCCTATACGTGTCCGGCCGCACTCTGACATGCCTGCACATGCTATATACGCTGCACAGTACGTAGCTGCGGCCGCACTCCTATTTCAAGGGCGCACCTACTAGCATTCCGTGTCTGCATTGTCTTCGTGACCTTGGAGCACGTCACGGGGTCAATGACCGGCTACGTACAATCAAATTGGATAGATTAGTTATCCAATCGTGCATGTGCCTGCGCGTTGGTAACGCTGGCGCATGTGCATACATTGCGCCCGTAGGCTGCAACCAACATGACGCAACATCCCTAACAGTATGCAGGCCAGGCGCGTATCTGGGTTCAAGAGATCTGCACGGTTTGATGGTTGTATGCTGCAATCCAATTGGAACTCGAGGCTCTTTGTTTCCTTATGTACCTCCACAGGCCTCGTAAACAGAGCGTGTGAGAAAATAAAAGTGACGAGGCCCGAATTACCAAGACGATGACAGGAATCGTTCAGCCGGCGGCGCCAGGGTCTCAAGATATTCTCAAGATTTTGCTGCAAGGAACATAAAAGATACGAGTGTCAATCGAAACGAGACGGCTGAAATTTTCTTTTTGGAAGCTGAAACGTTTGTACAGGGGCCCATCGTATCAGACCTGCTTACACAGGAGCTCGTATCTAGAAGACTCTCAATGTATAACCAAGCTTAGCTATAAGAACGCGACATCCAAAGTCTGCAATGCGCAAATGATGGGGGACCTTTTCTTCATGGGTGCAGCTGATGCAAGCCTGCAGTTTTGGTTTTGGGCCAAGACGCGCGTGGACGAGACTCTATGAAGAAACAGCCCACCAAGGACTGATTGGAAAAGTGCTCATTGCGAAGAGCACTTCAAGATAGCTTCAGCTGGAAGGTCACCTGCTGCAATGCGCCGTAAACCTGGGCAAGCGAGTGACATACGGCTCCATCTCCAATGATCACCAAAAGGGTCCTTAGCACCTCTGTCGGACGTTTTCAATCTGCAGGGTTAGAATCAACAATTGTGATTAGCAAAATGACACGCGCATCAGCAGGACGCTTGAAATCAGAATGACAATCATTGAAAGGGGCCGCTGACGTGCAGAGAGGTGGTAAAAGCCCACGTGCCTCAACCGTCCGTGATCTTGAGAGGTCCGTAAAGCAGCTGCTCACTTTTCTTCTGACTTCTTTTGCAACTTCGCGGTGTTGAGTCGGGTAAGTGTTCTTTCTGCGGGACCAGCTTTCAAACCTCTTGCAATCGTAGAACTTTCAAGCAAAAATTAATCTCGGCATAGAATACTTTTCTGATTCTCGCAACAAAGCTACGCAAGACGTAGGATCCGCGGCCACCGAAGCAGTGTACAAGCAAAGCCTTATTGATGGTCAACAGGTTGGCCCTCGGCAAAATTGACATCCAGGGTTTATGACGGAGAAAGTGGTAAGGGATAAAGTGCGAAGCGGAACGGTATACAACTGAAGCTCCGTGATTTTGTGCTGGAGAAAACGGCCGAACAGCGGTTCCGAGAAGACGACCTCAAATTGCAAGGAAGCAGCGCACTTCGTGCCTCTTACTTGAGGAACGCTGTATTTCAGACTACTCCCAAAGCATGGCAGACTGACAATCTTCATTGCATTCGAGACGCATATCTTTCGAAGCAAACAAGTGCCCACACGCGCATTCGGAAAACTATGTGAGCAGAACCTTGTCAAAGAATTCCGACTCATTGGCTGGTCAGGCGTCCGCATGCGACTTAGGAGAAACTTCCTTGGGAAAACCTCGATACTCTCTGCGATAACGTTGTTAGTGCGCGTCGGGAGATCAATCGTCTGGACACTGCTAAGCTGCGCACGATGCAGCAGGCCGCAGGGGAGAGAAACGCGTCCTACCTCAATGGAAACGTTCTGTTTAACTCTGTTCTCTTGAACTCCAGATTTTCTCTCCTAGGGAATGAGCGCCACGTGCCTGCTCCTGCGTCCGCACGTCTTACAGTTCTCCAACCCGCAGGCCGTTTCTGGATACTTCGTCCGTGAGCGGAAAGTTCCTCTTACGCGCCGTCTGAGAGACCTAAGCGGGGACCTGAGCAGGCCCGCGCAACCAAATGGAGCGTCTTGGTCTTCGCCCGACGTAGATCCATATGCCTCCTCTGTTTTTCTCGCGTCGTACAGCGCGTGGCGCCCCCGTGCTGGTGAAGGAGTTTCATCGGGCGATCTTTCTGGGATTGAAGACAATTGAGGATGCTCAACTCCGTTGTTTGATCTCCCTTCTTGCTCGTTTAGGTTGGGAGCTGGGTCCATATGCTTTTCGATCTTCCCGTCCTGAGCTTCAGGTGAGCATGCTTCTCGGAGCTGTAGTGGTCCGTGCATCTTCTGTGAGACCTGAAACCGGGCCGGAGCGGCCTCTTATGCTCCTGCGCAAAGGCTCTGTTTCACGAAGCCGAAGGTCGAAAGTACCTTGCAAGTCCATACTGGCAGAAGACGGTGCGTCGGGGTCAATCCGTCAGGGCAGTTGGGTTGAAGGAAGGTAAAACAGCACAACTACACAAGCCTTATCGTATGTCCATCGGCAATGTATTCTTCAGACGTTAAACCCAGTAATCTGGACGATCTACGTGGCCTAAAGATCTGTGTGGCGGCACGAGTCACGAGTGTCTTCGTCGAACTCGTGCATGCTGCGTGCGTCAGCAAGATCTCGAAAGATACTTGTAGATCCTGAGCCAGTGGGTTGTGTCGAGACATGATCGGTTTTTGATAAGCTGGCCGTCGAAAGTGCACTTCGTTCACTAATTTCCAACACTTATATAGCAGCGTGTTCCGAATAATGAGACCTCCACAACATTGAATTCGGTTCTTGTGAGCGCTGGCTTCAGAGTCTCTTCGGGTGTAGAAATCGTGGAGGCTTCTGATACAGATGAAAAGATGCTTGTTTCCGTACCTTGAAGTCCTCGCGCACCATTCAAGAACCTCGTTGGTCAATAAGACCGTGGACTTTTCAAAAAGCTAGACGTGCCTTGAATATCGACGCTTCAGCCGGGATATTACCAGGGGCAGTGGGAAGATTGGCCGAGGGATTTTAGAGGATTCTCAAGCATCAATCTCGCGACCGTCAGGAATACAGGCGCTGAGACGGCATGCATGAACTAGCTCTTGGGCGGCCTTGACAACCCCATGAAGGCTGGAGATCTGACGCACAAAGCCTGACGTCGATTGGACCGGATGGCTGGCCGCCAAAGAAGCTTTATGGTCACAGCTACGGAAGGTCTCAGCGGCGACATGTTGTGCAGATAAGGTTCGGAGCTAGCAAGATAACAATCACTAGTTCGTGATTTGTGTAATTGAACACATGCACTTGCCGGGGCCTCTCATATACAGGTTCAAACCCACATGCAATCACACTTTATAAGCAGATGAATCAAGCGGTCACTCGTGCCGGTGTCTCTAGGGTGCACGTGGGCCCTCTAGCATGCCAATAAGTTCATGGTTGCCCTGCAACCATTCGCAACTCATGCTGAACGGACTTAGTCAGCATTGAGAAAGCCAGTGCAGCCGGGATCCTGCTATTGATCAAGAGTGCAAAAAGTCAGCCTGGCCATGCCTGCCGCATGGCCACGCAAGCTGTGGCACGTGCCGCAATCACAACAAACTGGTTTGGTTTTACGGTCGAGTGCACAATCCGTTCCTAACACTTACAACAATTGCACGAAGTCGGCATGTCGAAAGGGCAACAAAAATTTGACCCACCGGTCGAATCAAAAAGCAATCTCTCAGATGTCAGCTGTATCCTATGTACAAGGCCACTCACGAGCTTAAAAGAATGAAGATAATGATAGATACTGGATAGATTCGATGTACTACTGTTCGCTTGATGCTAGACATTTCTCGACCATGTCTACTAGGTGCGGGTTCTCTAGAGCCGCTGCCACCCTTTCCTTATCGTTCAGTTGCTTGTTTACAGCCGCCTCGGAAGCGTGGGACCCCGGAGCCACGTTGATGTCCACCTGCACGAGCGACCTTTTTGTTTTCAGTTGAGCAGAGTACTTGAAGCAACTTGAAGTTTGAAACACGCCGCGCTTCGATTATCTAAGACCAAGTCAAAATCTGCTCAGCTTTAACATGCATGGAATACTTGGGACATGATTCGAGTGAGACCTGACCAGAACCCAGAGATGGACAGCTTGTCAACCTATTTTTTCAATTCCATGCTTCCGAAAGCCAATTCTATTACTTCTTCAAACCTGAGCAGCAGGCAAAGCGAGAGGGGACAATGAAACATACCTTGAAGCGCGGAGGTAGGCTTCGCAAAAGCTTAACCCGTATGCACAAGCCAATCAGGGTGGCCATACTACAGTGCTGGACGGTGGGTGTGAATTTGATCCTGTAGCATGCAGGAAAAGTCGACCCCGTCATTGGGCGTCCAGCTTTGCATAGTTCTTGTTTTACAGGACAAGAAACGGAAGACTACCACGAAACGACATCCAACTTTCTAGCTTTCCGATTGCACACAGCATAGGAAACAGGCAAGAAGGAACCTTTCTATGTGACTGACTGAGAACTGGCTGCCAGCACAACAAGGCTTAAATGAGAGCTTGATATGCATGTATCCAATGTATCATCGAAGAGTTTTGCTGGCATCTCTGGGCTGGCACGGAACATCATCTTGGCCACCATACTCTGACTCAATCGTATGTTGGCGGCGATGCTAGAATCCTTCGAAGAGCGCTGTCCTCGAGAAACAACGTCCCCTCGTGTGAAGCTCAGTGGTTAGAGCTTCAACCTGGCTTTCAGAAAAGCATAATGGCAGGACAGCAGCCAGCACTCACCCGACCTTGCTTCCCTTATCATCGACCATGATGGCCTCCTCTGACACCACGTTCAGCTGCTCCAAAGAGTAGGGGTGCTCAGGGTCCGTGATGTCCCGGATGTGATGTGCACAGTGGTCAAGGAAAGCAGACAGAGACACCAGAGCCGTGACAACAACACACTCACCACTTTCCTTAGAGATTTACACTGCAGGTTGCAAACTTCACAAGCTGACTAGCTTCTGAGCTTTGAAGCTGGAAAGATGACTAGTCCAGCATGTAACAAGATTCCAGACTTTTACATTAGTATATGAAAAGCCAAGCGATCAGCAGAAACAAAGTACCACCATCAACAATCATGCAAGCAAGAGCGTACGCCTGGGCCAGCATCACGTGGCAAAAGGATATCGAAAATCTCTGTGGCGTCAAACTCCTCTGCAGCATCTTCATCGCCGTGCACGCTCGGCAAGTCCAGCCGGTGTGCTTTACTTTTGCGCTCGTGGATGACAGGATTGGGATTAATGAGTTCCACCGCCATTGCGAGCACACGAGCTGACCCCACAGATGAGACTGTATTGCTTAGCCCTTACTTAGCAATAGCAGTGATTTGTTCCTTGTCGGCCTTGCTTTTCCTCGCTGTCAACGCTTGCGCCCCTGTGTAGCCACTCAGACTGCGGATAGAGGATGCGTGGTACTGCGCACAGCCTGAGCAAGCTAGCTCCGATCATGCAGACAGCAGGCGCGCGCGGGTAGCATCCACTAGTGGTTCGGAAATGGGGGTATGCATGTCGACGGCTCTCCTTGCGGGCAACTCCTCGTGGCATGCCCCTCCCAAGTTTCGTGCCGCTACTTAACGGTCGAACGAACGGCACGGGCAACGTGCCCCCCACAACGAAATTTTCGGGTTCCTGGCAAAAGGAACCCGGGGCGGGCGAGCTAGCTCTAGCTAGCTCGCCTAAGAAGAAGATGCTTCACACAAAACAGCTTGAGAAGAGAGACTTAAGAAGCTCAGCTGCCTTGTCCAGCTTCCAAAGGCAATGCTGCTCGTTGTCAAATGAAGAGCAGGCAGCTCGTTGACGATTTTTTTCTAACTGAATGACACAGTCTTAAGCCTGCGTAGTGCAATAAAGCTCTCCTTTCCGCAGCCCCTGATGCTTTGCTCTGGCGCACTGCGCAGTGCTGCTTTGCCATTTGCACGCGGCATCCTCAGGTTCAAAAGCAGCTATGATGGGAACAATGTTTTCCTGGTCCAGTCCGATCACAAGTTGATACTTTCAAGTAGTGGTGGGCTCAGAGCAGCCATGAGCACGTCTGCAGGGGGTGTGCAGCGGGAGGATAGCGGTGCTGTAAGCGATTCTGAGCTGGTCAGAGGCCGAGTTTTCTCATGATGACAAAGCTTTTTTGAATGCAACTGGCATGTGTGGTCCTAATCCACTGCGAGAGAAAGCTATGTTCAATAAAAGGGTCCTCATTTGTCCACTCTGCGAAAGTTCTGTGGTGCTAGAGCGAGGTGTTTACTTCCATGTATGTTTTTGATTGAGAGTGGACTGGTGGGGAACCTTATTCGCCTCTGTCACAAGGTGGGCAGTCTGAAAGTCAAAAGTACATTCATGCAGGGATCCCTTTGGAGAGCTCCGAATGTTTTAAGCTCAGCTTCTCAAGGAGCTTGCATAGAAAGTTGCAAAGAAGCTATTAAAGAATGAATTGGTCAAGAAGCTCGGCAAATCATCATTTTCATCATGGGGGGGCTAACAAAGAGCAATAAGCGAACACTTGCAGATAGAAGCCCTGAAATACAATTCGCGTTTGCATCAAGTGTCGCCCTACTTATTTTCCCCTGCCTCTAAGGAGCTGCCAGACTTTGACATTCCAGTCTCTCATTCCTCATGACTAGTTCCATCATAGCGCATAAAAGGGGCTAAGAAGTGAGGAGCTCTTCCGCCCGCCATCCATATGAGAATTCCTTCTGATTTGCTAAGTTGGAAAATGGCACAGTTCTTTCGTCTTCCATCTTCACAGCTTTGTTCACATCTCTTTTTTCAGGACGATCCCACATTCACTGCCCTCGCCCGGGCGCTACACGCCGCCCGCAGCATTGCAGTCCTGACGGGCGCTGGCATCTCAGCAGAGTCTGGCATCCCCACATTCCGAGGCGCGGGGGGGTTCTGGCGCCAATATGATGCAACTGAGCTGGCAAATCCGCAGGCATTCGCCGCAGACCCGTCACTTGTGTGGGAGTTCTACCACTACAGGAGGGAGATTGTATCTGCTGCAGAGCCAAATGCGGGGCATCGTGCGATTGCGGAGCTGCAGAGGCGGTGTGTACGACAAGGGAAGGACTTTGCATTGTTGACGCAGGTAATGGCCTGACGACACGTACCTGAGTTGGAGAGAACGAGAGGCTTCTCAAGAAGGATTGCTTGGAATATATGAGCGATGGCCAGCTTGACTGGCCGTTCAGTCTGGATAAACCTCTGCAAGAAATTACCCTAGGGTGCGCTTTGTGGAAATATTAAGGCGGTGAACTTTGTCCAATGCTTGACGGCCACATGTATGTTCGTAAGCCAGGATCTGACAATCTCTTCTCTTGCGTTCAGTGATAGCCACTCTCCTTACAAGCGTGCCACTCTACCGATGGCTTGCCAACTTTCCCGGATGGAACTCTCGTTGTGAATCCGCCCACAGACTGGACTGCCTGCACAAATCTGCACACTCTATCACAGAACGGTTCACCAAAGCCCTCGGCATCAGCAATCTATCTACGTACTTCAGAGTTTTGCAATTATGTTGGAGTGACTCGGTGGTTTTGAAACTAGCTCATGAGCTAGGGAGTTAGAGCGAGGCCGCGGCAAGCAGGGTCGTTTAAAGCTCTGAACCCTGGCAACAGAATAATCCTTTGATGTCACTCAATGCTTTTACCTTCACGTTGGCAAAGACAAACGGTTCTGTGTCGTTTCAGTTCGGGGTAATCCTTTTTCTTGCGTGCAGAACATTGACGGGTTGCATCAGCGGGCCGGCAGCACGGGAGTGGTCAACTTGCACGGCTCTCTGTGGGGCACCCGCTGCCGACGCTGCGGTCATCGAGAGGAGAATCGGACCATGCCGATATGCCCCGCACTGGCAGGGAAGGTGAGCGTAGCATGGCGCTCTCAATCTGATTCGGCCAGAGCAACCTGGCAGAATGGAAGGAGGGAGAACGTGGACTCCCGAGCTGACACGAGAGACCCCTCCTAGTCATAATCCCTTCCAATCTCCTAATCCCGACCGTCGATTGAAGGGTCGAAGGGCTTACAATAGGTGGGGGGTCCCTAGCGAAACTGCTGGGAGTTCTTGTATGCTTTCTTCCGTTCTGACATGTAATGAAGCACTGCCTGTAACCGACTGTTGGCGCGCACTTCGTTTGAGGCTCCACGATTTTACATGCCATACGAGGAGGTCAGCCCTTTCTATTTTCCGAGATTCGATACGTCAAGGTCCTCTGCTCGTCTGAGTTATGTATTCGGAACCCCCGCAGACATCCCGGAAAGGTCAAAATCAAGACAGGCGAATCGAACTTGATAGAGCTCACTTGAAAGTGCATCGCTCACTTTTTCATTGTTGCTGTTACATCATCACAACTGCTCTGCAACGAGGACCTGCCACAATCTTTGACAGGGTCTGCCGGACGCTTCCGAGGCGCGCATTCCGACACTGGACCTGCCGCGCTGCGCGGAGGCGGGCTGCAACGGGCTGCTTCGTCCGGATGTGGTCTGGTTCGGAGAGAACCTGGACCGTGAGATCATACAACGCGCGGACGCAGCGCTGGAGAGCTGCCACGTGTTGCTCGTGGTGGGGACCTCGGCTATTGTCTACGTAAGTGGCTGCTACATGACGCGTCATCGACGAATGTTGTCGTAAGGTTTTCCAGAGGTGCTGGCCACAATCTATCTCAGAAGCTGCAATTGCGGCACGTCTTTGCGCCCATCTCTCTAGGACGCTTAAACCAGGGCGATTCAAACTGTTTAAGTTCTGAGGCCTCATCAAACAAGGACTACCTGTCTGTTGGTTTGCAGTCCTTCCTGTTGAGTACTAATCTGCGTTCGAATAAAGGTTTTCGTTCATAACAAAAGATGCTCACGTTGGACAGAAACCCGTTCACTCAAAGTCCGTAGACTTGTCTCTGAGTTGTCTTTGGACAACGTCAACGTCAACGTTTCTATCGGCAAAATTGCCTGCACATGATTGCGTCGTGATGTTGTCGTCATCTTCCACTGATGCATCCCTGCCCTGCATTGCTACGCAGCCCGCCGCAGGTTATGCTCCAATGGTGCGGGCGAGAGGCGGAACGGTCGCAGAGTTCAACATCGAACCAACGGGAGCAACCTCCGTTTGCCAGTAGGTTTCCCTGCTGTACTTCGTCTTCTTTGCAAATCTTGATATCAACGGCTCTGGAAACGAGGGATTCGTTCAATGCTTGCGATGATTTTTTCTTTTCTTAGAGTAAATCTGTAGTGCTTGGCAGCGGGATCTGCCGTTGCAGCATGATGGCAGAACTGGCGCTCTGTCCACTGGTTTTGAATTGCTCGGAAAAGCTTACATTCAATGGTAGCTTCGTGAGATGTAACCAATCGGATCTGCTGCAGATTTGCTGTCACCGGGAAAGCGGGTGTCACGCTCCCAAGGCTACTGACAGCCATGGACAGTCTGAAGCACGGCATGTAGTGAACAAGCGAAGCCAAGATAGCATGAAACCAAGAGCGCTTGGGTATGCTGCCTAGGGTGTAGGTAAGAACTTAGTTGTGGCTACTCCGTTGTTAAAGGTGCGGACATAGAGTGAATTGCTAAGAGCAGTCGAATCAATCAGTGCAACGCCCACAAACTCGCGCGCAACGATTACTGGCTCATGATCAAGGTCGGCTTCAGCATTATTTAGTTCGTTCAGTATCATTGTAAATAAACGAAGAGCGACCATTGAAGGCGAGTCATTTTGTTGCTATCCCAGCAAGTATACGAGTAGCACGCGCCAAATGTACAACGACAGGCTGCGGCCCCCTCGTCACCATAAGTGGGAATGTGTATTGAACACTGACGGTCGCAAAAGGGGTTCCCTATGGACGGCTTGTTGTGCACAGTGACTGAGCTACAATAGAAACCACGGGCGGCCACGTGCTCATGCATGGCTGGCATCGTCGCCCGCGGCCGCCTGTATCAAATGAACTGATTGAGCATGCCAACCGCAGGGTCGAGATCGTCGGACTGCAGTTTTTGGCCGGAGTATGTTGACGCATGCGACTGCCAGGCGACAGCTAGCCTATATAGAGCTAGAGCTAGGGCGCTTGTGACTCTCATGTGAGTTCTGATCGACGCACATATAGATGTAGCATGCCGAGTATCTTGATAGGCAGCGGACTCAGCAACTGCAAGGAAAACGATTCTGGTTGCAGCGCCCACTTTGATCCTACAGTCCGCGCACTTGGGTTTGGAAACCATAAAGCGACTGCTCATGATCAAGTGTGCACTGCATGTTGCCTGCTTGAATGGCGTGGTGAAGTGGGCTGCCGGCACGACATTGACCAAGGGAGCCACAGCAGCTTGTACCTGTTTGTATGCAGTACTAAGAAGCAACCACTTCATTGGAAGCGGTATGTAAGACAGTCGATTCCTACCTTATGCAAGGTAGCAAACTTTCGCGTTTCAAAACTCGAGTGATCAGTGTTGTTGGCCAGAATTGGCTAACCCATTTAGGAGCTGCATAACTTCGATCGTGTCGTCTAGATAGTATTTCGCTTTGCTAGGTTTCTGGCCGACTGTGCATGCGAAGACTTGGGCGGTCATGTGATTGCTAAACGTGTCTTCGATCTTCTGGAACATGTCCTCGTCCGACCTGCAGCAAAGAATAAGATAAGGGCTTTCAAACAAAGTGACACTCGCCAACATGTGCGAATCGACGAACATGGGACACTGCTGGCAAACAAGACAAAGTCCCGACCCTTGAGCAGTCAAGTAGGATTGGATACAAACATCCCAAAGGAAGAAACCGCAGGATAAAGTAAACGAGTCTTTGAGAAGTTTCGTAAGATTGACGTGTCCAAGCCAAGTTAAGAGAAAAGCATTATACTCATTTGACATATCTTGCACCTAGAAATTGTTGCAGGCCTTAACATAGCTCGACAAAACAGCTATAATTGGAAGTTGACCGCAGAAACATAGGAGCCAGCACCATACGAAAGCGCCGCATGGACGTATTCCGCTCACCTGTCGTCCCCGATGCACAGAATCAGATCTGGCCCCTCGTTGCGCGCCTCCATGGTGGCGAGGACCTTCTCGGCGACGACGCCCTTAGAGACGCCCTGCGGCTTCACCTCCACGATGTGGTGCCCGCTCTTCACCGTTACCGGGTCGTTGACCAGCACGCTCTCCAAGTGGTCCAGCAGCTCCTTGGCCTGGCGGGCCAAGGTAGAGTAAGAGGGTTTGGAGTTCGGAGACATAGAGATGCAACAGATGATTGTTAAGGCCCCGGGTTTTACCAAGGAGGCCGTAAGATAGGTTTAAAACCCGGTTGTACAGGGCTCGTATGGCAGACTTGAGATGATCAACTAGAAACCCACCGCGGGCGTTTGTGACCGAGAGTATTGCGGTGATGACTTGGAGACCAATCAACCCTCTATGGAAGTATGGAAGAAGGAGTAGAAACAACTGGCCCCTGCGCAGAATACGACTTCGTCCAAGACAAGCTCCTCAACTCTGTCTCTCCATTGTTTCTCGGTGCTTCGACCTTTGGCGTCCAGTCCGGAGGAGCAGACTCTTACTCAAGCTCGACAAGCAAGACTGGTCATCCAGATTGGCTCAGAGGCCGCTCGGAAGTTCAACCCCAAACCGCTGTCCGCTCTGATATTTTCTGGCGTTTCTAGGGTTTCAACGCTTTGGGGTTTCTCTGCACGGCGGCTGACCTGCCAGGAGCCGAAGTCGGGGTCGGCGTCGCGGTAGTGCCAGACGAGCGCGCTGTCCTTGGCCTCGATGAAGGAGCCGTCGGTGCTCTCCGCGTATGTTTCCATGATCGGCAGCGCCGCGTGCTTCCACGGGAAGTCGCCCACGTCAGCTGCGTCGCTCGGGGGCACCTAGAGGAGCAAGAGAACGCGTGGTGTTACTGAAAGCAGACATCTAGGTTGTCGATGCAGCTTTTACTATGTTGTGACTATCCGGGGAGTGGTTCCTCTAAACCTGCTATCTGATATCACCATCTGCTCCGCGGAGAGCCCCGTTTGCCATGTAAGAGTCCATCTTAGCAGTGAAGGCAAGCTTCTGATTAGCGGCAGCTGCGATAAAAAAGAAGTACAATGGAGGTACGTTTGCAGCAAGAAGATGGTAGCCTTGCATGAACAGCCCAGCTTGGCACGCTTTATCCACGCAGTCTCTGAGCACAAGCTCCCTCTGCCTGGCCCCTTTGTTCATTTTGCAAAACGCCGCCACAATCATCGCATCCAATGTTCATGACACTGAGGTATCAAGAATCACCGAGCGGAATCCGATAAGAAGACCGAAAATCAAACTCTCTGTGTTTCGGGGGGCCCGGACTTCGGCACGCACCTGCCCCGTGATTAGCGTCTGCCAATCCGCGTTCTTGTTCCAGCGGTAGAAGTAGCCGTGCTCTGCGGCGATCCCCAGCTTGTCCACGTCCCCAAACCATTCGTGCAGAGGCACCTTGCTACGGCCGCTGACCAGAAACACCACGTTGGCGGGATCGTCGCACAGCGCCTTGAGCAACGCAATGACGTCCTCGCCCGGCCGCCGGTTCAGCGTCGCCTGCGGCATCATCGTGCCGTCGTAGTCTAGCAGGATCGCGCGGTGCTTCGCTTTCCTGCAGGAGAAATTGCGCCTTATTTCATCGAGAACTTTCTAGGTTGCGGACTCATCGACAGCTATGGCATGCAGAATTGCGCGGTGCTTCGCTTTCCTGCAGGAGAGAAGGAAAAAGAAATGGTTGACATTGGAAGAGCTCTTTGGTTGGATGTCTCAAGTGCTTCGTGCGGTTAATGATATTCAGAGTATGGAGCAAGCCATAATACCGGAGTGAGCATCACGTCAAAACACAATTTGCAAAGCGCGACCTTCTTCCTGAAGATTGCACAGCCGGGGCTTCCCTTTGCTGCAATAGACTCTGTGGCTCTTATACACTGGAGGGATGGCAAGGAGATGGGGACTCGTCGACGGCTGTGGAATACGCTCGCGCAGTGCTTCGTTTCCAAAGGTTGCATGGTTTGACTTTCTTGGAAGGAAAAGCGGACCAAATACTAGCTCACTGACAATCCCATACACACGAAACTCGCATGCCGGTTAGCGCCTCACCTGTAGGGCTGCAAGATTTGGTCGAGCCCCAGCTTGCGGAAGTCCGGCCCCAGCGCGACCACCCGGAAACCGAGCCCGAACCCAATCCCGTAGCACCGCAGCCGGTTGTGGTCCAGGCACGTGCGCTGCAAATCCGTCATGAAGCTCTGCGCCCAGAACCCGACGTCATGGTGGCTGACGTAAGCATAGTGCTTCTCGTGCCGCATTTGCTGCTCGACGACCGCCATCGACAGCGCGACGTTCATCGCCTCCCCGACGGCTTCCACGTTCCACGGGTTCACCCGGATCGCGCCGGAAAGGCTCGGGGAGCAGCCGATGAACTCGCTGACGACCAGCATGCTCCGCTTCTTCGTCTCGACGATCGCGGCGCTCCCGACGCCGCGCGCCTCGGCGCGCTCGCGCACGACGACGTACTCGTACGGGGTGAGGTTCATCCCGTCGCGCACGGCCGTCACGACGCAGCACTGCGCAATCGTGTAGAACGCGAGGCGCTCGTAGAGCGGGACGCGCCGCTCGAGCAACACGATGGGCTGGTAGCCCTCGAACCCAAACTTGGTGTTGATCCGCTCCACCAGCGAGTACACCTCCTCCTTGACCTCGTCGATGTCGCGCCCCGTCGCGCGGGCAGGGTTCGCGATCTGGATGAGCACCGCCTTGCCGCGCCACTTGGCGTGCTGCGAGAGGAAGCTCTCCATTGCCAGCATTTTGAGCCCGATCCCCTTGAAGATGTCCATATCGTCCACCCCCAACAGCACCGTCTTCCCCTCGTATTGGCTCACCAACTCCCCGATCCGCCACTCGGTATCGTTCAGCTGCAAACCCCGCGAGAGCTGCCCCAAGTGCACCCCGACCGGCATGATTTTGATCCCGACGGTGCGGCCGTAGTACTCGAGCCCGATGTAGCCGCGCTTGGACTCGTACTCGAGGCCGAGGATGCGTGTGCAACAGGAGAGGAAGTGGCGCGCGTAATCGAAGGTGTGGAAGCCGATGAGGTCAGCGTTGAGGAACGCGCGCAGGATCTCGTCGCGCACGGGCAGCGTGCGGTAGATCTCGCTTGACGGGAAGGGGCTGTGCAGGAAGAAGCCCATGCGCACCTTGGGGAAGCGCTTCCTGGGGGCGACAGCCGAAGGGGAGGGTCAACGACGCAAGTAGCGGTCATCCTTAGCAGGGGGGAGCTTCCCGCGGAAGGTGTCTCTGCGAAAGCTTTGAAGAAAGAACCCAATACCGACAGGTGTAAGATGGCACGACACAGACAATCGAGTGTATGCAAAAGATCCGCATGTCCTGCTCAACTGAGAAGAGGACCCACGATTTCAGGGCAAAGCGACTTGAAAGGGCAACGGGCAATTCCGCAAAGCTGAGGGAGGTGAAATGACTGGCCGGTCCGAGTGCACTTGACTCGATGGACAACTGGAGTTCCTATCTCCTCAGCAGGAAGTAAAGCAAAGCTGTGACGATGCGATTTGCTGAAAAAGGACAAACAAGATTGTCATGTTCTTGTAACCATGCTTTCTTCATCCCTGGTCGAGGTTGACATTGCGTCCTCAGGAACCACGGCAGATGCAACTCGGGCCATCAATTGCGGCCTGTCTGACCGCTGTGATCGCTTTAGAACCTCAATCTCAGCCAACGACACGCCGTGACGAAAGTTCCAACCTAAAGAGATCATTTTCAATCAAAAATACTCAGCAAGACTGGAGTCAATGGTCGCAGGTTGGGGCTGACCTGAGGAAGGTGGGGAGCACCATGAGATGGTAGTCGTGGATCCAGACAAAGTCGTCCTCGGGGGAGATCACCTCCATGACCTTATCCGCAAAGTAGCGGTTGGCGTGGACGTACGCCTGCCAGAGGCCGCGGTCAAAGCGCGTGCCATGCTCAGACGAGAGCGGCAGCATGTAGTGGAAGAGCGGCCACAGGTACTGCTTGCAGAACCCGAGGTAGAAGCGGTTGCGGATGTCTTCGGATAGGAACACGGGGACAAAGTTGAACTTCTCCAGCAGGAAGGCTGACACCTGGGGGCAGAGGAGCGGGGAAGGAAGAGTGAGGGCAGATGCAAGCTCCGAGTTAAAGTGTGTGCGGAAGTGTTTAAGGATCCAAGGGGCCGCCCCATCTGCAGTACGATGCATTGGGGGTATGTCAAATCAGACACAAGAACCATTCTAGCTTTTATGATCCCGAGCAGCCAATCAAGAAATGATGGACATGGTCATTGCAAACGCAAGGGTCCGGACAGTGAGAATAGCTGGATCTGAAGGACAAGGAGGCAAAAAGTTTCTCCATCTGAAGCTCGTTGCTTAGTCAGCTGCTTGGCACTATCTGTTGATTGATTGACGGGACCGCTATGCAAACTCCAGCCAGACCGTCGCAACCAACTTTGTGACTTAGTGATTCCAGGTGCCATCACCGGCCAGCATGATCGTCTGTGGATAACGTAACCCAGAATGAGGCACACTGGGGAGAAGCCAGTCTAGGCTGCAAGCATAGTCTGTAACTTCGCTCTGCCACAGCAGTCGCTGCGACAAAAACCGGTGGTGGCATTTTGCACTCTGATAGGACTCATGAAAAGGCCTGGCCTTGATAAGTTTGTGTGAAAAGTGCTCAATCACTTTCTACTGCAGTTTTTCTGGTGCACTAGCATTGCAACAAGTTCCAATGCCAGCAGAATGCAGCTCCGGACGTTTCTACAACCGCTTCCCATCATTCACAAAAGCAACAGACAGAGGGGTCAAGGCGCCGCACCTCGTCTTGCTCCATGGGGTCCACCTCCACCTTGAGGCACCCCACGTGCAGCACCTCCAGGTCTGCATTGAAGTTTGCAAGACCATCTTTCATCTGGAGTTGCAGCGCATCCTCATCCCGCGTGAACGTCCAGCCCCGGTCATCCTCTCTTCTAGCAGCATTCACCGGCAAGTGATTAGAAACCAGGATGAGCCTATCCTGGTTAATGGAAGAGGGAGCGTCTGATGTGACGCTTGACAAGCCTTCCTCGACGGCCCCCTCGAGGGTCAAGTTTGCAATTGTGTTGGCCCGCTTCGGTTTGGGCCGCGTGATAGGAGCCTTGTCTCCCAAAAGGTCGAGCAGGTTGGCATGGCTACGGGACAACATGCTGGCCTAATATGTCCACCTGGCTCCGTACGCTTTGCTCAGCTCAAACCAGCCGGCCCCTCTCCGCATACTTGTGTTTGCTAGGGCTGGATTCCGGATTCTTCAAAGAACGGGTCTGGCGATGGCTGCCAAACAGTTTTTGGAGGAAAGTCCTCCAGATGCTTTTCCTGTCAACTTCTCAACGGCGTGGCGCTTATCTCAAATCAGCACAAAACAACTAACCTGGTCAACAACTATGCAGACAGCAAAGAGATACGCAAGGTAGGACTTATAGGACCGGCCTAGCGTTCCAAAATGGCAAGCTGTGTTGGCCTCGAAAACCTGCTCAACAGCACTCCTCCACCGAGGCGTCCTTCTTCCTTCTTCTTGTGCACAGTGCACGCTGCGGTGTACCGTGAGTGGTTTACCACCCGTTTACGGTACCTGTTTCAATCACCAGACTACGGTAGATGGTTTTGCAGTGAAGGTACCTTTCTAAACCGATGTCGAATTTTATAGCGGTGCCTGTAATTGAAGATCAGCTCTTTATGCCTCTTCCGGATTTTCTGTGCTGGGTTATGCATCCTGGTATACTTAGCCAAGCTGTTAACTAATACACGATTCGGATTGGTCTGTCACCGATCGGCTCCATTCCATTTCGCTCTCCAGAATTTTAGGAGACCAGAACTCTGTATTCAGAATGGTGGCAGGAATGGCGAGGAAGTGAGCGGCGAGCCTTTGCGATGTCAATAGCGGGCGATGCTTCATGCAATCAGAGGTTGGATTAGCGGGAGATTGATTTCAGCATCGCACATGATTCCAGGGGGCAGCGCGCTGATTTGCGTAATTGCTGAGACGGTCTCCAATGTGCGGGGTATAGACCCAAGAAGGATGCAGAACTATGTGGTTCCTGTGCATTTGAGGTGGGCTACTTATGCTGCAGATTGTATGCCATTGCGTCAGGCGGCTGGCGTGACTTGCATTTCCGTTGGTGCAACTACTTTGTGGAACTGAAGGCAATCTGTGACAACGTAACAATACTAACATCTGAACGAGTGAAATGCTGGATAATCCAGTGATTCATGGAGACTGGAAAGTAATCCCTGTTTGCTCCATACAGGTCTAGTAACCATGTTTTCTGGTCAGCTCAGATAGTGAAGTGCTTGCTTTGATCACTTGCAAGGAGCAGCACATGTGTCTTGCTTACTTGCAGTTCAATCTATCTTTTATTTGCTGCGATGTAATGAAGGATGAACTTACGTTTTATGTGGCTTATTGTGCGCTTGCAGGCTGCTCGGAGTCTTCTTACACAGTGGAACGGTCAACGACGGGCTGTCTTCCTTCCTGGATGTCAGTTATTGACGTGCAGATTGCCGGACAGATGCTGGGGGTTCAGGGTGAAAGGCGAAGTGTCTAGGCAGGCTCCAAGGCCCAAGCACGATGCCGACATCCACGCTCCGCTACAGTCGCTTCGTCAACGACTCTGACGACGACTCTGACCTTGAAGAGGAGCCTGCCCCTCCCAGTCCGCCTGACCGCGGCTACCCCCCCAACTACAAGAAACTCACACCGGTGCGGACTCTACCCCCCAAGAAGCGCGAGCGCGGCCCTGCCAATGGCCTCCTGTACCACCGAGCAAATGCAGTCAGCAGCCCCAAAGTCGCCCCTCCCCCGCCAAACCCTGACCACCTCCCGCATATCATCGGCCTGGGAAGCACACGCGCTGCGCCAACTGGGACGTCTATAGGTTCCATCGGCAGCCCTGGCAGCTCAGGCTCAATAAAGGGCTCCCCCAAGGGCAGTTCTCGGGGGGGGCGCCGCCTGTCGTGGGACTCTACCACGGGGCTGGTGCGCCCCCGGCTGAAACGGCAGCACTCTCACCCCCTGAAGGAGAACCAGACGTGGCACGCGCACCCCCTCATCCGGCCGCTCATGCAGCTCGTCCCCGAGGCGTTCCTGTCGTTCCTATTCTGGAGCCTGCTCGTGCAGTTCTGGGGAGACGTTTACTGGTACCAGCTCCAGGCAGGGGGGCTGCACTCCACTCTTCTTTACCTGCTCTACCTCCTGACCCCCGCTTTGGCGCTCGGCTTGGCTCCCGTCCGAAACGCACTGGCAGCGTACCCTTGGACGAGGGCGTTGCTTGTGGTTGGGGGTCTGATGGGGATGGCAGGTCAGCTGGGGGACAGTTCGTTGTATCGGCTGACATTGGCGGGAAGCGCGGTGGGGGTCATGGGTACGCTCGTGTTTGATGGCATCTGGGCGGGGACAGCGGCCCGGCGCAGGCGCACAGGGTTTGGGGTGGCAGGTGAGAAGCGGGCATGACTAGATTGGCTATATATGTGTGTAGTGATGAAGTGGCTGCCATTATCTTGGTTTACTTAGTGAACGCAAGGTCGCTGACTCAGGGACACCGTATGTGAGGTCAATGATTGGGCAGGATATTACAACAAGCAGATGTCCTCAGTGCTAGCGAGTATGCGCTTAAATCAGACATGCAGGTCGTGTCTACCAACTCTACCAACTCCAGGGTTGTCGTCTGGCTAGCAACAGCATCCTCTTCAAAGAATGTAGACAAAGCGGGGAGTAGAAGGTAAATCTTTGCCTGCAGACACAGCCGCCTTTCCTCACCTCCTTTTCTTTTCCTCCTGTCCTAGGGTCAAAGCACAAACCTGGACACACGTCACACGAACCGAGTCCCTCCTCTTTTCCAGGTGGCGCCCTGCTACTCCAGGCACTCACTTATGCTTACGGCGGACGTAACCCCGCCGCAGCTTCTCTATGGACGTTCTTGCTGGTGGCGGCGCTCCCAGGGGTACTGGTCGTGATGGTGGTGCTGTATGAGGACGCTGTTGGCTGGGCGGCGCGGGAAGGGGGGGCGAACAGGCTGGACGAGGAACATGGGGAGGCAGGCAAGCAGCGCAGTGTTTGCATGAGTTTGATTTTCTAAAAGTCCTTTGCAGGCAGGTTGCCAGATTTTCAGAGTGGCAGAGCACGCGCGAGGTGGAACTTCGGCATCGCTGAGATTCCACTCAGAAAGGCAATCTGCGGTGTTTACGTTCGGCTGAATTGAGCAATCAAACCCCACTGTCAAGGCCTACGAAGAGCGATCGGACAGTCCAGAAGCTTTGAAAGGGGTGTTAACAACCCCTTGGGACTTCTGCCGATTTCTAAGGGGCCTGTCTCGAACGCGGCTATCTACCTGTTTGGATTTGACTCGAGTAATCTCAGCGAACAGCGGCAAGTCAGATCAGCTGAAGGGCAGCCAGTGCGTAGTTCCTGCATTTAAGGATCTGGCTGGATACATCAGGGGTGATTCACAGGTTGATGATTGTTTGCGTTTCTTGCGTCTCCTGAGGACGTCAAGACTCTGGGATGGTGTCTCATTGGAATCCCTCGTAAACATCGACTCAGAATTGAAGCATCGGCCAGGGTGCCTGCCTTCTGCCTAAAAGAGTATGGTTGAGGAGGAGTTCGGAGATTCCTCTTAGTTGGAAGCACAGACGAAGGCAGGACCCAATCAAATTTCCGAGTTGGAGCCTGACAGACAACAGGAGCGGTGGGGGTGTTGCAAAGGTTCTTGTCAGTCTTGTGTTCAAGACCTCTTGAAACAGAGTCCGCAATCCCTCTATTTGCTGTGGTATGGCACAAACCCACCTTCAGATTTTGAAAGCGACAATTCAGCGAACTCACTTGCTGCTTGTTACCACTCCAGGCGTCGAAGTCTTTTCTGACATCGCGATGGACGACGTCTTGAGCAACGACGACTGGGACGACTCAGAGGCGGACGCGGCGTCGCTTCTCCAGGCACGCCTACAGAGCAGGGGGGTGGCCAACCTCAACCGGAGCGGCTCTGACAACCCCCTGCTTCCGAGGGAGCGCATGCGGTTGCTCAGCGTCCGAAGCCCCCCGGTCCGGTTGCTCAGTTTGGAAACAGCTGGTGTTGACCGGAATGGGCATTCCGGGGGGGTGCCAAGATTGGACGAGACCGGGGGGGCGAGTGCGGAGTTGCTTGACGGGCAGGGGGAGCAGGCAGGGCCGAAACGGCCCGCTAGTGCGCCGCTGCTGGGGAAAGATTTCGGTGCGGCACAGGACGGACATGGTAGGAGTTGCAACCAGGTAGAAATAGAGATAGTGCCAGTAGAACCAGAGGCGGCGGCGAAACAGAGTACCGGCGCAAAAGCGTCGAAGCTGATCCTGAGCAAGCGAGCGGGAGAGGCGAGCCGTCCCGGTGCGAAAGCAGGACAGGAGATCGAGCTATGTACCGTAGAAGAGCCGCTGCGCAGTCCCGACGCGAAGGAAAAGGGTTCTGCGAAGCTGCACGGAGTTGGTAGTAGGCAGAAAGGGCGAGCCCATCAGGGCGCCCCGCACGCGGCGGGAAACGAGAGAGAGGGGCCGGACGGCGCGGCGGGGCTTCACGCACGAAACCCCCACCACGTGGATTTAGAATCCGGTCTGTCGGGGGATAGCCAAGGCGAGAGCGTTGACGGTGAGCGGGAAGCGGAGCCGATGCTTGGGAGAGACGGGGCCGACGCGAACGAGACGTGGCAGTTTTTGCCGAAGAAGGTGATTGACCTCGGGCGGCGGTTCGGGGAGGGGGAGGAGGTGCCGTGGCCGCACGGGCGGGAGGAGACGCCGTTCTCGGACCAGGACGCCGAGTTTGAGGTGTTCCGGGAACGGGGGCGCAGGTGGACCAAATCAGGTGAGCGGGCAGTTCTGACTGGGTTGGAACGTCGATCGTTTTTTGGATAAGGACTGCTGGGGTTAAGGTCTACAGAGATATACAGAGATACTGAGGGGACTTGATGATGTTCGTACAATGAGAACGCCTTGTCAGCTAGTGACGGGCCGTTCTTGTTGTCCGAAACATTTCTTTCAGCATTGATTTCAAGGCAGCCTGAAATGGCCTCCAGTCGAACAGTCCGCAGGTCTCGGAGGGGAACTTTGAATAACGGCTAAGTCCTTTACCGCGCCTACAATTGTGCTGTACTCAGGCGCAGGATTTATTGCTCCATTCGTCATCCACCCGCCCCGGCGTCCTTGCTCCGCGGCCCTTGCTGACCGTTCCTCTCCTCTTCAGGCACATTACGCACTCTCCAGATGGGCCTCAGCTTGGGCTGTCTCCTCTTCCTCACCCACTGGCTGCTCACCGCCCCCACCCTCCCCGCCCGCTGGGCGGGCGTCACCCCTTGGTGGGGCCTCCTCTCCCCTCTGGCACTTACCGCCGGAATCGCACTTGCAGCGGAAGGTGCCAAAGTCTCGAAACAGCTGCACGGGTTTGGGGCCGGATCGGTCGCGGCGGTAGGCTGTCTGGTTATGTTGCTTCTAGGAGCCCCAGGGGCGATTCTGGGGGCGGTGCTTTTGGCACTAGCGGCCCCGAGTCTGTGGGTGACGCTCTCCCGGAACACCGTGAACGTTTACCCTGGGCCGGGGATCGCGCTCTCGGCGGTTGTGTACATTTGCCTGGCGCTGTGGAGCGCGTTCCTGGTCGCATATGGAAACGTCCCAGGGGGCTTGGTTGTTAGAGGGACTGCACTCGCGTTGATGCTCGTGTCGTTGGGGGGGGTCGCTTTGGGCTTGGGAAGGGGGCCCCCATTGAGTACGGAAGATCGGCGGCTGCTGGGAGCGATGCTGGGGGCGTGGAAGGCGGGGCGGCCGAACTGGGGGAGCGGGGTCCCTGGCCGAAAGGTGAGAATGACAGTAAACAGCGAAGGGAGTTCTTGGCTGAGTGCTGCTTTGAACCCTTCCGCTTCTAGTCTAAGATAAATTTCTTTGTTGATCGAGCAGTGTCCTTTTTTAGCGGTAGGACAGCAGCAATTATTGTAGCCTGGTAAAGGCTCGACATGTTTTCTGCTGGCCCAAGTCGGTTTTAATTGTCGTTCGTTATCATCCGACGTTGTAAATCTTGGCCGACACCGTGGTGAAACTTGGCCTTTGCGCGAGTTGAGGAGCACCCTTCAATTGCTCCGGTTTTTCAAAGCGGGTTTCTCGAGCCCAGCGCCAAGTCTGCTCACCCTTCCGATTCGATTACGTTGGGCAAAACACAACTCTTCACCTTTCGTGAAGATCCAAAGAGCACTTACCAAGCCCCATTGCTCGAGCCCAACGCTACTCGGAGTTGACTCTTCCCTCACCTTCAGGCCGTTGGTGCTCTTGCGGCTTTGGTGGGGCTTGTGCTGGCTTTGCAGACTCCCACAAAAGTCGCGCTATACATCCTCCACGCTCCTCAAAGTCACCAAAGCGATTGTTGTTTGTTTGGAGCGCACTTACTGAGCGCAACAATGATATGCTGCCTTACCCCGCTCTTTCAGGCGGTGGGCGCCCTCGCGGCTCTGGTGGGGCTGTTGCTGGTGGCGTCGATAGTGCATCGGCTTTTGGCCCTCCCGGTGACGTACCATTCTGCGCCCGGGGACAGTCTGCGCGTGCTCAGCTTCAACGTGTACCAGGGCTACAACCGGGCGGGGGGCAACAACTTCCGGGCCATCCAGAACGTTATCCGGGACCAGAAGCCGCACTTCGTCATGTGAGTCCGCCGTCGTCTGCCAATTCATAAGAAAGTATGAAGCCGATTCTTCGGCTGATAATCAGTCCAAATCGGACCCCAAAAAAAGCCGAATCCATTTGACCGACTTAAATTCTCTTTTGAGGAATTGGGGTTATGAGAGCGAGAGGGTTTCTAATTGTATGGAACGGATGGCGAAGCGGACTGCCAATTACCAGAGGTGACTGCGAGGTAGAGTTTACTTGCACAATCTGAGTGGTTCCTGAGGAGGGGCGTCACTGCTAAGATGTGCAGAGTCATCTTGCGGGAGGATTCAGGGAGTATGGACTCCCTCATTCCGTGGACTTCTTCGAGGATTTGCGGAGTCTGGGGCCTGCCTTCTGGGTTTATCCAAGGTAAGGCGGCTGGTTATGGGCATGTCGTGATCACACTGGTCGCTCACGACGGGTTGCTTGTCCAGGTTGCAAGAGACGGACACGATGCGCATCATCCAGGGCAACCGCGATATGGTGAGACGACGGCCTCCTTGCACCTGCAATGTATGAACGTCCATAAGCGATCAACGGAGACGGTCATGACTGACGAGTCCTCAACTTGCGGGGCCGTGCAGATCTTCTGGGGTCGTACTTGAGAATTCCAAAAGGTGACCTGAAAGCCCGGCATATAGTATTCGTGACGGCCGGGGTTACTCGACGTCAAAGGAACGTTTGCACCTGGGTACGGGTGCAGCGCATGTAAACCTCTAGTCTGTAGTCACGAAGCCTATTGTTCACTGGATCGATGTCTCCTTGCGAGGATTTCGCTTCCAGTGCTTTTAGAATCCCTGTCGATCTGCGCGCTGCCAAAACATTGTCATCACAGATCCCCTTGCTGAACTCCTCTTCTCCTCTGGCAGGTGGACTACTTGTCTCTGGGCTTGCGCATGTATGCGTTGGCCACTCCCCCAACCCGCAAGAACACGTGGGGCTGCGCTATGCTCTCCAGGTTCCCCTTTAAATCGGCCACGTGGGAGGTCCTACCGTCGGAGAACGGAGAGGCGGCCTGCTTCCAAGTAAGGCTCAAAACTAGGTTTATCCGCTGCAGCAGTACAAGACTCTGGTCGTTTGGTTCTTAGATCAGGGGACTCAGAAAAGATGCAGTTGCCGAGTAAATGGATGTCGTCAACGAGCTTCTATCCGGGACTTGACCCTGTGGTTGGCCTTTGTCTGTCACAGACGGAGGGAATAGGAGGGGCGATCTCTTTCACGGCAAACTGCGTTCATCCTTCACCCATCCAAGAATCAGTTGTTGATGAGCTGAACGCTTCTGGCGAAAACTTGCTTGAAATTCGGCCTGAACCTACCGTTGGCACCCTTGCAGCATGCAACGGTTCAAGTTGGGACCCAAACGCTACACCTCATGAACACTCACTTTGGCGAGGACGACCGAGACCGAACAGCACAGGCTCGGGCAGTTGCGGAGCACATCCGGGAGGCCTTGCAAACTGGAGGCAAGGCAGACGAAAGGTTATCGGGCCAGGAACAGCCCGTAACCAATGTTAGCGACACGAGTTCGTCGGCTCGTGTGTCAATCGTGCTGGCTGGGGACTTCAACTCAGCGCCGCTGAGCCCACAGTATATGGAGATCGTGTCTGCTGGCATAAGCGATGCTCGCGTTGAGTTATATGGGCAGTGGAAAAACCCTGCAGAGAGGGACCGAGGAGCAGGGCTTGTATTTGTATCGCGTGCGCTGAACTGTACAAAATGGGTAGAGCCGACTTACGACCAGCAGAAGACCGCGGATGGGAACCCAGTCGTTGTCACCTTTACAAGGTGAGCATCAGAGTAAAGCGGATTGTACCATAATTTATGCGAACTGTCACCTGAGCTTCTCAAAGCAAGCGTGTGCAAGTTGCGCGGGTGTACATCGTTTGCATTGCTCACAGAGTATGATTGACCGAGCTCAAACGACTTTAGGCAGTGCTTGCTTTGAGTCGATCCATTTATCATGCTTTGACATGGTGAAAGCGCCAGCCTCAGGATCATCCATGAATGCTTGTCACAGGTAGACCTGCATTGATGGCTCGCCTTTTATTGATCACACGTCCATACATCAACCCTAGCTCTGTTTGCCCCCCTGCCACATACGTGCAATGAATCTGACTGGCCAGATCCATGTCCACGGCCTTGACTTTGTGTGCAACCGAGATACACACATGTTTGATCGATAGCTGCAAACGACAAATGAGTCGAACAATCGATTAAACCCTATTTGCCATGGCCTAGCAGTGTGGAGATGTTTTCATGTCTGGATGTACGCTTGACTTGGTGCTGGAATCCACATTACTCCCCGTTTTGGAGGTTTAGCCTCGGTGACTGATTTACGCGTAGCTGCCGTTCCTAATTTGTTATCTGCATTTCACGGCCGTTCGCAACACACATCAGCGCGGCCGAATTAAGCCTAGGGAGAGCCTCGCATGCAGCGCGCGTACGCGGCGCGGATCGAGCGCCGGCGCGGCCGGCCCGCTGATCATGACGCGATCGACTCACTTCAATTGATCATGATTGGCCCGGGGGCTTTTGAAGTTTGCATGCGAGAATGTCGGACGAGCACATCAAAAGCCCCAATCTGCAGACGAGCAATCATTGAGTGGAGACATTGATCGAGGGGCGGCCACTCTGCCGACATGCAGAGCGTCCAGGCGAGTCCGCATCGGTGCACTGGCAGCATGCATGCAGATCGACTTTCGCTGCCCTAATTGTACGGTAGCTCATGATCCGAAGATACCTAAGCTAGAGCTGTACTGAAGTGTATGCTTTTTGGGTCCTTTTCGAAGGTCCATTCCCTTTCCTTTTCTGATCAGGTGCTAGCGTCAACGTACAGGCATCCTCGTTCCATGTCCCTTCTGACGTTTTCAGCTGAGCTCTACGAAAAGCGCCTGCGAAAAGCGTCTGCGAGCTGGAACGACGTTGAATTATTGAAGGCAGTTAAGGCAATCGCAAGCGGTCTCTGCGTCAGTGCTGCGCCAGCTCCTACTAGCTGCCGTTGGGCTGAAAGCTCAAACAGTGTCAGAGGTGACCCGTAATTGAGAAAGCAGTTTTATTGAACACTAACAAGCAGGCTGCTTGAACAGAGCTCGAATTTTGTTAAGGACAAGATGACGGCCAGCAACGGGGACGCCAATGGGTCCGCTGAGGTGAAGACCACGTCAAGTGGCGCTGCAGCCAATCAGCAGAAGATGGGCTCTGATGGGAAGACGCCCCTGTACACTTCGGGGGGTGGCCACCCCATCCAAGACGACAACAACAGGTGCGCTTGACTGCAGTCAGCTTTGCTTTTGTTACGTTCCCTTGACACCCTATCACCAGATGTCGGCCCCCCTGTTCATGCAAGCAAGGAATCTCAGCAGAAAGCTGCACAAAATCGGACGGTCCTGAGTGTGTTTGAGCCAATTGAATCGGCACAGAACAGAAGTAGGAACATGTTATAACGATCAGTTTCAGAAGAAAGCTGCTCTTAAGGTCATAATTCGGTATAATAGGTGGGGGTATTAATGCTGGTGTAAAAGACAGGTTAAACTTTTAAAATGACAAAAGTCTGTCTGCTGCATCAATCAGATTACACTGGAACTTATGCTCTCAACCTGGTTCAAGTAACCGGTACTGCATGACAGCTGTTTGTGACATACTCATAAAGGCCCAGAGAAGATGAGTTCCCCTTGAAAGTTTGATTCCTGGAGGCGTCACAACCTCACAGACTTTTCTTCAAAACAGTAGCCTGAAATGAAGGGGCGACATTGTCGATTGCAGAACGAGCTCATGTTGCGGAATGAAATTTCCTGGTCAAGAGTATAGCAAGCCGATTCTTTTGAGCAGCTGCCAACTTCGAGAGGCCAACTAAGAAGCTCCTTTCCAGAGCGAGGTTGGTCAATGCACAGGGAATTTACTGTTCAAACCTGATTGCGTGTTAGTTCCCATCACACTGAAAAGCAGCAGCTGTTAGTTCCCATCACCTCTGAAAAACACGTGTTGAAGTTTGCAAGGAGCTGCCTTTGGGGCAGGTCTGGAGAAGAGCTCCGCCCCCACGGCAGTACTGTTCTTCGGGAAACTTCCTCAGATGCCCGAGTGTACCATACATCGTTTTCAGACGTGGGCATGAAGTTTTCTGATATTCAGGCTTGCCTTTTGAGGGGCACCAATTGCTGCAGAACAATCCTATATTGTGGCTATAGTCCTTCCGATAAGTTTCTCTTTCTGGTGGCTATAGTTTTGTCCAGATTCTCAACCTGGGCTCTTTCCCCTCGTCCTTCGTCCAATTTTTAAGGTCAAGAAGGCAGATTCACGTCTATTGCCCCTCGCAGCATCGTTGAAAGGGAGAGCTTTTTGCGTCAATATACCTCGCGCTTGCGAATATAGTCACTCTTCTTGGTTTCTTTGTTGTACTTATTTCTCTCTGTCACTTGTTCTGCGAGTTGGCATTTGGTCTTCGTGGCCCGATTTCGCTGGGAAACATTTCAACCTTTATGGTCGGCATTGGGCCCTCATTTTGATGCAGGACTGTGTTCTGCACGGAAGGCTTGTACAATCCACCTGAAAACGATATACTGTTAGTTCAACACCTATCCCACACGTGCGTTCTGAACCTTCTGCAGTTTCACGGTTGGTGATGGGGGCCTTATCCTGATGGAAGATTTTACGCTGATCGAGAAGCTCGCCCACTTCAACCGCGAGAGAATCCCCGAGCGAGTCGTCCATGCGAGCGGCCAGGGAGGGCACGGCTACTTCGAAGTCACCAAGGTACGGGACCGAGCTTGTCCTGATATACGGCGAAGAGTTCATGGAGCTCAATAAAACACTCCCGTAGGAGTAGAGGAAGCCAGTCCGTTCTACTTTCTGAAAGGGTCGTGAATCTGAACATCGAGCCTTTGAGACTCGGTCTAGTAAAGTGCTGGCATCTACGCAAGTAGTATCCTCTGTTGTATGTGTAATCTCTTGCACGACCAAACCATGCGAGGATATCGTCCATGTCCCCCTTTACAAGTTTAGATAGTTCCGTGCTACATCGAGGTCGACGCCGTCGCTTATGGCCTGCATAGAGTGGGAAGAAGCACAAGCGGCCTCAAACAAAACTAGATGCAAACTTTCTCCTCGGCTGGATGGCTTGCTTGTTTCGATATTGTCCTCCTGTGATAGATTGTCATCTTGCTGCAGGACGTCACGCACCTGTGCAAAGCCAATTTTTTGAGCGAGGTGGGCAAGAGGACTCCCATCCTCGCTCGCTTCTCCACCGTTGGATTCGAGTCCGGTGGTGCGGACACCGTCCGTGACCCGCGGGGCTTCTCCGTCAAGTTCTATACGGAGGAGGGCAACTGGGACATGGTGAGGTCGCGAGGCCCTAGGCTCATAAAACTGGAATCGTCTCCCTTACCTGATTTAAAGATGCAGATTTGCAACGCTGCCATGCCTGGGTTCAGCTTCGGACTCGTCGTTTCTTAGGTCCGCTCCTGGCCGTCAAATGTGCTTTAATTCTTTACCAATTTCACGGGTAAAAAGGAAATCTGGCTTGCTTCTTCGGGATCACTTGTTTTTTGGTCGACTTCGTAGTTATCAACCGTCCTTGATTTAAGACCTTAAGCATAAGGGGTTTATCCCTTCACCAAGCTTGATGAGAATAAGAATGAAGATTTTAGCATCCGTTCTGCGGCATTCCTGACGTTACCGAACCGCTGGCTTGAAGGTGGGCAACAACACCCCGGTGTTCTTCATCCGTGACCCGAGCAAGTTCCCCGACCTCATCCACACTCAGAAGCGCCACCCGGCGAAGCACACCAAGGACCCCGACATGTTCTGGGACTTCCTCAGCCTCGTGCCCGAGTCGTTCCACCAGGTGAATCGCGCAACTTTCTTTCTTGCTTTTCTTAAAAACAGCGCTAAGACATCTTGCATGATAGTTTTCGAGCAGATGTGAAATGGCTTTACGATGGTGTTGCTCAGAACGAACCCAGTTGTCCGCCGAAACGGTGTGCGAAGAAGCAAAGGACATGTATCAAGACTGCCCCAGCTTTCCGTGCCCGGCTCGTCTTAGCGCAAAATCGCGGGGCGCGCTCCCGGTCATGAGCTGTCATTGAGAACCTTCTCGGACAATGGCAGTGTGTCTAAAACGACGACGGTGGATGCACTGTACACTTCTAACTCCCCGCTCAAGGTAGCAACAATTTCCGTCCGTTTAAGGGATTAACCAACCGATCAGCTTGCCATATGACGAGCGGCGCCCATCATTCTAGGTCGTAACTTTGCTCAACAAGTGCTGACGTCACGCCTTTGGCTTGTGCAGGTGCTGATCCTGTTCAGCCCTCGTGGTGTCCCGGTCAGCCCCCGGTACATGAACGGCTACGGCAGCCACACCTTCAAGTGGGTCAACAAGGAGGGCCAGTTCAACTGGGTCAAGTTCCACTTCAAGACTAACCAGGTGGGGGAGGGGCTTTTTGCAAATTCTTTACCAGGATTATTTTGAACGGCTTCTCCTCCGTGCGTGGTGACTGGGTTAGACAAGGCTAACCGGTATGCTGGCGAGTCAGTGCTTGAAGCTCATGACAAAAGTTATGAGACTTATGAAGGTTCCCGCACGCCGTTGAAAAACAAGTATTCTTACGAAAAAAAGAAAGGTTGAAAGTGAACGTGTCATCGACAAGAGACTTGGGGTTGGCGTTTGTTTAATCATTCTGTTTAAGTTCGTCCTCTGGAGGTCGTACCCGAATGTCGGTTTCATCGTTTGCTCTATTGGAAAAACGCCTTGCTCTTGTCACCCAGGGCATCAAAAACTGGACCCATCAGGAGGCCGTGAAGGTCGCAGGCGAGAGTCCTGATTCTGCAAAGGAGGACCTTTACGAAGCGATTGCACGGGGAGAGCACCCGAGCTGGACCTTCTATGTTCAGGTGCGGTTTCTTTCCTCTGTTTACTTTGATGACCTTCGAAGAGGCCCCCATCAGAGATAGGTGCTTTTGACATTCCTTTTGTTTATCCAAGGGATCCGGGCGGTGGCCTTCGTCTTGGATTATTTACCGAAAACTTGAGAGTTCAACATATTGGGGACACACATTGAATTACTTGGACAATCCCAACCAGCCACAAGCGTTTGTAGCAATTGTTGATTCGGGCCGAAATTTGTGTAAAGCGGTCATCTAAGCCAACCAGAGAGAGTGGTTGACGATACAATTTGTTGACTCGCTTGTCCTCTTACATAAGCTGCAACGCCCCGATCAGTTGGGCTGTTTCCTATGCAAGACAAGGGACGGGGCTCCCGCAAGCAGACACGGTCAGCCTTTCTAAATCGACAAGTTTTCGATCGCTTGTTGCAGGTGATGAGCCCCGAACAAGCGGAGACCTTCAAGTGGGACCCGTTCGATCTGACCAAGACGTGGCCGCACAAGGAGTACCCCCTGCAGGAGGTCGGCCGGTTGGTTCTTGACCGCAACGTAACCAACTACTTCAACGAGGTGGAGCAGGCGGCCTTCAGCCCGTCGCATATGCCCCCTGGCATCCAGGCATCCCCCGACCGGGTGCTGCAGGTTAGTTTTTTAACCCATCTCTGGTTAGTATTCATCTATTTACACCCTCCTTAACGAGGAGGTCAAGCAGGCTGCTTCCGCCCCGGCGCATATGCCCTCGTGTGGGGAACGATAACTGATTGCATACTCCCGGTTAGGCCTTAACTTTCCAGCTATCAAGTTTACACCTTCCACATCAAAAACTTCAACCTTTTGCGCTAACCCACCTAGCTGCTTTTCCACACATTCCGGGGCTTTCTAACGGCGCCATAATCGTTGACGTACAAGAACTTCAAACGTGGCTTGTGCTACTGGTTCTGACACCTGTCCACAGAAGCAGCTGTTCATTTGTGCAACGGACGTCCGACACGTGTCTCTTCCGCTCGCGCAGGCCCGCCTGTTTAGCTACGACGATGCGGCGCGGTACCGCCTGGGCTCCAACTTCTTACTGATTCCCGTCAACAAGCCGCGTCACAAGGCGCAGAACTATCACGTGAGTTTTCTGGCTATGCAACTGTCGAAGCTGCCTTTTACGATTAGGTCAGTCTCTTACGTCAAGATATGGCGCCGCTCATAGGTACGTGGGCAGATTGGTAGCAAGGCCTATAAATACAAAGCTATAGGCTACTGCCCCAAGCTCGTCGCTCGTCGTTTCCAGAGCGCTTCGGTTGCTGTGAAAAGCGAAATTTGAAAGAGCAGGTAAGCTTTGAAAAGGAGCAGCCTTGGATAGGTTTTATAATCGAAACACAAGCGTTTCTTACGAGAAATCTCAGTTGACCGAACCCAAATGTATGGGAGGATTTCGATCAACGGCGCTGACATGTGCTTCCGAACTATCATGTGGCGCTCGCAGCGGCCTGACAAGGCCTATCTTGCTGTTGATTACGCATCCGCCTGCATTCACAAGCGCTCTTTCTCTTGAATCTTCTGATTAACTCACAGGACCTGCTTCTAATGTCTAGATATGCAACGGGTAAGCAAAATTTGCAGCAATCACAGGATACGCTGATTCGAACATGGATCGATACCAGGAGCTCGTCAAGTGAAACGAGCTTAATTGAAGGTAATATGCAACGGGTAAACTTTCGTTTTCCCAGGTTGACGGCCTCATGCAGTGCGGTGACAACGGCGGTTCTGGACCCAATTACTATCCCAACAGTCGCGAGCTGTACCCTAACGCGCCGCGGCCCGACCCGGCCGTCAAGTACCCCGAGCCGTTCCAAGTCCCGGCAGGTCTCGCCGGCCGCTATATCAACAAGAAGTGGGCGGACCAGGTAAGAGGACGTCTTTTTATCAACATCAGTTTGCGCCCAATAAATCGTGGGCGGACGAGGTAAGAAGACATTCTTAGTAACAGCAGAAGCCTTGGCCAACAATAAGTGGGCGGACCAGGTAAAAGGACGTCTTCTTTCCAACAGCAATATGCCCCCCAAAAAAGTGGGCGGACGAGGTAAGAAGACGTTATTGGTAACAGCAGAAGCCTTGGCTAACAAGAAGTGGCGGACCAGGTAAGCCTGAGGACGTCTTGTAACAGCAGATTGCCGCCCAAGAAGAAGTTGGCGGACGAGGTACGAGGACGTTTTTGAAGAAGAGCAAGTCAGCGGACGTGCTTCAGGGCGAAGTTTAACAGCGGGTTGGAACATTCCTCGTTGTTTCGTTGTGCTTCTGCTAACGGCAAGACGGGGCGAATTGCTCACTACTTCACCTGCCCCGGAGAAACACGTCAAAGCAGGATTGTCAGCAGCGAAAAGTGATCAAAGGAAGGTAGTTCATTCCCATTAAGTCGAAACTTTCTAGACGTCATTTGTAAGCTTCCCGTTGCCGTCGCCGGTGCACCCTGGAAGATAGTCGCACGCTGAAATCCCTCCCCCTTCCTTGCAGGATGACTGGGATCAGCCACGTGCCTTGTGGGAGAAGTTCTCGAACGATGACAAGAAGCCGGACGCTCAATAATTTCGTCAGCCGTTGTCTTCTCTCTTTCCGTTGCCCGTTTCCCTTATGTTGGACTGAAGTTTTACCGTCCCCTCCCTCCCTTGCAGGATGATTGGGATCAGCCGCGTGCCTTGTGGGAGAAGTTCTCGGACGAGGACAAGGAGCAGACGCTGAGCAACATCGTGGGCATGCTCGCGCCCTGCCAGCAGTTCCTGCAGGACCGAGTCGTTGGGCTGTTTGGCAAGATCCACGAGGATATGGCCGCCGGTCTGACCAAGAGGCTGAACGCGGCGAAGGAGGGGAAGGCCAAGACGAGCCAGACCGCTTAATCAGACTTTGCTGGAGACTTCTCTCTAAGAGCGCTGTGATCTTTGATCAAATGACTTGATTTGATTGAGGGACGTTTCAGCCGGGCTTTGAAAGTGTTGAGGGTAGGAAAGTAATGTACATACAGAAGCTTGCGTGAACTTGTGCAAAGTCGAAAACGTAGCTGAATGCGCAGGGAATTACCTTGAAAGTTGCATAATCAAGTTAGGCTCATAGGTCTGAAAAGCGTAGACGAAAGGAGGCTTCGTTTTTGCTAGATTGTAGTTGCTGACAAAGAGGGGAATTGGAAGTATTGCGTTTACTTGCATGGATTCGTTTTCTTCAGCTTGCCACCTCATTCTATTGAAGACGTGTAGTCCAATCCCGAACTCATCTGTTTCGAATTTTTGGCAAATTTGTCGATGAATTGTTGCAAATATGGCTGTATGCTACTTTTCGAAAAATTAGATAGGTGTCTTGAGTCCATAGATATTACGAAAATAGGGGAAAATGGATACTATGGACAGATTCGTCTATAGACGTAATCTGTACAGCGCACGTGCTTCATCATTTAAGTGCATCATAGCTGTTGTAACATTTGATATGTCACTAAGACCGTTGTGGAGACCACATTTCAAAGTTGGCAAGCTTTTTTGGACCAGAATTGTTATCAAACTGAGTTCTTTGAACATGAATAATTCTTACGGAGCCGCACATTGGATGAGGCTTTGATACTAAACCTTGTTGAACCCGTACCTTCACTTTGAAGCCAGCTTCCTGTCTGCCAGGTTGAAAACGTAGTACATGATATAATGGCCGTTCGTCAAGGCCGATCACGTCTCGACGCTGCACGAAGTCAATCATGCACGATCGTGATTGCTGCCATGCTTGCCAGAGACCATGTGAACATTGCCACTGACAATACGCTTTAAAGTGGGCGTCGGGGTATAAAGGCGGTATTTTCCAGACAAAATGGGGACTCGGCCGAGTCGCCGTAGCTCAGGAGGCTAGCGCGCTCGCCTAAACCTGGCCTAAACGTCCGAGGTCCTGGGTTTAAATCATAAGAATTTCTACTTTGCCTCTTCTTTTTTGCCACATCTGGTTATTAAGGCATGCTTTTGGGGCCGTACCGGGCACCTGATATGACCCGAGACAGGCCATCTGGCGATCTGGAATTGACCATAGTTAATTCGGGCTGATCGAACGGTGGATTCTATGTCTAACACGAGTCTACCGGGCAAGTATGCCTTGACGTCATGCAACTTCGGCGGTACCTCTAAGCCTAAAAGTACCGTACCAATGCACCGCGGTACGCTGACGAAAATCTGATGTCACTAGCAATCGCTACCGTTCGATCGATCGAGCCGATGGAATCCTCAGCGTCCGATCAAAATGGGACCAGCGGGTCCCACGCCCACTTTAAGTTTCGACCATGGCAGCGGTCCTTCCTCTCATTCTGCTTAGGCGGGCGACTGTACCGGGCCTGACTTTGAGCCCCAGTCGTGCTCGGGACGCTTTCCCCCGGGCACTGAGCACATCCAATCGTGTGCCACAATATGATCTGGCACACTGCCTAGCCGTCCAAACTAAAGTAATCCTGAGCCGTTCGATAAGCTCTGCTTGAGCTCAGGTCCGCCTCATAATCCTACGGCGATGGAGAGTTCGCGTCACCCTCTGTACAGCCTCTGAGTCTCACCTTCTCCAGAGTCCAGTACTGAGAACGTCTTCCAAAGTTCTGCTCGTGGCGCTCAGCTTGTGGTGCATCATATTGTCGACACCTGCACCGGGCTTTTGAGGAGGACGATACATCTGAGGCGCCTGTTTGAGAGCTACCTAAGAGCAGCAACCCCCCCTATGCAGATTTAGAAGACGGCATTCTAGGAAGCCGCTGACTTCGCGAGCATTTACGTCTTGTGTGCTTTCTACTTGCATTCATCAAGCGCTAGCCTGCCGTGGAAGTCAAGCCGTCTCTGTGAAAATACCTGCTGAAAGCAGCTCGAACGATGATGGCTACAAGCGCCGCGCAGCAGGCGCTGTGTAGCGCCCCCCTCTCACAGATGGGGGGGCAGGTTGCCAGCAGAAGTAGGCACTTGCAGACCCCAGTGGCCAGCGGGAGTTCGTGCAGTAGTTTTGTGGGAAATGCACTAGCATGCCAGCGGCGGATAAAGGCGCCGAGAAGGCATCTGAAAGCAGGGGCACGGGCAGACCTTCAGACAATGGTTTCGGACATGAGCAGAGCAGGTGAGTAGCGGTGCTAGACCCTGTCTCTTCATCTCGCTTTTTAGATGCCACACCTGTACTCTTCCACCGCCACCTTGAGCACTTTCTTCAAGGTTGTTCATCAGCGAAGATTCCTTCATGCCGCTATCATTTAGGGTTCGCTTGCAAGTTGTGCGTCTAAGTTTCATGGCTTCCCCTCGTTGTTGTGCAGCCCCGAAAGGTCTGTTTCCTCCGGAGCCGCCAAAGTATACAGGGCCCAAGCTAAAGGTGGCCATCGTGGGGGCAGGCTTGGCAGGCATGTCCACCGCAGTGGAGCTCCTAGACCAGGGGCACGAGGTGAGCGCCTGCCATGCCTAGTTCTTCAATCTCATCGTGACGGCAATACCTGCCACGGACGGCATATGTTTGCCGTTGCTGTTGATGTCAGCATTGCGACCATTGGTGGCTGGCCAAGGCTGCGTGCGGTAGCGAGCTGGCTAAGCAAAACGTGGGGTTCCGGGTTGAACCAATCACATGAGGAGCAAGCTGCATCTCCTGATGCCAAGGTTGGCGCCGCCGATGTTTATTTTATGGTGCAGCTTCATCAATCTGTTAGCGTGAGCATTCACGTTGAGACCGTCTAGAGGATGAGGCTAATGTCCGTTTGTACCCCAGGTTGACTTGTATGAGAGCAGACCCTTCATTGGTGGGAAAGTGGCGAGTTTTAAGGACAAGGATGGGAACCACATCGAGATGGGCCTGCACGTGTTCTTTGGCTGCTACAACAATCTGTTCCGCTTGATGAGGAAGGTAAGCCTGCGTCCTGGCTTTGCATTTTTGGACGTTGCAAGGACCCCTTTCTTCTCCGCTCTTAAGGTCTTTCTTTGCCACCCATCACTTGTTGATGATAGTGTGTATTTCCTCTTGCCCTCCATTGCTTCATGTGCGGCAGGTGCAAGCTACACTGCCCTTGCCCGTTGACTACCTTCGCACATCCCTGAATGTGTGCTAACATCGATTGCATGGCAGGTAGGGGCTACGGACAACTTGCTGTTGAAAGAGCACACGCATCAGTTTATCAACAAGGGGGGAAATCTAGGCGGTGAGCGCGGCAGCTTACTTTTGAAAGCCAAGCGGCACTGCATCCTGCAATGCAGTGTCTTCATTGGTGTCTGTCTCAACTGGCCCAAACAAATTCTAACTTTCGGGGCTTTCTCTTTATGGAGGAGAAGAATGTCGCTCAGAGATGGGGGTTGTCATGGGGTCAGCAACGTTGTCTTTCTTTTGCAAAGCTGACTTTGATACTCTGTAGATTCTCGGTACATTCTCAGATTTTGCCCAAGTTGAGGGTTGCATGTTTGTGCACGTGCTGGGCCTCCGCTAGTTGTTGGATAGCTTTTCTGGAAGAAGCCCTCTGCAAACGGCCTTCTTTGAATGAAGAGGGCGGCTTCCTTGCTTAGCACAAATTATGACTTGGAAGCAGGGCCGGTTAGGTTGGCAGAATGTGATGGTCACATTCTTTCCAGGCTTGGCTCTTGCGGTACGTCAGCTTCTGACATACTTCTGTCCTATGTGCAGAGCTCGATTTTCGGTTCATCACCGGGGCCCCATTCCACGGATTGAAGGCTTTCTTTACCACCAATCAGCTGTCCGTAAGTTTCTTCCGCACTCTCACTAATCCAAAAAAATCTTCGCTCGCTCCTCCAGTTCGAACCAAGTTGCCGGGCCCTTCTTGGGCTCTGAACCTGTCGTGCTTGCGCTCATCAAGTTGACGCTACTTCCGCTCTCTTTGTCTTCCTGCTGGTTTAAGCAAGCCGTCTGGAAGTACCAAGCACAGCTTGCATTTATTGCAAGTGCAATGTGGGCAGCTGGCTCGCATCCACTCGCGATTCTTGCAATGCAGAGAACGTATTACGGGTTGTCAACAACAGTGCAGAGAATGTATCACGGTTCGTAACTAATTGAAAGCTCCTTTGCTGCAGACAATGGACAAGGTGCAAAACGCCATTGCGTTGGCCACCAGTCCCGTGGTGCGAGCGCTCGTCGACCCGGAAGGCGCCATGCGGGACATTCGGAACCTCGACAAGGTGAGGCCATAAGGATGTCCATCCGTTTGCATGCTCTGGTGTTTTCTTACACTAACTGTCAGTGAGAGATTGCTCGTACTGTTAGAAGGGAGTTAGGCGTCTGTTGGTTTCTTGTATGGACGGGTCAATGTGGCCGAGTAGAATACCGGCATCGAGTGTCCACATGGACCGCTCTGCCTCTTACGCATTTCCGACTTCGTTGGAAAGTTGTGTGGCTGTGCCTCAAAGGTAGCGTAAGTCGCTTTGATGCAGCCACACAATCAGGTCTGAATTTCCTCAGCTGCCCTTCAATATTGCATCTGGTGCTGCTCGTCTGAGTCCGGCTTTCGCCCCCTTTCGTCCAGGTGTCCTTCTCCGATTGGTTCATCTCCCATGGTGGCTCCCGCGCCAGCATTACGCGCATGTGGGACCCCATCGCTTATGCGCTGGGCTTCATCGACTGCGACAACATCAGCGCGCGCTGCATGCTCACAATTTTCCAATTCTTCGCCACCAAGACCGAGGCCTCCGTGCTGCGGATGCTGGCAGGTGAAGTCCCTTCATCATACTCATCTCGCTGCTTCGGTTTTTCATAGTCCGAGTTTTCACTCCTGAGGTTGTTTGTCACTTGACGGGCTGCCTTACACGTGTAACGAGTGATGGATGTTGGATGTACGGGCTTCTGTAGTTGAGACCTTCGTCGCCTGTGATTGGATAATCCAATCGAAGACTCTAGAGGACTTCAAAGAAATTGTGACAATCTTGGTTGACGAATGTACCAAAGCCTGACAATCTTGGTTGACGAATATACCAAAGCCGAAGACATAAACGTATACGAGTTGCCAGCACAATCCCCATGCCTCTGTTTGTGCGACTTTCCTAGACAATCGGCTGAAACCTTCGTGCTTGTCTTTCACGACCCAATGAATGCCTGCGTGACTCATGCTTGAGCGGATTTTTGGTCCAGGTTCCCCTCAGACTGGCCTTCACGACCCCCTAATCAAGTACATTGAGGACAAGGGCGGTCGCTTCCATGTGCGGTGGGGCTGCCGGGAGGTGCAATACGAAGAGGCGGCAGATGGCAGTGTGCGAGTAACGGGCCTGCACATGACCAAGGTGGGGAGACAAACGGAGCTAAGACCTGCCCTATATCTTCGGGGTCATCAGTTTGTCGGTTTATTCCTTTTCAACTGGAGTACGCTAAGTCAAGGAGACTGCCAAAGGCATTGCCAAGGGCTGAATGCAACGAGTTCAAGTCGTGCTCACTTCTTGAAGGATTTTTCTTTTCAAGATAAACTTTGCATATGTGCTGACGACAATGTCGAGGATCTCTTGTGTACAACGGCAGGTGGAGTGGACAACAATGATCGGTCCTTGCAGGGCTCCTGCATCATGTTAGGTTGACCATTTATATTTAACCTTTTCTCCCCCCAGGCTAACCAGTCGGAGATCGTGAAAGCGGACGCGTACGTTGCCGCGTGCGACGTGCCCGGGATCAAGCGGCTGCTGCCGACCGCGTGGCGGCGGTGGCCGCTGTTCGACAACATCTACCATTTGGAGGGAGTGCCCGTCATTACGGTGCAGCTGCGGTACAACGGCTGGGTCACGGAACTGCAGGACCAGGCCAAGATCAAGTGAGAGGGCGCCACGTGGAGCAGCACAATCTCAGACTCTGCTCGTTGTGGTTTGACGACTTTGAGTGCATGACTGAATCTCTATTTTGAAAGACGCGTTCAGTCAGGAGGCACGCCCATGGGCCCTGCAACAAAAGGCGGAACCATCGATTGATGGGGGCAGCCCCCAACTTCCACCCTGTGGATTGTCTGATGGGGTCTGCATCTAATGCTCTCTGCCAACCGCAAAGGAGGGCCCTAGATTTTGAGGGCGACGTCTTGGGGTTTCTTTTTATGAGGGCGACGCCGCACTTTGGACCATTTGTTTTGACACATCTGCCTGGCTTGGCAGATGACAAGACGGTTGTGTCAAGACAGGATTACGTGCGTACTGACTGCGTTTGGCGTAGAGCAAGGTAGTGTGAACCGAGGTGCACGCCAGCATTTGAAAATCTGATTCTGGATTTGAGAACTCTTCCTCTGAAAACCCTTTCTCTGGAAATCTGTGTGCCCTGGCCTGACCTTGTTCTCGTTGTGGGCGGTGCAGCCAGCTGGCGCGTGCCGAGGGGTTGGACAACTTACTGTACAGTGCGGACGCCGACTTTTCGTGCTTTGCGGACCTGGCTCTGACCAGCCCCCAGGACTACTACAAGCCCGGGGAGGGATCCCTGCTCCAGTGAGCGGTTCACTTCTGCCTCTGCTGCTTGCTGCATCTTTGTGCATATCGTATTTTAAGGGCGCTGCGGTTCCTGCTAAGCAGAGCGAAGCTAGAAGTTTGAGGTGTTTTCGGATCGAAGCTCGACGGATTGGTTGTCCGGGTTTCATTGCCCAATTCACGCAGCAGACCGATTTGGAATTCGCTGCAGACTAGGAACCGGTCAAGCGAGGGGGTTCAATGTCTGGCAATTGTGAGGAGCGGTGTTGTCAACTGTTGATTGTTGCTGTCCAGGTGCGTGTTGACTCCCGCGGACCCTTACATGGCTCTGCCCAATGAGGAGATTGTTGCGAAGGTGAACGAGCAGGTGAGAGGCCCGGCCGCGTCAGTCTCGCGTGGTGTATGGAGGAGTCGGACCCCTTACAATCGAATCATAGCTGATTTTCGCATCTTCATGGGGCACGAGGACTCTTGCTTGATGTATGCAGTGACCATCCCACTTGAAATGCATTCTGTCACCATTTTTCTGGTCGATGACTGCAATGGTCGCAAAAGTCAGATTTGCCTTGAAGCAGCTTACTAGGGGGGCCTTCGCTATAGTTGCGCCGGAATTCGCCACGCCAAGAGTGGCCACATTTTGAGCGGCGTGCGTGCTTGTGCAGGTGTTCAACCTGTTCCCGTCCGCTCGGAACCTGTCGATGACGTGGCACTCGGTGGTGAAGATTGGGCAGTCGCTGTACCGGGAGGCCCCCGGGATGGACGTCTTCCGCCCCGACCAGCGCACGCCCATCGACAACTTTTTCCTAGCGGGCAGCTACACCAAACAGGTACGTCGATTGCTGCCTTCACTCTCGAAGCATGGGTATTACTTGCTGAGGGCATGCTTAGCATTTCTGTTGGCGGCCCTCGGTTTTAGCTGCTTCAGCCCATCACAATTTGAAAAATGGACCTTAATCTCTTTTTGTAAGTTTGTCGTCTCAAGCAAGACGAGCCGTGGCAGCTGGGCAAATTTCGCACGACCTTCACGCGGAAGCCTCTTTTTTGCATCAATCGTTATCAGTGGCTTACGTTAGCCTTGATTACTCATAAGCTTTGACTCATGGATGCGTTCTCCCCGTTTTTCAGGACTACATTGACAGCATGGAGGGCGCCACCTTGTCCGGGCGTCAAGCCGCTGCCAAGATCCTAGAGTCGGGTGCAGACCTGGCAGCCCTGCGGGAACAGCTGCAGCAAAGCTTGGCGAGCAGCCCAGCGAAAGATCTAGCGACCGTTTAGGTCCAAACGCGCTCACAGTCGAGGTGTACCATTTGTTCATTAGGAGACGGGTTGAAGATAACTCTAGGTGCAACGGGCATTCTAGTGGCAAGAAGCTCTTGAGGTGGATTCGCTCTACAGCCATTACAAGCCTGAAGGTCAGTTCAGAAAGAACATTGCATTGGACTCAACAACTCGATATTGGTCGATCACGGCCATGATTCAGGAACACATCTGTCTGTTTTTGTAAGTTCTGCATGCCCTCCAAGATACGAGGGTATTGCCCTACTGATCTGTAAGGATTTTGCTGTCGTCCATGCAAAGCATTCAGCGGTGGCCTTCATGGCAATTGGCCACTGTCCGAGACCACTGCTACATGCTTAAAGAGGGCCTTGTCGGATGCATCTGCAGTAATGTCATTACTGACATAACGCGACATCGCCGAATCCCACGTGGTACTAGCTCGGCGAGCAAACACCATCATGTTCCTAGTGCTCACTGGTCGCTAAATGCCCTCTAGCTTCATTGAGTCAAGTAGAGTCTTCAAACTTGACTGGGCGGCAACGGATTGAATCCATCATTGACTCATCCCGGCCGAGACACTTTGGCAGCTAGCTTATACTGTTTGTGCGCCATGGCGGCCGACGATCACTACTATGCTGCTTTTAGCGGCAAGTTTGATTTGAAGTTAAGTTTGAATTGAAGTTAAACTTAATTCCTTATAGCCTGAACGTACTTAGCACAGACTGAAAAAGCCTTCATAACCGGCTGGCCGTCACAAGTATTTGCGAATCAAATAGCTGTACGTCCTTGCGCTGACGATCGACTCACATGACACAAATTGGTTCAATATTGAACCAACTTCCGAGGTCCTATATCAAGGGTTGGAAGAAGGCAACGCCCAATCGTAACCGTCGTAGACACTTGATGCACGCCGGGTGAGAACGTGTGCCACTGCAGCATTTCGCAATCGTGTCGCGTTCACGTTTTTTTGTAATAGTTGAGCGCACATTGCATCATCATATGCAGGCGTGTTGTAAAACCGTTGCTTGGGGCAAATATCGTGATGCAATAAGTAGACCCGTATGGCATGCACGCAGTATCGGAATTGGTCGGGAAGCCGCACTCAATGCGGGCAAAAAGGTTCAAAAGTTAACCTCTCCGCTTCCAAAAAGTCTGCGTACACTGTTCGGACAGAGACAGTATACAAGTACGTATCCCAGTGACCAAAGTACTTCCAACACAGGTTAGACTCGAGCAACTGATCACCAACTCGTATACCGACTTGCATACCTTCCGTTCGTTGACAACAGCACTTTTCCTCACTAATTGACATGGATACTCACATCAAGCACTGCCGCTAAACAACACGCGCTCGTTCTTTCATTTAGTAGAACGACTTGCCCCGGGCTTGCCCCGGTGCAGCCGAGTCGATGCCGTCCTGCAGAGGGTCCACTTTGCCCACCAGCTTTTGCTTTTGTGCCACCAATTCTTTCAGGGTCTTGGCCGGCCCACTGTCTTCCCCACTCTGCTTTTGCGCATTCTCTTGCATGATGGCCTCGCGCCCCTCCTTGCTCACCCGCCGAGCCTCCGTCCGGGTGCTCTGCACGCTGTCGCGGGCGACAGCCAGACCCTCACGGGGATCAACCAGGGCTTCTGCAAACGACGGGGACAGAAAAGTTGAAAATACAGTTGAATTACTTCGCGGTCGCTGTGACGCTTGGCATGGAGTCCTTCAATCGCAAACGTCTTTCGTTGATATGGATTTGTGACCTCCATTTGCGAACGAGAGACCTAATGTATTAGACAAGGCAATCGAGCTTTATAGTGTGTATGATATTTGAGCCTTTGCACGAGAGCATCAATGGCAAGAAAGGCTGTTTCAGACCTAAGATCTGCGGGCAGGTCCTTTGTCAGCCCCCTGCTTGTGCTCAGCTCACATTAGCTCTTCACTTGTGAGCAAAGCCGTTGTAACGCGTTATAAGCGGCACAGAATCCAACGAACGAGTACGAGTTGCATAGAGCGCATTGTCTTCCTTCTCTGCATTCAACAAACCAACGAACGAGTACGAGTTGCGTAGACCGCGTTGTCTTTCTTCTCTGCATTCAACAAATGCTTTCATTACAACGTGCACAAACAAAGGAGCAAAGCCCGCACCTGAGATGGTGGTCACTGGGTTGACTCCAGCATCCGACTGCGCCTTCCCCAGGCGCACTCCCCGGGCGGCGTTCTCGAGCGCCTTCCCCGGTTGCCCCGGCACCAGGTTTTCCACATTGTCCTTCGCCCGGGCCAGGGCGCGCCCGGCACGGCCGGGGAAATCCTCCTCGGGCGCCTGGGAGGACGATGCGCGCTTGACGCCGGACGTGGGGCCTGCGGCAGATAGTGAGGGGCGATGGGATAGGTTCCAAATCTTCGTAAAGTGCGGTAACTTATCCTTCTCTCGATCCACAAAGGTCGATTTCATATCAAGTGGCAGGTACGGCTGAAGAAGGGGTAGGTGGCGATAACTTCTTCTTAGCTGCTTGTCCGGACATCCGACATCCTTCGAGCGGATATTGGTCCTCGCGTGTTCGACAAACGTGGAAATTCCCTCTCGTTCGTCATGCAGTCCTTCCCGGACGAGTACGTCAGCTCGGCAGAACACGATCGGCCTGAAAGTATCAGTCTCGCTCCGACTGCTACACGTTCTGGAAAAATAGAAAGAGAGGGGCAAGCGTACCTTCTCGGTTAGCCTCTGAGTCCCTGGTGTTGGCCTTGCCGCTCCCCTCTTGCTGCCGGTTCTGAGTCAGGGTCTGCTCGTCGCTGGTGTTGAAGTCGAAAGCAGCTGGGCGCAAACAGAAAATTGAACTTGCTCAATAGATTCCGAAGTTTGACAGGGAGCTTTTTCGAAAGGTTTTTGAATAGGAGCCTTGAGAACGGATAGACAGCAAGTCGTCCAGATGACCACCAGCTTATCATTTTCAAATGGGCTCGCGATGACCACGTTCTCCTTGTTGAAAAACCAATTTATCTCATGAATCCGCCACAAAGCAAAGAGTTTTATTCATGAATCCGTCATGTTAACGACATGGAATCAGTTGGAAACAGACATGGAAACAGCACCCACCAGCAACGGTGGTGTTCAGGTTCAGGCCAGCATCAGACAGCGCCTTCCCGAGCCTCAGGCCTCGGGTCTTCTCCTCGAGCGCTTTTCCAGGCTGGCCCGGCAACAAGTCCTCCGCAGTTTCTTTAGCCTTGCTTAGAACACGCCCGGCGCGACCAGGGAAATCGTCCTTGGCTGGGGCCTGAGAGGATGACGCTCGCTTGACGCCCTCAGTCGGACCTACAGAAAGCAATACATGGATTGCCTTTGTGCACAATTGTTCGTGTCTCACGAATTTAAGGCTTGCAGTTGTTCCATGGAAGCTGCATTGGCCTCACGTTTGAAACAAGATTGCTCAATGTGTTGGAAAGCGTAACTGTAGGGTCAACTATCTTAGAGAGGCTAGCTGTCCGAGCCATTTTGATATCACGGGGATAAGCTTAATGACTGTGTGCCAAGCTGGGTCTATCTCAAAAATGGCTGATCAAGCCAAATTTGACCACGCATACAATCAACCCATTTGTACCAATTTGACCCAATTTGACCCGATTTGACCCAATTTGACCCAATTTGACCCATCAGCATCCGATTGGCCCACGCAAAGTGAGTTGCCTCTGAGAAGAAGAGTACCTTCTCTTCCAGCACCAGGTTGGCGGGTGTTTGCCTTGCCGCTCCCCTCCCCCTGGGAGTTTTGGGCAAGTGTCTGCTCATCCGAGGTGTTGAAGTTGAAAGTACTGTTTTTGCCTGTGTTGGCTCCTTCAGGAGAGTTTGGCCCTTCCCGGAGAAGGCCATTGTCGCGGGTGTTGGCCTTCCCGCTCCCCTCTGGCCGCACGCTCTGGGTCAGGCTCTGCTCATCAGAGGTGTTGAAGTCGTAGGTCTCTGCACGAAAGGCTTAAAGTAAGAGCAACATCAGCGAGGGAATTCAGTTTCGCAGACTAGGGAATCCTAGACAATCAAGCGACTCCCAATATATCCTCAGCTAACATTTGGAGCTGAGACACCTCGTTATCAAGCTCGTCTTATGCAACCTTCTTACAAAGACGGCATACTGCTAGCAGAATTTCAAGACGAAACTGCACTTGCAGCCAGGTGCACATCTACTTCTCAGGGCGCCAGCTTACCTGCGAGCGCAATGCCCCCCTGTCCGGAGGCAAGCAGGCCAGCCAGTGCGGCTGCCGCCAGACTCCTATGCACAAAACGTGGTAGTCCTGCCTTGGACGCCTGTATCGACAATGGAGCCATCATAGTCACTGCGGCACCCCTAATTGCATCATCAAAAGGTTGATAACCAACAAGGATGCTAGGCTCCTAAAATGTAGGAGCCTAGCATCAACAAGGATTATGGTCTCTATTGCAATCAACAAAGCAATGAGAAGTGACCAACCATGTCTTATGTTGGGAGCAGGTGACAATTTTACAGGGTGCAGATGAAGAGAGAAAAGGGAGGCTAAACTGATTCAAAGGCCTTTCAAACCCAAAACTACCCCTGTGTGAAGGCCTCCCCAGGATGGTTCCAAAATTTGGGTTGCATCATCTGTGACCTCCCTTCTTTTTTAAGACACCGCATCTATACTGATGCACCCCAGAGTTCACCATGGCAAATCAACCTTGAAGTTCTGATCAGCAAGACATGCACAGTTGAGCTCAACTTGTACAACAAAAAGCAATGGGTTCGACAAGACCATCATTGAGGTTTATCTTAATTGTGTGCATTTCCAAAGAAGAGCATTACATGCAAGGGACAAACAGATTGTCAGATAGACGTCCAATCTCCTCAAATCGTCTCCAGAATGACGTGGCTTGTGTGCACAATTGAAAATCTCAAAATTTCAGAAGCTGAGGTCATCAATGTGCACTTGAAGCTTTAGAGCTCCAGTACTTCTTACACAATCAAAATAACCCCGAGTATTTGATCAGACAGCTCGTATCTGAAGCTTCCCACTAAAAGAAACGTTCAATGTCTGACTTGTTTGGTTGCCCATCATTCAGGTCCCAAATTGGCTACAGTTGTCAGCGATCAAGGAGAGCAGCTTTCGAACGACACAGCCCTCATTGATTCTCACCTGTTTCTTACTGATTGCCTCATGCTCAGAATTGGATGCATGCATTCTCGCCTTGGGTTGTGTCACCCTTGCACTGCCAAAAGCAGGCCTGCGGCATGCTGCCTTTCGGAGCTGCGTGCTTGCATCTCCAAGCACAGCTGGAGACACGCTTGCGGACAGGCCATTGGCCAACACTGGTGCTTGACAAGAGGCCATGTTCAGCTGCTGAAGGTTCACTAGAATTCTGGGCGCCCTAGCGGCAAAATGCAGCGCGAAGAGCTGACAAATCGCGCGTCTTTGCACCAACTAGGTACACCAATGCCAATGGCAAGCCTGAGCCTGAGGAGACGCGCCCTTCCTGAATCCTGATCCTAGGTAGAATCTTGGATCTCGTTTTGTTCTGCATGCACCCAATCAGATGAAGGTTTGGCTCGTGCAACAGCCTTGTCGACTTCGTATCTCAGCCGTCTCTTTGTGTAATCCAACGGACGAGCAAAAGAGAACGCCGGTTTCTACATTTTGAATTCTAAAGCAAGGAAGACGGTAAAGGTTGAGCCATTATTAAATGTATCGAGCCATTTCATCGAGCTGGGGCGGGGGCCGGCGGCCGCGACTGTACCTGCCGTTACGTCAGCAGAAGCAGATAATCCATGGAGCTGACGTATGCAGGTCTCGGACATGGCTCTTCCCTTGTTTGAAGCGCCATGCCATGCGATCCCCCTGATCTTGCATGGACAAAGTGGCCCGTGGACTTTGGAGGAGCCTGGGAAGGACAACCATTGTGCCAGCATTTGTGCAAGCTGCTCGATCTTTGTGGCGGCTGACCCAATTGAAGCTCGATTGAAGGTCAGTTGGGAAGCTTTGGAAGCTTTGGCGGTCATCAACAGGCTTCTCCGAAGCTTGCTGATCCGTCCGTTCAGCAGTGGGATAAGCGCAGAAGCGGCAGCTGATGGCAGGTGAAGTAGTGCATTGCTGACCTTTGAAATCAGCTAACCTGCCTTGCCATCTACTTTGGATTTGTAACGCTCAATTGCGTGTGCAATGCTGATAGACAAGAACGCATGAGCACCCCGGTCCCCATGCAATTGTGCGGATTATGAGCTTCGATTCTTGCTTGGCAGGCTCGTGAAAAGCTGAGAAGCATGTCTTTTAATCTTTCTTGTGCATCCATGTGGGTGGAACTTCTCAGAATGGCTTTTGACTGTAGAGAATTGCGTAGCTCTAGATGTCTTAAAAGGTGGGTTGCGGATGGTTCATATTTGGACTTGCTGCACTCCTATGGCCATCTAGCTGGCTGTTTTTGTCCTATCTTCAAACAGCTTTTTAATCGGACTTTTTCTCACTTGTCCTGCTTGTCGCAGGTACTCAGGCGATCCGGCTGCCTGCAGTTGCCCCCTTTGCCCCTCTTGAGCAGCCATCAAGCAGCGGAAGGAAGCACGCAAGGACGCAGACTGCTCGCAGTAGCTTGCTCACATCTAGGCCTTTGTTGAGGGTTAATTGTCCTCTATTGCCATCATCTTCTGGGGCTGCTGTCCACTCTTGGAAGCAAGAGCGCATCGCACCCAAGATGGCGGCATTGAAAGCGACAGGCCAAACTAGCGCAACAGGCTCCTCCAATGCTGGCCCCAGTATTCGAGGTGCGCAGTTTATTCATACCGCGGTGGTGGTTAGATTGCAGCGGTTGACCATTGGAAGCCTAGAGTTGACTTCAAATAACAGCTGATCGGGCGGTGCTGCTTTTACTTTGGTGATGGAAGCAGGTTTTGGAGTTTCGGAAGGAACAATTCCCAATGCAATCATCTGACTAAAAGTGCATACAATCTTGACAAATTGATACAGGTTCAGATAATACTGGCCCCATGAATTTACTCACTCCAAAGCCTACTTCTCTGCAGCTGCTGCGGGAGTCTCCACCCTCCAGAAGATTGACTTCAAGAAACTCCAGAATGGCAGGCAAGGATTTCATTCTAGCCCCTGATCTTTCTGAGGCCCCTTTTCCTTTCAAAGTCCATGTTGGAAGCTCTGTCCATGCACACCACTCCTTGCACTTAATGCAATGATCAAGCTGTAAAAGTAGCTGGTCAGTGACCTCCTCCTGAGAATTGAGACCACAGTAGATACTGATGCGAGAATTCCATCAGATTGTCTGACTAATTGCAAAGGCGATCAATGTTGATCTAAGGGTCGCCATAAATCTAGGCAATTGGCACTGAAATCTCTATTGAGAATTTCCATATTCGTGACGTGCATTTTGCATTTAAACGATGGATGAGGAAGTGGCCCAACACTAGTTCTTCTCGCTGCAGTGACATCCGTGGGGTCGCTCTTGAAGGCGTTGAAGGAGAGGCAGTGAATGTAACGCCAGAGGCGGTGGAAGCCATTGCACAAGGATTTGCAGACTGGATCATGGACAAGAAGAAGAAGGAGGGCGCGGCCAAGCCTGATCGCAAGTACCGCGTCTCGATTGGGCATGACTCCCGGCTGTCTGCCAAGTCCTTGCGGGAGGCAGCGGGGCGGGGCGTCGCCAGCGCCGGCTTTGATGTTGTGCAATACAAGTAGGTGACTTGCAAGTTTTGATTGGAGCAAGAGGGTCTATCCACAAACATTTCGAAGTTGCCTGCGCCAAGGTACGCTTTTGTGTTTGTGACAAGAGCTGGGAACCTGACGGGACTCCACGTTAACAATTGCAAATATTGGGACTGGGTGCACGTGCTTTAGCCTTTTAGTCTGCAGTCTGGCTTTCAGGGAAAGTAATTGTCTGCACCAGACAGTGACGCACTTTGAGAATGTTGTCCTGCTGTTGGAGCGAATTGTATTGCAGAGGACATCAGCCAGCCACTTTTTTGGTCGATTTGCAGTCTCGCGTCCACCCCGGCCATGTTCAATTCAACACTGACAAAGGATGAGAGCCTGCTTACACCTGCCGATGGAAGCATCATGATCACAGGTCAGTGAAAGACGAATGTCTTCTATGATCAAAAGGGCTATGATGCCGGTACCAAAACGGCTTGAGTGAGGAGAAGCCCGCTCGTTTTAGCGGGATACTCGCTGACTGCATATATGATGGTAGATTTAAGATTGCTCCCCAGTCCGCGGAGTCGATCTTTCACCGCGTGGATGAGGGGGAATAGCAGCGAGAAAAAACGCTGACCGTCGTGCATTAGCTGCAGAGACTGGGTTAATCTTGAGGCGTTTTCTTTAACCCTCGGATCAGAGTCGTCACCCCGCCTCCTCCAGAATAGTCTCGAGCCTGCTAAGCTTGTCTTAATGTCTCCCTCCTCCCCCGCAGCGAGCCACCTGCCGTTCAACCGCAACGGCATGAAGTTCTTCACCAACACGGGGGGCACCGGCAAGGCGGACATCACCGACATTCTCGCACGCGCCGCCAAGATCTACGACGGTTTCACAGAGGAGACCCTCGAGAAGAGTTCACAGGCAGCTGCAAGCGCGACGTCCGAGGTAGATTACATGGAACGGTACACAGCAGATCTGGTGGAGGCAGTGAGGAAGGGGGCCGGGGGAGTGGGTGAGAACGGCCCTCTGCACGGAAGTTGACCTCGCATGTATCCAGCTGTGTGCACAAGTGTGGCGCTTCCGATTTTCCACCTTTTCCGATAGCCCCTTTCCATACGGGGCCTTGGCACTCGTTCTCAGGGGTCGACGTAGTTACAGCAATCTTTGTGAATCACGGTAATGCAATTCGTCGAACATGCGCTGGGGTTTCGGGGCGTGCTGAAAGCGGTGTCTGTCGGTGCCCTTTTTGTTTAGCTGCGTGACCCCCTGCAAGGCCAAGGGAAACCCTCTTGAGTGATGGTTTGTTATGTTTGCGCCGAGCGACTGTCGTTCATTTTCCGCTTTTAACATCCGGCTGGTGCTTTGTCCGTGCAGAGAAGCCTTTGTATGGTTTCCACGTCGTCGTCGATGCGGGCAACGGTGCTGGCGGCTTCTTTGCGGTAAGCCACCAGCCCACAGGATCATACTGCTGCTTGCGTGAAAGTTGGCACCCGAGCTCGGGCAGAAATGCACAGTTTTCCATTTTTTATTTCCAATGCCGATTCCCGGTTCTTGATAGACAAGCCCCCCGAAAAAGTTCTTTGTACTCCGTCCCTGGTGATAGCATCAAAAATCGATATGCGGAGTCCTTGCGGGGGAGGCTAAAACACCAAAATTCGACAACGCAACGCGATATTTGGGACCTCGCGTTTTGATCCGAGCTCGGGTGCCAAATTGACGCAAACAGCAGTAGAAGTTCCGCGCCCCCGAAGTTGATTGCCGGTTGACCAGCTCTTCAGAAATCGATACCTGTTGCGGACTACGTTCTCTTCTCTTTGCTAGAAGACCGCCCGTCGTCACTATGGGGCTTCGGCAGTCACCAGTAGGTTGCAGGTTAACTCTCTTTTGCTGAGACCTACCCGCGCGGCTGCTGTCGCTGACTTGGGTACATTTGTCGGTGCAGCCCCAAGTGTTGGAGCCCCTGGGCGCTCGGACGGACGGCAGCCAGTTCCTGGATCCTGACGGTGAGTCGATTCGCTCTTGCTTTTGTCCGCTTGGCTGCCACAACAGCTTTCAATAGGGTGCCCAGTTCTGGAACTTCGTCTGTCCACTTGTGCTTGACGGTAGACTCAGTGAGTGTTCTCGACGGAAGGGTTTCATTATCAAGTTGTCGAACGTTCTACAGGTATCTTTAGACTGCACTGTATACGAACTTGGTAAGAAAGTGACGTGTGAAGTTGCCCCTAGACCTTGCTCCGATGATTAAGCCTCCCAGGCAGCTTGCACACAGCTAGTGCAAATCACATACCAGTGAGACATAAGAGTAAGCTGTCTAATATCCTGGGAGCTGCTCCTCACCACGTTCTGACGGGGTCCGCTGCGCTGCAGGCACTTTCCCTAACCATATCCCGAACCCCGAAGATGAGACGGCCATGGCGGCAATTCAAAAGGCGGTGCTGGACAACAAGGCGGACTTTGGAATCATCTTCGACACCGACGTCGATAGGTGGGGCACACTCCGGTGTTCCAGAAAAGTTAAAAAAGCTTGTTTTGCCCTTCCGTGTTGGGGTGGGAAGTTTCCAGGTGCCTCAGGTCGCTGTCACGCAAGAGCACTGACGGTTGCAGGCGGCAGCCTCATAGCGGAAGGACGTCATCATTACGCTTGCTTTCCGAGGAGTTTATTTGTGTCGGAGGCTCTGTGGGGCTGCGAGTCAACTAGAGTGATGAGCGCCCTTGATGTAAGGTTCTCCGGTTGGATGGAATCAGTTCTTACTGAGCGCTCGAGGGTCGAGTATCGACCTCTTTTTGGGGTCTGTCCGGTGTGCAAGTATCTCCTCGGATCGCCTTTTCTAGGGAGGACGATGCGACAGAGGGTTTTCGTGGAGCTTGCAGGTCTGCTGCGGTGGATTCTGGCGGCAAGGAGATCAACCGCAACCGGCTGATTGCGCTGCTGTCGGCCATTATCTTGGAAGAACACCCGGGGACTACTGTCGTCACCGACAGCGTCACCTCCGACGGCCTCACGGAGTTCATTGAAAAGCTGGGTACGGCCGCCGGTCCAAGTTCTGCTTAAATATGTGACTCCTTGTACGCTTACCAGGTAGAGAAAGATGGTTGACCCCCTTGGCGACTCTTGTGATAGTGATCATTCTCTGCCGCTCTTCTTAGCCCAGGTGGCAAGACCGATCAGTTGCCTGGGTGAACAAGGACGCTGGCCATTGGCTGGTTTGCAGGAACTCCCCCAGACTCTCTGATGATAAGGATACACTGTTGTGTTGACACGTCGCGCTGCATACAGCAGCAGCCGGAATCTGAGAGGAGGAGTGGGAAAATTCCCAGCCGCTATGAACCTGTCCTTGGACAGCCGGTCTGTCATGGGGCTCACTCAAGGGAACCGCTGCCTGAAAGCACTCTGAAGAACACACGACTGCTCCAACCAACAAGACACAAGGTATGCCTAAGCTCCTAATAACCGTCAGCGGTGCTTCTGTCACAGGCGGGAAGCACCACCGGTTCAAGCGCGGGTACAAGAACGTGATCGACGAGGGCATCCGGCTCAACTCGGTCGGGCAGGAGACGCACCTGGCCATTGAAACGAGCGGTCACGGCGCGCTCAAAGAGAACAACTGGCTGGACGACGGCGCATACGCTATGGTCAAGCTGCTCATCAAAATGGCGGCTGCCGCGACCGCGGGCGAGGGCAAGGGCAGCGGGGTGCTGACGAAACTGATTGAAGAGTTGCAAGAGGCGGAGGTGGCTACGGAGCTGCGGTTCAAAATCGACCAGGCACACCCCGACGTGCAAGGGTGCGTACACGCATGTTCGTTCATCTATCGTGAGGCATACTTGACTGAATGGATCTTTCGAGCTGGCCGGAATGAGGAGTATAGAGGATGAACCTACTATTGATACTCTCTGACCGACTCTGAAGCTTTTTGTGTGGACAGCTCTGGTTACTTTGAGACAAGTCAGCCTAGAGACGCCGCTTCTCGAAAGCTTTCTGAAGCATTGCCGGGCTGAGCTCTTCTCCACCCGCTTCCTCGGAAAGCCTTCCGCATCGTCGCAAAACCGCGTTGTGTTTCCTTGTTGACGAAACGTTTATTTTTGCGCCTTGTTGCAGGGACTTCAAAGCGTACGGCAACAAGGTCTTGGCGGCGTTGGAGCAGTCGGTGAAGGAGGACGACGCGCTGCAAATAGCGCCCGTCAACCACGAAGGGGTGAGCCGACCGAAACAGACTTCAAATTGCTCTCACTCGCAGAAAGAAGGAATGTCTCTCTGAAGATGATGTCCTCCTTGTATCGATGCTGAGATTGCATAAACTATGTTTTCGTACGCTCCCGTTGCAGGTCGTTTCCTGGTGGAGCAGGAACCAGAGGATCTGTGTGACTTCTTGCTTAATACAGGAGCAGCGCTTGTAAACCCGAGTCAGGCCGCTCGGAGCTTGGTAATGTGCTTCGATTGGAGGCATCTGATGCCCACGCCCCCTGTGATTGCAGATCCGAGTTTCCGGCCATGGAGGCTGGTTCTTGCTCCGGCTGTCCCTGCACGATCCCGTTCTTCCACTCAACATCGAGGTGGGTGCTCGTCGGAGATACAATTGAATGTCGGTCCGCTTGACAGGGAGACCCGTTACTCGCTGCTTATATTCACCGTTCTCTTTGCTAGTATGGTGTAGACTTCGCAATTTGCCTTTCACCTTTTTGTGCAGGCACCCAGCAAGGAGGATGCGAAGAAGTTGGCTGCCGCGGTTTCGAAAGTTGTTAACAAGTTTGAAGCCCTGGATGTGAGCGCCCTTCAGAAGGTCTTGTAAACGCGCGCATCCGTTTGTCGTTGAGATGCAATCGTAGGCACTCAAGTTGGATTCAGTTTTCAATCGAGGTGCCGGGTTGTGTACGAGTGTACAGAAGTTTGCTCCCTGTACAAGTTCCGGTGGCTAAGACGATGCTGACGCTAGGGACTTGCAGACATTCTTCAAGTCAACCAAGGGCCATGTAACCAAGATTGCTCTGCGTTCGACCGGAGGTAAGGAATGTATATGTACTGGTACACCGCCTTGTAGACTTGTGCTTCACGGACTGTGTAAGCCCGCAATTGTGCAGATTGGTGTCAGCGGCTGGTGCAAAGCCTGTCGTCAAAGGATTCTGAAAATAATGAAACACAAGATTACACTTTCTAGACACGATATGATCCTCAATCCCATGGGTAGAAAGTATGTCACGTTACTGGCTTGGAAGTACATGTATGGGTACAACACCATTGGTACTTCCGTTCGACATGCTCATGTGCACGGTTGACCATGATTCTTATACTTCCATATATAGTCTACTGAAGCTTGATCTATCCATAAATTAAAATTATGGGTGAAATGATGCCAGCTCGATCGCATGCCGACGGTATATATATACATGAAGATGTCTGCTTCATGATCATCTTGCAACCTGCAAAGTTCATGTCATACGTGGCCGTCGGGCATATAATCTAGCTGGATGTAGACATTTGCGTACGCATGCCATGAAGAGTCTATATTGCCTACGTTTCTAGGGCTACGGCGTGCATTTACACCAAACATGAGCTAGACCATCAGACGCGTACTCAGAGGCCCCGGGCCACGCGCCTTGAACGGTCGACATTGGACAGGGACTCACACGCGGATCAATGCGGCAGATGTAAAGCGATCGTTTGGCCACTCCCACTACCGCCATGTCTAAATTGCAAAGGACATTCAATTCACTTTTTTCAATGTGTCGCTTCATCCAACATCAATCATTCGCATGAGGCGTGGCTGGAAGCTTATTATACACGTTCGCAATCGCCGACAATGTTTACATTCAGGTTAAGGGATCAGAGCGCTATCATCAACAGGAGATTGTCAAACAACCATCAATGGTTTGAAAATTGTCGAAGCAAAGTCGCAGAAGCAAAGTTGCAGCTCCAACCCCCTTACCGGCTATGTATCGACACAGCTGGATCATAAGTTTTCTCATTGATCAGGCGCTAGCAAGAAGGTGACTCCGTCACAAATCTATCCACATATTCAAACCGAAATTAGTTCAAGTCGTATGCACAACACTCGAAAACGGCATAACCTCAACACGAGAACTCCTTTTGGACATCTACAGGCGCCTGCATATAAGTCGATGTTAATTTCCTTATAACCGGAAGGGAGTCCCCTCGCCTATGTCGCAGCTGCAGCCATCTCCTTTTCTCCTTTCCCATTCTGCGCCTCCTCTTTCCTGATCTGCCTCGTCGGTGTCCGCATAGTCACAAGCTCCTCGGCTGACGTCGGGTGGATCCCCACCGTGGAATCCATCTGCTTCTTGGTCACGCCCATCCGCACAGCGACAGCGAAGCCCTGCACACGAATTCAAGCGGGGTGAGCATGTTTCTGTTTCGGCTTGCAACGGGGGCCAGCAACACCACAAATCATTGTACGTAAAACGGAACACTTGCCAGATGGATCACGTCAGGGTGCGTAGCTTCAAATCTCGTCTTTTGCAATAGAATAAAGCAAAGCTACTCTTCACAGAGGGCGAAACCAGATACGAGCCGTCTCCCTTCGACGTTTCTCTAGTCACACATCGCCCCCCCTTACAAGATGGGGGGCAGACCCTTCCACCCCAAAAAATCAAACCCTAGGATTTCAAAACCTCGGGCCGGGTTTGGGGCACTGACCTGCATGATCTCTGGCCCGTCCTCGCCGCACATGTGCAGCCCAATGACCTTATCGGTAGCGGCGTCCACTAGGATCTTGACAAAGGTCCGCACCGGGTTGCCGGAAATGGTCGACTTCATGGGCCGGAAGGTGCTCGTGAAAACGTCCACGTCACCATACTGCTCCACCGCCTCCGCCTCCGTCAGGCCCACCGTGCCGATGGGGGGGTTCGTGAAAACTGCGAAGAACACTCCCCCAGAACGTTGACTTGGGCGGAAGCGCTTAGGTACGTCCGCAAGCTGGCAACAAACGATGAAGCCTATGACGAGGTGCCACGTCAGCAGAGCTTCGTTTCGCGTCGCTCGACAGAGTCCCATGTCCAGATTTAAATGCTAAATCGTGACGCAATGAAGGCAAACATGGTGATATCTCATCTGGCAACCTCGGTGCGGTACATATGTTAACCCTTCAGCTGACAGCCTCGGGTAATCGTGACTTCAGCACTCCAAAACGGTCGCCTGAGCCTCGATCTCCTTCTTGCGTCTCATGCACCTATCATTAGTTCCCAAAGTTGCACTCGAAGCCGTGAAGCACACTCAATACCCTGTCAAAACCCATTGGCGGGAAAGTGTAAAACCATCACAAAACCTTTGCCCCACCTGCGGACGGCACGTTGGTGTGGTCCGGCTTGGTGGGCTCGTCCTGGAAGGCCGTCTTGGCGAACGCCATGCCCTCCATGAGCGCCACCGGCGTCAGGTTGATGCGGTCCGTGACGTCACCCACCGCCCAGATGTTGTCCACGCTCGTGCGCGAGTATTCGTCCACTTTGATCGCCGTCTTATCGTCCACGTCCACCCCGGCTTCCTCCAGACCCAGCCCCTTGATGTTGGGCCGCCGCCCCGTGGCGAACATGACGTGGCTGCCCTGCCACGTGTCACCCTGCTCCGTCTTGAGCGTCAGCTGGTCCTCGTCGCGCTTCTCGATTTCCACGGGCTTGGCCCCGAAGTGGATGCGGATGCCCTGCGCCTGCAGCTGCTCCGCCAGAAACTCGCGCACCTGCCGGGGGGGAAGCTGACGGGTTATTTGGGGTGGTTTGAACTCTGGCGGCAAGACACAGCGGTAAGGAACAAAGAAGCTTGGAAGCGAGTCAAGCTGCCAAATAACTTATCGGCTGGAAATCTAGGATTTGTGAATTGAAAACTTTGAAGGAACTTTGATCTCAGCGGTGAGAGACAATGAGGTCTCGATGCTTGCAACCCTTTTGCAAACTCTTTCGGGCAAGAGGGTGCACGAAGAGAGGGAGTATCTTGGTTAGCCCATAAAGAGCAGAGGAGGAGCGCCTTTGGCTGCATTTTGTGATCCAGCCCGAAAGCGGTTTACATTGAGCCTTCGACTAGAAATGGAGACGAAAGCATACAATCCTCACGAGTGGCAGCCTTCCCTGATCGGAAAAAAAATGAAGCAAGACCAAATACCGTTAAAACCTACTCGACACTCAAAAAAAAAACAGCATTTTGCATGATGACCACAAGAGTGGCCCGGAAAGACCGAGACAGACCTTGCTGCTTAGTGCTGACCACACAGGGAAATCGCACCTCGTCATCAAAGCCGCGCAGGAGCTTGTCCCCCCGCACGAAGATGTCGACCTCAGCGCCTGCGCTGTTGAAGATGCCTGCAAACTCGAGTGCAATGTAGCCCCCCCCAACGATGGCAATCTTGGACGGGACGCTAGTCAGGTCCAATGCGTCATCACTGGTGATCACGTGCTCCGCCCCCGGAATGGGGGGCACAAAGATGCGCCCCCCCGTGGCGATGAGAATGTTCTTGACCTTGAAGCGCTTGCCGTCCACGTCAACGGTATGGCGGTCAACGATCTGCATGGAGGGGGCAGCTGACGCGATGTTGAGGTCTTGCGAATCGATGTCGACAGTCACTTCAAGGAGGTTTTGAATTAGCTGGAAGCGACGGCAGCAGGCAGACATCAGGCGAAAGCTGAGAGCCCAAAACAAAAGTCAAGGGCAAAGGCATCATCGTCCGCTAGCGTCTCGACTCATTTCGACAATTCAAATTCTCTGTATTTCTGCCGCTTGTATATGTCTATTCAATCTTCTAAAGTCGTTGTTGGACAGGCGAAAAATGTCTGCGGGCGCCCTGATGTATTTCTCTAGCGGTCTTCGTTGTCTTGAGGGTTTATACAAGGGCAGAGGGATCAGTTCTCATTGCAGGACATCCCTTATTTCTCCTTTGTCTGGTCGCTAAGACTGACGACCTTCAGGGGCTACCCAGTTGCTAATGCTGACCACCTTTCATCCTCTCTTCATCTTTTCTTCAAGCATTTATCCCTGGGAGTCATGACACACTCACCGTGCCCTTGCCCTCAATGAGATCCACCTTGGCATTCTTGAGCGTAGTCTTGTACGCGTTGTTCAGGCGGTCCAGCTCCTTGTTCTTCTTCTCAATCAGGTGCGACCAGTCCACCTCGGGCTCACCCCCCGGGAACGACCACCCGAAGCCGCGCGAGTCCTCAAAGTAGTCCGCAAAATGGGACCCGTAAACGAGCAACTTCTTAGGGACACACCCACGCAGAACGCACCTGCGCACAACAGCGAGGCCATCAGGGGACAAGCGGAAATTTGGAGAGGCCTTCTCCCAAGACTATGCAAAAACATAGCTTACTCGACGTCAAAAACATTTCCAGCTGTTTGCGTCAAACCTGCCACCGGAGCCCTGACGTTTTCCTCATAGTTTTCGATCGTAAATCTCGAGTTCGGTTGGACAGCGGTTGCCCCCTGGAAAGAAACTGAATACTTGTTGGCCGGTAATTCCTGTTGGCGATAGCTGCCGATCACTTAACTTCTGGTCGCACCAGGGAAGTCTTCCCAAGCTCCCGGTTAATCACCTCCTCGAGAATAACATTCTAGGGGGGTACAAGATTCGAAAATCAGGAATCAGGAATCAAAGTCGGAGTTTAAAATCGAGAATCGTAACTTTCGAGCCGGAGCTCCGGTGGCAAGTTTTGACGCAAAGAGCTGGAGAAAATCGAACCATTTGAAGCCAGCACAGCTTTTGGTCTTAGGACCCCAAGCAGCCAAGGCAGATCACATTTGGCGGGCCACCGAGCCCTTTCATTGGAAGTTGAAGGTCTTGATGCAACAACGACAGATGCATTGCACAAGAAGAAGACGTGCTGGCAAAAGGTATGCACATGGAGGGCATAATTCTGAGTGACTCACGTTCCCCCCACGCCGCCCTTGTCGTCGCTGGCCTTGGTGGAAAAGGGCAGTTCGCACACTGCCACCTTGGCCCCATACTGCGATGCAAACCGGGACGCGCGCACGCCCCCGCTGCCCGCCCCGATCGTAAAAAGATCATAATCAAACTGCTGCCCATCCTCAGTTGATGCGCGCACCGCCGGCAACGCGGGCAGTTTTGCGGACCGCGTCTTGCGGGCGGGAGCAACAAACTGGAATGGCACGGGAAGGGGAGAGGAGAAACTAGAGTGGGCGCTGGAGAGAGCGGCCTTGGGGGAGGCGCCCCAGGATTGCTGGCGAGCCGCCAGCTGGCAGGGGTTTCGGAGGATCAGGACGGATGGGCCGAAGGTCGGGGACTTGGTCAGTGGTCGACTGAGGGCGAAATGCAGCTGCCCCACACAGGGGGTGCTGCAGACGGCCTCCATTTTGATGTTGAGAGTGCAGCGCACGCGAAGACGCTGAAGCAAATAAGAGAAGTGTTGAGGTCAGTTCACAAACAAATTGCACACAAAAGGATCAGGCACCGAAATGTCAAACCTGCACACCCCGTGTCGTGTTACGAGACCTGAGAGAGCTGCGTAACGAAGTATCTCTGATCAACGGGGTGTCGAGTGGCGATTGGTGCATGCCAGCGTCAAATAACCTAAGAAGGACAACGGGGACATTGAGGCCCAAGAGATTGCTCCCGAGTCCGCCTTCTAATATGATCAAACGCTTGTTTGACCGGATCCCATCCTCCGTCCTCACCTTGGAAGGCTTGGCAACTTCCTCAGAAACCCTTAGGTAGTTTGCTTCCTCCGGCCGCGTACCTGAACCACCACTGTCCTTCTGATGAACCACACAAAGCACAAATTCAATGTAATGCGTTGCAAGTTGCAACGGACCCGGGCCCTTCACGATGGTCGCAACTTGAGCTCAGTCTGTGAAGCTGCAGTCTGTAGGTATGTCGCAGTCCATCCATCCACGGCTCCTGTGCCTCCACGATGGAAATCCACCTTGCCACCTGCCACATGTCGACCAGTCACGAAGCCGAATCAGGTTCGAGTCTGCTCGAATATATGGTGTTTCTTCAGCGGTTTCTGAAGTTCCTTCACTTCTGCCCATGCAGGACTACTGGTAAATCGGCTGACTCAGAGCCGCATTCTAGATCAAGCACAGATAAATTCAACATTTATTTGCAGGTCCTGACGCTCGCGCATCTTGAAGGAGTTGGAACGGTTGTGTTTTTCGTCGAATTTACCTGCTTCCCCCTGGATCCGATCAAAGCGGCAGGGCAAAGCATGGTGGAAAAGCGGTGGCCATCGTTAGAACCCCGGGCCCTAGCCTTAGGGACTAGAAGGTCGTCGCAATCACCCCATCTGCCGGACGAGCTCACTAGAGCCTCAATTCTGAATGTGAACTGAGTAGGGATTCTGCTGGCCAATTGCAACAACTTTTGGAAAATTGCACCTCTATGGAAAAAGCTCCAGAGTCCGATGTACGCATCGGTAAAAATATCTGTGATTCAACCTAAGAGCTGTCAAACTGGCTTCATAGAGTATTTGAGCTTAGTTCACAAGGTTGCAGCACTCTGATTTTAAACATAAACCCACTTCTCCACCTTCCTTTGTTACAAATGCCCTTCTGCCCTCACTAGCGCCTCAACTATGGCGCCTTTTGCTGGCTCCTCTGGCAGCTCTGGTCATGCTGCTCTCCTTTTGGCCTTCCTCGCTGGTGCTGCCACCGCCGCACTCTTGATTGGGCGGCAGGCCCTGTTTGGGCGCAGGCAGCGCCAACGCGTCATTGGCATCATCCCTGCTCGCTACGCATCCAGCCGGTTTCCAGGGAAACCACTGGTGCAGATATTGGGGAAGTCCATGATCCAGGTAAGGGCACAATGCAGGGCACTACAGTCACGGGGACAGCAGGCATCTCTCTGATGCATCTCAGAATACACAGACGCTGATGGCGCAAGTTGAGCTGCCAATATTTTCAAGTTGCACACAGTGCATTGCTTGGTGGTGCAAACATCTCCTGCAGCGCTGATCAGCTTGTAACCTATGCTTGACCCCGCATTCTATATACTGCAATGCAGCGAACGTATGAGCAGGCCAAGAAGGCCACCTTGCTTGATAGAGTTGGTGAGCCTCTGCTCGCCTTCAGTTGCGATAGCCACTCTGGCTAATATTGGAGTCTCCTCATGTCCTGGCCTGCCACCGCCAGCCAAGCGACTGTGGACAGTCCTGTCAAATGCTTCCATTACCATTATCACAAGGAGGCCCATCTGGTCCGCTTATGTCTTGCTTGGTTAGTTTCAGGGGAGTCTTTCATTCTTGTCAGTGCTTGATGTATCTCTCCCATCAAGCTCGCGCTGTTCTTCTAAGTGGTGTCGTCCTTCCTTGTGAGCGGACCTCCGCGTGAACTAGCACCCATGATAGGCACTCCTTTCCCATGACTTCTTGCTTCATGTTCGAATCTAGAGGGTCTTAACGCCCCTCCTCTCATGGCTACAGTGGTGGCCACTGACGACGACAGCATCCGGCAGGAGTGCGAGCGCTTTGGCGCGGAGGTCATCATGACCTCAGCGGCCTGCCCCAATGGTGAGTCCAGCCTATCCTGCCACCTGGCATCAACTTCATCCCCTTTGTCAATGAAGCGAACAGAGTTCCGATCAAGCAGGAGCTGAACTGCCAGATCAATTCAACTGTATAGCTCAGTCTCCACAGGTTCAAGACTAATTTAGTTTTCTGCCCCGTGCCTGGTCAGTCTTCCCTGCCCGCCAGCCTGGGTGCCTGATTGGCGCATTTGGTGTTTGCAGGGACTGTGCGGTGCCATGAGGCGCTGCAGCGATGTGGGGGCCAGTACGACCTGGTTGTGAATCTGCAGGGGGACGAGCCGCTCGTGGACCCCGTCATCATTGACGGTATTGTGGCAGCCCTGCAGGTGCGACCGCCTTCGGGACCTTTCTTCCCTCCGTAATAGTCTTCCAATCGCTTTGGTTTCGGTCCTTATTCGCTGTACAGAACTAGGGGTTGCCTTCACCTGGCTCATAAAATGCAGAGGAGCCCGCGGTGCTGCTTTCTTGTCCCCCATGGTAACAAATTCCTGCCTTCTGCTTTTGGGAAGCTTGGAGTCGATTGATACAAACACTTACTCGAAGTTCGCTCGCCTCTTGAACCGTCGAGTATTCCACACTGGTCAAACTCGTTCTCTCGAGGATTCTCCAGAGGCACTTTCACAGCACGTCTGGGTTCTCTAAAACTTTGAGACGCCTTGACATTGAGCAGTTACAAGAATCGACGCCAGTCAGACTTCAGCTCTTTCACGAATAGGTTCCAAATGTTTCAAATGAACGACTCAACACCTGGGCTGTGTTTCCGCAGGCGGCCCCAGATGCGGTGCTGAGTACTGCGGTGACGGCCCTTCCTTCGGACGATGTGCAGAACCGCAACCGGGTCAAGTGCGTCGTGGACCGCAACAGCTATGCGCTCTTTTTTTCACGGGGAATGCTGCCCCACAACAAGTGAGTGCCGCTATGTCAATGTCCGGATGGCGGGTCAGGTTGCGATTCGGGGCTTTGGGTGTGCCGTCGTGTTATCCTCGTACGGTTGATCGGAGAGGAATCGGTAAAAGGCAGGAAAGGCTTCAATCCGCCCAGCAGATGTGTCCAACTAAAGGAAGCTTGGGATTGTACCAAGATTTCGAGTTGGAATGATGCGGACCGAATGCTCGTCATACATTCAGTGGAGAAGAGACGGAGGTTTTTGGCTTGACTCGTTGTTGACACCTCAAAACACCTGGTTTTTGACACTTCGTAACTTATGGTGGCAGGTCTGGCGCCGTGGATCCCACGTACCCTTACCTCCTACACCTGGGGTTCTATGTAAGCGCCCCATTGTCCCTTGCAACCGTTGCAACACTGCCGCAAATTAATGCAATACGACCAAGCTTTTTCGCAAGCGATCAGATGGGTTCGGACAAGCTATCCGTCCCGATCAAGCTCTTCAAAGAGCCGCAGCCGGTCCAGACGCCGTGGGGAGCTCGCATTGCCCTGGACAACAACTGAGCGCGCGCGTGCTTGGGCGAGTGTGCAGTGCTTTGACGCGGCGTTCCTGGGGACATACTGCGCACTGCCGGACAGCGCGCTGCAACTAGCGGAGGACCTAGAGCAGCTCAAGGTGCTCGAAAACGGCCACCGCATCAAGGTGGGGCCGCGGCCCGCAACCAGGATCACCGCGGAGAGGGGGGAAGACTGGGGGACGAACAACTCTCTAGTGGGGAGTTGTTCGTCTGCCAGTCTCCCCCCTCGAAAACGTTGAGGCTCGAAGACTTTGTTGAGATGAAGAGGTGCCCCTGGATCTTTCTGTAGCGCTTCGCAGGGAGGCCTGTTTTCTATATATCAAAACCCCTGTGGGTGCACTGAGCAAAGTATTCGAAAGTGGAGGCCTCAAGACCTCGTTTAGGGGGCTCGTCAGGGTTTGAAGGATCGATAAATGGAGCACAGAGATGTCGCAGACGGTAGCCCTGTGACGGCTTTGACATCCGATCGTCGCGGATTCGAGACGAGAAGAACTCCTCAGTAGGTTTCACCACCTCTGGCATGCCTCATCGGACAGTCCCCTACCTCGAGCAGGACCCTGCGGCTGGAAAGAGCAATGCCGTGTCGCAGCACCCGGCGCATCTCTGACGTTTCCCAATGTGTGCTGGCAGGTGATTGCGGTGGAGCACGACGCGCACGGGGTGGACTGCCCGGAGGACGTGCCTAAGATCGAGGAGCTGATGCGCAAAAAAGGCATCGCATAGACGCACCCGGGAAAAGAACTGGGGCCGCCGCTCAGGACCATGGGGAGTGGTTCAGGCGGGGGTTCAGGGCGCCGCTTCTGGCACGCACACAGCCACATCCGCAAAGGATGCCACACTGGTCGCACGAAGATATTGACAGTCTGGTCAGAGTAAAGGTGCTCGAGGACTTCGGCGATCCGGGCTGAGGACACTATTGAAGTGATGACTTGGCGAGGCTTTTCATCTAGAAGCCTGGTATGGGCCAACGGTCCGACCAAGCAGGATCGAGACGTCCCCCGAAACCTTAAAATCTGCCACGTCATCCTGCTTCAGTGTTCCCCAGTCCCGGTCTCGACATCACCCTGCTCAGTGTGCAACAAGAGCCTGTTCTCGACCACGCGTTTCTCTTCAGGATACGGATCCGACAGTCTCAGTCGCTAAGCAGTGTGAGCGTCAGGCATCTTACATTGCAGACCAGCTAATCTCGTCTTAAACCCCAACCGGGTTACATCGCAGACCAGCTAATCTCGTCTTAAACCCCAACCGGGTTACATCGCAGACCAGCTAATCTCGTCTTAAACCCCAACCGGGTTACATCGGAGACCAGCTAATCTCGTCTTAAACCCCAACATCATACTCCTGTGCAAAGCAGTTGCCTTTGGCTGCTGTGTCGACGGTCCGCCTCATATACGCGGGGTTGGTGACGCTCAGGTCGTTCTATCAGCGCTCACCTTTTCGACTATCAGTTTCTGCAATGGGTACCTCCGGTTTATTCTGACCAGCTTGAAGTTCGAAGGATTGAGAATCATTGCAGATCCGGGTTGTTTGTCAGGATCCTGAATCTTGATTCGAGTAGAGTTTCAGATTGTAGCATGAAGGGTCTAGCTCATTACAATCTGCTCCGCTCGATTGTTGGTCTATCACCAGTGGTCGGCGCGGCTACGCACGCACTGAATCATGTATGCAAGCTCGTAATTGCCGGCCGGGACCGAGCGATGCCAGTGCGACTTGCAGTTGCCTCCAAACTTTTCTCCAATAAAATCAAGGCAGAAGCTTTTTTAAGGAAGATTCCGTCGAATCGCAATGAATTGTGCGAGGTGCACATCGCAAAGTCATGTACGTGTTTATCCCATGACACTCCCCTTGGATTGGCAAAATGCACACGGCGAGATATCAAATATCTCGGCGAATCGAGCTTGGTTCAACTTCGAGCTAGGTAGGTAGCAAGTTTGACCCAGGAACTCGGATGTCATTGTGACACAGTTTTCATCTTCCATGCAGTCGACATTCAATATACAGTCTGCATATCACCTGGTGAAACTAGCCGAAACCTTATGTGTGTGACCTTTGCCACTGAACTAGTGTGGCAAAATTCAACGTATTTTCAAAATTCATTGATATGGATAGTATATTGACGTGGATGTCAGTCGACTGTTGCGGGCAATGATTCACTTTTGACTTGCACGTTATCACTCTCGATGATCTCATTGAGATGATGTGATTGGAAGTAGTTTTCATAAGACACGAAATTAATTCAGAGGTTAAGATATTACTTTCAACGGTTAAGAAATTTTGACCACTACCTTCAGGCAAAGGCGGCATTCATGCAGCGATGCGTTCTTTGCGCGTGATTCACTTTGATAACATCTCACCAGAAAGGATGAAGGAAGCTCAATTCTGATCAGGTTAGAGAGTCGGAACATGACATCTATCACGAGAAATGATCGGGGTGTAACAAGGTTGAAGACAAAACTGACCCCTACCTTATGAACAGATACCACTCCAATAAATTAAGCATTATTGTCAAGAAATCTTATCTAGTTGCCCTATCAGTTGTGCCATCTGGGTCAAAAAAGCGAGGCTAGCTTAGTTCACCTCAGCGTCCCTATCGACCCCCTTATAAGCGGTAGGAGCCAGCCCTATGCGAAGCATGCAGACAGGAAAATCCAGTCTCTACTTGATGTTTCCGTTCAGACCGTTGGGGAAGAAGAGCCCGCCGGTCATGTTGCCTCCATACACGATGGACAGCACCTGGGCGGGGGTCCTGGCATAGGCAATGGAGGTGTCGTTGGTGGCATACACCAGCTGGAGAGTGCCGTTGCGGGTAATGCCAACGTCGTTGCCGCCGCCAACGGCACCCCTGAGCGCAGAGATGGCGTTGACAATGGTGGTCACGGGGGCACCATAGGGGAACACGTACTGGTTGCCAATCTGGGAGAGTGCCAGGCGAACAATACCGGCGTGGTAAGCCTCAACGGCCAGGATGCCGGCGGCGGGCTGCACAAGCGGAGGGTGGAGTGAGTCCCACAACCAAAATGCTTATGTAACCACCTCAGATATCGCAGGGGCGCAGGCAGCAAAAGTGTAGCCAAGCCAGATTCCCAAAATCATTAGTTTATCTATTCTACATGAGGTGCAATTACCATTTAAGGATGTCCTGAGGAAGCAACTGCTGTTTTCTACATTCCATGGAGCAAGCTACAAAATAAGTCGCCCCAAACCTCAGTCAAGTCAAATCAAGTGACCAAAATCCGGTGAAGTGGACCAGACTCCAACACCCAAGATGCTGCTAGAAAGCTCCAGCCTTTCCATCACTAGCAGTTTGCAACATTGCTCAAGCTGCGCGTGCGAGTGAGTTACAGGTGCGAGGAGGACAGAGAGGAGCAGTTGTTCCTCACCGCCAGGTAAGCCTTGTTGGTGATGGCGGGGGCAGCACCAGAGTAGGCAGACACACCAACATCCTCGAAGATGAAGGCACCGTGCAGGAAGACAACGTCAGAGCCATAGGGGGAGAAGGCAGGGGAGAGCATGGAGCCGTTGAGGGCAGCGGAGAGGGCCAGGTTGGCGGCACCAGCGAAAGCGGTCCCGATGTTAATGAGGGGGCGGGCCACAGGGGTGGCGCCAGCAGCGGTCAGGGCAGAGCGCAGGAAGCGCACATGGTTGATCTCGTCGTTAGCAATCTCGGTGGCATAGGCCTGGACAGCGGGGGAGAGGAGGGCCTTCTGGCCTCCGACCTGCACGCCAAGGAGACAACGATAAGATAGCCGGAAAACGTGCATGCGACATTGTCGAGAGCATTTAGTAGTCCTCAAGATTGCAGTCCCTCAGATTTAGTCCCCAGACTACAGTTCCCAGAAGTCCACTGCACAATTGCAGGTGCAGCGACCAGCGTAAAGCAAGCTATTTCGCCAAGGTAGGGCTCCAAATCTACCACTTCAAATGCAGGTCATCAGTGAGCTCTGGCTGGATGTAATGCAATGTGGAGACTTACAGAGGCGGGACCATTGCCAGCATCGGCGGCGCTGAGACCCTGGCCGAAGGCAGCCCATGAGTAGAACTCAGCCTGGGAGGGAGAAAACAGGGGATGGTTAGTAAAGTGCGAACTGTGTCAAATCTAGAGTAAAAGTGAAACTCACTTGATGACCACATATGCGACACTAGACAATGCCAAAATCTCGGAGAGTGTCTACATGGAATGTGACACCTTTGGGAGATCTGGCTCCACGCTTGTACAGTTCGACCCAAGACAAGTTCAGCAACACATTGCACGAGTACTTGCTTCACATTGTTCTCCCTTTGAACCACCACAGAGTTAGACTTGACTGTGCTTGGGGTCCTTTAGTTCTAGGCCCTCCAGTGGTAACACTCCCTTTTTATCTTTGCTTGTTAGCTACATGAGACTGACCTCGAGGTACTCCAGGTTGAGAGCGAACTGCAGGATGTCAGCATCAGTGATAGCGGGGGCGGAGCTGTTGCCAGCAGGGGCAGCTGTGGAACCCATGGGAGCAGCCGTGGAACCCATGGGGGCACCCGTGGGGCCAGTGCTGTCTGTAGCCAAACAAGCAGAGACAAGTGTCAGACTACAGGCAGCCTGTCAAGGCACATCATGAAAAACAGCCAGCAACCCAGTTCAAGCGACTGTGGAGATTAAGCACTTTCCGCACCTTCTCAAAAGCAACTTTGGTCAGGTACAAGAGAGGGGGAATGGACAGCAACCAGGAGGAGGATGGAAAGTGGTGGCGACACTCACTCTGGGCAGAGACAGCGACGGCGGCCAGGGCCAGGAGGGCAACCAGGACCTTGAAGGAAGCCATGGCGGATGTGATGGGGACACTGCAGAACAGACAGGGAACTCGTTAGGTGGAGGGAAAAATGGTCAAAGGAGCATTGTGAGGCAGAGGTTCCCTGGCGAACAAGCAGAAGTGGTGTGACACAGGCACAGGAAGAGGCAGGCGTTGCAAGCTTCCAGTAGCTGCGGTTGCTGCAGGAGAGAGGGGCCATTCCACCATGGGCAACGCGAGCTCGTTGCTTACCAAGTTTTCCTTGTTGCTGCAGATCTGAGAGAGTTGGAATGCCTGCTCTTGGCGCAGCATTCAAGTATTTGAGGCCAGGTTTCTCTTCCAACGAACGTTTCAACCGGGCATCTTGTGCTGCAAGCAGCCCCCGGGGCCGGCTGCTCTTCGCCGTCGAACCGGTCTGGGTTGCGAAGGAACGACCTCCTGTGCTTCGACCGGACCGCCCAATTCGACAAGCGTTCGAAACGGAACCAGTTTTGGCAGTCTCCCGGTACGTGGGCAGGTACTGCTGCCATGCCATGGCTTCGACATTCACCTTACGTAGGTACTAGGCACCTACAACTTGAATTGCATTAGGCCCACTATTGAAGGTACACTATTGAAGGTACGTACCTGCTGCCACTAGCCCCGGGCGCTCTTACAAAGCAGCTCGGTACCCAGGGCAAGGGGCGGGGGGATGCTCGCTACCAGCGAGGCGCGTTGGCCCGGTGGGCTATTTAATACTTCTTGAGCCATTGAACGATCGGCGATCAACCCGGACCGGTCGGGCGGCCGCATCCGAGTCCCTGGTGTATGAACACCGCCCAGTTCAAAAGCTGAAACCCTAGTCCTAGCTATCGGTGGACAGGAAATAATGCACGAGGTACCTACCTTCATCAGGACAAGTCGTGCATGGATCTGGATTCCGGTCTGATTCGGGTCCCTGGACTCTGGAGTCTGGTACCGTCTCTGGACCACAGGCTACCGTCTTGAACTTCTAAATGCAGACTCCAGAGTGAGTCCGGGCAACTTGAAGCGGTACCAAGCGTGTACCGATGCGTGGTACTAAGATAAGCAACGTGGACACAACATCTGATCCCGGGCCTTGGGCTGTCCCCTGACGTATGAATACGTCAGGAATCTCCTGTAAGCCATACATAAGCCTCCAGCTGCATAAACTGACGTCAAAAGGATCGGATTCTGATACTCGACGTCAGCTGAGATGATCTCTACGTCATTGTTCTCTTACGAAAAGCTGACGTAGGTGCCGTAAGAAGCGGAAGCCGTACGACTTTCTCGCCTCGCAACAACTTGCAACCGTCGATTGCAGTCGATCCTGTTGTCTCTGACGTCACCAGAGGCTCCGGGCTGCCGCGCGAGCTGCCAGCTGAAGTCTGCGCAGTGTGCCACAGTACGGTATGAACGGACAAACTTGAAAGCCAGCAGTGCACAGTGCACAGTGCACACCCCGCAGCGTGCACCTGTTGTCGGACTAGCTCGGGAGTCGGGACAATTGAGAATTTGAGTCTGACAACTCCGACGGAAAGTCATGCATGCACGATACTAACGCGGAACCGGAACGCCGGAACCATTTTGTCGGCGGGCTGTCCGTTTCTGCGTTGCGAATCGCCAAAGGCCACGTGGTGACTGTGTATTGGACAAAGTCTTGCTACGTTCAAATCAAATTTCTGCCATGAGCAGTCCAAGGACTTGCCCAGCTGCAGGCCGACATTGAAAGCCAGGTTCAAGAAACACAATACAAGTTGCATAGTCTGGAAGCAGATTGCACTGGAGTCTTTGTGTCAAAGGTTAAGCAGGTTTTGTCAAGAAGGATGTCAAGGATGGCAAGCCGGATTCACTTTCTCCCTTCAGCAACTTCAGGTTCTTGCGCCACTTCCAGAATCCAAACCTCAGAACCTATGTACCGTACCTACCTGAGGCCAATAGACTATAGTGGCCCAGGAAGATGAGCGGGATTTGTACCTAGCGGAGGTATCTAGTCCCTAGCTTGCTGTAAATGACTGCTTTTTAGTCCCTGGTGTGGGCGTGGGCAATTCCTTTCTGCTTAGACGGGGTTTGGATCCCTGAAGCTCTGCGAACGGCGTTGGAACTTGCCTTGCTGAAACAGCTTGAGGAAGGGTTTCGTTTGTGCGGTGTCCTGCCATTACCAATTCCCCTTGCCATTGGTTGCAAATTGTGCCTAAGGGCCAGGCGGTCTGTAGATGGCATCTGCCCGGAAGCACAAACGGCAGAGCCTGGATGGCCCTTCTCAGGACACTCCGGCAAGGAGCAAGGTGAGGAAGCAACAGAAAGGATGAGCAGCTCTGGTGGCTGCCTTGGATGTGTGGGTCTTTGTTTGCCACAACCCAGCAGACACGCTGTCAGATCGAAGATGCTGGACGAGTCGGTGTCGCCAACGCCTGGTGTAAGATGATGCTCATTCTGTTGTGGCCACCTGGCAAGTTGTCCGCAACTTTAGGGGTAGCAGCGCTTTGGTCTTTCTTGGCATGATGAAGGCAATCATTCTGCCCCTGTTCGTTTGCTCTTGTGAAGTCGTGATGATTAACTCCCTGAGGACACGCTTGTCCTGTGTGACCCTATGACATTGTCATTTGTCCTGCGACACGGAGGACCCGCGCAATTCTGGGCAGCCACACCTTCATCTCCTTTGTATGCACAGCTGTCAACAAGCGGTAATTCTTCGCTTGGTATGATGTGCCATGCTCAAGACCATCGCCTAGTCGTTTACCTCTCTCGCTTTTGCTTGCCCCGCTCCTCCGGTTGACCGATGACCGCATCCCTTGCCTTGTTCCCCAGAAGCGCAAGATGTCAGACCTGCTGGGCTCCCCCTGGACCCCCGCTGAGGTGGAGGCATTCTTTCACGGGCAGCAGCAGCACGGCACGGCCTGGGAGCACGTGGCGGGGCTGGTTCAGACGCGGAGCGCTGAGGAGTGCGGGGCGCTGTTCACGCTCTTCAAGACGTACCTCTCCCTGCCCGAGGGGGCCAAGTCGGTGCAGGGCCTGACCGCCATGATGACCGACCACTTCAACTCGCTTGTGAGGGGCCCTCCATGCGCAAGCTGCCCATCTCACAAACATAATCTTCACTCTGGTGAAATTGGTAGATCAGTGCGGACCCCACATCTGAAGAAAGACATGTGGGCGCAGGGTAGGGAGATTTTAGTGCAAATCCACCCATCCTTGAATCTCGAACCTGGGCACTATGCCTACTACAGCGCGTGCTCAAACTTGGGATTGTGCCCACTCATCGCGATCGGAAGCTCATTTTTAGCAGTCCTGTGGGCACAAAATCTCTACAAAGGTGCTGGAGGCTTTCATTTATTCAGGTCTGGTGATGCAGGGTTTGCAAACTTTGACACCTGCTAATGCACACAAGTGTCGGCTTGTTTCTACTCCTCCAATCAACCCTAGCTCTAAGCACTGCCTTGGGGATAACTGCACATCAACTTCTGTGATTGTCATCTCAGTGTCCTGACCTTGTGTTTTGCCACAGCAGGAGGACAGTGAACCTGAGAGCAGCACGGGCGGCAGAGAGAGGACCCCCGAGCCGACACCCCGACGGGCGCCAGGGGGCACCCCAACAAGGTGGGTTACCCCTCCTGCCAAACAAGATGAAGACGGGAGCTTCACGTTCAGCATGAAGTAAGAGGGCTAAAGTTTGTTGGGCTTAGCACCTCAGCTCCGCACTCAACAGGTGGATCACAGATCTCTCTGATTACCTCCTGTGTTTTCCCCTCGCTGCCGAACCCCAAAAGTAGTGGAAGCTGTTTATGTGCAACTGTTTCTCAGTCATAGGTAGGTCAAGTAGTCACGCATGAGGGTCAGTTGAGGAAAGGGGCATGTGAATTCAGAACCGTTCCCTAGAGTCTTGGCCCTTCTGTATCTTGCAGGAGCCCGGGGCAGCTTCCCCGCCCCGCCAAGCGCGCCCGCACAGTGGTCCCAGTCGGGCGGCGCACCCCACGTCCTCTTCCGCAGCCCTCAGGCGACCTGCTGCGCACGCCCCCCCGCGCCACGCGCAGCCTTACAGCGGACGCCCGTTCACCCCCCCAAAGCGGGGAGAGTCGCCAGCTGCGTCCCAGGGACCTCTCGCGCTCGCCCATCAGGGATCGGGCGCAGCTTCTGAGGGGGAAAGCAGGGGGATCCCCTGGCAAGGTGGCCCCGCGGGATGGGGGGTCTAAGCACGGCGGGCTGAAGCAGATCATGAAGGCGCTGGAGGCTGTGGAGGAGCAAGAGAACAAGAAGGGGAGGAAGGCAGACGGGGCGGGGGGCCCGGCGGCGCCGGTTCGGAAGCCGGGAGCGTTGAGCAAGAAGGCGCACATTTTGGCCAAGGTGCAGGCGCAGCGCAGCGTGAGTAGCGGGGAGGAGAAGGCGGGCAGCCAGGCCGAGCTGGAGGACAACGCGAGCAGTGGGCGCGCAGGGGGGACCGATGGCAGGTCCAGCGATGAGGAAAGGCCCCCCCCACAGCAAGAGAGGCCAACAGTGGGGGGTACGGGGCGGGGCCGAGTGGAGTCAGAGCCGGAGGAGGATGTGCCCATCATGAAACGGAGGGACCTGGCCAGCCCCCAGGTCGGCTGCACTGCAGGGTTGCCGTGCTGTTTGTCTCTCTTTCTGCTGCTTGCGGAGCCCAAATGGAAGGTCTAAACCCATCACAGGAAGCTGATGCCAGCTTTTTTGAGGCCCTCAGCTGGTTGTTTGCTACCTTAGAGGGCCTTCACCTATGTGATCCTCGCATCCGACCTAATTTTGGGAAGAGTCATCTGGAGCCATAAGGTCTTTCTTATCTGAAGAGCGATTGACTGCGTACAAGCCTACAAAAAAGTGTTCACGCGTATTTTTGTCTTGCCAGAGCTCTCTAAACAATTCTTTAAAGCTCACCACATAGACCTCCATTGTGGGAATCTTTCAGAAAACTTTTTGCAATTACGCCTTATGCTGTGCTGACGCGATGCTTTTGAAATACTTCTGCCGGTCTTGTCTGCCAACAACCAACATTCCTACCCACGCTCTAACCAGTAAAAATGATAGTCTCTCCTGTTCGTCATGCCGATGCCGACGTTGGTGCGGGTCTGTGTTTGCAGGCAGAGCGGCGTCCCCTGAAGAAGCGCAAGAGCGAGGAGTGGGGCAGGAGCAGGGACGGCGCAGCGGAGCCCGACTCAGGTTCGGAGGCCACGCGCAGCGACGACCTGCCCATCATCGGGGGGGGGCGAGACAGCAAGGCCGTCACCAGCAAACAAGCTACCCCCCAGAGGAAGACGCCGCGGAAGGGGCCGGAGGCCTTTCAAGGTAAGCTGGTTTGAGGCAAACGCGGCGGAAGCTTCAAGAGAAGAGGACGCTTGTTGGAAGAAAGCACGATTGCTGTTCAAAATAGGAAGGATTGCTTCCAGGCGGCCCGGCTTCCGCTCTGCTTGCCATGTGTGAGAACCTGTGGCCAAACGAACTTGTTGGGTTGGGAATGAGTCAATCCAAAGAGTATGGGGCAGAGTAGTCCTGGCCTTCTTTCCTCTCTAAAGACAGCTCTGCAACAATAGTCGAAGGCTTGAGAATCTTTTGCAGCAAAGCGTCCCCTTCTTATGCCTAAAATCTGCCTCGAACGAAAACAGAGGTAAACTCATGAGAGCACATCTTAAGAAGCACCAGAGCAATTTGGACCACGGCCCTTGTATCACGTGCTCTCCAGCGCCCGCTGCTGAATCCCACTACTGTGAGTCCCTCTGGGCGCCAGGCCGCTGACTTACGAGGAATCAACAAGCATTGTCCAAAGTCTTAGTATTTTGAACCTTTCTCTAACGGCCCCTCGCTCTCGCAGGCGCCGCCAGTGGCCTGGACGTTCTCTCCAGCGTGGTCGTTGCGGGTGACGGCCTGCACTCCCCCCCGAACGCGTCCACTTCGGCGTCCCCCGCGCTGCTCAACCCCGAAACCCAGTCCACCGCCAAGTCGCGCCTGCCCCCCGCCACCCCCCCCGCGCCCCCGCCTCGCCCGCCAAGCTCCGCCCGGCAGCCACCCCCCCCTGCCCCAAGCCCAGCCCGGCAAAGCCCAAGCCCAAAGCAAAGCCCAAAGCCACCCCCGAGAAAGCGCCACCTCCTCGGGCGGTCTCCCCCGAAGACAGCCCGGCTGACTTGCCCATCTTGCCCGCTAAGCCTAAGGAGAAACCGTCGACGGCAAAAGCGCCCCCAAGCCCGAAGCCCGCCGGATCGTCGCCTCCGGCAGGGGGCAGTCCGGCCAAAGCCAAGGGGGGTAAGCCGGGAGGGGCTAAAGACAAGGCGGCCAGCGGGGCAGATGCGGCGAGCCGCAGCGAGGATGCGCCGTTAGCCCCCCCGCAGCAGAGGAAGCGCAAGCGCAAGCCGGGCGTGGAGAAGGTGAGCGGGCCGCCTTTGGAGGTCCCCTGCCTTGCTATGCGAACCAGTGCCGAAACAACTAGCCCTTGCTGTCTGTAAATTTTCCTTGAAATGGTACAAACGCCGTGTCCGGCTCTCACCCCGGTTTCCATCACAGCTCGCCTCTGCCGAACGCCTTTTCGTTTCTTTTTCTCGCGCCCTAATCGCCGGTTCTGCGTGCGTTTTTGCAGCTGCCTCCGGTGCCTCCCCTTCCGGAGATGAAGGAGGTGGAGAAGAAGCCGCGCCCCCGCCCTCGCCCGCGTCCCCCTCCCTCGAGTCCCGCCCAGAAGAGCCCGGCTCCTGCTGCGCAACCAGCCGGCAGCACCGACACGCAGGAGAACACTCCGCTCAAGGCGCGGTAAGGACCTTTGGGGCCTGAGAGTCGTTTGGGACGAAGATCAAGACATTGCTGTTGGTATCGCTAATTCCTGACCTGGCCAGGCAGTAAGCGTGGCGGGGCCTTCTATGTGGGTACGTTCGTTCGTGAGCATCTCTGTGTTCGTGCCGCGCGGGGCGTTGAGCCGTCCGTACGATGATAGTTGCCGAGGTCTAGTAACCACCTAGCTCGTTTCTGCCCCATTTATCACACTTACCGCTCGTCTCCCTGTCGCAGCAACAAGAAGAAGCCGGCCCGCCCCGCCAGCCAGCGGCTGGGCGCCCTCACGTTCGCGTCCCCTCCGCCCCCGCGACCGCCCGCGCACTGCTCCCACACGGACCACTCCGAGGGGCCCGCGCACAGCCGCAAGGCGCACCTGCTGCACTGCCTCAACTCCAGGGTGAGGGGCGCGGTCGATAACTCTAGTTTTCAGGTTGAGCCGAGCAAGGTTGAGAGATGCAAGCGAATGTGGCCGTATCTCGACCCATGCGCGGTACTACAGCCTTGGACATCATGCTGCACCCACGCTGCAGCCATCCTTGATTGTGCAAAGGGCTTACCTAGACCGAGTCTGTCTGAGTCTCTTCTTTAGGGAGGCCTGCTCTTCAATCCACAATTCCTGAAAGGTAGCACAAAGCTCAAGCTTTGTCGAGTCTACTTTTCAATTGTCTCCGCTTCTCTCACCCTTGGGCTGATAAATTATGGCCAGGTGCGGCGGTGGTGCCTGTACGAGTGGTTCTACAGCGCGTTGGACTACCCCTGGTTTGCGCGCAACGAGTTTGTGGAGTACCTGGAGCATGCCGGCCTAGGGGGCGTTAAGCGGCTGACGCGCACCGAGTGGGGGGTCATACGGAGCAGCCTTGGCCACCCCCGCAGGCTCAGCAGGTAACCCTCTTACACCCCTTCCGCCGCTGGAGAAGGTGATTCTTAATAGCGGGCCCATATAGCCGCCACCCGCAATGCGTCAAAGCAGCACATGAGTTGCCGTCTGTTGCTCTCAACTCATATTGGGGCTCTTTCTCGAGCAGTACGGGCAGAGCTTTGCTCAGATTTCGGCATCTAACAGCGTAATCCTGTATCACGCATGTTCTTGACCTTCATAAGTGGAACTCGACCTCACCGGTCCTCCGGGCACCTGTGGTGAGATGTGTATACTGTCTGACAAGAAGTTCTCGTTCGACAAGGCTTGCAACGCTTATGGTTCCACACGTCTCGTTCCCTTGGCATGTCGACCTGGACGAGACTGCTCAAATCTTGTGCTTTTGGTTGTTCCTCCTCTCTTTCCAGGCGGAGTTACGGCAGTTTGAGCAGCTTCCTAGCCACCCTGTTCCGATCTCTTACCACGCTGTAGTGTTGCATGCGCTTACCCTCGTTCTTGGTGCTTCTCAGCGTGTTTCTGCGCGAGGAGCGCGAGAAGCTGGCGGCATACCGCGAGGCGGCCCGCGCGGCATACGCGGAGGCGGGCCAGGGCGGGGACGTTCCGGCGGAGCTGCCGGCGCCGCTCGCGGTGGGGCAGCGCGTGACGGCTAAGCACCCGCGCACGCGCCAAATTGCGGAGGGGGCCATCCTCACGGTCGATGCCAAGGGCCGCTCGCGCGTGCAGTTCGACCGGCGCGAGCTGGCGTCGGAGATCGTGCAGGTGGGCGCTTTAGGGGAATGAATTTGCAAAGGACTGCCCCGTCGGCGGAGGCTCGACGGCATACGTTCACTGCATGCTCTTGGTGTCTTTAATGTTATAGGGTTTTGTTCGTTGCTTGTAAAGCTGAAGGGCTTTGCTCGATGAAACGGAAGTAGTACCTTGTTCCGAGAGTGGTTTTGTGAGCCCTGTGAGCCTTCCATTCCTGCCCAGCACATTTGTGTCGAGCTTTTGCCTGTGTGCACGCGAGTGAGCTTTTAAGGTCACACGTTGGTGATGTGCTGGTGTTCGCAGGACATCGACATGATGCCGGCAGACCCGCTGAAGAACATGCCGGCCACGCTGCGCAAGAAGCGCCTCGAGATGCTCATGGAGGCCCGCACCCGTGACCACACGCCAGGTCAGCGCACCGCAGGCTGCCAAGCCGCTGATGACTTGCAGCTCTTGGGTGGTGAAGTCACTTTGGGGATTAGAAATTGTGACCTTACGTTGTCGCGCACTCCTCTCGGTTGCACGGCTGTACACTTTGCCTTTTTTCAATGGTGAATCTCTTGCCTGTCCGGTAACTCGTCTAAGGCACCCGACACAGTCGCCTCGACTTTCCTGCTCACTTTGGAGCTAGCGTGCCGCTTTCGAAGTCCCTTTCGAACACCTTTTGCTCCAACAAAGCAATTACTGGGCTTTCAAGACAAAGGCTGGCTTTCCTGTGAGCTGAAAGAAGAAACGGATCTAATACTCCCCGTTCCGTCTTTCCCCCCAGGCGAGCTGTTGGTGCTGCGGCTGGAGCCGCTGATGGCTGCGGCGGACTCGCAGTCTGCGGTGGCCCTGGCGAAGCAGGCCACCGCGGAGGCCATGAGCGCGGCGCTCGCGGAGCCAGGGACGCCACCCGCCAGCCCGCGCACGGATGCCGCCGCGCAGGCGACGCGCGACAAGGACGTCAAAGTGCTTGCGGACCTGCAGCGGGCGCTCGACAAAAAGGTGGGGGCATTCCGGGGATGCGCAGTCACTGGCAAAGGGCTTCCAGATGTTGGCAGATTGTTAAACGGGCGGGTTCGAGATGGATACTGCTCTCGACCCGCTCCAGTCTCTGGAGGCTCGACTGCAGCGGCTAGGTTCAGGGTGTCCTTATGTTTTTATTGAAGACCTTGGCCCAGTTTCCTAAAGGTTGCGCGATTCGGTCTCTGTTTCGAGGCGCTCCCTGCTGAGGTGGCTCGTGCGGTGCAGGCTGCGCTGTTGGCGGAGATGGCCCACGTGACGGCCGACGCTGAGCGGCGCACCGCCGAGGCGGGCAGCAGCGAGGCGGCGCAGGCGGGGACGGAGGACGACGCGCTGCGGGAAGGCCTGGCGAAGAAGGTGCTCGCGCTGGAGCAGGTCAACAAACAGGTCGGGGCCGCGCCTCCGGTTGGCAATCGGAAAGTCTTAGGCAGGGCATGCAGTCATCGGTTCGACTGCTGTTTCCTTCATCGAGCAGGCTGGTAGCGTTCTTAATGCGCGACTCCCTCTTCTGAGCAGCGGGCTCCTTTCTGTCATCACGCCTCTTCCTCAACCTCAAAGCGTCCTCGTTGTCGGCTTCGTAAAACGAAACCTCCTGAACCGTGCTGCCTGCGTCGTGTTGCCAGGTGGAGCAGTGCGTGGTTCGATTGCGGCAGCGCAACCGCTACGCCGATCCCGCCAGCCCGGCCTGGGTGCACGCCAACGGTGGCCCAGGTCAACCGCGGGGGGGCCAGCCGGCGACGCCCCGAGAGGACCTCCCGCCGAAGCCCATTGGGGAGATGGCCGCGAGCGCCAGACGGCAGGTATGGAGCAGAGGGGGTGCGCTTTCGGAGGCCAGATGATGCAGCGTTTGTGTTCACAGAAACCTTTGTACGCGGTCTTGAGAAGCGGCCTTGTTGAGGAAGACAAGCCTGGCAAGCGAAAGAGAGCCCGGGACAGCACGACGTCGGAAGATGCGTCCGTTGGTAGTTGCAGCCTGGCTGTCCGGCTTGCGAGACTTTCCCTGTAAAGAGCCTGTCAACCTTATTCCCTCTGCCAGGTCAAAGTCGTGCACGGCTGACCGCGTGCTTGCTGTGTGAGCCGTGCAGGCGCGTGCCATGGTGGCGCAGGTGGTGGCGGCGCTGCAGTCGGCCGGCGAGGGCGAGGACCCCATGCTAGTTCTCGAGGCGCTCGGGCCACAGCTCGGGCTGGACGACAAGTTCAATCGCCGGCTGCAACCAGGGGCGCGGGGGGGCACCTCCGCGGCCGGGCCGCACGCTGTACCGGGGATCCTAGGCACCAGCAGAGCAGCCGGGAGAGTCAACTGGGCGGAGGCGGCGGCTGCGGCGCATGTGAGAACAGACGAGTTCGACCTGCTTTTGTTGTTTTTGGAAAAAGAAGGGTCGTTGCGAAGCATGTTTTCTGGTATTTCAGGTGTGCTCCGCAGCCATCACTTGATGCGGAGACTTATCACATCGTTTGAAAGGACACGGCTTGGTTGCTTGTATACATTCTTCGCCACTTTTGCCACATTTTACCCGCTTTCTAACAGCAGCTGTGGGTCAGAAACGGAGCCAAAAAGCTCTTCAGGAAGCAAGCCGATACTCTACGACTAGAGTCTACCTTTGCGGTCTTGTTTTAATTCTAGAAGAAGTGGGCATTAGGTAATCCTTATAGCCTTCGGACACGGTCTCTGGACGCAAGTTTTACAGATTGCCGTGCTTGTGGTGGGTACAGAGCGTGGCCGACACTGGCTACGGCGACGCGGCGCGCAGCAAGGCGGCTGCAGTTCCGGGGGATCCCTTGACGGGGCTGGAGGTGGGCGGCCACGCGCGCAGCAAGGAGGGCGGCTTCCTGTCGGAGCTAATGGCTAGCTGCGTGGCGACGCTGCTCATGATCCAGCAGTGCACCGACCGCGCGCTGCCGCAGCAGGACACCGTGCTCACGCTCGACTCCGCCATCGCGTCGCTCAAGCCGCACGCGCAGGTGAGCCGGGGGAGACGTGTTACCCATTTCGCACTGAGTTATATGTTGAGGTGGATCCGTTCCGTGGGCTGAGACGAGATCAAAGGCTGCGTCCACAGTTAATGTGCTCCGCACCCGTACCACCTAACTCCCAGATCGATCCCACTCGTCCCCGACGCATTGATCTTAACTCAATGGAGTCGTATCTGAACAAGGACTCATTTTAGGGAGGCCGACCATTGACCGGCAGATTGTGTTGACTCGTTTGTCCAATGTAACGCCGTGCTTTCCTACTTGGTTCTCGACTCGGCGCAACTTCAAAGAGTGCTGCTTTTGAAACATTTATCGAACATGGAGAGGCCGCTTGGACATTGTCTGACTTACTTGTCTGGTTTGTTTTTGCAGCACAACCAACGGGTTTGGAAGGAGATTGAGTCTTGTATAAACACGATAAAGGGGCAGATCTTAACGCAAATACCTTATCAACAACTGCCAGCGTCGTATTGAGGCTATGGCAGTTGTACCTCTTGTACCAGGAAACCAAACACACACAGACAGTCAATTGTTTTGACGAAAGACCAAGTCAACGATCTTGTAGCTCGAAGGCAAGTATATTCGTTTTGAAATCAGTTCCTTGCACCCATGTTAAATCAAGGGTAACAGTGTTTGAGCCGAAGTCTGGCAGCTTATCCCGTCAATCTGCTGAACACCTTTCATGGACAATGAGGTTAGACCGCGCCCGATCGGGATCTATTCACATGTTTATACCGGTATCATGCATCAAGCGCGGTTCGGGTCCGTCCGGGTTGGAGGTGACCGCATCTAATTCCGAATCCTGTTCGATTCGATGGCCCGGGGATTGCAGTACCATGGTTGACATGCAGCTCATAGCGGTACTGTGCAGCCCGCTCCCTGGTTGATTCACGCATGCCAACATGCAGTGCAACATACACCGAACAACTTGCAGCATCGACGCATGTCACATCGAAATAAGTACACCTGTAAACAGATATTTTGGAGCCCATATGCAAATATAGTCAGTTGCTCTGCACAAGCAACCTAGGGTGGGTATCGACGGTATCGGTCGCGCGACGATCGAGTCACGAATTTGATTCACCGGTGTCACGCGTCGCGACGAATTTTGTACGCGGTACTTACGAATGTACTCGGCGGTATTTGAGAATCCGGTCGGAGTTCATGAATTAAATTTTCCTGACACGTCGACCGACTGACACATGCGTAAAATTCGGCGGTACGGTACCGTCGCGCGTGGATCGAGTCTGCGGGTCCCGAGAATTCAAATTTTATGGTGTCGGTCGGAAGTTCCGACTTGGACCACGGAAGAGTACCACGGTTCCTAGCCTGAAAGAGAAGTGCAGAGACTCGAAAGAGAAGTGTAAGAGAAGGCGCTTTTTGAAAACCAACAATGGCGGCCAACTTTGCGCCTCGTATGCTCTATCTTCAGATTTGTCCTCAACAAAACAAACACTTGAAGCAACACCTAGTGACGCTCTCCCAACAATTTTTTATGCTTGTCAAAGGTTCCTACGTGCTGCATAAGCCTCATCTTTGAGCACTATTTTGTTGCTTCTTTGAAAGTGTAAATCATAACACTATCTTACGGTTCTATCACACTGCGTCACGGCCGAGCGGAAAATTCTAAGTACTTGTACCGTACGTGTTACACAAATGTCACTCGGCGTAACGCGAACCGCCAGTACTACTGACGAAATTTGATTCGCCGAGTCACATTATCGTCGCGAATCGAGTCAGATTCGACTCGGCCGGTGCCCACCCTAGGTAGCTTGTGTGACGGATATGATACACCTACGTTGCATGAGGCGTACCGTCCGCGCCGCGCGTTAGTATGGTGGTCCGGCCTTACGACCACATGCAAACAGAGACGTGAATCTGCGTCTCGAGCAAGTACAGCGCGCCGTCATGTTAACACGCACGCCGGGATCCTGGCTTGTCTCAGCAACGTACATCCTGGCAACAACACCTTGGATTAAAGCCAGAAGGTTTGGAGTGCGTCAATCGGCGGCCAACGAGTGGCACAACAATATCTGCGACACCACCCAAAGTGTTGCGAGTCTCCAAATATTTTGACGATTCAACTTACGAATGATGTCCTCCGATCCGAAGATGGACGCATTATCTTATCCTCTCCATGACCCTCTACTTACAGGCCCCGTTTTTTGGCGGCTCCAAACCAAGGTGGCCAGAAAACATCACAAAAGTTCACTCGATACAGAATTTATAAGGATGCGTAAAGTTTTATTTGGAAACTATATGAAACCGATCTAGGAAAAAAAACTATGTTGAGAACCAAACGGTTCCATACAGGGATGCGTTCCGTATAGTTCCTATACGAAGCTGCATATGGAAGTCATGTAGACCCTATACAAATCACATCTAGGTTCTTTATAGGGTCCATATGCATGAATCTGCCTCATCGAGTTCCTGTGTGGATCTGTATCAGAACCACAGAGCTTCGGCATGGGAATTATTCAGATTCTGTACAGAACACGTCAAGAACGTTCAGTATCCATGTGGCTTTGGTGCATAAATTTGCAGTGAGGTTCAGGTGCTAAAAAGCACCAGACTTGACAACCTGGACTTGTGGTACTGCTGTCAAAGCACCCGACTGCCTCCAAAGGTCTCATGCACTTGCGAACCTGCCCACTGAGCAATTGGTAGACCATACCACACCCAGAACCTAATGGGCAAACAGACCAAGTGCGATTAGACCTACAACTAAGAAGGTCACCTAAACTCTAACCGATAAATAATGAACAAACGTATCGAACATATCATGCTACGTTTGATTACAGTCTAGCTTGCCGTACATGGCCTTACAACAATCTTTCAGACGACAACAATCTGCGCTGCAACCTCTGGTTCGAAGAACGTGTGAGCTGATCTGAACGGCTATCAAGAACAGGAGGGCTGATAAAACTCACCTTGAATTGCCTGTTAACCTGCGGTGCGCAAAGTAAATGCAAGCCGCATGCTTAATCTGCCGTAGGCGAAGCTCGGCGGGCAATACTTTGTGGCATATGCCTTGCTGTAGAGGACTTTAATACCCCTGCACGAAGCAAAAGCCTCAAATCAGACATCAAGGAACAGCAGAAGCAGACGACTGAATCGGGTAACAGTACGAGACGGGTACCATCGGCTGGCATGATTAGAACAGACACTTGAGCGCACGAAGCTCGCAGGCAGACTTGCAGCTTTGGAGCAGACTCAGATGTAGGGTGCGTCCTTTGCAAAAGCCAGCAATCCCACCAATAACAGAGTGCATCTCTTGCAGGCATGATAATTGGCTGACGTTACTTGGTCACCACTGTAATCATAGCGTAAATCTCCCTGCCCTGAGCTGCGTCTCTGCATGTCTAGGACGTTAGTAATCAGCAAGGTAACACCTGCTGAACATCCTCTTGGCAGAGTGCTGAGCGCCGGCTGGCTATCTCTTGTTGTCAATACCAAGTTGATTCCGGATGCTACATAAACTGTTGCAGCCACATCCATGAGGACAGCTCGGTGAACACTTGATGTTGACAGCAACGCCTGGGGGACTCTTCTGCTCTCTTCAGATTCCTGATATACACTGGCAGCAACCTGAACCCTACTTGCTACTGCAAACCACTGGGTAGGCGTTGCTCCCCTGTTGCTCTTCTAAAAGGCCTGCCTTGACGAGAGGAACACAAATGATGAAGCATTGACCACAGACTACTCAAATTTGCTTTTTAGCATTCGTTCCTTGATAGCATAGAAACTTGCATACTGATTTCTCACCTTTAGTTGCTTTAGTCCTTGCGGCGCTCCTTCCTTTCTCCAACCAGCCCAGTGCTCCGACTCTCCGAACCAGCTTTTCTGCTCACATTCTTCACATACAAAGGCATTGAGAAGTCAGGTTGGCGGCCTAAAATAGTACACTTGCAGGTGAGTTGTAAGGCGGACAGACTTGGTGAGGGGGGTGCCAAAGAGGCGCCTGACTGATTTGGAGCCGTCTTCATGCGGTGAACTTGAAGGTTGAAGACTAATTGCAGACTTTAGTTCAAATGAAAATTGTGAGGTCGAAATTGCCAAATCCAAGATTGGGATAAGATTTGAATTTGCCCGCGATAGTTTGACCGTAGATTGAAAACCAAGCACCGTTCGATGCTTCGATCCAGTGCCACGTCAGAGTCCGTGAACCTACGTTCACTGAAGTCCCAGCGCCCCGTCGCTGTATACGCGGCCGGCGAACATTAGAAACCGGCGGCCATGCAATGCGAGCGCGGCCGGCCGTAGTAAACCCGGCGGCCGGGCGTCTTCAAATGCCAGTGCGGCGGGCCCAATGCGGCGGCCCGCGGGGGGCCGGGCCACCTTGCCGGGCCCGCCCTGCCCCTCCGGGCACTTGTTGACCCAGCCAAACCGCATACCGTGACGCCCGGGATGCCATGTACCGGCAGAGCGTGCGCGCAAGCGCTAGCGGTTGGTCCACCAGTTTTCCGTAAGGGGTTATATTCAGAACCATATCCTGATTATACGGACCCTATATAAGTAGATTCAGGAAGCATAACTATATCGGAATATACAACTCATATAACATCATATAAGCCTATACGGGGATGTATAGAACCTGCATTGATCCTATAGAGAGAGTATTCCTGTGTCGTTTTTATACGGTTCCCATACCAACCTATATTGGCTGCTGTTTCGTGATGAAGTCCCGCTGTCTTGCAAACGTTCTACAGAGACACAACTACTCAAATGGGAAGATGATACCTTTGAGGCGGTTGGCCACCCCTAGCTTGAACACCACTGACACTTGCTCCTTTACAGTCGCGCCATCTTTGCTAACCCACTCCACTTCGACATCTTGGCTCCTTAACCTTCTTAACGATTCCACATCGACGGTGGCGGGGAGGAAGACATAGCATCTAACGTCAAGCTCTGGTTTATGCTTCGACGTCACTTGCCCTCTGAGTACTCTTTCTCCCCAAACCAGGGTAGCCCCCCAAACCACCCCTTGCTTCTTCGCCTTGAGGAGACCTGCATGTCGAACAAAAAAGTTGGTAAAGTCCGAATATTGTAAAAGACCGGGAAACAACCACAATTGGATGTTACGAAGTCCTACCGACCCGGACTAGCATCCAGCCCTCCTTGGATTTCGTCCAACAGTGGGGCTGACTTGCATCTTCTATATTCTGGATCACCGCAACGAATCTGAAAGAGGGGAAGAAGGTGACAAAAAAGAAGGTCAACTCCTTCTTTCGAGTCAATGATTCGGAACCGTGCCTTCCTATGAAAGGGCAAGATTGCAACCACATAGCATTTCAAGCCTACCTTCGAAAGCTTGTACCAAAGTGTGCCCTAAAATTGCGGAAGTTCACGCTTTGGGGGCTGCCGCACTATACAGTTGCACTGCAGTGCACACTGCGCGCGCTACATTGCCCGGTCCCAGCAGAGTTGAGGGCGGTCCCGCTCAGTACCACCGAGTGCGGAAAGGGCAGCATTTTCACCCCAGGCACCGAGATACAAGAGTGCCGGAGCCTGTAAGTTTCTAATAGTGTTAATTGTAGTGTCCTACCGCCCAAATTCTGACATAATCGACATAAATGCAGATCCGATTTGCATGATGTCACTCACAGCTGGTCGCGCGCCACGTACCGCAAGCGACAAAATTTCAAAACCGCCGGGTCTGACACCGCGGCGATTTCAACTCGTCGCGTGTCCCCGTCGTCGCGTGTCAGACCGGAGACATTTTAACCGCCGATCGACCGACTCACTAAGCATAAAATTCATCGGACGGCGAATTTTAAAATTTGGAAGTTGCAGCCTATGCTCGCAGATGTCAGAAGGTAGGTAGTACTGTGTACTTTACTGTCAGACTTGGACCACTCACAGAGGGAAGCGGGATTCTCTGCTGTACACAAAATCCCGCTTCCCTCTGTGATTGGTCCAAGTCTGGACCTACCGTACTTCACCGTACGAGTGAAGTACAAGGTACCTACCACAGGCCGCGCGGTACCCTACTTGGAGTTGAACTTCAGTGGGTCAGTGGGTTTACGGCCGATTTTGCGCGGTTTGTCACTGATTTCAGTGGTAAACCACCTCAGCCTAGCTCGGTTCTAGCCTAAACCCGGTACACGAAATCCAACCAAGGCTTGAAATGCTATGTTGGACAAGAAGCAACATCGGCTGAGCCAGGACTTAAAAGTGCACACAAGTGGCCCCCACTGAATTTCAAGAAGGAGAAGGGACTGCACGGACGGACTCTCTAGTAATCTTTCTATAACACCTCGTTGACTGTTGAAGAATTCTGATTGCCCATAAACGCCTCGCTCCTACCTGATGTTGAGGACTTGGTCTCCCCAACCTTGTAGATCTTCCGCCCGTTCTCGATGAGTCGTTTTCCCAACTGCGTCCACATCGACCACCTCATATAGTTCACCGAAGAGTAGAGCGGACAAGAGAAACATGAAGACGCGGGGCTGCTCGATGAGAAACTCAATGAGGCCCTCGGTATTTTGGGCTGCTGTCGAGCAGTAGGTGACGAGAATGCTCGTGAGCAAAGCGGAATTTGCTGTTTGCCGACTGGACACTTTGCGCAGTTTCTGGTCTGCAAGCGCTACTAGTCTAGCAAAATGTCCCTCATGCTCGAGACACCGATGCATCTTTGTATTAGTCTTAGGCCTTCCGTTGACTCGGTAGCCTGATGTCGCAGTGAGCTGATCTGGCTTGCTCGCAAAGATGCCTGGGCAGAGGAACATGCAACCAGATGTCAAGAGTGCTTGCACACCAACCTGTGTCTGAAGACTTGCAGAGGACCAGAAAATTTGAACCTAGCCACTCATAATAAGCTACCTTGTGGCAGTGAATGAATCCTTGAAAGCAGACCTCTCTCAACAAGGCCTCCAAACAAAACAAACTTGTCCTTTATGCGTCTGTGGACAGCTGAGAACTACATCTTCCCAGAAGCAGCTCAGCGTCGGGCTCATAAGAAACTCGATTCTGCTTTTACGTGCATCGACCAATATTGGCAAATATGGTTTGATTCAAGTCAAAGGAACTCACACTGTCACCAAGGTTGTTGATTGCTCGGAGGAACTCAAACGTAATGCAAATCCCGGTACAGAGCACCAGCTTGTGAAACGTGTGATGCTGCAAAACACAGAATAGCAAATTACTGAAGTCAGCCTGTTCCAAGGAGTTTGGCCTCCATTCAAGAAGTTGAAGGGACTCCATGAATGCAAGGCTGTGGGTCATTGAAGCGTCAATAGACTAAAATCAACAGATGAACGGAGGAAACAACATGCTGGCTGGTCACCGTACTCAATCATCTTTATGATACAACAAGAACCCAATGATCGGCCATTTGTTGTGTCCCTCTAAGTTGACAGGAGCAGGTCTCCTCTGAGGAGAAATGTTGCAGCATCAGAATCTTGATTGCTTAGGAGGCCTCCTCAGAACATCTCGAACAGCAAAACGCAACTTGTCTGGTGATTTGTGGTACAAGGGAAAACTCAATACATCATACAGCACTTCACTCACTGCTGGCAGCAGTGCCGCTGCAACTGCGCGTGTCTCGTTACTCGAGGGCGCCGATCCTGTAATGAAGCTGACTAAAAATTGCGCTGAGCGCACCGCATGAGGCAGCGCACCCCTTTGCCCAAAGATGCTATCGTCCGATATGTAAGCCAACATGTTATCTTGAGCATAGTCGCCCATGTCATGCGCGAGGCTGCCAAGCTGCTTGCTTATGGCATCTAGCTGCTTGGAGAGCATTAGAAGCGCATCTTGCACAATACCCTGGCCTTGCTGTAGATTCAGCTGGCTACTTATGAGAAATTGTGCCCATTCTGGGATGTCATTTCCTGTGAAGGGCGGCAATGCAGGTATTGCGGTAGTGGCGAAGCGCTCCTGGAGGAGCTGGGCCGCTTTTGCTGAGTCCGACACATCCTCTTCCTCTGCCCTATCCACCCTAGCTTCGCTCTCGCGGTGCACCACCAAATGATTTATGGCAATCCTCGCGCCGATGTGCACAGGTGTAGCTCCAGGACTTAACCTTATCCGCTGATCTTTGCCTACCGCATCTCGGACGTTTAGTAGGTCATGACGGAACTCTGAGAGCTTCTTCAGCTCCTCTCTATTCACGGCTGGCAACCTCTGAATGATCTTTGACTCAAATTTCTCTCGTGACTGTGCTCGGCAGCTGCCACGGGCCAGAAGTCGCGCTGCTTGAGGTCTAGAAGGGAAACTTTTGTGGCAAGAACCAAGGAAAGTGCTTCTGCCGCCAAAAAACCAAAAAACTTTGCAGAGTAGCTGATGCCATCTTTACGTCTTCCCGCCATGCTGTTCCATGAGTGCCAACCAGCACCACCTAGTACCTACTAGTGTGAGGCTATGTGTTGTTGCAACTCTCCCTGCATTAGGGCGCAGGCAGCCGCGACTCCTTACTTCACATTGAACCGTCCAAGGGGAGTTCACGCAGCTATGTGTTAAAACGGCTCAGGATAAACCCTGCACCGAACCCAAATGCAAGTTTTCCCACGCCCCCAAGCACGAACGGCCATTTATGATTGCCCCGCCTTCCATACGCTAATACCGTACGCCAAATATAAGAAAAAGTGCTCCTTTTACAGCCCGGGTGCCTACTCGGTCACGCCGAAGCACGCGAGGTTAGGCGCGGTTAGGCAATCCAAAAATAAGGAATGGCTGGCAATCGCAGGTTAAAACTACCCCCCGTACGTACGGCGATAACGAAGCCGCGGAATCCGGAACTGGAAAGGAAACCTCGCCCCGATACCGGCCCCGAATCCGCAGAACAACATATCGGAAACACGGCGCTGTTCCGATCGGACGACGTACGGTAGTCCTATATACTACGGAATTAAAACAATTTTCCAGCGGCACCCCAGGGCCCTAACCCACTTGAAGGGATCCCTCCACAGACAAACCAAAACCCCGACCATAACCCAGCAATTAACTTTCAAACCTTGGCCCAACAGAACACAAACGCGGACAAGAAGACGAACTTACTTCTCCGCCTTTCCCTCTTCACCCAGGCGCTCCAAGCCGACGTCACCGTCATCACCGTCAAGCTCCAAACGGCCCAGGACTCCAAGGACGACGAAATCATGCGGACCGACATAGTACAGACGGCCAGGGCTCCCCTGTCCAGACGGAGAACAATAGTTTCCGTCAAGAGAACGAAAGTATCGGTAACTCTAAAACTCTCTGCTCCTTGATTTTCTTCTATTCGCACGTGTTCGGAGTTGCTTTAAAGACAAGGCAACAGGCTCATCATTCGATCTCAGTGCTTCTCAGCCTTTGGAGAAAGCTCTCGAAGGACTTTTGGTCACTGATTGCGTCAATAATGCTTGGGCGTCGTCTAAAGGAACTAGACACTTCTTTGAATCTTTTTACACTCAAATCGGCCCGCCACTCGCTTTTCCGCAGAGGTTCCCACGAGCTGCAATCATTAGGTATGACGGAGAATAATGCCGAGCACAGCTTCTTCTCTTCTCCATTTCTCTATTAACTGTTATATGTCCTTTCGGACTGACCCGTTATCTGCTATAAATGGAAAGGTGGAACACGCGTCCACTGTTGTCTGTCTTCCACCAGGCGGCGCGTGCCAACTTCGGGTGGCATCCATTCTCAAAAACGCACCATCAGAACGGTTCCAAAAACTTTTCTTATCTCAATCAGCCCCCAATCAGCCACATCTGCTGTTACCAGGGTGGCTAATCCAGATCTTAACCTCTCTGCTGAAGGGGGGTTATCGCAATGCGATAGCCTACCCCCCAACTAATGCACCTCATGACACATACTGAAGCGGCGCTGAACAGAATCGACTCGGGGTGAGAGAGATAC